ATATAATTTAATAAAAAAAAATTTTTTTTAAAAAATTTTTATATATTTATTATTAATTAATAAATTAAATATTAACGTTATATTATTAAATAAAACATTTAATATTTTTAAAAAATAAATTAAATTTATTAACTTTTAAAAGTAAATAATAATAAATAGCGATAAGTTTTTTTTTATTATTTATAAAAATAATAATTTTATTAATAATTTTAATAATATCACGTTTTAATTTATTAATTAAAAAAAATAATTAATAATAATTTTTATTTAAATAATTTTTATTTAATAGTTATATAATAATAAAAATATTATAACGGTTATTAATAATTTTAATAAAATATAATTTATTATTGCCGATATTTTTCCGGTGGAAATTATTTTTAAATAATATAAATTTTTCCGTTTTTTTATTTAACGTCGCGGTGTATTTAAATTAAAACATTTTCTTAAAAATAAAAGTTTTTAATTAATAAATATTTAAATATATTATTTAAAAATTTTTTTATTAATATAATATATAAAATTTATTAATAATTATAAATGTTATTTTTTAATTAAATTTAATATTACGAAATAAATTAAAAAATTATTTATAAATTATTTATTTTAAATTAAAAATAATATAAATAAATTATTTTTAAATTAATTTATTTTATATATTATTATTTTATTAAATAATAAATAATTATTATTATATAAATAATATATATTAATTTTAATAATTTTATTAATTATTAAAAATAAATGTATTTTAAATATTTAAATAACGGTATTAAATTAATTTTATTTTAATTATTTTATTATATATAATAATAAATATAATTTATAAAATAATATTTTTATTATATTTAATTTAAATTATAAAAATAATATTATTATAATAAAATATAATATATTAAATTAATTATATTTAATTAATTTTAAAATAAAATTTAAATATATTTTTAATATAATTATTATTTAATAAAACATTAAATATAATATATATAAATTAATATTTTAAATTATAAAAATATATATTATTTATTTTTAATTATATATATTTAAAAAAATATTAAATATAATTTAAAAATAAAATTTTTAATATTAATTAATTAATTAAATTATTTAAATTTTTAATATTAATAATTAAATTTAAAAAATATTCGAATATAAAATTAATAAATAATATATTAATTTTTAAATTTTAAATTTATTAATTTATTAATTATAATATTATTACTTTTAAATAAATAATATTAATTTTATAATATAAAATTTTTATTATTTAAAAATTAAAATATTTTAAATTTAAATTTAAATAATATTTTAAATTAATATAAAATTTTAAATTATTTATAATTAATTTTAAATTATATTTTTTAAAACATATTATACGTAATTATAAAATAATATATATATAAATTTTAAAAATATTTTTATTATATGGTATTTATAAGGATGTTTCGCATTAAATTAATTCAAACCAAATTTTTAAGGACGCCATGCCCGCCCCACATATACATGTGCACGGGTGTTATAAGCCACGCACAGCATGGCTGGGCGTGGCTAGTTCTAAAAATTTGGTTTGAGCTTGCTGAGATAAGCGCTGTGATTGTTTTTGCCATCCTTTTTTCCGAGTGCGATTATAATAGTCTATAGCCAAAAATAAGTTAAACGACAATTAGTTTGCCTTGAGGACCTCGACACCATTCCTTATTCTGTGCATGAAACAATTCCGGGATGCGGTGCACACATCGTTTCATCTTAGTCTGGTCCGGATTCTACGGTCTACTAAGACAATAAGACGGGCTGGAAGCGCTGCAGGAGTCCCACTTGATCGACACACACGGCTTTGTCCTTGCAGTCGTTCGACCGATCTGTGAGACGGCTATTGTCACCCACCTGCAGGAAGGGACATCGGACGGGTTCTTTGACGAGGATAAAATAAGCTGTTGTAAAGGCGCCCACCAGTCCGCATGGAACGTTCCGCTTCACCATCCCGCGCCATAAACGCCGATCATCTAGGCCCCGTTACCCGCGTGCTGGGGCTGACGCTAAGGATCATACACGGCCGGCCCTCTCGTGCTCGAGGATAAGACGACGACGGATTGAAAACCGACTCGCTTGTGGCCAACGAACTTGCAGACGCCACAGTAAGCGCCGAGGCACCCTATTTAGGATGCAATTGGTGGCTATTTCGCAATTGATCTTCAGGGCTCTACAATGCCATACCGGCATACCGAGACTAATAGATTATCAAGCACGGGATGGAACAGACATGTCGGCCCAATTTGCGATTGGATAACTCGTAGTACATGAGTTTGCCTCCAAGTCGATTAAGAGAGCTGAACGAGAAAAGGATATTTGTACCGAATGGCCCGCAAATGTTGCTATGATTAGTAGGAGAATCATGAGATTAACTTGTTTCGCATCTCGCTTGACATGATTGGGTCCGGATTAATTCCAAGTTTTCTGCAAGTCGATTGATAAGTCCGTTCTCCTGGGGACGTTAGAGAGCTCAAAGGTTCACACTTGATGTTTGAATTCTATTACTAGATGCAAAGATGTTTACTGCCTGGTAGGACAGGTAGGTAGAGGTAAGTACGTATGACGAAGAAACCAAGTGCGACTGGCTTCTAATTGGCTTCTTAGAGATGCCATTTTAGGGAAGCCACTTCTAGAAGCAATTTCCCATTCAAGACTAGAGGTCAACACTGGCCCAAGATAGTAAAGAGGCGTGCTTTCCTTACACTTCCACACCTTAAAATGCCATATTGTCGTGCAAGTCTAGTCCAATTCAGGCAGTGTGGCACTTTTAGCGGCCGAAAAACCGTTATTTGTGTCTCAAGTCCGATCCCACATCTCACGTTGTGCATCCTTGGCGATTTTTTCTCCTGGGTGCTTGGCTGCCCTGGTGCATAGATTCCCTTGATGCTTGGCAGTAGCGGGAAAATCTGGATACTTCACAATTTTAGCGAACCCCACGATGATGTCGATCCTTACCTCCGCCCTATTCTTTTCTATCTTTGCTGCCAAATTAGTAAGAAATTGCCAGCCTCATACCAAAAACTGACTTCCATCCTTGTGTGTTGTTTAATGAAAAATTGTTACATTTTCAGATGATAGACATACAGAAAACACAAAGCGGTGTAACAATCCTATCAAAATTGAGGCGAGCACAGTGGTTTCACGAATTGACGTGGGATACAATCAGTTTGTGTAAGTACCTAGCAATACAAATATGCACCTCAAGTTCGAGCTACATACTAATTAGTAGAAACATGTGAACGGCTGAAAGAGTTGAATATGTAGGGAAGGATTGCTTGGAAACAATGACGTCGGAGCTCGACTCCTGTGACACGAACGATTAAGGCTATCCACTACATCCCCTACGAGATGTTTCCACAGTTCGATGGGGTCTTTCATTGTACTGTAAAGAATTCATTACTCACGGCTGGCTGACTGGACAGACTTGGAAGAGTAGAAAGAACTAACCGGGGGCGGTGCAGCTGGCTCTTTCAATGCGTGTTTCCGATGATGGATTTCATAAAGGTTATTTGATGAGAACCCACCGTCTGTAACGCTAGCGGCGACGATAAAACATGGGGGGAGCATGGTCAGGCCCCGCTAGCTTGCATACAGAGAGCTCCATCTGGCATAAAACCCCTATGTATTCCCCTGTACCCCTGTGCTATCCCCTCTTGGCAATGGAGCCTCAATCAAGCTTTAATTCTATATCTAGCTGCCTACCTAGGATAGGGATGTAAACATTTCTCGAATACGACATGGGGAGGCCAAGTAAAATGTTGTTACGAAAGCAGCTGGTGAAATCAAGAAAACAATCCCTAGTGTCGATTCTTGAGACTGTTACTGCGCGATATGTAGCAAGTCTCGGGCTTTTTCTTTTCACGAGTTGGTAAGTAGGCACATTTACCGCATATTCATCAGGTTTACGAAAGCTGCTGTCATAAAGTTTCCACGGTCCCCATTTAGCCATTTAGCGGTATCTGGGGACCCAATTCACTGTAGAAGATGGTTATTTTATATGCGGACTTACATGCCATACGCCTGTGGACTCGTCATACCACCGTACTGCACATCACTTTTAAAGAAAAAGGCTAGATTTGCAGTTAGATCCTTGGCGATGCCGAGAGAGTTTTGTGGATGATGCATTAGGAGTCCCGGAATCCCAGTTGGGGGCAAGCATCGTCACGGTCTGACCACAAGATAAAAGTGCCATGTATTAGTGTGTTCAGTGTATCACAAATGTATTTTATTATACTGTATGTATACCTAGTATTCTATTCTGACATCCGCTCCACGTTTTTGAAATTCAATTTCATCAGTGAACCAAAGACAATCCCAAGAAGATCAACGTTCCACTTCCCACGTCCCCTATTTTTCTCCTTTTTTTTCTTCTGGTTCGCGGTTACATAACTACCTAAGTACAACGGTACAGCAGGCACTTACCCATACAAGTCGTGCTTTCCTTGGCTCCCGCTACTCAGCCGTCATTGGAACTGGAACTGGCAACCCGAGTCAAAGCAAACTCGCGAGAGAAACGTCAACCACTGCACAACTCTTCCCTCCTCAACCTTTCCCCAACCTTTTTTTCTCTCTTACCTTTCCCAATTTTTCTTCTTTCTAATTACTGCTGAACCAGAATCTTTCACCTAACCATCCAGTCCTTCGTGAGTTGGCGTGTTTCACTAGATCGCTATCGGAACATCATATCACGCCAACTTCACCGTTCCCACGACCTACTGAACTTCATACGCACCTTGTTTGGGAAGATCACTCTTTTTTCCTCCCATCTAATAATAATCTCGAAGACCCCTTTTATTCGTTCGCTCACTCGATAATACGTCCTGAATCCTCTTTTCCTTACTCAATCTATTACCTGTCGCCGCCAAGGCCTGATATCTCGTAATATCAGGGATCTGCAGCCAGCTGTCTTCTCAACTTCAGCCTGGTGTTTGATATACCTGTTGTCGAACAAGCTAGAAGGGCATTGGTGGCCTGTGGCGCTAACAAGTAGCTGAATTAACAACCTCAGAAGAGGGATAACCAATCCCCTTTCAATTAATGCGCTAAGTTGGAAGAGTATCATTTTCGATGCTGAGCATTGATCACTGAGATTCCTGGTTCTCGCAACCTCCATACGGATTATGGACCGGATATCAACTTACGTATCAAGAAAGTCTGGTTCATTTCCTAGCTTTATGGCTCGAAAAAGTGAGATCTATTTACCGGTCTCGACCAAGCCGCAACCCAAGTTCAGGGTGAAGGCACTACTAGGTCACTGCCTCTACCGGAGAGTGGTGATATGGACTGTAGTGATAATTATCTTATTATCTTTCACTCTCTTCAATCCGAGGATTACTGCACGATCACGAGATGTATTCGATCTGGTACACGGAAGCAAGGGAGAGACGAAGACAACACCTCAGATCTCTGAGAACATAGGTCTTCAGAAGCAAGATGGTCAAGAAGACCGAATACCGGAATTAGTCGGAGAGAAGCCAGAAGACGAGGTGAAGGAGCAAGAGGAAGAGGAAAAGGAGAAAGAGAAAGAGAAGCAGAAAGAGGAGGACAACTCCAAAGGCCCGCACTGGCTGAGATACAAACAGTAAGAGACGCAAACCCAATGGGAGATTATAATAAATTACTAACATTCAATACGTAGCCTTGATGGATACTATAACGGCCTAAGGGCGCTTGTACCATTTTCAGCATACAAGCCCGAATATCCTAAGCCATCGCCTACAGGACAGGATGCAGAGCCTTCACCTATTACTCTTCATTCCAAGCCTCCAAAGCCTAGTGTGTACCGACCGCATCCAGACTATGATTCCGAGGAGTATCAGCAGGCATACGTTCCGGTAAAACGATGTTACATTGACGAGGACAACCAAATCCCCGCTCCAGATCTGTATGCGTACAACGGTGTCCCTCAAGGCCAACCAAAAGCGGCCCTCGGGTCCTATGAAGCGTTGGGCTTGCGAGAGGACGTCTGCTTTGATCGTTTTGGTCGTTACGGCCCATACGGCCTTGGATATGACTTAGAAGCTGGCGGGACAGGTGAAGCCCTTGATACTGAACACGAAGGTAGTGAGACCGTCTGGGAGAAGACTGGCAAAATCAATTACGACGGTGTTGACTGGGCTGCCGCGCAAGAACGATGCTACAAGGCCAACGAGGATCGATTCTTCACCGGTAACGAAACACGAGATTTCGAGCTGGCCCAAGCTGGACGTCAAAGGTTGGACCGAATTGCTATCGTGATACGAATCTACGTCGGTTTTCAGTGGACGAGCCATGCCCTTCTCAACTTCCGCGCCATGATTAATGAGCTCAGCTTAAGATCAGGCGGCGAGTACGACGTTCATTTTCTCCTACACGTTCGTGATAACAACGCGCCTATCTGGGCCGATCCATCGACAGTTCAGAGCATACTCGACGTCAACGTTCCCCCTGAGTTCCACGGGCTCTGCACTCTCTGGTCTGAGGCTCAAATGAAATTGTATTATCCAGGTAACTTCGGTGAAACATTCGAGAACCCGTCCAACGGTGACATTCACGGTGTTTACCGGTCCGCGCACATGCCGCTCCAGCACTTTGCAATGATGCATCCTGAATATGCACACTTCTGGAACTGGGAAATGGATATGCGCTGGACCGGGTCATACTACGAGTTGTTTGATAGACTTGGCAAATGGGGTGCGAAGCAGAGCCGCCAAGGCATGTGGGAAAGGTCAAGCAAATACTACATACCCGGCTTGCACGGAAGTTGGGAGAACTTCACAGAACTTGTCGAGCACGAAACTCGGTCATCGGGCAAGCGACCGATTTTAGGACCAGTGGTCTTTACTGGAAAAGCTGGTCTGGAGGATGGTGATGTTTTTCTGCCGTCGAGCTGCGCAACTGGCTCGGACATGACACAATGTGGTGTTGGCGAGGATGCGGACCTCATTACACTTAACCCGCTTTTTGATGCCGATGAGTCCGGCTGGGTATTTGCCGGTGATGTGACCGGTTACGATAAGCAGTACCAGAAGCCACCAAGAAGGTGTGCTATTGTGACTGCTTCGCGGTTGTCGCGCCGCCTGTTACGGGTAATGCATGAAGAGACGTGGCGACTGCATCACAGCATGTTCAGCGAGATGTTCCCGCCATCCATGGCATTACATCATGGCCTGAAGGCTGTGTACGCTCCTCATCCAGTATACCTGGACCGCGATTGGCCCCAGCAGGAGATCGAAAACGCTTTCAACGGCGGCCGAGACCACACTTCAGGCGGCCACGGCTCTCCATTCGATCTTACGAACGAGCATAATCATAAAGGGACAAGCTGGTACTATAACAGCGAATTCGCTGGTTTATTATGGCGTCGCTGGCTTGGTTATGCTCAGATGGATGGGAGGGGCAAGAATGGCGGTCGCGCCGGCGAAGGCACCAAGAGAGGCGGGCAGAAGGAGGAAGAGAACCCGAAGAACTCCGGACGGTTATGCCTACGCAGCATGCTAGTACACCCCATTAAGTGGGAGAATCCTGCCGAGCAGGACTAGAAGTAATAATAATATAGAGGAGGTCAATTTTCTTTTACGCAAAGTTTTAGAGCTCGTCGAAGCACGACCACGGCCAAAACCAGACGGACACATAGAATGGGACAACTGGAATTTATGGCATCACAGGAACAGAGTCCTATGAGGAACCATTCATAATGCCCGGTACAGGGTACCACGAGGCAATGGCATTTTAGGGGCGTTCGCATATGAGGAGTCCGGTGCGGTAGTTTTACTCTGAAGGTCATTTCGACAGTGGCATCGCGCACGTTGAGCAGGTCGTTTGAGGAAGACCGGCTATATTCTTTTGGGTTCGACGTGTAGCCGTTTTTGTACATTCATATGATGCCGACACTGAACATGAACCATTTGCGCAAGCCTACTTCCGACGAGGCAGAGAGCCAGAGTCCGATGTGGCGCGGAGTTAGCTGCTTGACATAATGGAGGAGATGTGCAGTGTCAACTGTATGTATATAATGGAATATGGGAAAAAAGAGCTTTTGCTACATGCCTAGACGGCTTTTCCCGTGAGCTTTCTGTGAATGCGCGCCCATTGCTAAATAGTGTACTTAATCGTAATCAATAATCGATCATAGGAATTCAAGAGACCCTACGACACCCTCCAAGCTGAGAAGCCCACGCCTCCTCAGGATCTTGATGTCACGTGAAGTTTCTAGGTAAGAAAGCACGTGACCTAGAAAGTTACCGAACCCCACATCCATGACCTTATCCCCGTCAATTCTACAACTTAGTGCCGAATGAAGGTACCTTTTTCCTTTTCCTTTTATTCTTGAGCCCAACAGGGAAGCGTTTTATAATTCACGGAGATTGTAAGAACATTTTGCACGTACTAGTCGGAAGATTAGCCAAAATCGATGCAGAAAACGGTAGGGTCCGACGGTATTAGGGGAGGCTGTTCTGAATTGGAAATCTCCTGTAATAAAATCAGTACTCGACGAGGGCGCCAGGGCGCCGAGGTCATGGACGGACAGTAGCTATTCGATGTTCATTGCCGTTACCTGTTCTGGACCTACGTAGTGAAATATTAAATTTCTGAATACCTACTCATCGAATTTCCGAAACTTCTCATGAAAAGATCTTGATCGAAAATAAAGGCGTACTTTGCCTAGGTAGCCAAGAGCAATACACATCGACTTGCCATCTAATACATTAACGGTCTTCAGCCCCTTTAAGGGATATAATGCTCTTTCATTATCTTCGGGTTCTCGAAACATACTTCCGTGGCTCTATTTCTTTCATTAGAAGCCTTTACTACAAGGAATATTTCTCACAAACCTAGCAGGCTCTTTCAAAGACTCAGACAACGTCCTCTACCCAATCACACTCTTACAACCTCCTAAAAGCAAAAGGAACCTTCACAATGGCGTTGTTGCTCACAGCTCGGACAATGCCTTTATCAAATAGCTACCAACAGTGAGCTGCTTCGACCAAGAATCGGGTATATATATCAGAGCTATTCTCGCCATATCCTCAATCATTCAATCCACATCACCAACACAATTCCAACAGCCCTTACTTAATTCTCTAAGACCAAAACCTCTATTATATAACCAACTCACTAAACCTAAACATAACTCTCTCAGAAGCTTACCTACTTAACCATCATCAATATGAGCAACATGTCCCAACAATCCAACCTCGCGACCCTTCCCCGCTTCGGCGAGCTCGACCTGCCCCAGTTCATCAGCACGGCGCCCATGGGATGGACCTGCTGCCAGGACGCGCAGAAGAACGCCAGGACCGACACCAACTGCCGCCGCTGCGACCACAGGATGTGCTGCGACTGCGTCGTCGACTCGGTCGAGGCCGAGGCCGCGCCTGCGGACTCCGACTCTGAGTCGGACTTTGAGTAAGTATTGTCTTCCTTAAATCGTGCGCAAGCATGGTAGATAAGGTGTTGAGGTATCTCCCTACTTGAGGTGAGTCCGTATTCGTCTGCCTGTTGAGTACTGAGGTAAGATACGTAAACTGCTTATCCAACAACGAATGAAAATACTCGTTCGAAATATCCGGACCGGTCTAGTTTTAGACTTGGCGATTCTGGTAGTATATTACTAGAAGTATTTGAGCCTTAGAAAATAGAAAATAATAACATCGAAATCTACCCCTGAACTTAGTACTTACCGTGTTTGATGTGTGAATGTGATTGTCTGAATTTTTAAGATTTGAAAGATTTAAAGACTAGTCCTTTGATATAACTGCCTCGTACTATAATCATAGTAGTACACCTTCGAGGCGTCGACGAACAAAGAACTAGGCCAAATAAGTGTACACCACGACAATATCCTTAGGGCAGCATGTTCAACAAGGAAGAATTGCAATATATTCCTATACCAATGTACCGAAGCACCTCCCACCTTTCATACCGGGATTTCATCCACTCGTAGACATTCGTCGTTAAACCTCAATACACCTCTCCAAGCTTCGATTCCTAACCTCGTAGCCAGAGGCGACAGATCCAGAATACGAGTAGAGAAAGAGAAAAGGCCCACCCGTCGGCCGATCCACGTACGAGAGAGAATATCGCCAATACCCGCTACCAACCACCTGACCCCTTTTCCCAGCTCGAAAAGACTAGATGTAGTATAGACAAGAACAAGGGCAACACCACTCACGGGAATCTCGCGAATTGAGGCCCATTATCGGAGAGGTGAAGGAAAAAGAGACCCGTTCATTTCCAAACGCGCCGTAGGAAAATGGAGTAATCAAACATCAGGTAACTTCATATAAACAAGCTCGTCATCACGCGTCTCAGAATAAAACATTCAAGAATTTTTACTTCGAATAAAAGGGGGTGCGCTCGAAGAAGGCTTCCCCAAATCCCGACGGGAGATCTTCGCGCCTTGGGTCGGAAGCCCACGGCCGTCGGGAATAACGAAAATCATCTTAAAAGGAGTAGTAATGACCGGGAATCGGCAGGTATCAAGAGGGCGAAAAAAGAGGAGCCGGACGCCACGAACGCCGCCAACGCCATCTCCAGGGATCCCGAACGATAAAAATAGCATGGCCTGGTCAGGGCGGCATTTTGACGGATAATATACGTATATGATTGTTTCAGGGGTGTAGAGATAAGAGTGAAGTTAAAGTTGAGATAACCCTATCACCATATCTGTTAACGGTTGATGTGGACGCTCTATTTCTTGAGCACCGCGTCGTAGATGCTCAGAATGCCAGTGATGGCGGTACCGGTCAAGATACCCTTATAGCCGCCGTATATGGCGGTGTTGATGCGCGCGATGGAGGTTTCGTCTATCCAGCCGCCAAAGGTGAGGCCTTGGTGGTAAACAACGTATGAGATCAAAGCCTTGGCAATGCTGAAGGATAACGGGTCGACGACAGGGTCATGCGCGTGAGAGCGACGACCAACGCGACCATGGTGGGAGCTGACAGACAGATTCACGAAATAGCCGGCGATGCTGGGCAGAATTGCACTTGTAAAGGTCCAGAGCAACGCAGGTGACCAGAACGAAGACGTCAACAACAAGAACATATCCGGGACGAAGACAGGGAAGTCTTTAGTTCCGAGGAAAGCCACGGCCGGGATGGTAAACGCGTAACGGTCCGCTAGGATCTCGGGGCGCAAGAAGTAGAGCTCAAAGGCAGAGATGGCGAAGAGCACCGAAGTTACGGTTGACAAACTGTCACGCGTCGCGTGGGTCGCTTCGGTGATGCCAGACTCCTTGTACAAGGCCGCGACGCGTGTCCTTACAGCGACCGTGGAGCGGTCAACAGCCTCTGCGACATCCGCAGGCGTAGCGGGGAGCGGAATGCGGCTTGCGAGAGAGAGCGCGCGACTAGGAGTGCGCGCAGGTGTACGCGCGACAGTGGTGTTGTTGGAAGGCTCATCATCAGAGCTGTTTAGTAGTGTTAGTAGAAGCGTCTGAGAGCTGTCACAAATCGCGACGTGACTTACTCGATGGGTGCGACAGGAGCGATTTCTTCCGGAGCCTTGGTCGCTCGTCGTCTTACGCTCTTGGGCCTCTCTGGTACGTCATCATTGACCGGAGAGTGGAGGATTCTCATGTTCTTTTGATAGCGAATCTGATAGTACGGGTGGAGCTGGGGATCGAGCGAAAATACTTGCTCATTCGCGCCCAGGTGATCGTCGAGGGCGTGCTCGAGCTCGGATTTTCTGAGACTTTCGAAACTATTTAAAGAAACAAAGTTATGTATTAGCCATGTGGTTCTTGTCTCGGAACGGAGCGCGAGACCAGCAATTGTCTGTCATTGCCGTCCCGGATTCCAGACGGAGCCGGAGACGGGGACGTTGATGTAATCGTTAATCTACACATGTTATGCTATGGCGATATGAATACATCACCCGGACACGGGCAATTTTGCGCAATAAGACAGACGACGGAACGGGATTGGGCATCAATAACAAATTAGAGATTGGGATTCTAGTAAAAGGAACATACTTCTTTAGACCATACTGTATAGCGAGCTCAACGAGGTCTGACTTTCGCTGCCTCTGCAGCCAAGTGTTCGCACCGGACATTTTTTAGGTCGCAAGGTCGCAAACGTGGGGAAGGGGGGAGAAATGGAATTGATGGAGTCGCGCAGAACAGGCGATCAAGATACGATGATTTTCAAGAGATTGTCAGTAAGTGGTCCGTGACGTTACTGGGGGTCCAGGTGTTGTGCGTCGCGGTATATCTGGATGGTTGATGATAATGATGGAATATTGATTTGCACCGTGTTGCGAGCGAGGGGCGGCGCGTGTAGTGCGGTATGGTGGTGCTGGTTGTGGTAATGGTGGGAGGGAAAAGAGGCTGGGAGGCTGGAAGCTGGCTTGTTTATGTTTTCTTATTTGGGGCTGTTGACGTGCAGGTGCTTAGATAGGTGCAGGTGCAGGGTCGAGCTGGTCGAGGACAGCACCAGTGGAGCTGCCACTTGCTGCTCGACGGTAGGTCGTGCTGGGGTTCGCTCTTACCCCGGGAGACCCCGGGAGTGACAAGTTTGCGAGTCTACAGCAGGTACATACAGAATACACCCAGTAAGTATCAAGTATCAAGTATCCATCCTTATTTAGAGTGGGAAAACAGGGGACTAGTCCACCGTGTTCGATGTTGTCAGCTCCAGCGCTTCCATTGTCAAGGTGTCATCGTCCCATTTAATTGTTGTGAGAGGTGGAGACGAGAAAAAAAAATCAAGTTCGATGTTTTCATCAATTCGTCAATTGACAATCAAAGTCCTACAACAGATTTGGGAGGTTGGTGAATTTAATTGTTTTTTATTGAGAGGTCTGGATGATGCCAATGAGAAGTGGCTGTTGACCTTAGAGGGCATTTGATCTTTAGGGGGACATATACCTATACTGATCTACGTAAGCTAAAGGGAAAGCAAACTTATCCAAATGGCATCGTATCTCTTTTTATTTATATGGCGTACTTTTATCTTAATTCATTCAATCCATGCTATACTTATGTGAAAGCCTCCTGATTTCCCTATTTGCGGCCTTTGATGTTTCCTAATGATTGACCCCTATACCGTGTAAGTTTACCATCCATAAGTTTACACGCTAAATCATGGACCCCTCCTCTTATAAGTCAACCCAATTCACAAATCTCTCGTCGCCTCTCCTTACTAGCCTAATTGGCACGTACTTGTTCTCGTGTAGCTTTAGCGTAATCATACTCGTCGCTAGTTTAACTGTTTCCCTCGACTTTTGCTGTGCTGTCTTATACAGTTTCGCCTTCTCGTCTTTGCTCATCTTGGATACTTTCTCATCACTCGCCCATTCATCTACCGCAAGTTCGATGCTGTATTTCTGAAAGATGACTGCCAACGCCGCTACTAACTCCACGATCGCTATGCGTCGACCCAAGCACGCTCTTGCGCCGTCTGAAAAGGGGATGAACGAACCCCGTGGAGGATGATACAATTGTGCGCTGGTATCGGATCCGGCGTAGCCGCCAAAGTCCTCCGTGTCCGCACCCTCAACAGTAGCACTGGAAACCTTTGCTGACTCCGTCTGGAACCACCGCTCAGGCACGAAATCGTCCAAATCGGTTTCGGAATCGCTTATCTTACTCTGTTTGGTCGGCCAGTACCTAGGACTGCGTTGCGAGGCTACGACTACTAGACCGATGGTCGTATTCTGAGGAAGTGGGTACTGTGTTCCGTTAATGGTGAGAGATTGACCCTGTGGTGATGTGATCTTCTTCGGTATGTCGACCACAGGAGGAACCAGCCGGAGAGTCTCATTGATAGCAGCGCCGACCATTGACCCGAGCAGAGGGTTCAGTTTCGCATCATAGTCCCAAGTTTTTGGATCCGCGTCGCCGAGGATGCTGTCTATATCCCGCTGCAGCCGTCTTTGCGAAGCCGGATTTGTGGCCAGCTCAATGATAGCGAAATGGATGATGTTGGCTGTGGTTTCATGGCCCGCCACAATGTTAATGAAAGCGTTACCAATGATTTCTGAATCGGACAGCCGCGCGATCTGGGATCCGTTCTTCGGGCTTTCCCCATAACTCGTACGGACCAACGCACCCATGATATCCAGACCCTGCTCCGTGCTGTCCCCATTCCTCACATCTTCGATCTTGTCTTGCAAGAATTCGTTTAGGTAACCTACAAAGTTGCTTTCTGCTTCCGCAGCAAGATTCGCGGTCTTGCTAGGAATGTTCCTAAGAATCCACTTTGGAGTGATGAGAAGCAGGATGAGATAATCTAGAGTATGTGCCAACGCCGTTACGAAAGTCATTGTATGCCCCTCGGGTGCCCCCTGAGTCGCGTACTTAGCCAATCTTGGATCAGCGTCCGGTGGGTATTCTTGGCCAGGCCACAGGATCTTGAGACCGAATCCGATGCTCGCGATAATGTTGAGTGTGAGCGATGCCGTATCCCGCTCCAATGTCTTAATTGTCTTGTTTCCTAGCCCGTCGGAGCCAAGCCACATATTCATCAGCCCTTCCGTCTGTCCGATGGATTCTTTAAATACTAGGGCAGCATTCTTCTCGTTGAAAGAAGCGGAAGTAATCTTGCGGTGCATGCGCCAAGCGGCGCCTTCCAACGTTAATACGTTCTGGCCATACTGTCCAAGGATTGCATAGGCCTCTGTCGGTTTAGGGAACGCCTCCCGCTTTGACGTAACCTGGTGAAGGACCTCTGCATTCTCAGAATAGCATATGATCATACCTGGCGAGACGATCAAGAAGGTGTCTCCCAATTTGGCAAACAATTTGTGATTCTCTTCATATTGCCAGTTCGTAGATAGGATACTAAGCCCAAAATTATTAAATCGCTTGTATCAATGGTGTCAATGATGGGGTCCTCACGGTTCAATGTCTTGCCACAATTTGCGCGGGAGTAGTTTGTACATAGGAACCCAGATCGAATTGAATATTTGTCCTATTCGATTCCATGGACTAATGGCTATACGAATATGTCAGTGTCTTCAATATATAGTTTATACTGAGAGATCTATAGAATTACTTACGGATGACATAATAAGGCAGACCGGATCGTTTTGCGGCGGTGATATTAGCCCTGAGTCCTGATATTATGTTGAATATACAATATGAAATAGCTGCACCTAGCAGCAAAAATATCGTGGAAACCATGATGGACGTCAGCACTAGAAACGTTATTCGGACGTGGCGTCCGAATTTGCGCAACTAACACAATGGCGGGGGGTTATTTCAAGCCTCTACCGACTCTAGCGTAGGCCTTAAGTTCATAGAGAACGTGAATTATTATGTATTAGTTATCCAGTGAACGAGACCGTATTCTCTTAATTCTACTGAGAGCTTGCAGGGTCAGCAACAGGGCTTCTAAGAATATTTTATTGCTTAGAGAAAATATGGTGTTGGTAAGATAATATTGTCCAAGTATAATGTTGGTAAGATATGGTGTTGTTAAGACGACAAAGGGATAATATCCATGTGTAATCGGTAAGAATATATTGGTTCAGGGGAGAAGTAGAGAGGTCATTGCTGCTGGACCTAACGTTTCGGGACCCTGACATTCCGTGCGCTATCAAGATGCTGCCTCCGCAAAAACCGTCTGATGTTGCCTCTTACATCTCTAGTTCTCCGCATATAGAAGGTTCGTAGGGAGTCATTCTCGGTACGTTTTTAATTGCTGCCACATCCTTTTCAATCCACCGTCCCCTTGTTTCAAGACTTACGTACCTATGTACCCATGCTTTGAGGATCGGATCCCATTACGCATTTACCCTTGATTGCGCTTATATGCCGGCCTATATTGAGGATTTACCAATATTTATGAATAGATATCATTCCTCATCATAAATTGGATCTGTCCGATCTAATGAAGATGGTTTATTTTAAGAAACCGTTTCGTAGTTAGATTCTTCTTACCCCTAAGACATTTAGTGACACAATAGCCGTTGTGGCGTCTACTACGTAGTACACAGTAGGTTTGATTAGCAAAACCTTATTTAACGGTTACTTGCCGAATTTAGAAACTCCATCCCTTATAGAACTGCGCTGTCGCTAATTTGCTCATTCAAACCGTTTCTAAGGAGTTGCAGCTGCGATATTCTTGCGTTCTGCACATAATAAGCTTAGCCTTGCAGTTACACCAGTGGCATTACCACTGCCGGCGTTGTGATCTGGTGTCTCGGGTAGTTCCGAGGAGTTGCTTCCCATGCAGAGCGGAGTTGCGGGCGAATTCCTAGCTGACGTAGTTGGAGCCGAAACATCTCCGATTGCTTATGTACTACCTACGCCCAGTGTACGCCGCGTCGATCCTCTAGTAGGCGTCTCGCATTTACCTATTGCAAGAACAACGACAGAAGGACCAAAATCAAGAAGAATAATGACTTGGCTTTCGAATGTTAAGCGATTACATCGCAATAATGTCTCGACTCTGCGCAGCTCCCCGCTCGCCGAGATATCAGGCGCACTTGGTGATTTAGGGACCCTCCTCCCGCTGATGATCACCCTCGCTGTCAACGGGTCAATCTCGCTTTCAACGACACTGGTATTTTCGGGGTTTTACAATCTCGCGACCGGTGTCGTATTTGGTATTCCCTTACCAGTACAGCCTATGAAGGCTATCGCGGCAGCCGCTATAGCCTCAAAGACCTCAGAACGCGAAACCGTAGCAGCAGGTAGTGTAGTGGCTATCATTGTGCTGCTGTTAAGCATCACAGGGCTACTGCGCTGGATCACACGCATAATCCCTATTCCGGTCGTGAAGGGCATTCAGTTCGGTGCCGGCCTCTCTCTAATTATCTCGGCGGGCAGCTCCCTGCTCCAACCTTTTACCCATCATTGGACACTTGCCCTCGATAATCTTGTTTGGGCCTTTGCCGCCTTTTTGCTACTGATTCTAACCCAGAGGGCGTCCCGATTCCCGTATGCGCTAATCATCTTCCTCGTCGGCTTGATCCTTGCTATCATCTCCGTTGCCGTTAGCCACCACCACCACTTACCGCATTTCCGTGTCTGGCATCCATATGTCGAAATTCCGAAGTGGAGTGCGGATGCTGTAGGGATGGGTATCGCACAGTTGCCGCTCACAACACTGAATTCGATCATTGCCGCAAGCGCCCTCGCTGCGGACCTCTTACCTGACTTGCCGGCACCTAGCGTCACAGAACTTGGCATTAGCGTCGCTGCCATGAACCTCTTGGGATGCTGGTTTGGTGCTATGCCTGTATGTCACGGAGCTGGAGGGCTCGCAGCGCAGTACCGGTTTGGCGCACGGAGTGGTGCCAGCATTATTTTGTTAGGCTTATTCAAAATGCTCCTAGGAATTTTATTCGGCGAGTCGCTATTAGACTTGCTGAAGGCGTTCCCGAAGACCTTGCTGGGTATTATGGTCATCGCGGCCGGCTTAGAGTTGGCTAAGGTGGGCCAGAGTCTCAACTATGGTGCACCGGACTTGTGGGAAGAGTCGGTTGACCAACCTCAACGTCTGCATAGAAAACATCGAGACATTTCGGATCAGGAAAGGTTGGAGAGATGGACTGTTATGCTCATGACTACGGCTGGTATCTTAGCTTTTAAGAATGACGCTGTTGGGTTTGTGGCTGGATTGCTCTGCTATTGGGCGTACAAGTTTGCGGATTGGGTAGAGAAGAAACGAAGTCACAGGTCGAGTGAGAGGACACCCTTGCTACACACTTGAGTATTGTGTATATCGAGATTACACGTGTGTTCATTTGGCTTCATTTAGTGAGGTCACGGATTATGATAGTATATGATAATATATCTGATATGGGAACTCTTTATTGAGGTATAATTATTCCAAAATACTCCCGCTTCAGTTACCACAAACAAACATGCTTGTAATCCTAAGACATCGTCACTCATCCTTAAGGCATGTCTGCTGCCCAATACACTCAGATGTTTTCGTTCCTTTATATTTTCTTTGAAAGATTTTGATTGGCTTAACACAGTAAGGATACGCTCAAAAAGTAACACTTGCACAGTGCCTCCTATACGTCACACATGTCGTGAGAACATTCAATAATCAAATCTTGTTGCTAGATATACATTCAGATTGCCTGACTTATTACATATTACTTACATACTACTAGGTATGCATAGTAACAGCAGATATAGCTACCAAGAGCTTAATGAAATGAAACTGGGTATAACCTCTATATGGAAGAATATGATTCCGACTCCGATACGCCTAATGACCTAGTTACTTCCCGAGTTCAATGCAGATGATCTTTGCGTCAAGCTTTATTCAAGCAGGGAGCTACCAACCTAAAAGCGTTGATTAGCTTGGCTTAGTCAACCAATCATAGGCGGCCAACAAGCCCTACCCAAACTTGAAGAAGGTACAGAACCATTACCATTACAGATTAGTGGCTTGCAGGGGCCTTGGCGGGGAATCAATTTGCAAGGAAGTTTCCTCAGTTTGGCAGGCCTGGGTCGCTCTGGCACTGTCAGGCCACTGGCATTTGCTGTATTTTTTTTACGCTGCGGGAAGGCGGTCACCCATCCTAATCCCTCCCGACTGGGCAGTACCTTACTCCGTCTTCAGCCTTCACGCTTTTCAAAGCTTCGAACTCCACATACCGGCGAGTCATAGACGAAGGAGCTGTCGTCAATTCAACAGCGATGACTTCGTCCAACCTTGCCGCGGCCCATTCCGGTCGCCAACCACCATATGGCTCTCCGCAGCCAACTATGCCGCCCGCAGCCGACCGAGATCCAACGCCTGCTGCTACGAATACCGATGCGAATGCGCCGATGCAGATTTTGGGTCACCGAGACATCTATCGCGACGACCCTCACGCTCACGATGTTCACTCCATGCCTTCGCCCCCTACTGTTTCCCCCCTATCAACCCCGGCAGCAACCCAAATGAACGTCGGTGATAATGACGATGTTCCGGATCTTCCAACCGGAGCTCTACCACCTACTAATGGTGCTAGTGATCTTCCTTCGGCCGTCCAGATAACTTCTGTTAATCTTGGACTAGCTACTGACAGCTTTCCCATGAAGCATGATCAATCTCAATTACAAGACCAAACGCTCCGGCCGCGCAATCAAGTCCAAGCTGTCGCGACCACCGACCCCGAGCCTACGAATATGGACTATTCATCACGGACTATAAATTCTAGCCTGCGGCATAGTCAAGGTACTATCGATCCAAATGCCTACATGATGAATATCTCCCAGGCCCCCACGCCTGTCTTCCAGAATCCAGGTCCTTCGATTGTGGCTCCTTCTGAAGTCTCGCTACAGGCTTCATACACCCAGGAAAGCGATGTTGTGACCACAAGCGGTGACCACACATCAACTAGTGCTAGTCAAAAATTAGAGTCCTTTGCCAGAATAGAATTCGCCGACAGTGTGTTTCAGATGACTACCTACGCCGTTATTATTGGTCGCGACCAAAGGGCCATGGACCAAGCGAGGAGGGATGCAAAAAAGGAGCTGAGCTACAAACGGAAAGTAGAGGAGAATGCAAGGAACGGGTTACCGCCCCCTACGCCTCTCAACTTTGATCGAGGTAAATTTAGTAAATCCTACGTCAGTGAGGAAGGCGGTATGTTAGGACCTGAGTCTGATGGGGAGGATAACGAACAACCCACCAAGAAGCGCCGGCCGAGCTCCGCACATAGATCTCAAAACGGTGACGATGATGCGCAAAGCGACCATGTTAAATCGAATAGGCAATATGTTTCACATACCCCTGGAGCCGCTGCGGTCGATTTAGGTACCTTACAGCCATCGCCATCTCACATCCCCTTTGTCGGCATCCACTCGCCCGGACCAGACATTGCAAGTAAAACACGTGGTATATCAAGGCAACATCTCAAAGTCGAATTTAATGAGAAGAGAGGCGTCTTTGAAGCCGTGGCCCTCCACAAGAATGGGTTCTTTTGTGACGATACTCATTACGGTCTCGATGATCCAGTCACTCTTAGGAGTGGGGATAGACTTCAAATAAAAGACGTCGAATTCAGATTTGTCATCAATGGCGTTCAACTAGGCAAAACTGGTGGCGAAGAGTATCACGAGGAAGAGACATCGAGCAAACGTATGTCTATCGGAGGCAAGGAGATGAGTTTTGATTTTGAACACTCCGATCATGAGAACTTCCAAGATACGAGCGAGGAACTGTCAGATATTGAAAATGTACCGACCCCTCCCGCCGGGTCTGATGAGGGCGAGGGAGACCAAGAAGAAGACCAAGAAGCGGCCGAACCGCAATCTGACGAGGCAGACGAGCCGATGGTTGGCGTGGTCGAATCAGCTGAGATCCAGGACATGGGTCACCCCCAATTCATGACTCCTGAAATTCCTAAGCGTCGGGGCCCAGGGAGACCTCCAAAGGATGGAATCATGTCTAAGCGAGAGCGACGGCTACTGAAGAAACAGATGCAGGAGACCTCCAAGAAGACCCTCCCTCCCCAGACCCCTCTGGAAGCACAAAATGAGAAAATCAAACGGCCAGTCGGTCGTCCTAGGAAGAATCCCATGCCAGAGGAAGGGGAGAAGCCGGAGAAGAGGAAGTATAACAAGCGGAAATTGAAAGAGGAAGGCGAAGAGGGTTCCGATGCCGAGAGACGAGCGAGAGAGAAGAAAGAGAAGAAAGTTCGGCCAAAATCTCCGCCGTTGGAACTCCGGAAGGAAGATTTCACCGAGGAACAACTACAGAAGCCGACCAAGAATTACGGTGTTTTGATTGATGAGGCGTTAACAAACGGGCCTCCAGATGGACTAACCCTCAAGCAGATCTATAAACGGATAATGTCCAAATATCCCTGGTTCTACTTTTCCGCTGAGACAAAAGGTTGGGAGAGCAGTGTTCGCCACAATTTAATTGGGAACGAAGCCTTCAAGAAAGCCGAAGGTACCGGATTGTGGTCTCGCGTTCCTGGAGTGGAGCTCGACGCTGGAAAGAAGCGCAAGCCGACTTCTCCTGATCGACAACTTGGATCGGCACATCTTCACTCGCAAATACCGGCGCATCAGCAATACTACCAGAATGGTTCATATATACCAGCAAACAACCACGGCTACGCTCATAACTTACCCAACTATACATCCGACAATAAACATCCACAGACAGGGTACCAACCTCATGGCCAGTCTAATCAATCCCTTTCCACGCCAACCTCGCAACCCCTTGCTCAGCAAGTGTACCCAGCGCAGGCTCCAGCACCTGCACAACTGCCTGCCGGATACCTCTCTAGACAAAATAACAATGCTCAACAGAGCACCTATAGTTCGCCTTACGCGAAACCGCCTCCTCAAGTTACCCCTCCCATCAAATCAGAGGTTGCCACTACCCCAAATCCGCAGACATTACCTACAATGCCAGTGCAACAGCCTACAGCGCAGCCTTCACCTCAATACCAGCAGCAAGCGGCATCAAATGTTCCTGAAAGTACGACACGGCCGCCGCTATCACCGGAAATCGAGAAAGCTATCGCCCAGTTTAGAGCAAACATGCTAGGCGTCATTTCGAAGCAAACCCACCATGCTGCACAGATCATTGATTCGGCTATAAGTCGCGCACGAGGCTTGCCCGTTCATACTAATGTACCTCCCGCCTTCGAGTCGGTTGAAAAGACTTTGATAGGTGCAGTGTCGAACATGATTAGCGAGATGCAAGCCAAACAACAGCGGCAAGCGACGTCTGCTTCTCCCGCACCGGTTGCGCCTCCTGTTGCAAAGTCAACCCCGGCTCCAAGTGCACCAACTCCAAGTCCGGCGCCAGCAGCTAGTTTGGATGCCGAAATACAACGGAGAGTCAGGAATTTCCGGGATACTATGGTTGTTGCTCTTAAGAAGAAGACAGACCAAGCAGAGGCTATTGTGGATTTGGCGATAAACCGGGCACAAGGCTTGCCGAATGCTGGTCCCATTCAGGGATGGGAAGAAGCAGACAGGTTAATGGTTAAATCTGTTACACAGATAATTGCCGACGCGCGTAGGGCGCATAGTCTCCAATCGCAACCTACGCCAGCAGCACTTCCTCAATCCAACCCTCAGGCCCAGTCTTCGCAACAAGCTTCGCGGCAAGGACCATCTGCCTCACCGGCTCCATCGCAGCCATTTACGCCTACAACAAGCGCTCAAGCTAGCCACGGCGCAGCCTTCAATGTCCCTAGTACCCAGTCCTCCCAGATGACATCAAAGCCAACACCACCATCAATATCTCGCCCTGGTGTCACAATTCAGCGCCCAACCGCGATAGGTATTACACGCCCCGGGGTGAGTCCAATATCTCGGCCCCATATCGCCCGCAGGGATTCGGCTGTCACTTCCCCATCTATGCCCGGTCCGACCGTAGTACCGCCAACGCACAACGTTTCTAGCCCGGCTCCGCCAAGTGCAGGTGTTGTTGACCAAATTACGGGACAGAAGCGATCACATGATGACGCGTTTAGTAATAATACCGGAGCTACTGAGAGATCCGAACCGGTCAAAGCTCACACTCCAGTGGCGGCTCCTAATTTGTCAACCCCAGCACCCCCTAGCGCTGGTGTCGTCGATCAGATTGGACAAAAGAGACTACACGATGACGGGATTAGCAACAATAATGGAGGTATAGAGTATCCCAAGACCGTCGCACCGGCACCTCCACACAACGTGTACAGTCCAGCGCCCCCGAGCGCGGGCGTTGTCGACCAGATTGCCGGCCAAAAGAGACATCTGGACGAAGGCCCCGGAAGCGCAAACTCGGAACAGCCTGAAGCTAAAAAACCGGCTCTTTCTCCGGTCTAGACGTGGACAAACAGAACGCACGTGTTTTTACCATGTGGCCTCATACGGGTACCAGGGGTGATTATTGTGCACTTACATGATGGATATTAGTCAACGAATTGGGCTTCTTACTTTTTTACCTCCGCTATATCCCTGCCTCGGGATGTTATTCTGCATCGAATTTTTGCTCCATTACAGCCGAACCTATACCCCAAGGGGGAAAAAACGATAACCCAGGTGGACGAGTTTCACGAGACACGAACTTCTCTTCTTTCCCCTTCTTCTAGGAAGTTCCGCGGCATGGAATATATTTTCACGGAAAGAATATAGCATTTGTAATAACTGGCGTATCTTTTCTCGACAAGATTTTTTCTCTTCTTTCTAAAACTTGGCCGCCGGCGCAAACGGGGGGCAGGCCATGAGGGCGGCTTTTATTATTATCCTGTTTATCGCTTGTTTAGTCTTTTTTTTTTTTTTGGCATGGGGTATATCCACAAGTGCGTGAAGCGAGAAGAGGCCGATTTTTCGAAGTCATCGAGGTATTGACGTATTGGAATCAGAGGGAGGGGCTGGAGCAAGATTAAGAGTATCTAGTTACGGCAATTAACCGTATGTCTTTATCTATAGTCCGCGGAGAGCACCGCGTGAAATTCGGGTGCGTGGGGGCGGATGGCGATTTCGACGGAGACTGAGTTAGTAGTTTTAACGTAATGCGAAGAAATACAGCGCGTGCTTTCGTGCGCTTAAGCTAATGTGTGTCTGGGAGTGTCTCTGATGTATGATTATGGTGTGGATGATTCCGTTGTGCTCGGGGCTGGATGGAGCATGGCTTTTGCGGTGTAGCATTTTATTTCTAGATGAGTGTTGAAATTAGAAGTCTTGACATTTCCCCAACCCTGTATCTCAGTACTTTGTAATATTTATCGCTAGCAATGAATAACTTCGTGAAGCTATACACGTATACTTATATATGCTGCCGTCGTCAGGGGGTACGTGATGACGGGCACGAAGTGGACGCGGAAATGAGGGATGTACCCTTCCGTATATACGTTATTAGACATCACCGCTGTACTTAGGTAGCTAATTACTTGTCTCAAAGTGTTAGATCAACCATGATCACCGCTGAATCGCTCAGTTGGAAGGAAAAAGAGATTCGTAGAATTGTTAAATAATAATTTCAAATCAAAAATTTATCAGAGCATGTGTCCTAGCTCCTATAATCTTATGGTATACATTGCTGTTGAAGATATTATGTATATAATAAACACCGATGTGCTGACCTACTGCCAGGTTCATCGTTATCCCGTGTACTCCCCATGACCGAAAATGCTCCAACCTGGTTGAATCCGTTGAAGGCAATGCATGAACTCATCCTATCCGACTATTTTAGATTCCATACGTCTAACAGATCTAGACGTATCTATATCCATCTAATATACGACTATACAATATCCGCAGATGCTGTTAATCTAGAAGAGACCGTCAATTTCGCCCGTCTCGGTATCGACGTCAACATTCAAGTATCCCGGAGCGGTAGGCAATCCTGGGATTGTCTGTATATCTGCAGCAAGAGCATACCTAGTAAAAGTCAGCTTATTTCCCAAGGGATTTGTGATAATATCAATGTACTTACAGATAACCTGCACCTGCGGCCATCCGCACGTCCCTAATCGGGACTGTGAAGCCGGTCGGCGCGCCCTTAAGATCCGGGTCATGAGAAAGCGAATATTGCGTCTTAGCAATGCAGATAGGGAGGTTTCCGAAGCCCTGTTTCGTGTATGTGTCTACCTTCTTTTGTGCAAGTTCGCTGAACTCGACAGCTGCGGCGCCATACATTTTCTGGCAGATAGCTTCCATGCGCTGTTGGATGGTACCTTCGCTTACATCATACAGTAGCTTGAAATCCTTTGGCTTTTCAGAAGCGGCGATTACTCCCTTGGCAAGGTCTATAGCACCCTTTCCACCTTCGGCCCAGTGATTCGCCAAGATGGCGTCCTCAGCACCGGCGGCGATAGCTTCCTCCCGCACGACGGCAATCTCAGCATCGGTATCAGTGGAAAACTTATTAATAGCCACGACAACCGGGCAGCCGTATGACTTTGCGTTTTCGATGTGTTTCTTGAGGTTCACACAACCGTTTCGTAGGATCTCGACGTTCTCTTCCTTGTATACAGGGCTTAGAGGTGCACCAGGAGCGATTGGTGGACCACCGCCGTGGACCTTCAAAGCACGGACTGTGGCGACAATAACAACGACATCTGGGACCAGACCCGAGGCACGGCATTTGATGTTGAAGAAACGCTCACCTCCCATAGTAAAGTCAAAGCCAGCTTCAGTTACGGCAAAGCCGGCCTTGGCGTTGTGGTCCTCGTCAGGCTCGGTACCTGCCAACTTGAGTGCCATTTTGTCGGCAAGAATGGAGCTGTTTCCAATGCTAATGTTGGCGAAGGGACCAGCATGAACGAAGACAGGTGTACCCTCCAATGTCTGCATCAAGTTAGGCTTGATAGCATCCTTCATGAGAGCTGTCAATGCACCTCCAGCCCCGATGTCATCGCAGGTGACTGGATCTCCTGACCTTGACGTGGCAACGACCATTCTGCCTAGTCTTTCTCGCATATCCGCAAGGCTTGTGCTCATGGCTAGAATAGCCATACACTCACTAGCCACGGAGATATCAAATCCGGTTTCTCGGCTCTGCCCCTTTTCAGTCGGCGCCACGCCGACAGTGACGCCACGTAAATGACGATCGTTAACATCGAGCACACGGCGCCAGGTGATGGTTTCTGGGTCGATATCTAATCTAGCGAATCGATGAATCTCGTCCTCAGTAAGTTCATTAGGATCAGTCTTATCAATTCCTAGCTTCTTTAGTCGCCGGAACATGACGGGTGCAAAGGCCCTCTTTCCATTCTTTGCAGGTACCAGTCTTCGGTAAAGAGGCCCATCTTTCTGCGTATTCTCGTGGAACATACGGGTCTCAATAGCAGCAGCGAGAAGATTGTTAGCTGCTGAAATAGCATGTATATCTCCAGTCAAGTGAAGATTGAACTCGTCCATGGGTATAACCTGACTGTATCCACCGCCAGCCGCACCCCCCTTAATGCCGAACGTAGGACCTTGACTGGGCTGTCGAACGTTTGCGAATGTTATCCGACCTAAGTGTGCTCCCAGAGCCTGTGCTAGACCCATCGTTGTGGTAGACTTTCCTTCGCCCAGCGGGGTAGGAGTAATACCAGTAACGACTACATAACGGCCATCCCGACGGTGCTCTAATCGCTTCAACAAGCTAAGATCGACTTTGGCTTTAAATGCGCCGTACGGCTCTAACTCGTGATGCGCAATGCCGACCTCTTCCGCCACTCGAGCAACTGGTTTCGGTGGCTGTGATCTCGAAACCTCAATATCTGAGGGGACAGGAGTTCGCAGGTTAAGAGGAAGAGGGACTATACGCCTCTTCTTTTGTCGGTCGAAGTACATCGAAGTAGCATCGATGACATTTTGCAGCAACATAGCAACAGTCATGGGACCAACACCGCCAGGAACTGGCGTGATGTACGAAGCCACTTGAGAGGCCGACTCAAATTCTACGTCGCCAACAAGTCGTTGGCCGGACTTCTTAGATGCATCAGGGATGTAGTTTGTACCGACGTCGATAACGACGGCACCCGGTTTGAGCCATTCTCCTTTTACGAAGGCAGGCTGGCCAATGGCAGCAACAATAATATCTGCCTTCTTCAGTTTCTCCTCGACGCCTTGGGTCTTTGAATGGCAGACAGTGACAGTTGCGTCGGCGTTTTTCAGAAGGTAGCTCACCGGACTTCCAACGATGTCGCTTCGGCCTAGCACTACAGCATCCTTGCCTTTAAGATCGACACCCGCCTCCTCCAAGAGGACCATGACTCCCTTGGGAGTACAGGGGACGAAGAATGGATGACCACCCTTCTTGGCAAGCTCGCCTATATTGGTAGTACCGAAACCATCGACATCCTTCTCATCCGCAACGGCAGAAGTGATGATATACTCGTCGATCTGTTTGGGAAGCGGCAATTGGACCAGAATGCCGTGTACCACAGCGTCATTGTTCAGGACGTGCAACTGCGCCAAGAGCTCTGATTCGGTGATATCCTCAGGAAAATGAAGAAGTTCACATGTAATATTGGCCTTTTATGAGTCACAAGTGTTAGATCATAGGATATTATGTGGGATATAATATTAAATTGTGAAATCCTACCTCCTGAGCGGCCTTGAGCTTCATTCGGACATAGGTCGCTATGAGACAATTAGTTACGGCGCAGCTTACGGGGGTTTGAGTCACGGCTCACATGAATCAGATCGGTCACCAACTAAGAATCAAATGCGTTAGTGTCTGACGAGATTTAAGAGTAAATAATGACTTCAGCAGTTGAAGTACCGACCTTGGATGATCTTAAGGCATGGCTGGTACTTCGGATTGGACTTCTGCCTCTCAACTACCTCGGCGGCGAGCCTCTCACGGATCTTCTTCGCGATGGCTGTACCGTCCAACCTGGTAGCGGTCATGGTGGGGTAACTAGTTAAACTAGAAAAAGGTCTGCAAGAGGCACGCGACAGTGAGGTAAATGACCAATGCTGTTGCACGATTCCTGGTGAGACACGACTGAATAAGCCTGTACAACCTAGAGAGAGAGCGGATTGTCTAGGTTGTCTAAGTTGTCGTGAGTAAGCTGGAAGCCGGGCGGTGAAAGATAACGGAATTGAGATTGGAAGATCGCAGCTAACATTAAACAATTCGCAGCTTTTTCGGGATCCGCAAAGCGGAGTTTTCATCGGCCGAGTTATACCTGTGACTGGCCGAAGCTGTGGAAACACGAGCTTCCTCCTTCCTCGCAACGCTGCTTTTGGAGTTGCAGGAGGATGAAAGCTTCCAATTAATCCAGCCATACTTTCCAAGATTTCTCTTAGCCTCTTTGATCCGAAGCTGTGCCGTCTCTTTCCGTCTTTCTCAATGCAGTGGCCACCGACTCAACCAAATCTAGTGCTGCTAGCGGCGTAACACACTATGGGTAGAGTTTGCTTTAGGGCACAGGTACTTACTAGACAAGACTGAAGGTACCTGGGAGAGAATGGGCTGGTGTATTAGTCAACATGGAGCATGATAACTTCATCTGAAGACATGAAAATGAGAAGGCATAATGTGCGTAACACTAGATGAATAGGAAACAACTAGATGATTTATACTCGAAGTCAAATAGAGTTGAAGGTTGTCGCGGAGAGTTGCCAACTTCTATCGGCTGAGTAGAGGTATAGACTTCATCTTTCTCACTTCTCCACTCGTCATCAAGATAAGTTGCATTCTTGTTCTTTTTTTCCAGTGACACGCACTGAAATAGAAAATATTCTCTTGAGAAGGTATGACTCAAAGACTATCCCCGATCGCAGAGTCTAGCCGCTTAAACGAAGGCAATAGCCCAAAATTCTATTATCTAATCCATCCGTCGTGACATCCATGATCTGTGGATACAGAAGTGTATTTTTACCTTTACAAGGATAAAGTACAGTACCTGGCGGGTTTTAGAGACTAAATATTTTTAAGGCGCTGTGATTGGTTGTCGCAAACCTTTTATCTGCCTTGTATAGCGAGTCACGTGGCTGTGAGTAACGTAGGTGGGGTCGGAGGCGCTGATAGGTTATCGAAAATCTGCGAAATCTCGCCCCACGCACAAATCATTCAAAAACTCCATACAAACCACCTCTCCATCTTTAGGTGACGAGATACCGAACGAGACACCGCAAAGATGAGACCTATTCTTCTGTCAGGCCACGTAAGATAACTCCTACTTATCCAGCTTCTGAAGATCACATACTTACAAGTACCGCTAGGAACGTGCCTTGACTCAGATTAAGTATGTCTTTCCCCGCGATACAGATGGGAATAATGTCCCGCGACGAGATCGTCAAGCTAATCATCCTGCCTCCCTCAGATACAACCCCGACGGCGACCTTCTCTTCTCAGTAGCCAAGGACCAGCAGATCTGTGTGTGGTTCTCGCACAATGGCGAACGACTTGGAACGTACAAGGGCCACCAGGGAGCCATCTGGACCGTAGATGTGGACCCGACGTCGACTTTCATAGCTAGCGGTAGCGCCGACAACACTATCCGTTTGTGGGAGATCAAGACCGGCCGTTGCCTCAAGACCTGGGATTTTCCTACTGCCGTAAAGCGCGTTGAGTTCAGCGATGATGGCCGACAGCTGCTAGGTGTTACGGAGAAGCGCATGGGTCATCTTGGTACTATTGTTGTTCTAGACATCATACCCGAAGTCGACGCGGAACAGAGCGACGAGCGCGCCTTAACCATCGTTTGCGACGAGAGCAAAGCCACCGTTGCCGGTTGGAGTTACTTGAACAAGTACATTATCGCAGGACACGAGGATGGCTCCGTTTCACAGTACGATGCTAAGGTAAGCCGAGAACATATATACCTTGTGGGCAAGAAAATGAGAAGTTCTGACGGATGATGCTGCTATAGACCGGAGATCAGCTCGACAACGTTCCTGTCCACGAACTTAACATGCAAGTGACGGATATACAGTGGTCGCAAGATCGCACCTACTTTATTACAGCTTCTAAAGACAAGACCGCCCGACTGATGGCCGCGCGCGATCTCGAGCCCCTAAAGACCTACCCTTCCGACACGCCGCTCAACAGCGCATGCATTACTCCGAAGAAGGACTACGTCATCCTGGGTGGTGGCCAGGCAGCCATGGATGTCACAACAACCGCGGCTCGCCAAGGAAAATTCGAGGCGCGTTTCTACCACAAGATATTCGAGGACGAGATCGGCCGTGTGAGAGGTCACTTCGGTCCTTTGGTACGATTACCCTTCTTTATTCCCAATACCTCTACATTACCTATACTAATAATTCCGATAGAACACAGTAGCAGCGGATCCCACGGGCAAGGGCTACGCGAGCGGCGGAGAAGACGGTTACGTACGAATCCACCACTTCGACAAGGGTTACTTCGACTTCAAGTACGAGGTTGAGCGTGAACGCGAGAACCGGCTATAGTATAGCGGTCCCTCGGCCTTCACCCACAAAGTCCCATCTTGATGTTTCGCGCCATAGCGAGATAGATAGAAACCCTAGAGAGAAAAGATACCGGCGTTGTGTCTTCGTTTGATTTTTAACTTCCGTTATTTTTCCTCGCAGCCATAACTTGCATCCGGGAAAAAGGCTAAGGCGTTTATGAGGGTCCATCCATCAACACTTTTGTTGTTCAATTAGGCAGGAAAGAGAGAAGGAGAGACAACTCAGGGTTAGCTAGGTAGAGATGAGCAATCTTTTTTTGCTCATAATCGATTTACCTGATTTTGAGAATGTATAACTACATTCCTAGAATGATGTGTTATGATTATCTACTTAATCAGTAGTATGGTAATTGCCCTTGAAGTTTCTAGGTGAATGTCAATGTAACTAGTAACTACTGTAGAACATTTTGTCGAGTACTACTCTAGAATCATATAAAGGCAAGGGATTTATCATAGTTGAAGTTTGTCAATTCCTATTTCAGGTAGTTTCCACTTCCGGCCTGAAGTTATCTAGCATTCGAGAACTTGAGACAGTTGTGACCTTCAGTTTGTAGACAAATTCCAACGGCAACCTAAACAGCAATATCCCACTACAGTATATGCGATTAGGTGCCACAAACGCATTTCGGGAATGTGCGATCGAGCATAGCCGTAGCATCAGCGCAATTCGTCCAATTGACTCCGTCGACTAAACAACCCAACCAGCGCAACGCCATTTTCATTCCTTTGCCATAACACGTCCAATGAGGTTGCGTATGAGAGAATCCTCTCTAATTCAAGCGTAAAACATGCTTACCCGTCCCTGCCAAATCAGTGAGAGTTGCTCACTTCTTCTTGCCTTTGGCCTTCGATTTGGGAGCAGGTGCTGAGTTTGTAGAGGCAACGCTAGAAGCTCGAGATGAGGGAGTAGCAGATGTAGTTTTGCTGCCACCGCCCTTGACATTATCCAGGGCCTTGTTCTGTTTTCGTGTTAGCGATTCATCTGCAGTTGCTGACAATACTAATGGCAAACATACCTTCACGCCAGTTTTGGACTTCTTCTTAGCTGGAGCCATTCCGAGGATACTATCTTCGTCGTTCTCTTCATCGTCCGGCTCTCTTTTTCCCTTGCCGTTCACTCCATTTGCCTTCGACGGATGCACGTCCTCGAATTCCTTCACAATAGTAGTGAGAAGGGTAGTGCAACGACGGCTGATCTCAATGGGTGTCCGACTAAGGAAAAACCAGTCGAATCGGAACAGTGGGCTTTCTCGGATCTCGTCACGAATTCGCTCATAAACACCTTCCGAATCGATACCGTATCGATCTAACATCACCAAGAGGAATCTATCCTCTTCCTCGGTATATACCTTCTTGTTTGTCGTCGAGACAGAATAGTTAATCTTCATCTGCTGAAGAGGGACTCGGTATTGCTGCATTTTCTTTCGAAGCATCTTACGTTGATGTTCCGTCTTTCGCATACGCTCCTCTCCAGTATCGATCACCTGCAGATACTTGTTGTAATCTGCGATCTCGGTATATCGTTGCCAGAAGACCTTAGCATAGGCCTTAACTTCTGCAGGGGTCTTGCTGTCGACTTCCTCTGCAATCCTTTCATAATCATGTCGTCCGTAACGACCTGAGCCGTTGATGAATTGTTGAAAGTCTCTCTTGTTCCATTCACCGAAACCTTGAGTAGACAATTTCTGCTTCTCTTCCTGTTCCTCTTCGGTCAACGGTGTGGCATTGTCGATTTCCTGCTGGTCCAATGCTTGTTCGGCCTCACGCTCTGACAAGTTATCGTCATCTCCATCTGGCAAGGGAACCTTGTAACCGATTTCTTTGCGATAGTAGGCGGTCTCTCGGTCCTGGAGATCGCGAAGACGCGGAGGGTAGAACTGGTAGTCATGAACCGCAACCTGCTTGGGAGCCCGCGGCGCCTTGGGTTTGGCTTCGGCCTTACTAGTACCATAAATGGCTTGTCTGTAGAACTTATCGACAGAGTAAGATTGTTCTTTGCGCTCACGCTTCGCAGGATTAATCCAGTTCACGCCAATGTCTTTCTTCTTTCCTCCAAACACCTCACCATTCCATTCGTATGCGGATTCCGAAGAAAACTTCTGGAGATCATCGATACCTAGTTTCTCATACTTGGCATTGAGCTCCTTAGTTCTATTCTCTCCCTTCGACAAGATCTCTTCGATATCATCGTCGTTCAGATCTGTGCCCTTGGCTGCCATTCCGGTAGCTCCTTTCGTCTGAAAGACCTTCTCTGCGCCGTGTTGGATCATATCAAGAAGCTCATCCTTAGCTGCTGGGCCCTTAGCTCCAGGATGGGCACGCCCTTGCTGGATGACTAGCTGATCCAGACGAAGTTTCTGTGCAGCTCGTTCGAGAACCTTTTCTTCGATAGCACTTTCCGTGACAAACCTGTAGACAACCACCTGCTTCGTCTGACCGATCCTGTGGGCGCGATCCATGGCTTGCAGGTCGGCCTGAGGGTTCCAGTCGCTGTCATAGAGAATGACAATATCAGCGCTGGTTAGGTTGATGCCTAGACCACCGGCTCGAGTCGTGAGGAGAAAGATGAACTTCTCGGAGTCGGGCTTATTGTAATCATCAATCGCCGCAATACGATCTTCGTGCGCAGTGCTTCCGTCGATACGACAATATTTGAAGTCGCGGAATACGCAATAATCCTCGAGGATATCTAGAAGACGGCTCATTTGTGAGAAGATCAAAACACGACTACCTTGTACCTGCAGTCGTCGCAGCAGCTTGTCTAAGAGGGCCATCTTTCCAGAATTGTACACAAGATGTTCGTCGGTTGTGTAAGGAGGGCCTGGCTCCGCTCCTTCGAATAGATAAGGGTGGTTGCAGCATTTTCGTAGCTGCATGACGATGTTAAGGAGACGAGTCTTCGACTCTCGCTTACCACCGGCACCGTTGACGGCGTCGATATCCTTCTCTAGGATTTTCTGATACCACTTGACTTGCATCTCCGACATGCCGATGTAAAGATTGACCTCTTTCTTGGGCAACAAGCTTTTCTCAACATCGGCCTTGACACGACGTAACAAGAAGGGTCGAAGCACACGGTGGAGCTGCTGGACTACCACATCTGAATCCTCATCCTGACCTGAGAACCATTGGTCGAAAGCTTCACTGTCACCGAAGACATCAGGTAGCAAGAAATTCAACAGAGCCCACAACTCGTGAAGGTTGTTCTGTAGGGGCGTTCCTGTAATCAAAAGTCGGTTGCGCGAGTTGAACAAGCGGATAACCTGGGAGAGAGATGACTCCTCATTCTTGATACGATGTGCTTCGTCAATGATGATATACTCCCAAGCAAATTTCTTCAAATGGGCCTTTTCTCGAAGGATCATCTCGTAACTTGTAATGCAAACATCGAACTTCTCGTCGATTAAGCGCTCGTTGATTAGAGCATGTCGCTCTTCCTTGGCACCTTGAAGCACGAGAACATTGACTTCCGGCGTCCATTTGGCGAACTCTCGCTTCCAATTGTCGAGTGTGGACTTCGGAACTGTGATCAGGTGGGGACCTTTAATATCCATAATATGTCGTAGGTAACCCAAGAAGGAGATGGTCTGAAGCGTCTTTCCCAGACCCATTTCGTCTGCGAGGATGCCAGAGATACCGTTCTCATGTAGCGAAATAAGCCAATTCAGACCGGCAATCTGGTAATCTCTCATCTGACCCTGGACAAATGGCGGTGACTCTCGAAAGACAGTCTCTGCCGATCCACCCTGCCTCTCATCTTTGAGAAGCTCTTCATCTTCTTCGGCTTCTGTGCGACGAGCTCGGCCGGTCTCTGCGCCACCTTGACGAACACCCTTCTTCTTTGACTTCGTAGATTGTTCATTCTGACGATCGATCTCATGTATAATCTCGCGGATTTTAGGGTTCGGGTTCGTCTCGATGAAGTGGCGGAAGAGATCGGTCAATCCAAGAAGATAGCGAAATCGTCGAATACTATCATCTTCCTATTATCATATAATTATTAGTGATCAATCTTAAACTAAAATATTTTCCGATCACTCGAGTTCCTACATACCTTCGATTCGCCTAACAAGTCATGCTTCTTACCGAAAATACTTCGTCGTAACTGATTGGCTTCTGAGCGCTTCTTGCGCCCATCAGTCGGGTCGCCGGCAACACTGCTGGCTGTTGTGTTTGGGTTTGTATCAGTATCAGTCTGATCGGGGGTATCATCGATCTCCTGTTGGCAAGTCAGTATAGGTTAGAATCTAGCAAAGCGGTGGCCCCTCAGGCAACTGGAATAGTAAAGGTGATTTTATTAATAGGATAAAAACTTACCATTTCGTCAGCTTGAGCTGTGACGGGTTCTTGCGCATCGGACATAGACGCGTCCGTATCGACAGCACTGGCTCTGGGACGAGGCGGTGCCATGTTGGGAGATATATGGCGACAGACGCTCTACGCGACTGTGACGCGACGAACCAGATCAATGCCCGTTGTAAAACGAATTTACGTAGACTTTAACACGACGGCTACGGGTTAACTAAGTGTGTACAGGTTGATCTGCAAAATAAGGAGTTGTGTGAAAGCAGCACGTGTCAGAAACGAACGTGCTCGAAGTTGTGTCGCAGATGGAAATGATTGTGAATAAGTTGTGTAAAGGTGAGAGGTCTAGTAGAATTTAGAGTAGAAAGACGGGAAGAGTATCTCGAAGAAAGGTGGGCCAATTTAGCGGGTCGCCGATACCGTACTTAGATTAGCTGCCAAGGCTAGGCGTTTGGTCTGTGCGCATACCACTCTGATGGTATTTCGAGAGAACGGGAATCAGTTATCGTTGAAGATGAAGAAAAGATGGTTGGAAAAAAGATTTGGAGGATTGTGGAGAATTTACAAAAAGGTGTATGGTTTTTTTCAGCCGGGGAAGGCACCCGAGAATTAGAGATATTGACGCCAGGCAATACCTACCAGGCAATGTACCTACCGGAAGGTACGTTGTAGCTCCCATATGTACATCCATACCTACCTCCAGGGCTACAACCACCCGAGAACCTTAATTTGGTCGGGCTTGAAGGCTTCAAAAACACCTGCTAGATTTCAAAACAGGTACTAGCCAATCAACATTTTGTATAATAAGCACCACATCTGGTTCAAGCTATGATTGGTTACTGAGTGTGTAAAGCTTTCTCTCGCATCTGATAACCTTAGATGGCGCTCCCTTCTATACCCAGTACTTGTTTTAATATAGGTATTTAACAAGTACCTTTTTATATCCAATACTATACCAGAAAAATTGTATTTGTTGTTCTCGATCTCGTTCAGACCATAGAAGCAATATAAGTAGCTTTGCCAACATAGACAAATACAATAGCCCGTAAACGGCGCATTTGAAGACTAAAGGCAGGATCGCTCTATCAGTTTAGGAGTGTCTATTGCTTTATGTAATGCGGTGTCCAAAGACTGAGTCAATTCAATGATACATAGGTACCCACCTGTCTCTAAAGTAATCAAACTAAGTTATGAATTCAACTTTATTCTGCAGTGTTCAAAACTCAATCACCACGATGAACACACAGCATCAATAATCTATTATGCAAGAGCGTCCATACGGCGCCTTACATTTCAGCCCAAATAGGAGGTGACCTGACACTGCCTGAGTGAGGAAGAATGAGGAAGCAATGACGACGATGGTGGCAAGGTTCAGTCCCTGGCATGTGCGATACAGTATCCATGATTAGACCCGCTTGCGGTCTGGGCGATTTACTTAACTGCAAGAAATGCGTTCTTAGTTCGGTTCAAATTTATGTTTGACTTCTGACCCGCTTAGTTAATCTTGAGCGCAAAGCCTTCTAAGCTGACTAGAATCACACCCGGCGCGAAGATAGGTAAATGACAAAAGAACCCAGTCCGTCATCAATCAAATCTTGAATCATCTGACACCGCACTGAAGGAGCAAGGAAGACCAACAACCGGCGGACAACACCACGTAGCATCTCAAAGTTCACAATCATAGTATACTACCCTAAAGCCAAAGTGACCTACGATCGTCCCGCCTTGCTTCCTGAATTCCTAAGTCCCCTAATAAGCTTGTCACAAGTCGTCGAGTTGACCCAGGCTCAATACAACCCTAGCTGCATCTTCCATTTGCTGCTGGCTTCGGCCCACCAGTCGGCACAAGCCTAGTCCACAACAATATCCCCACCAAACCCAACGAAGAAAACGAGAAGGATCTAATCTTCAACCTTTCCGGTCTTCCTGGCCTTTTGACCGCCATCTTCTCACTAAAAGCCGACCTTTTTTGCTTCCTCTCGCTTTAGTATATCTAAGCCAGCTAGCCTGACATAATTCACCTCATCTCAAGTCTACGATGGAAGCCTTGCGAGGGTCCTCGCCATCAAAGAACTCCGCCGGCTGCGAGTCGCCCGAACAATTGCTCGACTCCTTCAAAGCCGCGGCATTATCTGTGACGAAACTATACAAGACCTCAGCCGCCGCGCAAGCCAAAGCCCGGACTGACGGCTATCAAGATTGTCTCGACGACCTCCTAGCCTTCCTTGATAAAAGCCATATCGGCCTTGGCGATGGAGAAGGATGGCAAATTCGGAAATGGGCGACTGAGCGACTAGACGGAAGGGATGCGACGCAAGAGAGCGAAGACGAAGTTGACAAAACCGAGCCTTCGTCATCGCCAGAAATTCATCGCTCAGGCAGTCAATCGCACCTATCCGCAATCCGAACCGAACCCCACGTCCAGCATGATCCTGCACCCCAGTCAGTTCACATGCAGCCATCCACCACCGGTAACGCCCCGACCGAGGAGCAGCAAATGATCACCGTCCCATCTCAAGAGAACTTCACCTTTCGGTCATCGCACCTGTACCCGCAAGAATCATACCCGAATCTCGAAAACCTGGATCTTTCCGACTCGACAAGAACGAGCGATAGTTCTAACTCGATTTCGTCGACTGTCCCGATAGCCCACCCGGCTCGGTCGCGCGTTAACAGACGAGGACCGAGGACAAGACCTACAAATCAACTCGGAAAGGGTGCCGGCCAGAAGCGCACCATCAACTTCGCCGAATTATTTGATGTCGGCGGGGTCGCTTTCGGCAAAGATATGTTCGGAAGGGACGGGAAGCGGAGTCGCCACACATGACGAACACCCTCGAGGTTTTATCGCGACCCTAAGCGGATAGGCATCGTGGGTCGACAGGTTCTCGGCTCTTCTTCGACGGTGTTTATATGGACGAGATCCCCATTAATTACGACGCATGATGGATTGAAGGGAGGATTCATATTGGAACAGGGCATTGCATGGGAAGCACCGGCAAGCATTTCGAGGCGTTGAGTACCTACTTTCGTACGGTTCATTACTATCCTGGAGGGTGAGAGGAGAGGGGCGTCCAGGAATTCTTCAACTTGATTTCCTATAGACGAAGGCCAATACCAAACCAACCAACTGTTCTAGTCACATTTTCCACCGGAGGAACTCAGGTTTCTAATAATATGCCGCGCTTGCATCGCGCCGGGGACGTAGGATAGAAGGACTGGGATGAGTTGTCGTACATAGAGTCAATCACTTGTACATTCGTCGAATTTGACTTCACGGAAAACGATGAGTATGTGATATGCTAAATAGCGCCAATAAACAGCGTTGTTAACACTAAAAATTCGTATCCTCGGTTATATCTATTGTTATTCTAACTATAGCTTCATGGTTTAAATCGTAAGCAATGTCGAAGATTCCTCTTATTAGTGTATATAGGATAATTCTCTCTCTTTCCAACTCGTCTTCGAATAGACAGTTATCCGGTGCTTAGTCGAGTTCGTATGAACCCTCCGGATGGTATCCACAACCAAGCGATTGCATTCCAACGGATATTCCCTAGCCGTTGTCTCAACCACCCGCCGATAACTATGACAACAATGGGGGAATCCGCGCTTAGCAATAGATGACAACGCACTCTAGCCAATGTGCGAATAGCTCAAACCCAGTAGTAGCTTTGACAACAACCTAAACCTAATGCTGGACTCCTAGTACCGCATTGTGGTTTCCAATAATAGTAGTAGTTATCAGTAACTAATTCAGCATTTGAATGTGGTTTATCAATAAATATTCAAGAGAGAGGAAAAGAGAAAAGGAAAAAACAAGGGGAGAACTCCAGGATTGTACATGATGTCGGATTCGGCTACTTCAAGAGGATGGTATAGATTACTAAGTAGTGATTGTTATAAACAACACGTACCTAATGTGTAAAAGATGCGCCAACTATAGTACTTATCTTAAGACCAGTCTCATTCTTTGTAGACACTACGCCTTGTGTTTGAGCTTGAGGGCCATGTAGTGACTTATTGACATTTGTATTCATGAATTTGCTCAGCACCCAGACACCTACATAGCCGAACATTGAATACCAAACCTAGGTTTTCGTTTCTCCAGGCTGTAACAACGTCCTTAACTTAGCTCCCAAATAGACGCCATCAAACCGAAAGAAATCATTCCGTTACTATGCAATTCTGTTTATTGCGCCTCTACCCTAGCTATGCAAGATCTCATATATATACATATACATCCCATTAAACCCCCCCTAATAAAACCGTACCGGCGGCGCCTCCACACCTCCATTACTCGGGCAGCATTATTTAAGCAGCAGGTAACAAGAAGCAGGTACATAGCAAGTACTCTTCAATCCTCTACTGATAACTTGGTCTCGAGCCACTTCGTAAACCTGACCGTAGGCGCGTCCACTGCCCTCCAGAAGACGTCCGCGGCCCATATGACGAGCGGGATGTTGATCATGCTCGCGAGCACGGCGCCGCAGTTGTACGAGGAACCCTCCGTGCCCGTGATATCGTAGGCCCATTCTTCTACCATGTAGCCCACGGTGTGTGTGACCGGTCCGTGCATTAAGTAGATAGCGTAGCTGATCCGACCGAAGTACTGCACGACGCCTGAGTTGAAGAAGCGTTGCCAAGACACCGAACGTGCCGTGCAGAATACGAATATGATCGACCCGATCATCTGATAGTACCGGTACTTATCTGAGAACCACTCTGGGATATATGTTGCGAGATACTCCCAACCGGGGTTGCCGTCGGGGCCGGCGTCCGGCTCCGACATAAGGTATAGGGCCGGAATGGAGAGGAATGTCCATAAAAAGTTGCACGATTTCCGTCTTTCAGGAACGCTAGCGGGCGTCTTTTCGAGTGGGAGTAGCGGTTCGGGAGCAGAAGTCGATTGTGCCGTGTTTGGCTCGTGAGCGCCTCGGATGAGATCTAGTTCGGCGAGTACCATACCCCATAGGAAGAGGAACATTTCCCACTTATCACTGCGAAGGACAAACCACATAAGGAGGCCTATGCAGACAAAGCGTACACCTGTCCGGAGTCTAGCAGTGCCAAACATTACTAGGAAGAGTATCATTGAGCACCGGAACTCTACGGGGATCGTCCATAGGTGAACATCATAGCCAGTCGCACCACCGAACTTCTCCCAGCCCCATACATGGACGAAGTTGTACATCTCCCCCATCCAATGTCGCAGTTGCTTCCGTAGGGTCTCTTCCAGAACGGGGTGATGTTCTATTACGTTGTGCATATAATCCCGATCGTTGGCGAAGTCTCTGGTCATCTCGTAAATACCGAAACGAAGTAGGATTAATACGCCGAATGTTGAGATAAGCGGTGGGAGGTATAAGCGGAAAAATCGACGAAAGACGAATGAAGTCATGGTTTTCGAGAAACCATCAAAAGAACGACTTCGAGTTTGTTTTAGTGGCTTGAGGGAGAGGGCGTATCCTGATATGACAAAAAAGATACAGACCATGGACGGTCCGCTGTATAGTAACCGAATGAACGGGAGCCTCCATATTTCGTGGTTGGCGCCGTCATGGCCCCAGCCTTCTGCTATCCTGAAGGCCGTGTAGAAATAGTGACAAAAAAAGACGAATAATGCGGCTAGGCCTCGCATGCCATCGAGGTATGCGGTAGGGTGAAGCTTCTCTGTTCGAAACCGTTCACGGGCACATCGGTGCTGGATAAAACTAGGCAGCAGAAACATGCCTGTCTTCAATATCATCGAGCTCCATGAGGATAGACGTAGACCATTGCAATAGCTCTTTGCCGTGGAGGCCCATTGTATTGTCGAAAAGCGGCCCTCGAAGTCTATGCGAGCGCTCTCGCTTTCTACGTCTGACAGAGATCTATCGTCGATGAGAGATAGCTTCTCCTCGTGGGAGAGCGAGGCCCGTGACACCGCATAACCATCCATTGTCCGGCAATGTGGTGAAAAGAAGTGAAGAATGTTTTGGTGTGAGAGTGATACTCTCCGACTAGAAAGTAAAGATTTTCGAAGAGTGACCTAGCCCCTGACTAAACGATAGACTACAACGAAGTGACGAGTTAGGCGAGCACACCGAATAGTTTCCGCTCGTCCATCTGAAGCTGTGCAGGTCACGGACCAGTTCTAACGAAGATCAATGTTGTATACCCTGTCCCTAAGGGATACTGATCGTCGAGGGTTGAGGCTGACATATGTACATAGTTTTATCAGCCTTTGCCTTTGCTTTAGTATCTACCTCTGCTGATTTATTAGCATCTGAAACAGAGTCAAATCCCCCTATTGCCACTTGGCCTAGAGAAGTAATAAGTGTAGCATGGTAATCATGTATAAGATGGCCGCTAGCACTAGCTCGCAAGCAATACTGGTTGAGTATACGAAACAAACAAGCTAGACATGATCCTGATGGAGAGAGATTCCGGATATGAGTATGGTGTGCCCAGTACGTCTCGGGCGCAACTATGGGTTGTGGCGCTTCGATTCCATGCTTTCTCCCATGTTATAGTTTGAAAAACCTGTAGGCGTAGAAATGGATTATTGGCGGTCGAACCCGTGGTCGGTGGAACGAAGTAGGTCGCAATGAAAGACTTCAAGGCTTCCCGAATAGCACGGTAATAAGTGGATACGCGGAAATACAGGGTGAATTTGTGGTATCGGCTCCGACTGCCCCGGCCAATGGATGGCCGAATCTGGTAAAATGAGTGGTTCACTGGGAAGGGATTATCGTGATACCCATCTGATCTAGAGATATTACGGGTTCAGCGGATTCAATGGAGCTCTTGGATTTCTGGGCCCCTTTTGGCCAACATGATGATCGTTGTCACGCATTGTGGAATCGTGACATTTGAAGTTTGAATACTCGCTTGGTCCAGTTGATCCTGCTTCGCTAACCGTGTCTTGGCGATGAGATGTATTGTGGTCGCGGTGGAGCGGTACATGGCTCTGTTGTTTGATCTGCAGGAACAGAAAGCTTGGTTTGTCGGTTAATCAGCTTGGATGGGGAACAGTTCATTACTTGGATCACTGCAAAGCGAGGTGAGCGTGGGGTGAGCCGCCAACTTTCGGTTATGACCGTTGAAACACCTAACGTCTTGTTATTGTTAAAGAGCTTGAGAACTGACATCGGGGGTGAAACGGGAGCTAAAACAAGTCTATTACTTTACTAAGTACGTGGATTACATAATAAACCTAGCATGTACATGCATATATGGTTACACGGGCAGCCACAAATCGTGTAAAGGTTGCATGGGTTACATGGGTCGTGGCGTGGAAGGGCAAACCTTCTTTTTACTGACCTTGGAACTTAGAAGCATTGGTTTTATTCCATTTCCCATTTTACTATTTTATTTTCTCCGTCTGTCACATCATGCACCGTAACGAGTCACTTGTTTAATGGCACCAAGCACATGCATATACGCACACAAAATCGCTTGATCAGACAATCATGTCTAATTGAATTATGTATTACGGGATTCAAGAAAGTCTATCCCAAATTCCTCATTCGGTCCTAATAGGGACTCGAAGCATTACTAATACCACTATAGTAATTAATCCACTTGAAGATCTCGGTATGCCAAACCAAGCTGTTCTCCTGGTTCAAGACCCAATGGTTCTCGTCAGGGAAATTCAGTAGCTTGCTTGGTACTCCTTTGGTCTGGAGCATGTTGAAAAGGAGGATACCTTCACTGACAGGTAATCGGAAGTCCATGGAGTTGTGCACCACAAAATGCGGCGTTGCCCAATTATCCACGTACAGCAGCGGATTCCACTCATAATAGGGCGATCCAGGTACGAAGCCGGTCTGGTTGAATGGGCCAGCAAAGTCGTGATTCATGAACCATAGTTCCTCGCTTGCGTACTGATTCAGAGTCGATGTGCTCCCGTCGTGCGTCACCAGAGCTTTGAATCGTCTTCCGAGTTCGTGTCCTTGGATCCTGGTGGTGGGTATTTCCGTCAGCAGCCGCACGGCCATTCGAACTCGCAAAAGTCAAAAATGCTTACCAGTTGGTCATATATCCACCAAAGGACGCGCCAGCTTCGATACCGTTTTCCGTATCAACATACTTCAGGTTCTCGTTGACGTAGTCCCACACGTGCACTAAATCCCAGTACGGGTACGACCCCCAATGGCCCTGGATGGCATCTGTCAAATTTTGGCCCCAACCTGAACTGGCTGTCGGATTTGGTGCGATGACGACGTAACCTTGATCCGCCCAAACTTTGAAGTTCCACCGCGTCGACCACGAGTTAAAATGCGCGCCTTGGGGACCGCCGTGGGTGATAAACGCCAACGGATAAGTCTTGCTCTCGTCGAAGCCTTCCGGATAAATGATCCAGGCTTGCTGCTTAATTTCGGAACTGTTGCTGGAATAGTAAAATTCGGACACGTCTTCAGGCTTCAGTCCCTTCAAGCCGGGATCGACAAGGTTGGCCTGGAAGTAGGTCTTGATGAGATCGCCTTCCGGCGAAACGGTGAATATATCACGGCTGGTCCATATCTTAGAATCGGACACGAGAACCGAATTGTCAGGCAAGACATAGAAGCCGGAAGGCACTCCTTCATTCGTAATATTCTTGGGCACATAAGAGTCGCCGGCAGTGAGGGGGACAGGGAATATTCGTTCTCGGCCGAGATCAGGAGCCGAAACGAAGATGGTTTCCGAGTCCTTTGACCATGCCATAGTATCAGGTGACCTATCCCAATCATGGGCAAGAGCTGTTACGTTAAAGTCTTCCGAGTCCGCATTGGCAACGTAAAGGATATTCCGGTCCGACTCGTATGCGATCCCGTTCATCTGGAAATACGCAATGTGCTTGCCAGAAGGAGAGAACCTAGGGCTCGTGGCAGCACCCTCAGCATCAAGATACTTAGTAGTTCCCCGAGCGTTAATCGCCTTTACGTCTTTGGAGGTACCGTTGAACGGCACCGTGTAGATTACATCAGCGGTGTAGTTAGCCAACGGAAGCGAGGTATCCTTGGTTAGGAAGACAACACTGTTGCCATCAGGTGAGATATCGTAGTCGCTCTCATCACTCTGGTCATAAGGACTTTCGGCACATGTGACATTGCAGATACCAGTGACATAATTGGTCAATTCGCCAGAGAAGGAATAGGAACCATTACCTCCCTTCAGTACACCTCCAAAGACGGCGTTCTTCTCCTGGTTGAGCCATGTGTCCCAGTGCCGAACATAAGTGGACGTATAAATCCTGGCCGTGCTAGCGGCTGTGCTTGCAGTTTGCTCATTGTATGCGGTGCCATTGGGGTACGCCTTGGTATATACTAAAAAGTGAATATCGCCGGATGGTACCTGAACGGCTTTGAGTCCTGAATATGGCGCAGGCAACGAGGCAATCAATTGCGCATCACCTAAGGAGTTGGCATCTGCGGAGTATAAACTTATGCCGCCATCATTTTCGGCGTTGGTGCCATTAATGTAAATGATGCTTGTCGGAGTGGGACCAACAAACACAACTTCCGAGATATCAGAGCCGTCATACCAGAGGGAGATCTCGCCGGTCTTCAAGTCGAGCTTATTCCACTGCGACGCATGCGCCTTCGTCTCGAACGTGTAGTTTGAAACCGTATAAATCGCGAAGTCCTAACGAGAGGTTAGTGTTTGCGTGAAGAGCGCTGTGGGACGCTAAATACGGACGCCACTAGGGTTTGGCGCGGCGACGCCATAGCGGTTCGCGGCAAGCATAAGCTCTGGCGTGATGCCGAGCGCGGTAGGCAGGGCAGCTAGAGCTACCTGCGCTTGAGATTGAAACCTCATATTCGCGGTGGCACAACGACGACAACCTTCATACGCCGACCTATATGAACTTGGCCCGAGCGGATGAGGGTAAACAACAAGGTTCGCGAAAAAAGGGCTCAGGGCATCATCATATAGCTACCCGCAGCTAGGATCGAAAGCTACCTTAGGCGGGGGTCACACATAGATATCAGGTAAAATGTCAACATCATGCATGTAGATTACATCGCTATCTCTTGGTATTGCGCCATTGAGGTAAGTCCCGTTTGCTACGATGGACCTAGACCAAGTCCTAGAGCTGGAATTCCAACATTCCACTTCCCGCGTCGACCGAGCCGAGCCAGGCCGCAAGAGGAGTTCAGCACTAGGAAGCCCTAACAACATGAAAAAGGCAGGTGAACGCAGGTGAGAGCTTGGCGTTCTCGTGTCGATTGAGTTCGAGAATTATCATTGGAGTCATAGTTCAGCCAGCAGCTGTCGGCTCTAATAGGCGGCCGGAAAAGGTGGACAGGGCTTTGTGCTTCCGATAACTCTCATTCGTGGGTGGGATGATGCAGGAAAGAAATATCTGGGGTTCTGTGCTGACGTTGGAATCGGCCGACTCCAAATTTCCCCATTAATTATTGCTTCTACCTACGCGAGATGGATCTACTGCCAGAATAGGAGGTGATTGGCGTCGGATAGCACGCCAATGCAAGGGGCAGCCACATCGCACAATCCGCGGTGAATCGCGTGCTTGTCCCGTTCCCGTTCCTTCGGAATTGTTTGCAACCGAAGATACATGGAAGGTTCTGAAGGTTCACGATAGGCTCAAGTCTTTCTGCTTCTGTTCTGTAAGTCATATTCTAGACTAAGATCCTTCAGATTGGATCCGGAACTTGAGGATTAGATCATCAAGCTAGGTAAGCTGCTTATACCTAAGCAGGATTCTCTAGAGCACTTGAGCTCATTATCCAAGCATTATATTGCCAGGGTTGTTTTATCATAGACGTCATTGGCTGATATTTATGCATTATACACACCTTACTCACAAACTTCTCAGATCAGTGACATCAGGTTCGATTAATCAACCCTATCTCCTAGCTTGTAATAGTCGTTTCCCACCACCAGCCACGGCAATTTATTAATAGGCCTTCTTACCATGCCTCAACTTCTTCGTTGGTGCATTGTACCTCCTGGAGTCCCCCGACGACCTTTTAGTCAACGATGTAACATTGCGCGCCGGGAAACCCTCCCAACTCGCGCCGTACGTCGCAACAGCGTGCGCAATAGCCTTGCTGGTAGCCTTGAAGGCCTCGAGGTTCAGGTTTGTCATATTATCCGCGGCGGTGTGGTAATTAGGATCGTACCGGATTCCCGCCGTGCCTCCAAACAATGTGACTTCCTCTTCAGTCTTGATGCCGTCGGCACCGGTGTCGAGCCCACCGCTCGGGACCCCGGCCTCCAAGAATGGGCCGTAGTCACTACGACCGTCAAACTCAGACGCCACGAACGGCAACTCCTGCGCCGTATACCAGTCCTCGAACAAGCTCTCGACCTCCGCCGACCCAGGCGGGCCCGAGACATTAAACGCGCTACCGTCGCCGTCATAAATGCCCAGGACGTAGTTCGGCGACGCGACCATGTCGAAGTTCAAGTACAGCCGGACCTTATCCAGGTCCGCGGGCGCCGCTTCGCTAACATAGTACTCGGACCCGAGCAGGCCCTCCTCCTCGGCCGTCCACCACGCGAACCGCACCTGGTTCGCGGCGCGGTACCGCGACAGCGCCTTGGCGATGGTGAGCAGCGCGCACGACCCGCTGCCGTTGTCGTTGATGCCGGGACCGGCGTCGACCGAGTCGCTGTGCGCGCCGAGGAACAGCACGTCCGCGGCGGACCCGCCCCGCGACGAGGCTACGACGTTGTATGATGTCGCGTTCGCGACGTACTGCCAGAATTCGCCTGATGAGGTGATGGATGTGCCGTTCGCGAGCTGCGAGACTAGGCGCAGGCCGTCGGCGCGCGAGATGCCGGCTACCGGGATCTGTGGTTTTGGGGCCTGGTTAGTCTTTACAATATGAGGTGGGTGAGTAGATACGTGGATTAGGCAGGTAGGGGCTAGGTATGTGTCGGGCTTTGCATCCTTACCAGATCGTTCACGCCGCCCAGTGTGCCGGCTGCGATGCCCACGTCGGCGTTGTTGTAGATGATGGCGCCGACAGCCCCTTTTTCTCCGGCGAACGCGATTTTCTCAACGAAAGTGCAGTTGCCTCGTGCGATGAGAGCAATCGCTCCGCTTAAGGTGTCTGGGTGATCCTCCTAATTACAATTACACGGTTAGACCGCATTCATGGTAAGAGGAAAGAAAGGATGGCATACGGCGACGCAACCAAGGTTAGCCACGGTAACCAAGGGCGTGTTCGTCCAGGTTCCGTTATTCCCGAACGAGAAGCCTCCCGCCTCGAGGGTTTCGCCGTTAATCGACAGCTCCGCGTGGGCCTCGAAGGCCACCTCGGTCGTGAATTCCTGCTGCTGGATATCGTAGTAGTCGCCGAGCGAGCTGAGCTGGTCGACGAAGTATTGGACGGTGTTAAGATGGCCTTCCGAGCCATGGACCTAGTTCCACCCGATTTATTAGCTTAGTCTCTCCCCTTTTGTAGGTAAGTATAAGACGTACTCTGTTTCTTCCGGAAGTCGCATAGGCTATGTCTTCTAGATCCTGAGCACAATCTACTAAGTCCTCTAGGAGAATAGCGTCCACCAGAGCCTGCCGAGCTACACAGTTAGCATTTTGAAGTCGGAGCTGACGCCTACAGCCTTCAAGTTTACTCACATCGTCGACTAATGGCAAATCGCGTTTGGAGAAAGTAGTACGCTTGATTGGCTCTGCGCTACCAATAACGGCGAGTAGATTTGCGGCCGTGAAGGCTACAGCAGGCCCCAGGGACTTCATGACTTTAGTCGATAGCGGCTACGCAGAGAGAAACTAAAAGTGCTACGTCTGAACAGACGGCAGTTGCAAACTCAGAGGAGACGAACTCCGAGTCAAATTGAAGACCTTTGCCGTATTTATAGGAAGCAGGTAGTATATCATACCTACTCATTTTGTGTGATGTTCTTATCTATGCTCGTGCCATTGGCTTCTGGGCATTACATGTGGTCGATAGCAACAGCAGTTCGAATGCTCCCAATGCCATGGTTTGCCATTATTGCACACGCGATATGGCCTCCATTTCGCCAAGGGGTGGCATTGAGAAAGATGTTGCGGGCAGTTGCGTTATCTTCCTCATCTAGAGCCGCCAAGTGTGGCTACACGGAGTGAGTACCTAGTTCGGGTATAGAAGAGATGACGAATTCTTGCTGCATTTCTTGGATTTTTTACGATAGGTGGGAAATATCACCAACCTATTATAAGTATATACATCGAATGAGATATGACAACAACCTCGAAGGGTTTGGATGTTCTTATTGAACATGCATTTCTATTGGTCTACAACCACTAATGTGTCGGCGAGTGAACACTAAGGCGGACACTGTTACCGGCACGGCAGCAGACACACCGAAAATCTAGAATAGGGATATCCTGCCGGAAACTGGTCCGATTGCGCCAGGCAGGATTTCGTAATTTCGTTTGTGCGAGTGCCAAGTCATTCATGATAACACCGGGGTATGTAGGGCCAGAACCGCGTGTCTAACCCGTGATATCCTCAATACTATGAAAGTCCAATTCAGATTCACCTCATATGATGTTGAACAATCGAAATGCAGATGTGACTTTCATTTATATTCGTGGACTTGATAACTGTGTGGCTACCTGCGTAGATTGCTTGGGATTCATAGACGCTACTTATAGCAAATAATTATGTAGAATAAATCTTGTTAGCAGGATAAGGGGCCTACAAACACTAATGACTTCTACGTGCGATAACATACCTAATACCGCTCTATTTTCACGTTACGGGCTAGCCATGCAGTTAGGTTTAGACCTAAAGTTTTCATCTTTAATGATACCTGATAAAGTAGATGTAAAAACGGCGAATGCAAATCTATACGTGATGTCGTTTTTCTCATGCCATACATAGCCCTCCCTTGAACGCCAGCAACTCCAATTACAGACACGATGCTTCCACCTATTTTCATCAAGTCAACTAGTTGTCTAACCAGTCAAGGAAATCGGGCGTGAAGTAACTGATGACAATTGAAGCGCCTGCTCGAAGAATTCCTTCCGTCACCTCGAATGCCATCGTTTTGAGATCGAAGACACCGGCCTTTGCGGCAGCGTGGACCATCGCATATTCTCCACTCACGTGGTAAGCAGCAATGGGACGACCCTCGCTTCGGTCCTTCGCGTCACTAATTATGTCGAGATATTGAGCGGCCGGCTTCACCATGATGATATCAGCCCCCTCTTCGATGTCTCTGAGTATGGCTCGTCGTGCAAGTCCACGTCCTCCCGGCGGCAACTGGTAGCACTTTCGGTCGCCAAACGAAGGTGCCGAACCGGCAGCATCTCTGAAGGGACCATATAGACAGCCAGAGAACTTGGCGGCGTATGACATCAAAGTAGTCTTGTGCGCAATCCCCTCCTCTATTAACTTTGCCTTGATGGCGTGGATGCGACCGTCGTTCATGTCGGATGGTGCGACGCAGTGAGCACCAGCAAGAGCGTAGGCGACAGCGACATCGGAGATTCGATCTACTGACAACTGATTGTTCAAAGTCGCATCATCCTTGAGGATACCACAGTGGCCATGTGAGGTATATTCGCAAAGGCAGACGTCGACGGCGATGTATAGGTGGGGGAATCTCTGTCGCAACAAGCGGATCCCCTGGATGACTGGGCCATTCGGATCGTCGGCCGCAGTGCCTAGAGCATCTTTGGAACCGGGTTTGAGAGGGACTCCGAAAAGGATGACTGATCGGAGGCCCTTGCGCACCAACGGCTCTAGGAATGGAACCAACTTATTGAGTCCCCAGCGTTTCTGGCCAGGAAGGGAGGGGATTAGGGTTTCATCGTTCTCGATATCCGAAATAAAGATAGGGTAAATTAACATCGACTGAGTCCGAATTGTTAGTCTGTTAAGATATTATCTACTTTGAAGAAACTGGCCCACCTTGGTCAATTGGCGCTCAGCTTGCCATGCTCGAGCAAGAGGATGATGATAGCCACTGTGAAGCTGGCTCGAGATGTTGCCGGCAATGCTTACGCTTGTGGCTGCTGTGCTTGCGTACGACTTTGCTCGAGACATCTGGGAGGCGCCGTCGTCCATAGTAGAAACTGATGTGGTACCTCGGGGCTGGCGCGGGGTATTCGCATCTCGAATGGTGAGGTCCTGGACAAGGCTTGAGAACGACATTTTGTTGGATTTTCGTCGAAATTAAATGAAGAAGAGAAAAAAAAAGGATCGGAGATGTCGGGTCGAATTGACTTGGACGGATTGTGGGAAGTTGGTTCGACTTAAGAGGCGCAGGTGTCAAGTTCAAGTTGAGCTGTAAGAGAGTGGAGTAAGTCGAGAAACCAAGTCCAGCTGCAGTCGAGACCGACGATCTAGATGTAACCGTCTTCGGTGGAAAAGAAGACAGCTCAGTTAGTATTTGGTGTGGTTGCTGAGTAGAAGCTAAGTGAAAGAAGTGGATTTAAAGGTAAAGAAATAGTAAGTTTGCGATGGAGAAGTCACGGCTTTTGAAACTTTTTGAAACTTTTGAAACTCGTGCCTGCTCGTGCTTACGATTGAATTTTCGCCTCTCGGACGAGGACCCTTGAACGAACTCCACCGTTATTCACCTTTTTAGCAAATCGAACCTTCGCGCCTTCTATTCAGTATGTAGCACAATAGCATTGCCATTTTACGGATGTGCTGGAAATGGATGCCGACATTTGCCGTGTACCGAAGTACTGTAAGTCATAAAGTCGCCATTCGCCAATCAAATTTGCTCAGTTTGAAAATACGTCTTATCAATCTAATGCAGGTGCGACATTCCCGAGGTTGCACACAGCACTCTATTGTGCGCCTATCAACTCAATTACGTACCTTTACCTCTACTTACATATCTCCAATACTAACATTAAGCATTGCTTTCCTTGTACCACCACATGCATCCAATCATTCTCAAATAAACGGGATACCGAAAGCCACAAATTCCAGGTTCTAACCAAGTACGTAGCTTTCCAATTCACAATAAACCCAGCTGTCTACGGACAAAACTGAAATACGGCGAGGCTTCCATAACCGCCATTAGTATAACCGAAGGCTGTTGTATCTCCTTTATGAACAATATTGCTCATAATACCGGGCCATGCGGAGGTATATGATGCCTCAAACAGGCCGTATATAACACAAGAGAAGTAAAGCAACGGAAGAGATAATGACAATCCCCATACTACCAAGGCACCAAAACTTGCTCCAAAGACGGCAGCGACACTTATCAGAAGGATCATAGTTGCCGAGCTGTACGACGCCGCACCGAAAGCATTTCGAGCACAAGTGGGTAGGGAGATGAATCCCCGGCAAGAAGTACCCCGTTGCTTCTACGACATTTACAAGCTGGTATAGCCAGAGACCGGTGAGATACATGATCCTCATCGCGCAAGTAGCAGCAACCATGATATATGGCGAGCCTGCGAAAGGTTCATGGTACAATAGTAGTCGTGGAATGCTCCAAAGGCAAATGGGAACCCTACCAAAAACGGTTGACAACCTATAATTGGTTTAGCAAGAGGACGCCAAAGTTACCCCAAACGAGGGCTTCAATCACCCAGCACGCTGCCCGGAGGGAGAGCTTTATAAGCAGACCGGCTTTTGGTACTATTCACTTTACCCATATCAAACCTAGAGTGTTATTCAGACGACTATTTGGTCAAGTTGCTTCGTTTCTATTGGTAGAATGGCTGGGTTATTCAGTAATGTGCAGCCCACTTAACCCGTTATTGTACCCACACTTTTTTGAGGTATCGGGAACGGTTACACTAATGAAAGAACTAGCCACTCTAATATAGTGCTCCTGGAACTAAGGCTGTCAACAGATGGTTAAATACCTAGGTATCTAGGTAGTAATTATTGGTGGAGGGTCGTTTCAATAACTACATGTCATAAATCTTGCTAGATTTAACTACTAGGTACATAAGGATTGGTTGGAAATAACACAATCCTCCTCACAACTTCCGGTGTAAATGAGTCTCGCAACCAATTGTGATACTTCATCTTGCTGTGTCACCCTTCCAAGCAAGCCTATAACTAATAATTCTAACAATAATGGTATCAGTCAATCTAAAGTTCGCCACGCTCGATCCTTATCAGGTCGTCTCAACTGCAACATGCTCAAGATGTTGTTAGATTCGTTTTGATCTTAGCTAGGTCATCACTTGAGAACCCCAACTTATCCGTGATAAACTTCTCGAAACCTCCGTATTCTTTCTGCACGCCTTCGACAAACGCAGCCCAGTTTGAGGCTCGCAGATTTATCAGATTATAGAAACCCGGCTGGTCGTGGCTTTTCGCATTCGTTCCCTTCATCGCAAAGTCTAGGAGCATCAGCCGCACGGGTTCCGTCCCTATTCGCGATAGGAGGTAGTCTAGAACCACGACTTCTTGCGGCGCGCCGGCAAGGGTGAGTAGCAGACCTGCTAGAACGCCGGTCCTATCACGTCCGGCTGGCAATGATCATGTGTCAGCGAAGGGCCCGCCTAAAGTCTATTGCCATCTTGCTAGAATTTCACCCTCAGCAATGCGATAGGGGAGTATATCAAACGTACCAGTACAATGCACTAGGAACGGATCAGCCGGGCGATCTCGGATATGCTCTAGAATCGCCTTCCAGCTCTCTTGGTACACGTCCACGACATCGAGGTACATCTCGCGGTACCCCTGCTCCCCCTCGCCAGCCACAAAATGGTCCAAATCTATCGTCGCGTCCGGTCGCGAGCTCTGGATCCAGACATGTTCGACGCCCTCTAACACGGGGTCCGGCGCCTTCTCGCGCTCCTCCGGCGATCGCAGGTCAAACACGCGCTTCACGCCCATCTTCCCGCGTAACACGGCTTTCCCGTTATCCGACAGCTGCGCCAGCGCGCCGGATCGGAAGACGAAGCCCGGCTTTAGCGGACTGCCGGGCACGAGCCCGATGTCCCGCGTGTTGAAGGTCCCGTCGACGAAGACGAAGGGCGGCTGCGTTAACACGGGGATGTACTGGTCCTTGGTGATCTCTTGCGAGACGTCGGTCTCGGCGAGCTTGCGGAGCGCGGCTACTTCACTCATAGTTGCGGATTGCGATTACGATTGCGACTTCGTCGGCGGGGGGTTCTGGCTTTGGTTTGGGGGTTTTCTGGTTGTTCTTCGGATGCTCAAGAAGGGCAGATTCAAGGAGGAGAGGTTGGCATTGAATCTAAGTGCCTTTCTAAGGAAAAGAAAAGAAAGGAAGCCCCTGAATTACAGCAACAGAACCTTCCGATATTCCTTCCATTTTGGCTTATAGCTTACAGGGGCTTCCTGCATTCTACAGTGACGTTACTTGAGTACCCCGCCCCCGCCTTGCTCGTTCTAGCTGCCTGGAACAGGGGTTTGTGGTAATTACGTACTGGTACCTTACCCCTGAACCAATTGAAGTAAGCCCTCGATAACTCGATACGGCATGTTAGCCCTACACTCAGTATGCGGTTATGCGGAGTTTACTCAATGGGGTGGCCTTATCACACAACGCCTCAGTAACGAATGTCATATCAAATCTAGAATTTTTGAACTATTTCACCAACATGCGCTGGTTTGCTTAATTATCTTCTCTGTCAATTATTTTTGCTTATTATTTTGTAAGTAGATCTGTTTAGAATTTGTCTATCCTTCCATGTTACTCAATTTCTAACAAGACCAGATTTACCAGCCCTGCCTCTCGATGAGCCGCATATCTCACGCTGAGATAACACGGTATTTAGGACCGTTTACACCGGCTAGCTAGCCATTATGGATTGGCTTCATCTTCCGCGCCTTGGTCGTGATTCGACCTGGTTTTATTCGTCAACTATAATCGTCGGTTTGGCCGCAACTATTAAGCTACGCCAAGGGATAGTAGATTACACCCAGACGGAGACTTACTGCTACCAATTGGTGCGCACAAACTCATTAGTAGAGCCGTACGTGAACTGCTTCTCGGTATCGCCCACCGGAAAGTTCTCCAAGGTCTTCCAAGCTGGGGACGACACAGAGTATGCTAAGAATGCGAACCCTGGCTTTGCTATGCCTGGCCTGTGGGATGGACATGGACACTTGCAACAGTACGGCGAGTTCCTAAACTCGGTGGACCTATTCGGATCAACTTCCATGGACGATGTTCGATCTCGTGTGTTAAGCTATGTCGATGAGAACCCTAAGGCCGGGTCGGAAGAGGAGTGGCTGAGAGGGGTTGGATGGGATCAGATGGCACTTGGGAAGATGCCGACTGCTGTAAGTTAGCTTGGTAACCCCTATACTGATTAGCTAATATTTTTTTGCTAACAATTTTTTAAGGATGACCTAGCAGTGGACAAGAAACTCGAGGACCTATACATTATGCTCGATAGAGTAGATGTCCATTGTATCTGGGTCTCACAAGCGGTCTTAGACTTACTCCCGGAGTCCATACCTGATGTTCCTGGTGGTGAAATCGTCAGAGATCCGGGCATGGGTGTCTTTTGTGACAATGCGATGGATATGGTAATGGCTCTATGGCCTAAGCCGAACGAAGAGAAGAAACGACAATTTGTGAAGAGTGCTATGGGAAAACTGAATGAAGTAGGACTTGTGGGTATTCACGATGCTGGAGTTACGCCAGGCAATCTGAATCTATACCAAAAATTAGTGGGGGAAGATGACTGGACGGTGCGGGTTTATGCCATGGTCGAATGCAGCGAACGTAACACATTTTGCCCCAGTGAGGTTGAGCGATACACGAGCCCGGATGGCTTCTTGAGTATTCAGAGCGTGAAGCTTTTTGCCGGTAAGTTGTACGGGAATTCTATGTTTTAGACGAATCTAACTCACAATAGATGGTGCCCTCGGAAGTTGGGGTAGTGCCTTGATTGACCCCTATACCGATCGCCCGGAAACGTCAGGATCTCTACTTGTCAACGCCTCCGAATTAGTATACGACACAATCGCATGGGCTAGGGAAGGTTTCCAAGTCAACATCCACGCAATTGGCGATCTAGCCAACCGAAACGCCGTCGACGCCATTATCGTCGCCCTCAGACTTCTCTGTCCCGACGAGTCTCTCTCACTCTGCCAGTCTTATCATCGCTTCCGCATCGAACATTCCCAGATCATTCACCCAGATGACCAGGCTCGAATCCACGCAGTTGGCATCATCCCCTCTATCCAACCCACACATGCTACGAGCGACATGACATATGCAGAGACGAGATTAGGCAAGGAACGCACCATAAGCGAGGCGTACCGAATGCGCTCCCTACTCGACGTTAACCCCGTCCTAGGTAGCGATTTCCCTGTAGAGCCGCCCAATCCGTTCCAAGGTATCTACGCAGCTGTCACGAGACGCAGTCCGCATACGGGTCGAGGTACGGATGATTCGCCCGATGGGTGGTACACAGCTGAGGCTCTCGACCTAGACCAGGCGATCAGGGGGTTCACTGAGGGACCTTCGTATGGAGGTTTCTCGAAGGGGAGGACTGGAGTCATCAAGCCGGGTGCTTACGCAGATTGGGTAGTCCTGGACAAGCCCTTGGAGAAGATAGATATCGAGGACCTACGCTCCTTGAGGGTTAAAGAGACGTGGGTTGGCGGCAAGAAGGTGTATTCTCGGGAGTGATGTAATTGATAAGAGATACATAGAGGAATACAGCTGCAGGATACTTGTTGACTTGACTTTGTTTATTTTAAAATCTTCTAATTCTAAGCGTATTTGTGAGGCTTTTGTTATTAGCGAGTGACCTAAGTATATTCAGATAATGAGTTTAGGTGTAAAAGCTCTTCATATTGCAGCTGTCCAGGTATTGCAACTAGAGGTTGTACGTAAACCGAGCGGTCAACATAAAGACGAACGAAGGAAGACAAACGAAAAAAAAGGAGGTAAATATGCCTCGACTTGAACCGACGTCCTCTAAAAAAGTGATTTGCACCCACCGGGACTTGCACCCGGGTCTTTCCCTTGCCTGATTAATGGAAGGGGAACGAGTTAACTTCTACTCCATGGATACCTCAAGTGTTGTCAGAGCGATGACCCAGATGCCTGAATCGGCGATTATCTCTATTTATAAGGGTGACTCTCCGCCGATAAGGGTTCTGATTGGCGGAACGGCGAGGGTGAAAGGAGGCAGGAACGCGTGAAAGAGATGTGAAGGACGCGCCTTAGTCGCGTATCTGTCCTCCAGCCTGGAGTGCCTGCCCAGGTTGAATGAGTCGTGACTTCGATGTAGAGATGACTCATTGAGCTAGTCTTCTTTGATACTTGGGTAGCTGTCTCTTAGAGACAATCTACTTGATCAACTCTTACTCGTATGGATATATGGTATCTACTACATACTATGTATGTGATATTTAACTACATATCAAGCCAACGCCAACTTTAAGGCAAGTAATCATTACTGGGAGACTATGCGGTTGTTTTAATCTCTTCGTACTAAGATTCAAACCAAACAATGATACTTATAGATGTCTATAGGATTTCAATGGACGACTGCTAAGTATCCCCTTAACTGGCAATTGTTGCCAGCCGGGGATCACGAGGCAAAACGTAACTTCATTTGACTTAGCATACCAGTCCTAGTTTACGAAGGAGCTAAGGATACGTACGGTACATCATTCCAAATCTATTTTGTCTCGTGCCGGCTGTGCTCCCATTTGCTCAATCCCTGGCTGGCGACAACTGCTAGTTAAAGGGGTGGAAAGGGGTACGAGGTAATCGATCAAAAAAATGCACGTCAAAAGCTAGTCCCGGCTTATTATGTACCCAAGGTCATACAATTTCTTATGTATTACTTCTAGATCTATCCTTGTAAAGAAAAAGAATCTGTTTGATATTACTAGCAATTCATATTCATACCCAGTTCCTAGATACCTCGCGCCTTTTTCGGAGTGGGGCGGCCTGCTGATGTTTCCGGTCGGCCTATTCTCGCGTTTCTAACTTTTAGGACCGCAAGACCCATTGCATTAGACTACAGTTCTTAGTATGGACATAGACAGCGTCGACGTTGCCATAAAGCGCAGAGGCTCCGACGCATAGTCTGGCGAGATGGGCTCTCCAAATGGGTTGTCTACCGAATACCAGCAAAATTAATAATAACATATATCCATAAGCACCATACACCTTCAGTCTATCAAAAACTGCTGTTGGAATCATGGGCCAGTCTCGTAATGTTTCTACAGATAGAGATACATGCGCCCCCGGCTAGTGTCCGATCGGTGGTATGTACGACTATCCGAACTCTTTATAGATATTGCTAAGCGTGTGAATCTAGTTTTGAGACTTCCCACGATGGACTCAACGACATAAAGGGTGGAAGGTCGAACTTGTTGATTCTAGCAAGAGCCCATTCCAACTGACGGTGAGAGATCGTCTCCGAGTTAACATGCATGGGATGGTGTTCCATCCAATTGTAAAGGTAGGCCTCCTGACATCCAGTGTTAAGCTGCTCGGTAGGTATTTTCTGACTGGTTTAGTAAAATTCAGCAGTCCTTCTAATGGGAAGAGTCCATGCTAGGAATTCTAGTTGGGAAGCACCAGTTCAACTTCTTATCCAGTAGAAAAACCGCAGGCGGTACCACCCTGGTTCAGGCTGAGGATTTCGAAGGTATCTTGACTTTCTTCTTCAGGCAAGGGTCTAGCTCGAAGGTGAAAACCATGCGCGATTGGGATTCTTTCAATGTGGATCTGAAAATGGAGATCGAAAAGTCTTCACAGGAAACTCAGGATTAAAATACCCCAACCTGAATTTGGACTTGGCAGTTCCTCGAGGGGTCCTAGTATTTCACTTGTAGCGGGTCATGTCTGATATAAATACCACTTTACCCATAACTATTCATTTGTTAGCTATGAGATGTTGGTCTGGTTGGTATGCTCCCTGAAGCCGCCCCTTGCTCTGTTACATGATTGAAGAGCTGACGTCAAGGCCGCCTCGGAGCCGCATACGGAGCATTGCAAGTTGACATCATTTGGACCTCATCTTGACCCGGCATCCCGGCAGAAATATACATGCCATGCGCGAAGGGATTGCTGGTAACATACATAAACCCTCATTGCATACCCAGGAGCCTAGCAGATGTACCAGCGAATCAGAGCTTTATGTTCTACAAGCCCCTTTAATCTAATTGGCTGTGATAGCCTATAATTTTCCATAAGGGGTAAGTATCGAGCCATGGTTAGCGTTTGATTGGGTGAGCTCTCTGGAGCCGACTCGCAATTGCAGGGGTGTACCCTGGTGACAGGTAAAATGATCTAATAACCCTCGACTTGGCGTGTACATCCAACATTTTGAAAGGACATCTTCTTTCGTAGTTTTATTCAACAATCTTTCTACCCTTCGGATATACCACAGTTACTTCAATTGACACTGCGCCTACTTCCAATATAGAGAGAAACAAGGGGTATAGTAGGCCGCCTGGGTTGCGTAATATCGCGTCACATTTAAACTATGGGGATAAAGGAAGTCCAAGTAATAACTTCTGTCAACCCGTTAAATTATTGTATTTTTCTGTGAGTCCCCTTTACAGAATCATCAAACAATATTCATGTAAACCCTTTCGGGCCATCGGCCTAAGATGTCAAGTTAAAATTGCGGGGTTTCCGATTCCATATTTGCGGCTCACCGGCTCAGTCCCGTGTTTCCCTAGGCAGATAGGGAAGTTGGTACCCGGGGAATAGTTCTTCGGCAGGGTACGAGGCCTTATAGATGGATAGCCCTGGAGGTATATCATCTTGTTTTATGTACCTCCATAGTAGTACAAATCGGTGACTATTATTGCCCGCTTAAGAAGCAATATTTCGCAGCGCTTTCCTCATGTAAACAAACTCCTGCACACAACACTGCCTTCACAGGCAGAGAGGCACGTGGTCCATATCATTATCGCCATCCTTGTCGAAGATCTTACCAGAGAATTGGATTTAAGGTTGCATCACATTATACCCAACTTGTATTGACAGAAGCTGGGGACAGCTGGAGCATCCGCTCGACGATCCAAATTAAAACATCCATACATGTGGGGCGCCATAATGAACCCGTACTTGACTTCTCGAACAACGACGCTCTTGTTTATCTAAAGAAGCAGAGCAATGTGAACCATCATCATTCCATTCTCAAGCCATTTTGGCGTCGTCACTCGTTTTTACATCACTGACCGGGCCTGTTGCCCATAATGGCCAAAGATTCGGGGACGATGTCCCTGGTCGAGCGCTATCGTCCTTCGTTATTCGTCTTAGCTTCGCAAGTGGCGGCCGCCACCCTGAATGCCGCCGCGAAGTACGCCGAGACTAGACTCGAGCAAGTCCATCCTTTCCAGGTCCTCCATGTCCGGATGTTGATCACCGCCCTCGGATGTACCTGGTATCTCTGGCACATCGGCGGATCTAAGAAGTCCGACCTTCTGTTCGGAACGCCCGACGTCCGAGGTCTCATTCTGCTGCGAGCTCTTGGTGGTACTTGTGGTGCTTCAGGATTCTTCTGTACGTCCTTTATCACATCTAGCGCGTCGAGCATAGGTACTTGGCGGGGTTACTTGTCGTACTGACTAACGATACGTATTAGTTTCTATGAAATATTTGAACCTCAGTGAAGCAACAGCTTTGAATTTCCTTGGTCCTCTAGGGTCGTTGATCCTAACACGATATCTGTCATTCGCTACTGTCCAATGGACTGACTGCCTCGGCGCCGTCGGCGCGCTCGGAGGAGTTGTACTCATATCCCAGCCTGAAGAGATATTCGGCACCATCCAAGCTACCCAGCGCGATGTCTCAGCAGATGCGACTGCCAACATGAAGGGCTTGGCTTTTGCCGTGCTTGGCCTCTGTGGAGGTGTAGTAAGTGACGATGAAGACCTAGCATTTTCAGGAAGAGCAAAGCTGACACCGCCTTAGATTACCCTCACGTCGATCCGTTGCATTGGAAAGAGAGCTCATCCGCTGACTAGTGTTAACGTATTCGCATGGAGCCTGGCAACTGTGAGTTGGATTGGTCTTATGATAGTTCCAGGAATTACATGGCCGAAGAATCCGCTCACATGGCTTTGTCTTATATATATTGGCACCTGTGGTCTCGCGATGGTGAGTAAACTCCCCATTTCTCACTCCCCGAAAGGGTTCTAACATTAAATTTAGGAGTTTACCCTCACGGTTGGAATATCGAGTGACTCATCTTCAGCTGCTACACTCATGATTTACTCCCAAATAGTCTGGGCTCTAATACTGGACCGCATCTTATTCCAATCCACAATCAATTTCTGGGAGATTTTAGGCGCCATAATTGTTATCGGCAGCTTAACCCTTGTTACCCTAACCGGGAACGGCCAGAAACCGGAGAAGGTTGAATACAAAGACATAAGGTGTGAAGACGAAGAAGCAGGCAGATTGAGTGTGGATGAACCCCCAGTCGAACAGACCAATGCCAATCCATAGAGGTTTCAACACGTTTCTTTAACCTCGGTAACTAACCCTGAGGATACATATCGAACATGATATTTCGAATGGATCGAATGGCTAGGGTATAGGTTGGAGAGGATTCTTGTATATTCACTCTTTACGAGTCACTCATTGAAGATTTTCTTGGGTAATGCATATAAGCATAGATGAATAATTACCAATTCCAGCTGTCGTGTGCAAAAATAGGGGGGCGATTACGGTGGCTTAGTCAGGAGACAGTTTATCTCCGACAAACTCCGGTCAACTAGGGAGGGAATAGGGGCTATAACCAGAATACTCCATAAGTCATTAGATTACATGCCTTTTACTGGAGAATCTGAAGACGGTTCCAAGTTGTCATAAGTACAATTTGACGAGCAGAGGAGCTCTCAGCACAGCTGAATCCCATCATTCGCTTTATCTCCACAAAACTTTGAAATCTTTTTACCATTTCGGGATATGACTGTCCATTCATTGTTGAAGCGACGATGTGACTTGGTCATCAGAGGTAGATAAATCGCCTTCCTCGAATCTGCCACGCTTCACTTTGTCGATCTAACGTTTGAACTGCTCTTTTATCTCCTTTTGCCCAACACTGCCGTCTATCTACTCCAGCTTGTCATAGTAGTAGGTAATATTAAGAGGAGCGCAAGTCCTACATACGGGGCCTCTATCATTACATCCTTTGGTCAGCTACGATGTTTTCAACAAGGATTAGCTATGTATTATACCATAATTATCTCTGAAATGAGGTCCGTGAGGTAAGTTGATATAACAAGCCTATGCGACAATAGTTCTATCTGAGCAAAACTATTGACAATCAGCGATATAATTCTTTTATATATATATATATATATATAGGTATACAGGTATACAGGTATATATAGATGTGAAGGATGTTAATCTCTAGGATTTTTTAACACGTGTTACCTCGTTTTACATTTTAATGCCATGGGTAGTGTAGGTAGCAGAATAGCACGGGTCCAGAAACTGTAAGTGAACCCAGTCAATTGGGAGAAGACGTGACTCGGAGGACCGGCCTTGGGAAACGTGTCTTATTTATCCACACGAAAGGTACTATGTAATAAGTTCTCTATATCTCTTTCGATATCGAATGAATGTTAAACTAGGTACCTAGGTTATATGCTATCCCCCTTTTCTGAGATCAACACTGAGAAGTGTGTTCTTATGAGTTACCCCGGACAAGAACTTTACTTCTGTTCCAAGTTGACGTTGTTGCAGATGTCACCAAACACTTCCAAGGCATGACCAAGATAGTCCTGGACCGTCTTCACACGAACTGTCATATCTTGACCGAGTGGCAGAAGCCGTTCAGCTTCGCGGCCTTTGCCAACACCTTCACCAACGATAACCTCATACAGTGCCTTCATAGCCTTATCCTTATCACCATTTGGTTTCAACTTGCCACTGGACAGGATATCAATCATCTGCTCTGCCACTGACCCCTTGTAAGCGTCCGGCATAGGATTCTTGCCAACGATAGTGACATCGGAGAATCTTGTATTGAAGGTCCCAAGTGTGACCGTCAGAGTACGAATGCCGAACGGGGCAACTTCTTTGGCAAGAACCTTGGACATTCCTAAACAGCGGTTATGAGTATCGTGATACACAGCATGTAAAAAGCCCCTTAAGAATACATACCATCGAGGGCAGCCTTGGCTCCGGCATAACCACCCATGCTGTCTCTTCCCTCCAGGCCGGCACCACTGCTTATGTTTACGATGACACCGTATTTTCGTTCTCGCATATGAGGTATTACGGCACGGATAAGCCTAAGAGGTCCGAAGTACAGAGTATCCATCTGTGCTCGCACTTCCTCTTCGGAAAGAGTTTCCACTGGCCCATAAATGGAGTATCCGGCGTTGTTCACCAGGACATCGATGTGATCTGACGCTTCAAGAGACTCGCTAATATATGAAATATCAGTAATTACAGTTTTTAAGGACCTCAAAAAAATCTCATGGGGCCTTCTATGAGAAAAGGGGACTGTTTACATAAGCTTGCCGCTATTCTGATCATCCACGTCGAGCTTAAGCCATTTGCTACCGTTTCCGTGGGCATTGACCTCAGTTACAAAATCCGGATTGCGGGAAAGGTTGCGGGAGGTTGCTATCAGCTTATGGCCATTAGCTAGGACGAGACGAGCCAGAGATTCGCCAAAGCCTGAGGAGGCGCCGGTGATGAAAAAGGTGAGAGGACGGTTGGGTTTGGTGAAGGTAGTCATTGTGGATATATATATATATATCTTAGTATCTGTAGCTGTTTTAGTGTTCTGTCTCAATGATCAATGTTTGAGGCAAATTTGAGAGAATTATTCTTGGAAATAGGACATTAGTTATATACACAGGCATATTGGTGAACTTCAGAGGAAGTATATCATGTTGCGTTGGTTACAACGACTAGTCGCTTCAAATCACGGCGTCTTAACTCCAGCCTCGCGCCTTCGACGGAGGTTCTTTCGGTGCTACTGTAGTTCGCGGCATCCGACCGTACAATACAAACACGCTGGACTTAAAATTTAAGTCCGAATTCAAGGGTGGCCATGCAGGTGAAAAGTGATAGGCTTCCTTGTGTTGGTAGTTTGAGCAATAAGAGGAACCGTCTTATTCTCCTCGCCTTACATATGTGATATAGTTATAAGACTATAAAAATTAAGTATTCAACATAGGTGGTTACTATATACCCTGGTCAGTTCTAGGTTCCCTGTGTATGGGAATAGTAGACATCAGAGTTTGGAATCAATCATACTTCTGCGAGAACAACAGCCTCCTTGGGATATGCATGTTTATTTATTCTTAGCACTAACAAGCTGTCTTACACTCTGCATTGTGAGAATAAAAGAAATGTTAGAAACAATTGGATTAGCTGGAATCTAAGGGGTTTGCAAGGTCTGAATAAAAAGGTCAAACCTTTTCTATGAGCTTACTTCTTGAGAGCATTGTAACCTCCTCGATGATAAGGGTATCAATCTCTTGACAAGCACCAGTTGATTTAGTAGGAATGTTTCTACCTAGGCACCTGAAACTATGTATCCTTAATCATGAAGCTACCCCGCCTGTTGTCAAGCTTGAGACGACTTGATCATACTGACCAACTGGCGGATAATGAGATCGTCAATACCATCAGATTATATTGTGATTATGAAGACATATGGTGCTATTATTGAACTTGTGAAGGTGGGGAGCGTGATTTTCTATTTATCTTCTCACAAAGTGAGGTTCATGCTTAAGGTGAATGTTAGAATTGAAAAGGAGAAATAACGTCCGGACGGCGGACGAGATATTCGCACATACACCATCAAAGGATAGGCTATCTACGTAGTCCGCCGCTGACAGCTGTGTAGATAAGATTGTCGGTCGTCGAGCTTCTTGACAGCTGCAGCGGAATTATCGGAGGGTGGCCCACTTTTAGGTATCGGTCCGCCACATTTTATGGCAGGCGCGGAGGCGTTATCGTTAAGTGTGAATGACGCGCGGGAGCTTCTATCAATTTTTTAGGAGCATCACATCGCATATGTCATACTTATCCCGTACATCTTCCGTCTATCTGATGAGGCCGTCAACAGTTCTAGCCATGCACAGGCGAGTCAATGCTTAAAGTCATAATGCCGACCATATTACATACTAACAGTCATGTAGTAGACTGACCCATATTGTCTAATTCCCCATTATGCGGTCGCAATTGACCCGCCATGTCTTGCGACGCCTTCTAGCGAGCGACGCACACATTCCCCTCACTTGCCTCCATCCCACCTTCGTCCTGTCTCGGTCCCGCCCGACCTTCCGCGTATATCCAGTAGGATCGAGGGTGGCAAGGACTGTCCAGAAAAGAACATTCATCAAGGAATTCTTTGCCCAAAAGAGCCCAAGGGCATTGAAGCAACTAGAGACCGAGCCGGGATATGCGATCCTACTCAGATTCCATGCTTCCGAAAATATTGGTACCCAAAATAGTAGACGACCTCCTGCTCCCGATGAGCTCGTTCAAGCATGGCGGGAATTCTTTGCGTACAAGACCAAGCACGGCCGAGCAGTAAACTCCACACAGGCATTGTCTGCTCATCGGGTGCTGCTACATCTCTCTACTTCTCCAGCTAACCCTCGGGGTGCGCATCTATCTGAGGATGACCTCCGAACTGCTAGGGAGTGTATGTTGAAGCCTCCAAGAGACTATTTCTTGCATCACGTCGATTTTTCAAGGGAAATATACAATGAGTTAAAAAGACGAGGCGTACTTCAATCAAGTGATTTCAATGCATTATTAACCGCCTTGTCGCAGTATGGCAAGGCTCTTGAAGCTAGGGATCGAGTTCTGAAGTACTATCAAACCACGCAGGACAAGGAACCTTTCGACACTCGGTTTAGACAATTTATGCCGGTTATTCGAGGACTTGCTAAAGAAGACCGCGAAACAGAGTTCTTGGCCCTTATTTCAAAGGCAAGGGAGGCTGGTGTCGAATATGATCCAACGCTTCATGGCATCATGACCACCTATTTTGCGAAGAAAAATGATATTAGGCAAGCAAAACTCTGGTTCAACAATCAAATCAAAAGAGACCTCCCTCCAGAGCCTACAACGTATTATGAGATTCTCCAATTTTCACTTCGCAATGGCCAGGAGAAATGGGCTATGGAAATCTATCAAAATCTCATTTCTAAGTTGGAATCTGGTGAATGGCAAAACAGCAAACCTAGTTGGGATGCCTCTTTCCAGTGGGCAGTTTTGTTACTTGGAAAGGGAATGGATCATATCGAGCATATGATTAAAGTCGCATACGAGCACAACCAGGATAATCCTAACTCTCAACCCAATATAGAAACGATGAATAGTCTTATCAAGATCGCCACTGACAAGAACGATCCGTATATGGCCGAACGGTTCATCGCATTATCGAAGAAACTTGGGTTCGAACCAAATTATAAAACCTATATGCTCCAGTTGGAATACCGGATCCGTGCGAATGACCTTGACGGCGCATTCGTCGCTTATCAAGCCCTCGAGGACCTAGATGTGACGATGGAAGATCAAGAACTTGCAACCTTGAACTCTCTGATTCGCGCATTGTGTGCCGCACCAAATCCGGTCTATGAACGGGTTCTCGATGTCACCAGCTACCTTGAACAACGGCTCGTGACGTTAGAACCGGAAACCGTCATGTCTATATGCATGGCTTTTCTTAAAAATGACGAGACCTATGAAGTTATCGACACGCTATCACTCCACACCGCCTACTATAGTGTCGTCGAGCGCGCGATGGTCCAAGATGCCTTCGTCAAGTATTGCTTGGATAAAAATAATAGCACGGCTCGAGTCTGGGACGCATACTCTTTGTTACGCCAGTTTTTCCCCGAGACGCCACTTGAATCTAGGGTGAAGATCATGGATGCTCTTTTCGATAGACGTCGTGCAGATATGGCAGCACATACGTTCGGGCATATGCGCGCAATCGGAAACCCGCGCCTCCGACCTACTCTAGAGACTTATGTCCGCTTCTTCGAAGGCATCGGCAAGTGTCCTGATGAGGATAGTATGAGAACGGTCCATAATATGCTGAAGATGGACACGACGATCCAACCCAACACGCTCCTATTTAACGCGTTGATGATCGCACATGTAGCATGTGAATTACCGTATCGGTCTCTTGATATTTGGAAGGAGATCACCGCGTCACCTGAAGGCCCGTCGTATGCCTCACTCGAAATTGTTCTTAGGGCTTACGAAATTACCCCTGACGGCGATGCACTTGCGGATGAGCTCTGGGAGAAAATGAAGAGGATGGAAATTGATATACCTAAGCACGTCTACTTTGCATACGTGGTGACGATGGCGGCGCATGGTCACTTTACACAGGCGAAGACGTTGTTGGAGGATATGGAAAATGCGGTTGGACAACCTCCACACCCCTTCGAGTAAGTATTCCAAGTAAATTGGCAGAGTATATATGACTAACATCCGCCTAGCCTCGGTCATTTCTACAATGCACTGCCTTCACGAGAGTTGAAAGAAGAGTTCGACACGTGGGTAAACGAAGAATACCCAAAAGCATGGAGGGCACTGAGAGCAAAGTACAGCAAAACATCAGGCAAGGATGGTCAACCGGGATACAAGGTTCGCCGGCCCTGGAAGGCATGATTTGATGATGTGAATGAATTTATCTTTGTACAACACTATTCATACATCTAAATACTTCTTGCCGGTCTCTCTGTATATAGGTGGTATGAAGAAGGCACCAAGCCGTTGTACAACGGATCACTCTGTGGCTCATCTGTAATCCCGCTTACTGGCGGCGTTCTGCTCGTAGAACTTGTACGTTTCTCGGACTAGAAGCTCGGGATGTTTGTGTACACTAGGATGGAGACCTAGACCGACGGCGCGCCGGATAGCCTTGGCTAGTTTCCTCTGGTTCGGCGGCCGAAGCCCCGTCTCGATCGATTTCTTTATCCTGCCGTGGGGTGTCATGAATTCCGAGATGACGGAGAAGTTCTGTTCGAGGACGTCTGTTAGTAACCAGTCCAACCAACCAACCGACCACTCCAACCCCGGTAGAAGAAGAAGAAGTCAGGTACTTACGCGGTACATGTCGAGGGGGCTCAGGCCGAGCATGTCAACGAGGTCCTTCTTGCGCGACTGGTTGCGGCGCCACTTGCCCATCTCGACGGGGCTGATGTCGTGCGGGGCGTAGACGTCGCCGGCCTTCCAGCGGCGCGTCATCTGGCGCGCGTACTCGTCGTTCTGGTTCCGCTGCTTGATCTCCTCGTCGATGGTGCGCGCCCGCTGCCGCGTGCCCCGCAGGTTGTCGTAGATGTCCTCGTATATGCCCGCGGCGACCTGCGTCGCGCTCGTGCTCCCGGAGCCGGGCGGTGATGGCTTGGGCGGGGTGTAGGGGCTGGGGCTGCTGTTGTCGCCGTTGTCGCTGCTGCTGTTGTCGATGTCGAGGAGTTGGGAGGTCGCTGTTGGTGCCCCGGGGTTGGGGCGCACTGGAGGGTGTTAGGTGGATGGCGCTTGTGGTTGAGAAGGGTAGGATGGATGGTTGTTGGACTTACGGGATTGGGTCGGGGCGGTTGTTGATATGCTAGCGATTCGTTGCGGTCTGAAGAAAGTAGAGGGTTGTCGAAGGGCGGCTAGTATGGGTATTCTGGGAGGCATCTTGGGCGATTGGTATATTTTTCGTCCTATGCTGGTGATTTCAATCGCACTCTTCTATATCAATGTTGAAGGTGGAATTTGGTGCTACGAATTGGCGCTACAAATTTGGACGGGGAAATGATTTTTCCAGTGTAAGCTCCCGCTGTGGATCCACTCACCCCGCAGGGTTGCATGTGGCTGCAAGGGTTAAGCTCTTATCGGATCTTTAAAGTGGACCAAATGAAGTCGAGATTTCGATAAGAAAAATAAAATGTTCCTGTCAGCCTCAATCTTTAGCACTTCTCTTTGCAACAACCACAGATTGACCGACGATTAGACATCATGGTCCGACAACTCAAGCATCACGAGCAGCGCTTGCTCCGCAAGACAGACTTCATCACATGGAAGCAAGATAACAACCACAGAGATGTTCGTAACATCATACCCTTCTTTTCATCACGGTTCCTGCTAACCCTTCATGCGCTCGTGACAGGCGGCTGTTATACGGCGGTACATGATTCAAAAACCGGAAGATTATCACAGGTACAACAGAATTTGCGGTGTACGTACTCACAACAATTGATCAGTGTTTGGGGTTAACGAGAACTAACTTTGTACACAGTCCCTGCGCCAACTAGCACATCGCCTCAGCTTGCTTTCCCCCGAAAGCCCCACGAGACGGAAACATGAGGAGTTACTTCTTAACAAGCTCTACGATATGGGCATACTGTCGTCAGCCTCAAAACTCTCCAATGTTGAGAACAATGTTACAGTATCTGCAATGGCGCGGAGGAGGCTGCCAGTCGTCATGACCCGACTACGAATGGCCGAGACGGTTCAGGCTGCTACAAAGCTCATCGAACAGGGACATGTTAGAGTGGGTGTCGAGACTATCACAGACCCTGCATTTTTCGTCACGAGAAACTTGGAAGACTTTGTGACCTGGGCCGTCGGCAGCAAGATCAAGAGGAATATCATGAAGTACCGTGACAAGTTGGATGATTTCGAGCTGCTGTGATTGAGTACGAGGGATGGCAGTTATTTCACTCAGGTACATTATGAGGATCAAATGCATCGGGTTCGGTTCATAGCATGGCGTTCAAGGTCGTAGTGAAAATACACTACGCAATCATTTGCTTGGGTTAGCTAACCGGCAATGGTATGTCTTCAATGTTTTTTATGGCACAATTGTTACAAATAGTGATACGTACCTACCATATAAGAACGTGCCCAGTCTGATTACAAGTAGACAGGCTGATTACCTAAGTGCCCAAGTATATAAGACAAAGCATGAAGCAGCACTAGGTACCTACCTACATAGGTAGAACCCAGATATGAATATCATGTTCTGCCATTGACGCCTACACTTTGGATGTATCATGTACATAGGAGGTATCCATGAGGCACATCAATATATGTAGGTAGATATTAAACGTATGAGTCATTTGCGCGAAGAAACGATGCACTGGCCCGAAAATGCCACTCACGAGATCGGTCCGGCAGAATTCACGACACCGCCCTAAGGAAAAAAGGTATAAATACCCAAGGTCGACGGCCGATTTCGTTTTGTTCTTTTCTCTTTTCTCCTCATACCCCCCAGGCAATTTTGGATAGAGATACCCCGCCACAGTACCAGCACATGGGATACGGGTTAAAATGTGCTGCTCAATTTTTTGGTCTGTTTGCTATCTAATGCAATTTTTGGGAACCATTTCACCCACTGGGTGATTCCTTTCACTTTTCATTGGGTTCTCAGCCTAGCGCTGCGACCTGAGGAAGGGTGTGGCTAAATCAAAACCCTTTTTTGGCAAGGGACTCGATGGCGGCCGTAAGAAGCGTGTTGAGGAGTATCTATCGACAGTCCGTATGTGTATTTAATATGGATATGACTATAGTATAAATAATATATCGTAATGACGACTGTGTTGGAAGACAAGAGCTGTTGCAGACACAGGGCAAACATCAGGTACACGCTAGCATCTAGACCGCAGGAAGTAGGTGGATAATATCCATGAGGAAAGTGCTACTCATACAGTAGAAGGTATCCGATCTTTCAAGTTTATCAAAGTTACCTGACATGGAATGAGACGTCCTTGCGCCTCTCGAAGCAACAACAGCACGTTGCGCTCTTCCTTCATTTTTATGCTCACGGTATTCTAATTCATAATTGAATTAATTTAATTTTCGTAGCAGCCACACTTCTTAAGCCCGCCACTCAACGTCCAGACTGTTAGAGAGAATGAGCCAAACTCGTAAGTTTCATCGTAGCTTCCGTGTCGCATTCGGATTTCCCATGAGCTCGAGAATACTACCTTCTGACAAGGTAACATGTTACACATACCGAGGCTAATTAATTATTATAGAAAAGGAAAATGAATATGGGAGCGATGAGGGTAGTGCTCCTAAGCGACCGCGCCTGAATGACAGCTCAGACGACGAATACGATGGGCTCGACGACGCTCAAATCCTGGACGCTTTCTCACATTATTCAGATATTCTAGACGAAAACCTACCATCGCAAGGACAAGGAGAAGAAGAAGAAGAAAGCGATGATGATATCATCAATGTATACTGCTCAGGGAAAGTCGTACATATCCCGAACAATCCTAACAACGCAAATAGTGCCGACGATCCTATTTCGAATCCGGTACTGCAACGGGAGGATAACGAATCGCAACCAGAAACACTAGCAACTGAACCCCCACTGTGTCCCGAGCAAGCTGAACTAGTCAGGTTGATAATTGAAGGACGTAACGTCTTCTATACGGGCTCCGCGGGGTGTGGAAAGTCAACTGTCTTGAAGGCGTTCACTTCTCGTCTACGAGCTTTGGGCAAAACCGTAGATATCATTGCGCCAACAGGACGAGCGGCCTTGGAAGTTGGCGGTTCCACAACCTGGACGTACGCTGGATGGATACCGGCGTCGCAGAAGAAACCACTCGAGGAGCTCAAGCAGGAAACTCGCTATAACAAGCAACTTCGCAGACGCCTCAAGCATACAGATGTTCTCGTTATCGATGAAGTTAGCATGGTTGAAAACTTCCACTTCGAGCGGCTAAGCGAGGTCATGAAAGCGGTTCGCGATGCGGAAAAGCCCTTTGGAGGAGTTCAGCTAATTGTCACCGGAGATTTCCACCAGCTCCCGCCCGTAAAACCTTTCGAGTATTGTTTGAATTGCGGGAACGAGCTGACTAAGGATACTGCGAAGGATATGTACACATGCAGGAAACATGGTTCATTCTACGACGAGGACAAGTGGGCGTTCCAGAGCAAGGCTTGGAAGGACTGTAACTTCGTTTACTTCTCGCTGAAGACAATCCACCGACAAAGAACCGACAAGAAGTTTATAGACATCTTGCAGACGGTCCGACTAGGAAATAACCTAACAGAAAACCAAATACAACTACTCAAGGACCATCATTGCACCACAGAAGGTGCCACCAGGCTCTACGCGACCAGAGAGGAAGTACGTAAAATCAACCAGCGCGAATTTGACCGCCTTGATGCAGAATCATACACCTACAAATGTCGGGATGTCTTTGAGTGGAACGAAGCAAAACACCCACATCTCAAATATAAAGGAGAACGCTCGGAAGATGGTTGTCTTCCCGCACTTGACGAGCATCGGTTTGAACGCTATTTAGAGCTGAAGCTTGGCGCACTAGTCGTCCTACTCGTGAACCTAGACTTGAAGCACAAGCTCTGCAACGGCAGCCAGGGCATCGTCTGCGGATATGAGCCCTTCGATATGGCGAAGATTCCGAGAGCTAGGTATAAAAAGAAGGACGAAGATTCGTCAAATGCCATATATGGAGAGCACGCCTACATGAAGGAAACTCAAATTCGAAAATTCATCGATGGGGCTGACAAGAAAGTCTGGCCGATCGTTAAGTTCCACAATGGCGAGACTAGAACTATCTACGCGGAATGCTGGATTCATTGCCTTGGAAACGAGGAACCGTATAGCATCCTTAGCCGTACCCAGATCCCGTTAGCTCCTGCGTGGGCGATGAGTATACACAAAAGCCAATCACTGACACTTGATCGTGTCATAGTCGACTTATCGAGAGCTTGGGAAGAGGGCCAGGTCTATGTCGCCTTGTCGAGAGCGACGAGCTTAGAAGGCCTGAAAATTGAAGGAGATCCGAAAGGCTTGGCACGTGGCAAGGGTGGGAATTCCGAGGTGCGAAAGTTCTATAGGGAACATTTTGGGATGTGAAACTACCAGGTCTTTCTGAGTTCAAAAAGCTTAGGTGCTGATATTAGGACCTTAAGAACAATGCGATGCCTACATGGATAGGTCGACAGCTCATTTCATTCAAGCTTCCCCGTGCAATAAAGAGTACAAATAAATGATCTCTCATGTTCATTCCTATACATCATACTATTCCTCCTTTTCATCTAAGAGGCACAGTTGCGAAATTATCAATGTTCAAGTGTTCATGAAGCTCCTGAATTACATGTTCAGGGGTAAATCTGATTAGTCAGCAAGAAAAAAGATTGTCCGGATTTTCGAGATTACGCATCTATATATATAGAGTGGATATGTATAGACATGCTATCTCGATCCCTAATACACATGAGTAAGTATTCATATATAGCTTATTGGCATTCAGTCGCAGAAACCGAATTAAGAGCGACCTGATAGATTCCTTGTAGTCACGGAGAAACTACATGCCTAGAACTTCATGAGGATACCACATATCCTTATCAGATTTGGAATTCCCACCCTAGCACGCGACTGGATGGTTACATCTGAGTATGGATTAAGGCGAGCATTTATCCGGGGAAATAGAACCTCATATTACTAGATTGAGATGGCAAACCACACATGATTACATAAGCGCCCCTTTTCACTGCCAATCCCACTCGTTCAAGGCCTGAGCATGACCTTATGTAGAAATAACAGTTAATTCGCTAGGTTTTGACACAGAAGCAACTTATTGTTGCCTGATTATCGATCAAAAGTCTCAACATCCCATTTTCTTCGCCTGAGATTACCACATCCCAAAGGCTTATTTACATGTAATTGTCTGCTTGAGCATCAATCGTCATCGTTACTGTTGAAATATCTCCCACCGCCTTCCTAGAAATTAACAATCCAGTAGGACTATTTGGTGAGATAGAATGAGGATTGATTTGAAATGTATTGTCGCACTCGGGGGTTCTCGAGCTTCAATTCCCCACGATTTCTTACGGCGTACAAAAGCCGATTCAAACTAGCGGCAATACTCGTTGTTCGTCATAACCTTGAGGATAACCCGAAAAAACGCTTGCCCATGCCTAAATAAAGAAAACATGTGGCATGAACCATTCGCGGTTCATCGTTCCCCACGGTAGACAAGGGCCAGGGGGTGATCTCGGCTATATTCGCCATATTAACCGCCGATCGTCTATACGACGACGCCATCGACAGCACGGCATCGAATATGCAAGACGGAATGGAAAAGGAAAGCCTGAGGATCACGGTGGGAGTACACGTTCGCCCGGCTATGTGCTGCACGAATTTTCCTGCGGACTGGTTTAAATAGAGGACGGGTCTGCCGCATGGGAGCGAAGCTTAGGGAAACCTTTTCCGCTTGTTGTGCTACGACATATCGAAACGCTTGTCGGCTTCGTCTCTCAGGATGCAGATAACCATGCACTCGGCCGCCGCGGCGGCGCTGCTGGCGGCAGGCGCTCAAGCATTACTGCGCTTCTCGTGCTCGCAGCTCGTCGTCGAGCGCCTGGACCCGCTCGTCAACCCGGGCGTCGTCGGTTCGCCGCACGTCCACCAGATCATCGGCGGTAACGCTTTCAACAGTTCGATGGACTACCCGCGGATGGACATTCCCGGCGAGGCTACTTGCACCACGTGCACGTTTGCCGAGGACACGTCGAACTACTGGACCGCCGTGCTGTACTTCCGCGCCAGGAACGGCACCTACAAGCGCGTCCAGCAGATGGCCAACTCGGGCTTCGAGGGCGCTAAGGGCGGTATGACGGTTTACTACACGCCTAGCTACAATAACGCCAAGGTTACTGCTTTTAAACCTGTACGTTGCCCCTTCATAGATATTACCTACACAGGTAGGTACACGGAAGTAAACTTGAAAGTTTCTGACAACGATGCTCAGGGCTTCCGTATGATCGTCGGAAACCCGAACTACCGAACCGAGGCGGAGGCCAAGAAGTACCGCCAACTCACCTACACCTGCCTGGAGACCATCCTGACCCGATCCGGAGAGACCATGGACATGCCGAAGAAACCGTGCAAGATGGGAATCATGGCTAACATTCGTTTCCCCACGTAAGTACTTCCTTTTCTAGAATAACCCCCCTCTACCCACTTTCCCCAAGAAAGGGAAGGGAGATGAGCCGAAACCTCTACAAACACGCGACGACACGCTAACACCCCCGCAAGCTGCTGGGACGGCAAGAACCTCGACAGCGCGGACCACTCGAGCCACGTGGCGTACCCGGCGAGCGGGACGTTCGAGAGCGGGGGCGCGTGCCCGTCGACGCACCCGGTCAAGATCCCGCAGCTCTTCTACGAGGTGATCTGGGACACGCGGCCGTTCAACGACCCGAACGACTGGCCGGCCGACGGCAGCCAGCCCTTCGTCTGGTCCTACGGCGACCCCACCGGCTACGGCAACCACGGCGACTACATGTTCGGCTGGAAGGGCGACGCCCTCCAGAAGGCCATGGACCAGAACTGCAATATCGGATGCCCCGCCCTGCAGACGCAGTCGATTGCCCAGGCGAACCAGTGCAGCAAGCAGGTTACTGTTAATGAGGATATTGATGGCTGTGAGTGATCTCTCTCTGTTTCCTTTCCCTATTTCCCTGATCGTTTTTATTGCCCTCTTTCTCTTGTCTGTCTGTGTGTGTATGTATGCACGTAGTTTTTGGAGAACCGTTTCTAATGGCTATATCACAGGGCTCACGGAACTCCCTGGCGGAATGCCTGTCACTGGTGCTGGCGGAAAAGTTCTATATTAAGCACATATTTAGTTAGATCAGGGTGTATATGAAGAGTGAATTAATAAAGACCATAATGAATCACGCAGAATGCAACGCTTAGACCTGAGGTTTGTGGTGTTAGGAAGGTGTCCAGTCCGCCTGCTAAAATACAGGACCCTCCCCTCACAAACCCCTATTAAAATGTTATCGCTACCCATAAGATGTGCTCAAGTTTCTACTCCAACCAAAGCAATCAATTCCAGTGCCAATTCGCTGCAATATTACGTATCCTAAGAGATCTCATTTTTGAAGAAATGGGAAGAATCGCTTTCGAGGTCCGAGTTTGGGGCTGGTACATGGATAACACTCGCGGTGTGGGTCTCTTTCCGGACGTTGAAAGGAAGAAGCCTCTCGGATAGAGACAGGGAGCCAAGGGACTGGAGGCTATGCATTAGCTGGGATATCACAAAACAAGTGAGCCATAGGCTTACAGCTGTAGTCGTCGCTCATCTTCATCAAGAGAATGTCCCATTTCCAAGAGGCAATCGCATCAGATTCACAGAGATCGCCCTCCCCGGTAACGGTGCAATCGTGCATAATCATGGCATCCCACGAATGCCTAGGGGTAAATGCTTCAGGGCCCTTGAAAATCTGGATCTTGTCCGCGCGAGTCGAAAGAGTGCCCCAGGACACACCATAGCGAGTCGCGGCAAAACTGGAGAGGACAATCTTGACATCAACTATGAGAATGTTAGTCGAGGAGGGTGATAAATCGAAACGAATGATTACCCTTGACGTGATGCTTCTTCAATGCTTGAGGATAGACAAGATCTTGGGATATTGGGAGGCCATTGGCTTTCCCACCACATCTTGATACGATCATCTTGCACAAATTGTCGTTTTCTGACGTCCATTGTATTTTCTAGAGATGGTTACAAACTAGCTGTTTGGGTGGGAGTTGATATACGTACGCTGTCACGCATAATGTCCTCGCCTGGTTTCAAAAAGGCCTGTATGCAAGTTGAGTCAGCTCATCCGATCATCGCAGGACAGGATTCAGTAGCATACAATCCTGGCGAGGTGGCAAGTCCCCATGTACTTTGTTATGTCGATGAAGTCGGCGGAGGTGCCATAGAGGAGGTTGCTGTCTCTGAGACCAAAAGGATCTCCTGCCCAGTATTGTGGATACCGCCTCAACTTATTCCTCATCTTGAGGAGTATCCGACCTTCGCGGCCAACGTGTTTGTGTCCGAATGGGGTTGGGCGTTTGGGGGTTCTTTCCTCTCCAGAATCGGAGGATATGCTCGATATTGATGCTGGAGCCATGATCATATGTATGGGAACTGATGCGTATATATCTATTAATGGAATGGGTGCTTGATGTACAATTAAACACTGCCGCGAGCTTCGGGTCGGCAGTGGCACGTCATGAGAACGCGGTTCTTGGGATGAGAATTGGAAAATGACGCTGTTGCAAAAGTTGGGTTCAGATATTCAAATAATGCGCCAGGCTCTGAGTGATATAGCTAGGTACCTAGGCACATATTCAGTTTCGAAGAAGGCGTAACACAGCACGAAGTTGGGTCGTGAATTCCCAGGAACAAGGTGCTATAGCTCGTAACAAGGTAGGCAGGTGCAATGATTAACATTCCACTTTTTCTAAAATGCATTAGAACATGGAGGAAAGTCAATACGAAGCTAGGTAGCTTTAGTAACCAACTATAAGTTTAGTTTAGGTATTTCTAAGTTTTGACATACAATATAAAATGGTTAATGTGATAGAGAAACTTTTGTAGAAACTTACCTAGGTAACTATGAAGTGGCAAGTGTAACTCAACTAGCAAAGGAGGTTCTACTGGACCACTCTTGATCTTGGTGATATTGTGAGCACAGGTATAGATTGCTTTATCTTAATTTCTTATAATTTTCATACCGTTAAGTAAGGGTTTAGGAAGGAAGGCAATTAGGTATTTGTCTATCCACCAAGCGTCTAATTAGTAAAAATATGCTACGGCTTGACCTATATTTCTAGAAAAACTTACATAATCTGGCACAGACACTGAAGAAACCGTATTTACGAATTGTCCTGCCTTGGCTGCCTTGTATCTTGACCCAAGTTGAATGCTACTATGCCAGGTTTTCAAGGGAACAAATTGGAAATATATACCGACCTTAAGCTTGGAATTATCCCTTTCGTCGGCATAAGACTATTAGTCTCAATAAAACCGCTAACTGTACATCAGCGATAGCGCAAGCTTTCTAAGCCTGTAAGTGTTGGTGCTCTTACAGTGATCTTCAGAGGCGTCGAAGTTGGAAGCTTTTGTGGGTGCTAGTGGAGTTTAAGGGTTCCTAGAAATACAGTTACCTACCTAGTAATTGTGTAGTCTTATGCCAGTTAATGGATTATGCCGAGAGCCTTCTTGGTCTATAAATCCTAACCCTATCCCTAGCCTCTAAAGGTTACTTGATTATCAATAGAAGCTAGTTGTTAGCATTGGAGAACTCAAATTGGTATGTGCTTGGGTGATGCGAGGGTTGAGTAGTAGCTCCAGGTAGTTCTAGTGGCCGTGGTAGTTATAGATGTGCTGGTTACACATGGGATTTCTTGCGGCGGCTAGCTGTAGCGGTGTATAGCGTACATAAGAAACAATAAATAGAGCTGCTAGCCGAATAGTGTGATAACAAGCGAAGCTGAGGCCGAACAAGCGAGACGACAAGGATTAATTGCCCATGGCTTACGCAGTATGCGCAACAACAGGGGTTAAAGGAGAACATGTAGCGAGACATCATACCGAACCCATTTAGAACATAAAAACGTGATGCCAAGAAGGAATAAAAAGGTTACACCCGAGAAGATTATTTACATACGTCGTTTTACCTAATTTCCATATGTGTTTTGTATGGACCCTATTACACCCGTTGTGATGGACACGGGCCACGATCGTGGTTCCATGGTGGTTTGTTAAAATCCGGATCCAATGTCCGAAATTTTGACGATTAGCGTGCGACAATTCCCTTAACTTTGCCGACACTAAACACGATTCCGAAATCTATAAATTGAATCATAGTTAAATACCTAGTTTCTGATATTGGATATGCAAGTTCAACAGAATAGGATGTACTACGTAGGCCATGGCTATGTACCTTTAAACGCAATCCCGTCTCTAGATCCCGCCTGTGTAAGGTTGTATGTACCGTCGCAGCAGGCGCGATGGTCCCGAGATCCACCTGCACGTTAAATAAACCTCAGCCGCTAAGGCTGCTAGGGCATCGTCACGGAGTACGTACCCCATACATATGTACTTTCCCACTACAACAATCTTTTGTCATATTGAATCTTGTTCATCGTTCTGAGTCGTGCATGACCAAGGACAATACAACCTCGGTGTCCAGGTAGCAATATGGAGTTGAAGCGAAAAGATACCCCGACGCATCCGCACAACGTTTCTTTTCACGTCAGAAAAGGATAAAGCCTCGGCTCCTGAGCAACCCTTGTTCGGTTTTTGTTGCGTTCTCCGCAGAACCCTCAGTTGCATCCCCATCATGATTTGCGGGGATTGCAACCCCGAATGAGATTCCATGGCTCACTCATTCGTCACAGCCACTTGACTTGATACCCTGCGTCGGTAGGTAGGTAACTGGCCCAGAGCCAATGAGAGAGTCCTCATAGCGAAGGGGGTTCTCAACATTGGCCTGCTACCAAGCTGTCTGCTTGGGCATGGATGTGATAGGAAACACGGCAAGTCCACGCCGCATCCGAGCTGCTGAGACGGGCTCCGCACTGTGACGTTGGGAGCAGCTCGCCTCTATTCACCCTTTTCAGTGGGCATTCTCCATCGTCTTTCAATTTGTCATCCACTATCACAGAGCAAATTAATACCACAAACACCTAGGAAGTTTGCAGGCAAATAAAGACTGCGACGACATCGATTCCTATCTTTGTCTTGCCTGAGGTCCTGTCCGGTATTAAGAGGCTTGAGAGACTCATCATCGTTTCAAGGTCCGATTCACGCCCTCGCCACCGCCAATCCTACCTGTCTCCATCATGACAATTGAATCAAGATGGTCGTCTCCAATGCTCAACTGCTCTTTGCAGAAATGGGTGTTCGGGTCTTCATTCGGTCCTCTCCTAGACACTCCTCAATTCATCGACGCTGATCGCCCGGAGACTCACTTTCTCACACAAACCGATTATCGCCTGTGGGCGAAACGACTGGCCCTGGGACTGACGCGAGCAGGCCTCAAACCAGGTGATCGCGTTCTCCTCTTCTCCGGTAACTCAATTTTCACACCGGTAGTATTCATGGGCATCCTTATGGCCGGAGGCGTTTTCACTGGCGCCAATCCAAGCTTTGTCGCGCGCGAACTTGCTTATCAGGTAAAAGATAGTGGCGCCTCATTTTTAATAGCTGGCGACGCTAGCATGGAGATCGCGGTAGAAGCTGCAGCTCAAGTAGGTCTGCCGAGGAGTCGGATATATAGCTTTGATGCGACGGCGCTCGACCCGGAACCAGGCAAGGCACGGCTTGGAACACAACACTGGACAGTTCTCCTTGCTGCCTCGGAAGAAGCGGCCAAGTTCGACTGGGTTGAGCCTATTGATGCGAATAAGCAAATCTGCGCCCTCAACTACAGCTCGGGAACGACGGGCGTGCCGAAAGGTGTCGAGATCTCGCATTATGCCTATGTGGCGAACGGGCTCGGTGCGAGCTTTATGGAACGTTTAGACTCCCAGTTTGCGGAAAAGAAGAAGCGAGCCAGGCGACTAGGCTTTTTACCGATGTACCATGCGTACGGTCAGACGTTCTTCATCTCCAACTACCCGAGGGAGGGCATCCCAGTTTACATCATGTCCTCGTTCAATTTCGAAAAGATGTTGCAGCACATCGAGAAATTCCGCATCGACATTCTCGTCGCCGTGCCCCCCATCTTAGTCGCGCTGGCTAAGAGCCCTCTTAGCCGTAAGTATGACCTCAGTAGCGTCGAGATTATTGGTAGCGGTGCCGCACCACTTGGAACCGAGGTTAGCGAAGAAGTTGCCAAGCTGTGGCCACCAGGTGCTATAAAGCTGCGTCAGGGATGGGGCATGACGGAGTTGACGTGCGGCTGCACATATTTCCACCCCGACGAGACGAATAAAACAGCAGCAGTTGGTGAACTGTTACCGAACTTCAAAGCGCGGATCATGAAGATCGATGGTTCAGGAGAGATCACTAAAGCGAATGAAGCGGGTGAGGTATGGATACACGGGCCAACCCTGCTAAAAGGCTACTGGAACAAGCCTCAGGCCACCGCTGATACTCTTCATATCGACGCAGATGGTACTCGTTGGCTAAAGACCGGAGACATTGGCTACTTTGAGAAATATGAGCCAGGCGGGCTTTTGCACATCGTGGACCGCATCAAGGAACTCATCAAGGTGAAAGGCAACCAAGTAGCTCCGGCCGAGCTAGAAGACGTGCTTCTGGACAATAAGGGCGTCGATGACGTAGCCGTGGTGGGTGTCACGATTAACGGCGAAGAAGCCCCGCGCGCGTACGTCGTTGCAAATCCCAACGTCAAGCAGACGGAACAGGATATTGCTAAGTGGATGGAGTCGAGGGTTACCAAGTACAAGTGGCTCCGTGGTGGCGTCAAATTCGTCGACGCTATTCCTAAGAATCCGGTAAGTGTAACGACACCGACAAAATCAGACTGGCGAGAGTTGACTAACGATTTACCCTTTAGTCCGGTAAGATTTTGCGTAAGATACTTAGAGATCAGGCCGCCAAAGAAGTTGGTGATAGAAAACCGAGTTCGGCGAAGTTGGCCTAGAGCAGAAATGATAGAATAGGGTCTTGGAGAAGCTGGGCTCTAACTATTTCCCCATCAGCATGGCGCGAGCGGTGGACGATATATCGCGATCTCGCTTTTATGGTACATAAGGGTTCCTTGATATTAGCGTTGTCTAATACCGTTCAATTGATGAGTATTTAAATTAGCCAGGTAGGCTTGGGCGTTGAAAGCTCCCAGGAAACAGCGCGCCGAGTCTCCAATGTTTCGAATTCATTCCTGTATATTCCATGGATTGGTACAGGGGACTTCCGAATGCTGCGCTCTGTAATACGAGATTGTCCCCGCGCTGTACTACAAAATTAAGTGAGATGTACGACAGCAGCATAACCTTAGATAAGACTGTTGAGGTCCTCGAAACTTGGGAACTTACACGCTTTTAATGGGTCTTTCGCACGAAGCCTCCCTTCATTAGGATGTTCGTCATAGGCCCCGCTGGTTGCCACGATATACGTCGGTAAGCTTACTTGTGCATTTTCTTATCGATGATACGTTAATCCCTTTTAACTAATTTATTACATGCTGAAGGGGTCCGTTTTGGGTGGAAGGATATATTACCTTTACACCATCGGGTATAACGCCTGTCTATCAACCAAGCCCTCATCATCGAACCAAACCCGGAGCGCCTGGCCAATGCAATTCCCAGTATTCACCATCCCGCCTATCTAGTAATACAAATGCACCCCACATTCCTCTAGTAAGTAATCGTCACCGTCTTATTGCAATACCTCTCCTCCCTCCGCAGGACCAAATTCCTCGCGACCCACTTCCCCGCGTCCTCGCGCGAGATCGTGTACCCTATGGCTTTCGACTCGACCCCCTTCACCGGATCCTCGATCCCGACCCGGACCTCCCTGTCCGTCTCGCCGTCCGTCAGCAGGCTCGCGCGCACGACGATGAAGTCCTCGCCGCTGGCCGCGAGCGCGTCCTCCATCGCCCGCTTGTCCGCGTGCGGCACCTTCAGCACGACGCCGTAGAAGGGGACGACGGGCAGCGGCGTGTCGCGCCCGAAGCGCGACATGCCCGTCGTGCTGCACGCGATTACGTGCGGGCGCCCCGTTACCCCCTCCTTTCGCAGGCGGGAGAGCGCGGAGAGAAGCACGGACATGCCCTTCTCGCATACGTGCGGGTCGTCCAACGTCATCTTGGACAGCACGAAGGCGCCGCCGATCGTGGACACAACCACGTCTACGAGCGCGGTCTCCGACGCCTTCAGACACCGTGACACGGCTGCGATGTCGTGCGCGTTGCCCTGCACGACGACTAGGTTGGGCGTATTGTCGAGGTCGAAGTGCGCGCCCAGCTTGGCCGGGTTCCGGCACAGCGCGATGCACTGGTGGCCTGCGGCGAGGCAGGTCTTCAGGGTCGCTAGACCCACGCCGGTGCTTGCGCCGAGGAATGCGATTTTCTTTTGCGTCATGGCTTCGGTGGATTGGTCTATTTTCTTTTGAGGCGAGAAGAGGAATTTGAGATCTAGATGGTGAGAATGTGATGTTTTGCTTGATAGATAGCTATATTGTGTCGTAGCCTCTATAAGAGGAAGGTTGAATGCATCTTATACATCTGTACTTCTCGGTTGGTGACTATTTCCAATTGTCATAATCCATCATAATGGATGAGTCTGAGGCGTCGCTACGTTATCGCTAGGGTGTCGCTTTATTCGCGGCAGCTAGCGGCGAGTTTTCGCTCTTTTCTCGCTGCAGGTGCGGCTGACTCGGGGGCGCAATTCCCCCGGTCTGGTTTGGCTAAGGGCCGGGAATTAGCCTTCACTTGGTGTACTATGCGAGATGAGGACGACTATCCATCATTACTAATCAAAATTGGCTTAGCTAAGACTGCAACCTCAACCTGCCCGCAACTACTGTAGTGCATAGTATGCATCTTCGTAAACTGTTTAGCCTTTTATGTCGATGCTGATGTCTTAATTATATTTATATCGATCGATAATTCAAGCTCTCTCACCTGATATCAAGAACATGGTTGTTTTGATCATGAGCATTTTGACTACCTATCACGTGATCACCCTCGACGTCAACATCGTCCAGACGCGATAACCTTCCAAACAAGCTGGGAATTCCAAATATCAATTGTTCATAGTTAAAGTCACTGGAGTGCGAAGCCTCTGCAGAATTGACCGGATGTTATAAATAGGAGGTGACATAATATTGACAACTGCCTCGGCATTTGAAGGGAAATATTAGCTGCTCCGTCGAGAGTTGGTAATAAATAAGGAGGTACATATATTTGTATGGAGATCTGCGTGCGAAGAAGGCATTGTTGACGTGCACTAGAGATAAAAGCACAAAAAAAAAAAAAAAACAACGGACTCAGATGTGTGTGACGGAACATGAAAAGTGCACGAGAAAAAAATACAAAAAAGCTCAGCGGAATACGGAAGCTGTGGTCCTCGAATCACCGAAGTCCGCCATACTTCCCCAGCATCGGCCCGATGTGGAGTATTTACCGCCTACGAAAAACCCATCATAGTATATAGAGGCAAGGTTTTTACTGACCTACACTTCCAACCGTTGCGCCACGGGGCCCATCGTTCACGCAACTATCGGAAGGCACTTGTGGCCGATGACTGACATGGGAATTATTCTATTACTTAACCCTTGGTTGGGACAGTGTGTGGTGAGTCATAGATCCTGGGGAGCACGTTGCTACGATCAACCTCAGGCACGACTGTCCTTACGTAGTCTTATGATCGATCTCCCTACCTTGAAGCAAATCATCACCCCAACATGTGCAATAAATTCTACTCACCTTATGACTCCATTCCTAATTCAGCAAAGCCTTGACCAGACTCCCGAACCTAGTTCTGTTGCCATTCGACGTCACGGCGACGTACATCGCTAATCCTCTCCTCAGGCTCCGTTATTTACTCTACCCTTAAGGAGCCCAATGCGTACTCCGTACTTGCTATCCTACGACAGCACCTATGCGATAACTTAGAGCCGGTCGGCGAGATCCAACTGCGAGTCCATGCTGATTTATTGTTGACAATGAGTATGGCTGAGTCTGTCTCGCAAGTATCTCTGTCGACGCCCGCATCTACACAATCTGATCAGATGATACGCATGCTCCATCTGCGAGACCAAGAAATTTGGCATTGACTGATTCCTCATCGGCAAAAACTCCTCGACGTCCCATGCTGGTATCTTTACAAGCGACACCTTGAGCCTAAAGTCCCGCGTCTAGCGACACGAATACGTTCGCATAGCGATCGTAATGAGTTCTTCCGGCCCTTTCCTCTCGGCCTCCTGAGACCCGAACACCAAGCACATACCATCAACTACCTTGAATCACGGGGTTTCGACGGCTCAGCCAGCCTCTAAGGAATCTCCCTCTCACTCGGCCCTGTCCCTTACCAGCTTACATACGTACTCACGCCTTTCGCATGGTACAAGTATACCCGCGTCACAAATGCCAAGACCGTCAATAGGCCGTACTTGCCAGATACAATAGTAATGAACTCAACTGATCTTAATTGCAAGAGTAGGGGTTGGGGTTTTCTGAGTACCTGCTGAGTGATTTTCGCCTGGATGATCTTCGAATATTATATATTACACAGCTCCAACCCAATTGATCATGATTTTACTCCCGGTCCCGACCCAAATAGCCCAAATCGCTTGGCAGCATTTGGCCGCGTCGCATCTACGACACCTCAGCCATCAATTTCGCACACGATGTCTCCCATAATTGCGAGGCGCCCGCTCGCACTCCGGAAACAAGGATTCTTTCATGAATACTACTAGGGTAAGGACTACAACAAATGCGACTGGGTAGGCAACTATGGGATGCCGTTTCGGAGACCGAATGAAGACTTGATAGTCCCGTGCATTAGAAAGGCGACATTGCTGCCCGGTCCGGGATCATGGACTGGTTTATCCAGTACTATGACATCGGCAACAGCGAGAAAATCGTATGGGTGGATTTGAATTGGCGGGACTTTACCTAGCAGTTTGAGGGATGAGAATTCACTCATGTCCTGTTTCTCTCAAGCCTCTGTGATTGGCCATTCCACCCACGTTTTGAAGAGCATTCATGTTTGAGTTGAGGGAAAGGTATCACTGATGCGGAAGAGTGCCCCGGGTTGCCACCGGTCAAGTTTCGCTTGTTTTTCGTCGTACGAAATTAAGTGCGGTGGAATCGGGGCGTAATTCCCCCGCCCCCTTTATGCCACCACCCGGGCGCTAGCCCCTATTCGGCATATTCTTGCTTACGGCCCCACTATCAGGCACTTGGATTCGCGATGTCGACTGCATATTCACACCAAATCAATTCACTTGTAACACCAGGGAGATCCCCATCTAACCCTATAAGAAGCCGTCCCGCCCGCTTCCAGCATATAATGTCACAGGTTCCGGCCGCGGCTATCTCGGCCACGACTCCGGACGCTTCGAGAAGGGTGGGGCCAAGTGTACCTGACTCGGCTCCGCCCGCCGAGAAACCCGCGAGCGCCGGGACATCACACGGAGGGACAGCATCTTTACCGTCAAGAGACGTAAAACTACGTAGCTGTATTACGTGCCGTGCGCGCAAAGTCCGATGCGACAAATCATCGCCATGTTCGAACTGTCGCCGCGGAAATATCCCCTGCGTCTTCCCGAGCCTAGACAAGCCACCGCGATGGGCTCGCAGGCTTGAGCGCGTCGCCAACAGTGCTAAGGCGGCGCAGGAAAGTGATCCTAGCGTGAATCAGGTTATGGAAAGGTTACGAAGTCTCGAGAGCCTCGTCAAGGAGCTGAGTGGGCAGTTGGAACAGGCGCATGCGAGTGCCCGCGGCTCACCGTCGGCTAACTCTCCCAAGGATTCGGGTCATGACCGAGATACTAAACATCATGTTGAAGCTTCGGCGCCAGTCACGAGTATGTCGAATGTACAATCGTCGTTCGGGCGATTAGTTCTTGGAGATGCTGGCCAAAGCCGCTATGTGAGCAGCGGCTTCTGGTCGCGCGTCAACGACGAGGTGAGGCGAGCCATATCACGTGCTTGTATTTAGCTAATCTTTTCAGCTCCATGGTCTGAAGATGGATACCGAAGGCCTGGCTGGCGGAGACTACAATAGCTCTGGAGATGAGGACTCTCCCGGAAAGACTCCCTCGACGCAAGAGTTAGACCGAACACCTTCAGAACGCCATGCCTTTCTCTTCCGGAACAGCCTTGGCTCCCCGTCACCAGATCTTCGCGAATTCCATCCCTTACCTTCACAGATACCCTTCCTCCTTAATGTCTTCTCTGAAAACATTAACATCATGGCGCGCATCGTTCACATTCCTACTGTTCATAGGATAGTACGGGATGCGGATGGCGACTTATCCACCCTAACGCCGGCCAACGAGGCTTTACTGTTTGCGATCTACTATGCATCCATAACTTCTATGGAAGAAGAGGATGTGGGTTGCCCCTTACCTCGGAGTTTATAGCGAATGCTTATGTATCTCATCTGTTGCTTAGGTCATAACCAACTTCGGCTCTACTAAATCCGAACTCAATCTTAAGTATCGTCTCGCCCTAGAATATGCATTATCAAAGGCAGATTTTCTTAATGTTCCCGACATAATCCTTTTACAAGCATTCGCCATATTTCTATTCCTGCTTCGTCGCCATGATAGTCCGCGGTTCGTATGGATGATGACGGGGCTTGCCATCAGAATGGGACAGGCCCTTGGTTTACAACGTGATGGTAGCCGCTTCGCTAACCTTACGCCGTATGAAGTCGAAATGCGACGGAGAGTGTGGTGGGCGTTGTGTGCTATGGATGTGAGGGCCTCCGAAGACCAGGGCATGGATCTTACTATCACTCAGGGCAGTTTCGACACACGAATCCCCCTGAATATTAACGATTCCGATATCGACACCGCGACAAAGGAAACGCCCAAGGAGCGCGAAGGACTAACTGATATGACATTTTCCATCATATTCACAGGACAGACTAGCGTAACTCAGAAGCTCATGGCCCTAAGCCTCAAAGATGGAACGTCACGCGTAGACGAGCAGACCCGGCTCATAAACGAATTCTACGAGCAGCTAGAGCGGACGTACCTCCGATACTCCCACGAGGCCGGCAACATCGGCTACTGGGTCACGGTCACGATAACCCGGCTCCTCGTCGCCAAGATGAGCCTCATCATCTACTTCCCCATCCTCTTCTGCCCACACGAGCACGCCTCCGACAGCGAGGCCCTGCGCGCCAAACTCTTCGTCGCGGCCGTCGAAGTCGCCGAGTTCAACCACGCGCTGAATGCGGAGCCGGCCTGCCGCAACTGGCGCTGGCTCTTCCAGACGTACACGCACTGGTACGCCATCGTGTACATGCTGATCGAGGCGGCCCGCCGCCCTTGGAGCCCCGCCGTCGAGCGCGCCTGGGTCGCCCTGCACAGTCGCTGGCTTATTCCCGCCCAGCAGCAGCAGCATCACCACCACCACGCCGACACCGTCGCCGCCGCCGCCACCGACAACCCCAGCATGCGCTTCTGGGTCCCGCTGCGCAAGCTCACGGCCAAGGTGCGCCGGCACCGCGACGCCGAGATCGAGAGGTTGAGGAAGGACCTGCGAGCTGCGAGGGCCTTGGAGACGCAGGATAGCCAGGCTCAGCAGCCTACTAGCCCGGGGCCGTTCCCGGGCCCGGATAGCGCGGAGAACTTCCGCGAACGGTGGAGGAGGCTTGTGGGGTTGGAAGAGAGGGCGGGTAATGAAGGGGGAGGTGGGCTGTCGAGCTTTGCCCGGATGGCGGATACTACCACGCCGAGCTTCGGCTCTGTCTCGCAGTATAGTTCGGGTATGTCGGCATCACAACAGGATTTCGGATCGTCGTACCTCCAATCCAGCTTTCCGCAAGGCGGCAGAGTCGCGGTGTCGAATTTCCGGGGGAATAGTCCGGGTTTGGACCCGGGTGTGACGACGAATATTTCTAATCAAATGGAGGCAGGGTCGCATCAGGCCGGCTCGTCGTACAGCCCCTTCGCTTCAGGCCCCACGGAATTGGGTCCGGGTTTCGGGGCCTGGTTGTGGGCCGACGCCGACCCGTCGGTCGACGTATTCGCGAATATCGACGTGGAAGCGACGGACTTCAACATGGAACTCGATGGTGAGATCGACTGGAATGATTGGGTCGAATCGGCTAAAGGTTTGGAGTTGTCCGGTGAGCAGCCACCGGGTGGTGGTGGGTGGATGTGATTTATGGTATTTTCCGTCTTACGCGGGTTACAGTTTAAGGCTCCCCTTTTCTGGTTAACGATTCTGCATTATGGAATCAGGTAGATAGGTACCTATTTTGTCCAACCACAAATTTCCTGGTAATTATCTTGACTGTCAAATACGATTTGAGCAGCATTCTAACAAAGATCAATTAATTAATAATACTTAGATTGTCGTTTTACCCAGGTTCTTAAATGGAAAAGTTATTTTAACCCCTATTTTTCATTTGCGAGCTAAGCTGTTTCAAGTATGATGCATCCCATTCATCCCAAATGTTACACCGAAATCACTCCTACGAAGCTCAAGGATCTTCCTAATCTACCCCAGCCCACCTGCATCCAACTACATGAGTTGCTATTTGGTAATGACCTGCCCATTTTCTCAATAACCAAACTGTTTGTTGTCTAAGCCCACGCGTCTCCCCGGGAGTTGCCCTTTTGTCGGTCGTATAGTTCGATATCGTTCGTCATCATTTTTGTCAGGTTTAGTTCAGACTCTGAAGCCGGGCGTGCCTGGTGCTGTTGTTGTATAGTGGTAGTGAGCCAGATGTTTGGGGGACGGCCTACCACTACACCTGCTTTGGCTTGTTGGATGCTGTTGTCCGGTAGCCCTTTTTTGCTGCTACTTCGAATCCAATACTTTTGATTGCCCGAAGACGAGGACACGCTGTTTTGGGAACCTCGTGTTGCCCAGGATTGGAACCGCGTGACAGTCATCTGAACCAGCGGCCGCAAGCTTGGGAGGCACGCACAGATTATAGCGACGTAGAGCTCCATACCACCCCAGATGACGAGAGTTGTTAAGTCACGGGTTCGGTTATTCGAAAAAATAAACTTGTGAAGGGCTACGATGCGCAAAACACTAGTAACTATGACTCTTTTTTGTACGCGGAACATGTTAGCACGATACTAAAATACACTGGTGATGTGTGGGGGATCCTTACATTAAACCGAGGGAAAACATAGCAATAGTAGTCATCTTCTTAGCAAGTGAGAATTGCAGTTGGAAGATCCAGCGTGCGGGAAGCAGAATGAGGAAAACGTCCAGCGCTGTTGCAACAATGCCTCCGGCAAGGAACATAGCCCACTGATCTATACAGGAGCCATCATGTAAACCATCCCATCCTTTCCAGAAGTAGGCCACGGGAGTACATTGGAAAATTATACAAAACATCCAAGCGGTGGTGACAGCCGCGTTGAGTATGAGCGTTAGGATAATGAGCTGTCGCGCGCCAGATACGCGAAAGATACGTAATAGAAAAAGAATGAGGGACACCCGAACAAAAAATCGGGATACAGAGTAGCATAACAATGCTGTGTACAAAAGCTACAAAGAAAATGATTAGTGGCAAGGTTATTGTGTATTTTTGGGGATAGCTGGGGGGGTATACAATGAGGATGGATTGTAGATTTTGCTGTGGTACCGCCCAAATATCAAGACCAACCCCAAGCCTGTCATCTTAGGGTGAATTAGACACCATTTCAATGGATAGGACGAAGTCAACATACAAGCTCCGCAAACAGAAGTGAATCCAATGGCAACAAGCAGTGATAGAAGAGTGAAGTAGTCGTCCCACCAAAGCGGGTTGCGTTTGGCCAATCGAGCAAGAAAGCGTAACGCGACAAAAACGGAGGCTAAAGCGACGAAGGTATAGATAACTTCAAGGTACGTTCGGTCATGGTAAGATGAGATACCGCATAACGAATTTGTTAAATTCTGGGTTTTGAGTGCGTCAGGCAAGGTACATGACTGGGCGATACACTCGGCTGCAGCCTTCTGTAGGGGTTGACTGGCACAAGCACATGCTGGATCCGAAATGGTGCAGTTAGACTGGCTAACGACTGCTTCCAGAAAGCAATTGAGCTGTAAATGCAGAATGTTAGCATACCCATTTAGGAAGAACAACTTTACTTGCGGGAAGGACTAACGCCGCAGTGAGGGAAAGTCTTGAGCACGGCTTCAAGATCAGTGGATGGAGGAGTCGACATTGTCGGCGATGAAGATTCAGAGACTCAATATTAGATTACAAGAACTTCATGCTAATAATATGGAGGGGGTCCAGATCGAAGAGGGATAGATGCTACGATATTTTATCATGCTCTTATAACAAGGCATTCCTATCAATAGTAGTGAAAGCGGCGATAGGCGTCTGTGCAACTGAGTAAATGCGTATCTAGATCCTAGCCAGAGGAAGTTGGATACTCTCCTTTTTAACCCATGTAAACCTCATCCTTTTTGCCGTGGCGCATCACACAATAGGTACCTATCAAACTCAATCTGACCCTCAACTCCACCAACTGTGAATGCACACATGAAGCAAATACTTCGCCGCTATCGCGCATTGAAGGTGGCCTGATACTTTGACTTGGATGGGTGCATCCGTCTCTCGGAATCTACAGCTTTGTGTTAATGATTCCTTATTACACCATCAGGGTGCATAGATGTTGTTGGTGAAAACTCAATATGAACGTGTGTTATATTGGCTCTCCTGCCTATCTAGGTAGGTATTTATGTACCTACTAGACTCACCTCGAAGATATTACAATTGTAGGACTATACTATGCGCCCTGCCAGAAGGTGGGATGGACATCCGACAAAGCTAGGTACCTTGATCAATCGTAATGCAGTCCTAACAGGGGGTATCTCTAGCTTTTCATACACTGTGTTCCACAATCACAAGAGCAGCACTAACTAAGTCTTGCTATGCTCCTGAAGCCAAAATGCTACGGTTGGCGGAGGAGCGAAATGCGGTTATAACACCTACTAGGTACATCAAGTAATAAAGCAGTCCTACAGTTTTTACGTGCCAAAGTGTTTAACTCCCCTATTACTACACACTCCCTGTCTAGATAGGAAGGTGTTAAACTCTAACGTTGAAGCCTAACCTACTTAGGTATCGCCCGTTACCGATGGCCTGGGATGTGCGACACCGCAGCGTTGTGGGGAATTTCTCCAGCGCTTCCCGCCGTTTTAAATTTAACAGGTACGATCCTCGGGCCGCCCCCCTCAGCCGATGGCCCTGAACATTGCCGCACGCAGACAATAAGGGAGCATTCCGCATCCTTCCAATATTTCTTCATGTACGAACTCTATTTCAACCAACCGTATCTATAAGTTGGGGTCCAGTCACATCCATCACGTCGCCGATTCAGTATTATCTATTAACTCATTGGTCACATTAGACTGCAGTTGTCTTAGTTGAAAGGTACTCACTTGAAACAAATCGATGCTTAGTGGAGGTAGTTCGAGCCTCAATTATTGAAACTTGCAAGAGAAAAAAACCAACTAGATACTAACCTAGATAGGTACCTACTAACTAACTAAGGTACCTAAAAATTGCACCCAGGCAGTCAATACCTAGTAGAGCCTCTAGAAAATCGAGCTGGGCCAAGTGTCCAGAGTAGATCAGTCTGAGCCAGAATGTTATAGCCTTTTGATAACATTTTCGATGTAAGTTGTGGATTAAGACGGAGACATATGTTTCGAAGACTAGCTACCAAAGAATAGTATTAGAGATATTCTAATATCATTATACGAAAGAACGGGCGACCAGCTATATTTCCCAATACGAAGTCCTTAAGCTGGGTTTGTAGGAATTCCCCCCTCTAGCTGATGGTCTGATTCCAGCTGCTTGTTCATATCATGATGCTTGACAAATAAGGATAAAACGAGTGAGAAAGCAGCCAGGGCTAACAGGAGGTATAAAACGCCGTGGAAAGCTTCGACAAAGGCGTTCAGGAAAGCCGTCTTCTGAGGCCCGTTAGACATGGCGTTCAATTGACCTGAAAACGCTGACGCGTTGCGTGCAGTAGCAAGGGCAACTTCGTGTGAGAATCCGGCTCGCTCCAGGGCACGTAGTAATACATTGTCGAAGACTGTCCCACCGACAGCTACGCCGAGACAAATTCCGAATTGACGTACAAATACGTACATAGAGACGGCATAGGCCACATCGCGTGCAGGTGCTATGGCCTGTATGGCTATGTTGGGTGACAACAAGGTAAATCCATGTCCGAGTGAAATGGTTAAAATCAAGAATAAATGCGCGACAAGGCTGCGGTACTGGTTCATCAGGAGCAGGACACCGTTAGACACGATGAGACAGGCGAACCCGAGCCATATCGACCAGAGAAAAGAGCCAAAGCGCGCCATTAGTCGACCCGAAATTATACTTATCGGCACGATGAGCGCCGTTGTCGCCATAATGTAAACACCGGTCAGTGTGGTGCTCAAGCCCTTAACGGAGATCAGGTAGAAGGGGAGGTAGTAGAGGTGCGAGTAGAGCGTAAACCCGGCAAAGAGTCCCAGTAGAAAGACTAGGCAGGCTGATATATTTCCCCATACTGATAAATGGATAAATGGCTTGGCCGGAATATAGCACTCATATACGACTGAGCAAACTGTGGTAATCCCACCGAGAAGAATAGGTAGCCACGTCTGATATGAGCTCCATTCGTACTGAACGCCGCCCCAAGTCAGACCAATTAAAATGCTCGAAGTGCCAGCGATGAAGAGAATGCTTCCAATCCAGTCCACGCGAGATAAAGCAGTGAGGAAAGTCGGTTGGTTCTGCAGCTTCAGATCTCGGAAGGCAAATGGCAACACCAGGAGACCGAGGAAGCAAAATGGAAAGTTGATGTAGAAAATCCACTGCCACTGAGCATGTTCAGCGACAAGGCCCCCTGTGATAGGTCCGACGATGGTGCCGAGAGCCCAGCCTGATAGAATAAAAGATATGTACTTGGGTCGCTGGCGAAGGGGGATAATATCGGAAACAACGATGTACGATAGCGTGTAAATGCCACCTCCACCTATGCCTTGAATAGTACGCCCACACAATAGCTCGGTAAAGTTGGTTGCAAGGCACGATATGATTGTCCCGACAGTGAACATAATGAGAGAAAAGAGCAATACCGCCCGTCGACCGAAAAGGTCTGATACAGCTCCGAGGAACGGTACGAAGACGGCGTTGGCCAGGAGATACGAGCTACCCGTCCAGAATGTTTCGATGGTGGTACCATTCAAGTCTTTTGCAAGTGTCTAGCTTGCATATTAGTCCAAATACGTATCTAACACGAGAGTAAAAGGGACGTACTGGCAATACAGGGGGGAGGACTGTGGCATCTAGGGAAAGAATGACATTAAGAGCAGTCATTGTCCCGAGGATCAGAAGCTCCCGCTTCCCAGCTTTGAAATCGACATCATTTTCGGAAGAATTGACGGGTATTGACTCAATTGGATCCATGGTCTGAGTCTTCTCAGCTCCGTCTCCAGATGATGGAGCGTTACCAGAATCATTGGCCATAGTGCTTTATCTTCTGTTTGCTTCAGTCTAGTATACAATGCAGTATTCGAAAAAAAAAAAAGAATAATTGAGTGAGCTTTGCTATATACGATTGTGAGCATCTATGTGATGATAACTGTGAATTGTCGCTAATTATAAACCCATAGCAAACGTGGTCTGGCATATGTTGTACCAACACAAATAATTGAGCCAATTGCCTGGTCCTATCAATTGCAGAATATGAGCTCCCAAGAAGTACCTGACCTAGGTATTTCCATATGCGCGTACCAACACACATAAAGTCGCAGGTCAATGTTACTCTAATATATCACGGGTGCGGTTACATTAAGCTCCTTCGGTTGGCCCCCAACTTAATAACAGCTCACGTCCCGCTTCCGAATGTCTTTTATGACGGCCTCCCTGGCTTTATTTACTCCCTATCTCAATTTCTGCAACTCTTATACCACAACTCCTCATGCGCACAGAAAACTCGACACTCTCTAAATAACACGTATTTTGCCGTAATACGTGTTGTACTTTTACTTCTATCAACATCTAGGCAAGCTCACATGGAGCCAATTCCGGGACCGCCAGGCTGGCCGCTCATAGGCAACCTACTAGACATTGAGCTCGAAAACACCCCACAGAGCTTCACCGTCCTTGCTAAGGAATGGGGCCAAATCTACAAACTCTACCTCGGTGGTACTGTAAGAATCTTCATTAACTCCCATGAGCTCGTTGACGATGTGTGCTCTCGCAAGGAGTTCGGAAAACACATCATGGGTTCGATAGCAGCACTATCAAAAGTGCTTCCCGACGGGCTCTTTACGGTCGATACGGCTCAAGAAACCTGGGGACAGGGCCGGAGGATACTGAACCCAGCTTTTACACCATCGTCCATTAAGAATATGTTTGATGAGATGCTCGACATCACGTCACAGCTAGCGTTGAAGTGGGCACGACACGGTCCAGAGTGTCCGATCGACGTTTCAGATGACTTTACACGTCTAACACTGGACACCATCGCTCTGACTGCTATGGACACACGGTTCAACTCGTTCTACCACGATGATTTACACCCATTTGTGCAACATTTCGGTGGTATATTTGCCGAGATACAGCGCCGGTCTAATCGGCCAGCATGGTACACCTGGATGCAATGGAAGGCCAACCGCCAATTCGACGAGAACAGCGATTTTATCCGCAATTTCTGTGCAGATATACTTACTCGCCGTCGCCGCCTCGAGAGCAACGAATCTATTGACAGGAAGGATGTCTTCACCGCCATGCTACATCGTCGCGACCCTGTCACTGGCAAGCAACTTGAGGACTCAGTTATCATTGATAATATGATTACATTTTTGTTCGCCGGGCACGACACGACGGCAGGACTGCTTTCGTTTCTCGTATATCATCTAATCAAAAACCCCGATGCATACGCCAAGGTACAAGAAGAAATTGACCGTGTCCTTAAAGGCGGCGTCATGACAATCGATCACCTCAACGCACTACCGTATATCAAGGCTTGTCTACTCGAGGCTTTGCGGCTTGAACCACCAGCGCAAGTCTTTACTGTAACTCCTCTAATTAACGATGCCGCACCTGTAATCATCGGGAAACGATACGCAGTATATCGCGGCCAGACAATTGTGATCTTCATCCCCGCGCTCCATCGAGACCCAGCTGTCTTTGGTGACGACGCTGACAAATTCCGGCCAGAGAGGATGTCTGAAGAGAACTTTAAGAAGCTCCCCAAGCATGCCTTTAAGCCTTTTGGAAATAGTCCGCGGAGTTGTATCGGAAGCGATTTTGCCATGCAAGAAGCCATGGTAGCTGCTGCTGTCCTGTTTCAGAAGTTCGATTTCTCATTGGTAGATCCTAACTACGAGTTACAATACCAGCCGAGGTTGCAACGAAGGGCGTTGAACTTCTTCATCAAGGCTCGATTGCGGCCTGGTGTCAAAGTCTTGTCTTTGCACCGAGACTTCTTCGTCCCAGCAAGTAAGGGAGCAGAGAGTGAGTGAAGCGACAAATGAATCTATTCCTTGGAAGGATACTTTTTCATTATTGCTTTATGAAACTAACATCACGCTCTTTTCCAATGTATCTTCTTAGTATTTGCGTATCGGGGAGCTTGATATCTATGAAGAGGAAGCAAGACAGAAAGAGACGAAACATGGACTTATTACAACCATTGGTATATCAAGATCCGGTGTTGAATTTTAATTATCTCTGTATCTACCTAAGTACCTAGATATCGACGTATCCTTTAAACTGACACAAGATTACAACTTCACAAAAATTAGTATTGATTAGTGAAACAGGAGCATCAAACCTGTAGTAGTTAAGTTCTAGGGCATTGTACGGTAGTTTTCGGGGCGGTAGGAATGGAGCGAAGTACAAATTGGCAAATAATACTCGAATTATGTGCAACCTCGTAGGAGACAAGTTCTTTTTCCGAGCAGAAGTTTTGTTCGGAAGGAAATTTCTAGTACCTAGGGAGGTACGTACCTCCACTTCAACCTGCGGTCGCCTTAACAAGGGAACTTTTATAGAGGGTGGCTCTGTCGGGCAACCAAACCAAAAAGGTGCATACCTATGTAGCTGCAAATTAGCCACTGGCAACGTTGGCGGTTCCCTGCATATGTTACCACTATCTATCTACATTACACGGTCCTAGCCGGGACGGTTACATGCATAGGTATCGATGATACTATAATAGCAACAAGATTATGCAACGCGATATGTATTGTGACTCGCTGCACTGCTCACTACACAGTACAGTGCACAGGAGGTGCGTACTATATTCTGATATTATATGTATGTTGGCTTACTTCACAGACACGTCTGGACCGTCTGTGCCGTATTGTGACGTCGATATAGTAAGTGTGAGCTCACTGTAGAGCGGTCAGGGTGAGTCCAACGGACAGAGAGTCCCCCGTTAGGTGACGATCTTGTGGCATACTTACAGGAGCTGGTGTAGTTGAACAGTGAACGAGCAAATTATCTCTCGCTTAACGATGAACGAATGTAGTGCTGCAACTCCCAGTATAGCTAAGGCATCTTTTGATGAAAGGGGTAAACAACCCCGCTGCAATCAGGTGGCGGGTTAAAGATGCGACTGTGATGATATGGTCGCGATGTTAGAAATTTCTTACTTAGTGGTGATTTCAAAATGTGATTACAGCCAACAGGAATCGACAGTGATGGGGAAGTTTGGCACAAGTTGAGTAGTGTCCTTTCGGCTCGCTGAGAAAACGGGGGTTGTCAGTCTCGCTCTTCTTACGATTTGAAGAAGAATCCTAAGTTAGTCCGTAACCGCCGGAAGTACGGATGAGCCTCGTATACACGGGAGATGCTACACGAAAATAAGTAATAGGCCTCATATAACGTCCTATCACACTATATCTTACCTACTTAACTACAAACCTTGGCACCATATACCAAGGTATACGGACCCCTTAGCTTCCATTATCAGTTGTGCTCCAACTTTCTCCCTTGCTATCAAAACTTCCTACTTACATATTTGATCTAGTCTTTTCTATCATGGCTGAATTCGCTGCTCTCAAAAAGGACATCTACGGGTGTGGCCCGATGCTTCCGAACCTTTCAATAATGGAGAACGGATCCATGACAAGCTTATCGACAACCAATGCCAACTCAAGTTCCGACGACAGCCTCAACGGCTCAGTCCCTATAGCTATCTGTGGGCTGGCTACACGCCTTCCCGGTGGCATCAGCTCGACTGAGCAGCTCTGGGAATTTCTGGTTAACAAGTCTGATGCATGTGACCGCATTCCAGCGCAGCGGTATAGCACCCATGGACCTCAGGGGAATACATCTCCATCGGCCACTACCGGAAAGGATGCTTCTTCGGACAGACCTCACTGGAAAACTCACGGGTATATGTTGAACCACGTCGACCTTGCTGCCTTTGACGCTGCTCGTTTCTCTATGACGCGTACCGAATTAGATATCGTGGATCCCCAGCAACGTCTTCTCCTAGAACTTGCCTGGTAGGTCAATCCATTTACATCTTAACCATGGTATTGCTAATTTATCTTTTAACTCAAGGGAGTGTTTTGAAAATGCTGGCGAGACTCACTGGCGTGGTAAGGACGTGGGTGTATATGTCGGCTCCTTTGGTGAAGATTGGAACGATCTCCAATACCACGATCGGCAGGACCTCCATCTTTATAAACTTTCTGGAGTGGCCGATTTGGTGCTTGCTAATAGGATTTCTTATGAGAATAACTTGAAAGGACCAAGGTAAGAACCTAACCTTTTGGCTTAGCAGTTGAAGTTCCGCTGACGAGGTTGAAGCATGGTTGTGAGAACCGGGTGTTCTGCCTCGTTGTACAGCCTCCACCTAGCTTGTCAGGCTCTTCAAGCGGGTCACATACCGAGTGCTCTTGTGGGAGGGGTCAATATAATCATGAATCCTGCTAGTAAGATAGAACACCGATACTCGATAGGCTTAAAATCATTACTGACTGCGCCTATGAATAAGAGGTTGAAACTATGGTTAATCTTGGCGTCCTAAGCAAGGATGCTTCGTCACGATCCTTTGATGCTAATGCCAATGGCTATGCGCGTGGAGAAGCTGCTAATATGATCTTAGTAAAGAGGCTTGATGATGCCCTTCGTGACGGGAACCCGATTCGCGCTGTTATCCGCGCCACTGCTAGTAATTGCGACGGGAAGACTCCAGGCTTAAGCAAGCCTAATAGCGAGGCCCATGAGAAACTGATTCGGGCTTCATACAGCGCTGCTGGTCTCGAAGATGAAATCGGCAAAACGGCATTTTTCGAGTGCCATGCCACAGGCACCTCAAGTGGTGACCCAGAGGAAGCCGGAGCAGTGGCAAACATTTTCGGTGACAAGGGTGGCGTGTATATTGGATCTGTCAAGGCAGGTTTTCCGCTCCATCTTAATAGGCAGCACGCCGACTAACTTTTTTTAAGCCAAATCTGGGCCATTCGGAAGGGGCATCAGGGCTTACTTCACTTCTTAAATGCGTCTTGGCACTAGAACATAAAACGATCCCCCCGAACATCAAGTTCCATCAGCCAAACCCTAATAGTAATGACTCAACGAGCTTCCAGATTTCAATAGGATATTGACGTGTATATAGTCCCATTTGAGCAAGGTGGCCTCCGCGTTCCGACAGAACCCTCCCCTTGGCCACAAGACCGCTATGAGCGAGTCAGCATTAATTCGTTTGGGGTCGGCGGTGCCAACGCTCACGTTATCCTAGATTCGGCCGCATCTTTCGGAATCCAGACAAATACCAGCTCAATTCCAGCAGGAAGTCGTCTAATAGTATTTACTGCCAATGACTCCAAGTCAGCCCACCGTGGGGCGCAAGAATGCCGTCATTTTATGACTAACCATCCCGAGCAACTTGATGATGCTGCCTATACGCTTGGGTTACGCCGCGAACACCTCTCTCACCGATGTTTTGCTGTTTCTAATGAGGCAAATCTTAAAGATCTCGCCTTCTCGGCTCCGGTAAAGGTTCCTGCAGCCGTCCCGAATGTGATATTCGTCTTCACGGGCCAAGGAGCCCAGTGGCCGACTATGGGTTCGATGCTATTATCAGAGCATCCCACAGCCATTAACGACATTCAGATCATGCAGAATGCCCTATCAACACTCTCTCAAGATCTTGCTCCAAGCTGGACTCTCTTAGGTAGGTATATGCTCAGCACATACATCTTATTCAAGTAGCTAATTAACGTGTGCAGAGGAGCTTGCGCGGTCTATGGACACAAGCCAGGTATACAAGGCGGAGTTCTCTCAGCCTCTCACTACTGCGGTCCAGATTTTGGTAGTGAATCTTCTCCGGAACTGGGGGGTTATGCCCGCTGCTGTCATCGGGCACTCGAGTGGAGAGATCGCTGCGGCGTACGCCAGTGGTGCGCTGACCATGGAAGAAGCTATCATCTGCGCATATCTCCGAGGGAGGGCTACAAAGCAGTCGGCACCAACAGCAGGCGCCATGGCGGCTATTGGTCTCGGCCCGGTTGATATCATGCCGTACCTGGTTGACGACGTTGTAATTGCTTGTGAGAACAGCCCTTCTAATACGACCTTGTCAGGGGACAAAAAGAAAATCGAGGGAGTTATCCAGGCTATCAAAGATGATTATCCCGACATATTTGCTAGGCGGCTGCAAGTTGACATGGCATATCATTCTCGTAATATGACCTAATCTAACCGCCTTTTTATGCCTGTTAACTTTATATTGCAGATTACATGAAGCAAATAGGCCAAGAATATGAGCTTCAACTCGCGCCCCGGTTGTCCGGCTACGCTGCCTCGATTCCATTCTTCTCAACCGTGACCGGTGAGATGCTTCGTCCGGGTGAAGCACTCGACGCTGCATATTGGCGCTCTAATCTTGAGTCGCCTGTTTTATTTAACACGGGCATAGAGAATGTCCTCAAATTTCAAGGCCTGGACAGCGTCCTAATTGAGGTTGGGTCACATTCTGCTCTTTCAGGACCGATACGGCAGATCCTAGGCCACTTGAAGGCTCAACAAGCTTCGTACATACCCACATTGATACGCCATGAGGACGACAATAAGTCGTTACTTAGCACAGCAGGCCAACTATTTTGCAAGGGATTAACAATTCGATTTGCTTCTATCAATCCCTCCGGTAACGTTCTTACCAACCTGCCTAGTTATCCATGGAATCATGATACGAAATACTGGTACGAAACTCGTGTCTCACGGGATTATCGAAAGCGTGCCTTCCCACATCATCCCATTCTCGGTAGTCGTGTTGTTGAAGCAAGCCAAGTAGAGCCTACCTGGCGGAATTTGCTACGACTTGAGAACATCCCTTGGTGCCACGACCATAAGCTTGGGGGCGACATAGTTTTTCCCGCTACGGGATACCTGGCTATGGCGGGTGAGGCCATGAGGCAGCTCTCTGGGGCTCAAGACATCGCATTACGCCAGATTACGATTGCTTCAGCATTGATCTTGAACTCGGAAACAACAGAGATCGTCCTCTCTATGCGTCCTTATAGGCTAACGAACACTTTAGACTCTCGATGGCATGAGTTTACCATATCTTCTTATAATGAGATGTCGGATTCATGGATCAAACACTGTTTCGGTCTCGTGAGGGCAGGTAACGGTCAACCTCCGGAACAGAACAAGCACATCGCTCATCTCTCAAGGAAACTCGACGCAGCGCATTGGTATCAAACGGTGCGTGGTATCGGTTATAACTATGGCCCACAGTTCCAAGGACTAGATAAAATTTCTACGCATCTCATGCACGACATTGCTGTCGCAGACCTACGGCCCGAAGTGGCCTCCGAACTAGAAATAGAGGCTGGGACTGGCTATTATATCCATCCCACTACTTCGGATGCTTGCTTGCAACTCTTGTCGACCGCTTCGGTTCGTGGACAAGGCCGCTTGTTCTATCGAAAGGTTGTGCCGACCTATATCGGCGAGGCCTACTTCACAAATCCCCATGGCACCATTACGGTTAAAGCCGCAGCCGAAACCATGCCTAATGGGGTCATAATAGGAAATACTATTGGCATAGATAATACTAAGGCCGTGGTAATAGAGATGAAGGATGTTAGGATGACACCCATTGATGACGGCGAGGTCCCAGACAAGGATCCACATGCTGGAGGCCGGTTACACTGGAAGCCTGACATTGATTTTCAGGACGCTTGTCAACTAGTCCACTGCCAGAAAAAGGTTAGGGAATTATATTACAGGCTGCAGAGGCTTGTACTCCTTTGCTGCGTCGCCGCGCGGGACGACCTTGATGGCCTCGAAGCCCCAAGTAACCACCCACACCTAGTCAAGTTCCAGAAATGGATCTGCGAACAAGTCGAACAAGCTGAAATGTACGGATATCCTCTCCTCAACAAAGCTGAAGTACGTGAACTACTTCAACTCTCTCCCGATGAGCGGTCTAGCCGTATTCTTCACTACCTCCAACTCGTCGTCGACACCGAATATGCAACAATCGGCAATCTTGTCTACCGTCTGTACAAGGCTCTCGCAGGGATATTCCGCGGCGATATAGATGCCCTAGAGACTCTTCGTAAGGACAATGCACTAGCCAAGATCTACAGCCTCGGTAACCAGTGGGATTACGCGCCTTGGCTCCGTCTCCTAAGCCACCGCACGCCGCATCTTCGCATTCTAGAAGTCGGCGCTGGCACAGGTGCCACTACCGATCTGATCCTTCGCACACTTGACACCTTCTATTCTTACGTATACACCGATATCTCAGCCGGTTTCCTTCCTGCTGCAAAGGAGCGCTTCAGCCATTCCAACCCATGCATGAGCTTTCAAACGCTTGACATCTCTTCGGACCCCCTGGAACAAGGTTTCAAACCCGGCTCATTCGACCTCATTATCGCAGCCAATGCTCTCCACGCAACGCCAAATCTCAGAGAAACCTTATCTAATGTCCGGAAGCTTTTGCGCCCTGACGGAAAACTCCTCCTGCAGGAAATGTATATGACGGTCAAGTGGCTTAACTTTCTTATGGGTGTTCTGCCTGGTTGGTGGTTAGGCGAAAAGGATGGAAGAAGTCAGGAGCCCTACGTGTCGCCCCAGCGGTGGGCTAAGGAGCTTCTAGCGGCTGGCTTTTCTTCTCCGGAGGCGTCGGTCTTAGATGATGAGCTACCATTCCATGCCAACGTGACCATCATAGCCTCTCCTAATATTTCATGGAAGCCCGAGCGCATTGTCTATCTCCTATCGAGGCAACCGGACGGCGAAGTTGCCAGGAGAGTTTTGACTTCATTGGAAAAGTTAGGGCTCAAGGTCAAGAACATTGGGCTATCGGAGAAACCACAGGGCGCCATTATCTCTATTCTAGACCTGGAAGGCAAGGCATTTCTACAAGAAATCTCGCCTGATGAGTATGTCCAACTCAGGGACTTCCTATCCAATCTATCTGCAGCAGGAATGCTGTGGTTAACGAGGCCGAGCCAAATGTACTGTTCGGATCCACAATACGCTAGCATTCTCGGACTGTTGCGTGTTGTGCGCAACGAGCTGGGTGTCCCGCTATGTTCACTCGAGCTAGACGACACAGAGTCTCCAAAAGCATGGCAGGTTGTTTTCAATGTCTATCAGAAGATGCTTCGGATGCGTGCCATGGAGCTGGACGAACTTACTGACCCAGACTACGAGTTTGCTTACTCTGATGGCACTGTCTATCTCCCGCGCTTCCATTGGATGTCCGTGACTGAAGAGTTAGCTTCCCGGCAAAGAGAGCAGCTCACGTTCAAGCGTCTAGAGATCGGGAAGAGAGGTTCGCTAAAGTCATTGCAGTGGATTGAGAGACCGCTCCTAGGTGATCTAACGGGAGAAGAGTTGTTCATTGACGTTCGAGCTGTAGGCGTCAACTTCAAGGTAAGTAACTACTGCTGGTTCCCAATGCTTCCCACATGAGCCTCGAGATATGAAGCTGAAGTATTCGGCTCACTTGTCAATGGCTATCTTCATATTCTATTTATATGTTAGTATCGACGTTAATATATGATTATAGGATACATTGATTGCCATGGGAATCTTCAGCGGACCCACCGAAGCAGGAGACGGATTCGGCGTTGAATGCTCAGGGGTGGTTCGCGCCGTGGGCCCAGAAGTCACGGATTTCTCACCCGGGGATCGAGTTATGGCCGTTACGTGCGATGCGTATACCACAACGCTAAGGACGGTAGCGTCTTGTTGCGCAAAAATGACGGATGATCTCAGCTTTGAGGAAGCTGCAGGGATGCCATGTGTCTACCCAACTGTCATTCACGGACTCATCAACTTGGCAAGGTTGGAGAAAGGACAGACCATTTTAATCCACTCAGCATGCGGCGGTATTGGGCTGGCAGCCATATACGTTTGCCAGATGATTGGTGTCGACAAAATCTACGCTACCGTAGGAAGTGATGAGAAGGTCCAATATTTGATTGACACCTTCAAGCTTCCAAGGTCACACATTTTCTCCTCGCGGGATGACAGGTTCTTCCAATCTATTATGAACGAGACAAACAACCGTGGGGTGAACGTCGTCTTGAATTCCCTGTCTGGGGAGCTGCTGCATGCCTCGGTAAGTTATCAACGCGAACCTCTTTAAGCATCTACCCAAATATATTTTCATCGCCTAACTAAAACACTCATAGTGGAGATGCGTTGCTGAGTTTGGCAGTATGGTAGAGATCGGGAAACGAGACATTCTCGGTCAGGGACGACTTGAAATGGAACCCTTCGAGGGTAACCGCGCTTTCTTCGGTATTGAAATGGAACCTATTATCAAGAAGCAACCACATCGCATACGAAAACTCTTTGAACAGTTCATGGAGTATTATCGTACTGGAACCCTTAAGCCTATACGGCCGATCCAGATGTTCAGTCACGCTGACATCCAATCCGCCATCCGAACTATGCAGAAAGGACAGCACATAGGCAAACTCGTCATCCGCATCCCAGAAAATGTCGCTGATATTGCGGCAAACCCTGCGCGTACATATTTCTCCTTTCGCGCCGATGTGTCCTACCTACTTGTCGGTGGCTTCGGCGGTCTCGGCCGCTCTATCGCTATGTGGATGGTTGAACATGGAGCTAAACATCTCACTTTTCTTTCAAGGGGTGCTGGCAAAAAACCACACGAGGTAGCTTTGGTTCGAGCATTAGAAGATGCCCAATGTTCTGTCAGTGTCATTGCGGGCAGTGTTACCAATTTCAAAGATGTTGTTCGCGCCGTCAGCCAATCCCATGCTCCCATTGCCGGAGTGATCCAGCTGTCTATGGTACTACGGGATCATTTATTTACGGACATGCCCTTCGAAGACTGGGATGCCGTAACTAGGCCTAAGATTCAGGGTACCTGGAACTTGCATGAAGCACTACTAGGGCAACCTCTAGACTTTTTCGTCATGTTCAGTTCCTTCACAGGTCTCATCGGACAGCGTGGACAATCAAATTATGCAGCAGCAGGCACATTTCTCGACGCTTTTGTACAGTTTCGCCACGGCTTGGGTTTGCCGGCATCCGTACTTGATGTTGGTGCCGTTGCCGACGTAGGCTTTGTAGCCGAGCGGCCGGATCTGATCCAATTCTTTACGACGACATCGCACCATTTCCTACGAGAACAAGATGTGCTAGATTCGCTTGAATTAGCCATTCATAAGTCAGCACCGAAACCACACAAGCTTGACAAGTCCTTCGTATCGGATAGCCAAATCACACTGGCTATCAGAACGACAATCCCATTATCGTCCCCACACAACCGAAATGTGTGGAAACGTGATATTCGCCTAGGCCTGTACCATAATCGTGACGCCGCTGCTGCGGGAGTGAGCCAAGACGGCCGTGCAGTCGGAGGGGCTATCAATGACGAAGATACAATAATACGAGAACTATTAGCCTCGGTCGAGAGTAACCCAGAAATTCTGCAGCAGGACAGTTTTATCGAACGCCTTGCGCGTAGCGTTGGAATAGCCTTCTTTGCTTCGATGATGAAGCCGATCGAAGAGCTCGATGTCACAGCATCGCTTGCGACTTTAGGTATTGACTCGCTCGTGTCTATTGAGGTACGCAACTGGTTACGTCTCCGCTTCACTGTTGAGATTTCTGTGTTGGAGATTATGCGTAGCGATAGTATATTGGGGTTAGCAAAATTGGCAGCGAGGAAGTGGACAGCGATATTAGCTACAAAATAGTAGGTTTCCCCTACGGTACAGGAGGAAGATAGCCTCCTCTACTTTGCGAGTTGTGTTAAAAACTCAATGACATACTAAGTATAAGTAGGTGGCTTACTTACGGTTAGGTAAATGTAGACCGTGTTCATATCATAACTCTAGATTCCTCGCAATAGCATATGAACTGTTGCCTACCTATCTTACAGTGAATTTCCACACTTTTTCTCGTAGATAGGCCATGTCTCAAATTTGTTGCCTAAGGAAAACATCAGAAGCGCGACGAAGACGAGTTTCTTGGTTAAATTGACAGTTATCCGTAGAGGGAAATCAGAAGGTAGGATACGCCTAAGCATACCTAGGCCATAACCGATTGTTACACACGCATTAGTGACCACGGAATCTCAATTCTCAATAGTAAGAGATATTCATATCTAAGATGAGCAGTTTTCTGTCATATTAACCCTATCGGCAGACAATGGTTAATCCAGGAGACGCATACTGTACACTTAGACTACCCCAGCCAGCTACTTTTCTCCCGTAGGGCTTGTTATATCTATATTCTCTACCTAAAAAGACGCCTAAACTAAGTGAATAATGATCTATTAGTTGACCCTTATAAATAAACAACTTCTGGTTCAAGAGATAGTTTGATGACGAAAATGTATAATCTAGGCAACGGTAAATTTATTAAGGTATAGTGGTCAGGGCTTCAAAATGGACAGGAAGGCATGAGGAAAAGAGCAAGGTAGAGGATGATCGTGTGGTAGCTATCTAAGAGTTCATTCTAGCTTTCTAGTAAGAAATACACCTAGATAGTTGTACAGTCGCCTTTGTTCTTGCAGTATAAGTTCACTGGTATAAACCACTTGTTCCTACAACGCGGTATAATATAATATTTTGTATATTGTCGTCGTAAGATCCAGCCTATTTTGATTGTGGTACCTAAATTGGCAGAGTCACTAGTAGGTAGGTAGGTAGGTACGTATCTAGCTGCAAGGAGATCTCATAGGAAACTGAGAGAAACCAGTCGGAGAAGGCAAGTGCTTCCCTACGTGGATATTGTCAAATTCCCACGCGCCCAAGCGGTGGTTGTTTCACAGTGTCAAGCGGATCGAGCTAGCCCTCGATCTCCACACTATAGATAGATTCAAGCTCAATATCGAATTCGAGGAGCTTAGGTATATTAATAACTGCCTCGCCTTGATCAGGATACACCTTGCCATCCCTAAATCATATATTTACCAAGGAGTTGGAAATCCCAAACTCTCATCCAGCTTCCCAACTTACCAACTCCCACATCAGAGTCCTCACAGCTACGTACCTTCTTCCACAAACTGGGCACATAGCATTTAACTGCGCTTACAACCACTCTTACTCCGCCAACGACCACTGGGCAACCCATCACTTATCCTTCTACCTTCTTTTTCATCAACAACTTCTACATTGCCGATCTCCACTACCACACCACGACAATAACAAAAACAACGATTTGGCGGCTTCATAGCACTATTCTCGTCAAATAGTTCATCTCTGGTAAGATTTTCATGGATTATGTCACCGCCCAATCTTTTTTCTAACATCCACGAAGTCACGGCTCCTTCAAGGACATCCTCTACCGCCACAATGGCCTCGCCTGACAGCAGTTCTCGCGCTGAACTCCCTCAGCAGCAGTGGTACGATATCAAACTTATGGAAATTCTTCCTCGATGCGGTTTCATCTTCGTCGATGATCATGAGATTCTTGATTCGCGAAGCGATGCAATCCTGAAGTGGGCAATTGAGACTCAAGTTCCCAGCTTCGGACAGCACGAAGTCGAGGAACTCCTGGCAGATGTGATGATAGATGTCAACGCAGTCGCCGACTACTATGCCAAATCTTCCTGCATGTACGTCGACCTCGACGGTGAGATCCGTGTCAAGCCAGTTCAGGCTATCTTTGAAGCTGCGCGAAAGGAACACAAATGGAGCAATTACGTGCCCAGAAATACGTTTGTCGATTTTTTCCAGAAGCTCTTCCGTGCCAGATCAATCTACAATATGCTCATGAGCATGAAACGAACGCCCGAAGCAGCCAAGGGTGAACAGAGCAAACTCGCCCTATCCATCGACGAATGGAACAGCACAAGTCCCACCGAGTACGCCGATGCGTACTTTGCTCAGATGCCTCCGCACAAGCTCCATCGCCTTTTCGAAATATTACTTGGACGAGATTCTGCGGATTTAGGACTAGGTGATGCATCAGTCATCGACTCAGACAATGATATGGAGGATGGAAGCTACGAGGCTAAGGATAAGAAGGGGAAGGGGGTCTATAAGGAACCGGCGGAGGATGAGGAGGACTTAGGAGACCCTAATGCGCCTTGGATCCCCTGGACTCCAAGCTCATGGAAATCTGTCGGCGATTCCTCTGGCGATTCTTCTCCTACTGACGAGGATGCCCCTTGGGTGCACCATTATGTCCAAGGCTCTCAGGAGGAACATGACATGGAAGACGCATTAGGTGCTACCAATGGCTTCCTTAGTTTCTGCATCCATCAAAATCGCCGACTCCTGCGATACTAGAGTCATGGATGAATTGGAGGAGGTTATTAGAAGTGGGGTGTGCTGAATAAGGAATGCTAAGTAAGCCGCGTTGCACGGGACACGCCGCTATGTGCATGTTTGGGACCAATCAAATCACGATCGCAGGTTCCCTAGATCAAAGATTGCATCTACCCATAGCTCAGCTCTTCATAGGCCATTCTTACCCGACCGATCAGCTCGGTCAACCCCGCACTTGCCGATGCAAACAATCCGTCATTAATTGACACGCACCTGCTGAAGACCTACATCATATGACTTTTTAATAATCGCCGAGTAGTTGCCACACCCGTAGAAAAACGTAAGTTAACCTCACGTTCCGCGCCGTGCTTTCCCCAGACCACGTTACCAGTAACACCATTGTACGACGGCGGATCAAGCGAACGATTACAAGATTCAAGGGTGGATCGCAAGGAGATGCCAAGTACGGTAAGATAACTTTAAACCAACTACAAACGGGAGAACTAGCAAAGTCAATTGCCTCACTCGTGATTTGCTTATCTAACGTTGTCCAACATTATCTAACAAAGAAACCTGCCTTGAACCGACTTTAACCTCCGATCTCGTTGAACCGACCGTACCATCATCTTGACGTGGGAATGTTTATTTATCCTGAACTGATCCCATCATGAGTTGGACCTGACTTTGCTTATGTAGACCAAGACATAAGGTTATCAATTGAAGATTCACCTGATTATTCCCACACGATAACAACAATTCATCGTCTTGTACAACACGAACCTTGACCTTAACAAATATCTAAAAATAAAACAACAAAGCAGAAGGATGCTCCAAGCCATCTCCTCAAAACACGACGCCCACCATGAGCGTCGGCGTAAGAACTCCTTAGCAAGCCTCACGTCCTCGCTACGGGACAACAAAAAGCACCTCCTCCTCGCGGCCTCCGGATCCGTCGCCACCATCAAGCTACCCCTGATCATCGAAGCTCTAGCCGAACGACATTCGCAAAGAAACAGCAGCCAAGAGCTCAGCATCCGCGTCCTCCTGACCCCCTCAGCAACCCGTTTCCTCGCCGGCCAATCCCGGGAGCAACCCCCCGTATCCTCGCTACTCTCGATGCCATGCGTGGACGGTGTCTACGTAGACGCTGACGAGTGGCGCGAGCCGTGGAAGCGGGGCGACGCGATCCTGCACATCGAGCTGCGGCGCTGTGAGCCCACCCCCTATTTTTCCCCAATTCCCCGCATTTCCCCAACTCTACTACCCCTATTCTTACCCCCACCTTTTCCCCCTAAACCTCCTATCTACATTCGGTCTTCGCAAGCCCTCATAACTAACTGACAAAAAACAAGGGGCCGACCTCCTCGTCATCGCGCCCCTGAGCGCAAACACCATGGCCAAGATCGTAGGCGGCTTCGCCGACGGCATCCTAACCAGCGTCGTGCGGGCCTGGGACGCGTGGGGCGAGCTCGACAGCGACCTGGCCGCGGCCGACGGCTCACAAGCCCTCGCGAACGGGGCAAGTGGGGAAAGGAAGCAGAAGAAGCATATCATCGTAGCACCGTAAGTAGTCGAAACCCTTTCTTTTCCGTCCCTGTATACCCTCCTTTTTTTCTGCCCCTTTTCAAGACATTCCGGGAGGGTATTTGGTTAGATGCTAGCAGTTACTAACTCTCCCCTGCTACAGAGCCATGAACACGGCGATGTGGCGACACCCCGTCACCGCCAAGTCGCTGCGCGTGTTGGAGGAGGAATGGGGCGTGAACCGGCACGGCAGCAGCAAGAAAGTCGCGCGGCCCGCGACCGCCGACGACGAGGGGCCGGTCCCCGAGCCCGGGAAGGGCGAAGATGAGGGGGGCTGGTTCGAGGTCCTGAAGCCGCAGAGCAAGACCCTTGCTTGCGGCGACGTGGGCGACGGCGCTATGATGGAGTGGAAGGAGATCGTGGCTGTTATTGAGGAGAGGTTAGGTCTGGGAAACTGACTGGCTGATCGGGTGGTTGTATAGTTGATGGCTGGTAGCTAATGGGCACCTAATTCAAGGGGGCGTAAGGAGCGGCGTTATGGGTGAACCGAGAAAAATAAAGCAAGGGTCGAGGGAGGTATCAAGGTGCTTTGCCATGACAGTGCTGCAGAATGGCCTCGCTAATTGGGAACGACTACTACTTCAAAAAGAGCAGGATTATAATTGTGAGAACCAGTGGATCACAGGAAAACCAAGGTGGCGGATATAGCAATAGCAAGTCACGATCATGTAATCAAAGCCAATTTAGTATGTTGCAATATCTGCAACTTATGCAATTGTTGTACAGCAACGGTATCGAAGTCGTGCCCTGTAGAGAAGCAACTATTGTACATATTCCACAACGAGGTGTCATTGAAGATCCCCCGAAGACCATCCTCTGGAGAGGAAGCGGAAATGCAAACATCCATTCGTAAACGCCTCTTTCATGATCCTTTTGTCCGAAAAAGAAAAAGAAAAAAACAAGAAAATGCAAAATATCACTTGAGAGCCTATAGGTCGTAGACCATGCTTCTCCAAGGAACGGGGATACATTAGGTGAAGTAAGGGGAAGAAAACAAGCGTAATCAAATAACATGAAGGTAGAGAAGCCCTTTCATGACCCATCCCGGATCCGCCGTCGCAATGCAAATGCCATTCCCCTTCATGCCTCCCGTTGCTGACTCGTGGGATAAAACTCCGTGGGATGATGATTGTTGTACAGGTGTAAAGAGAAAAAGATGATCTTAGTTCACAGATCTAGGATAATACGTTCCTCGCGTCGATTACTTCAGGTCGTTAGGGTCATGTCGGAAGGTACATTTATCGCCCTTCGCACATTGGCCCTTGGCCCAGAAGGTGCAGGGCTTGGTGCCGATTAGAGAGCGGTTGATCCCCTTATGATCTTTCGTGGTTCCTCCACGGTGGAACTCCTTACGGTTGCCACGCTCAGTGTCGTCACGTCGGCTCTCAGTCTGCGTAGTCTGCTGCTGAGAATACTGTGACTGGCCACCATACGACTGGGCATTGTATCCATAGCTGCCAAATGCTTGGCTGGCTTGCCCCTGAGACTGGGGCTGGCTCTGGGGCCAACCTTGGAAGTAGGCATTGGCTGTGGGCTGTGCCTGATTGACAGTCGCATTGTTAGACGGTTGCAACATAGCCAGAATGTCTTGAATGCTAGGGGTGGCAGTAGGTACAGCTGCGGGCGTAGGGGTAGGGGCTGGTGCCGGAGCGGGTGTCGTTGGAGCCGGAATAGGAGTCCCTACAGGTACTCCGAATGCAGCCAACATGTTGCGCACGGCAACAGTCTCCGGGTTCGGTGCCGGCTCCGCAGCGCTTTGGGCTGGTTGAGTAACGGGCTGCGTATAGGGCTGGACCACATGTTGAGCAATGGGCTGCGTAGCAGCTTGATTGGCCTGAAGAGCTTGTATCTGTTGTAGGATTGTAGCGTACTCTTGCGGGAGTTGTGGCTGGTGTTGCTGCAATTGCTGCTGTGGATATTGAGCCACTGAATTATACTGTGTTTGCGGCTGTGGCTGCGATTGTGCCGGCTGAAGGGCACTAGACATCAGCAAGCGATTGTAACCGTCCCACCACTCCGTGACACGGTCAGGATCCGAATGAAGGTGCTCGGGAGGTTGAGTAGCCGGGTACGGCTTACCCTTGAACTTCGCAAACACGTCTTCGAGGGCATCTGCGTCACGTTGAACCTTGGGATCCGCGTAATCGTGGCGACGTTGTGTTTTAGGATGTGCAGGGTCATACGGATCTGGATCAACGTAGTTTTTGACCTTCTCAGACTGTAACAACGACAAAACTACCTCCGCATTTTCCTTTTCGCTGCGTGGACGCGCCATTTTTACGATTGTGTTGTCGAACAAATCCGGTGCCGTGATGGGCGTAGCACGCAGTCGACGGACTGCTCGGTCAAGTGCGAGATGGGGACCAAATTTAATTTGGTCAGAAGTACGTTGATGTATCTCGATGCGTCGGGGAGTTGTGGCAGGTAATGTTTCGAGCCATTTAGCAGGAGTTGATGGCACAGCAACAATCTTTGGTTGACTAGCAACCTCGACGAACTTGCCGCTTGGTGATCGGGGAGTATCCGGGATTTCCGACACACTAGTGTAGATGGCCATCAATTCGCGGCTTTCATACTCCTCCATAATCTTCTTCTGCTCAGACTTAACCGGGCGCTTTCCACCACGCGTCACGAAATTCTTTTCCTGCTTATCTGCGGGGATTCCTCTCTCTCCCAGATCGAGTGCAACTACGGTAGGCTTAGACCAAGGTCGTAAAGAAACCTCCCGATTCTCCTCAAGATCGTCATCGCGATCTTGAATATCCTGATCCTGGAGCTGTTGCTTGAACATCCGACCTTCAGAGCGATTATCTCGCGCATCCCGGAGCATATTAAGATCCCGGCCTTTATCTTCGGAAGTATCGTGTTCCAAAATTCGGATGTCAGTGAGCTCATCATCCGGCTTCCACGAAACGCGAAGATGTCGTCGCGATTCCTTGCGTAGCCTGCGAGCAGTCTCTTCTGGGGTCTCGGGTGGTCTTTCAGGTTCGTCGCGTGGCTTAGGCACCTCCTTTGGCTTCGAAATCTCGGCCAGGATATTTCCAATAGTAGACGAACTGCTCGATGATTGAGGCGCTGGCTTTTTTGGCTGTACCTTGGGAAGAACTCGAGATCGACCAGGAAGCATCGATCCGCTAGGTCTGGAGCGAGCTTGCGTAGTCGCTACCGACGATGTCTGAGAACTGATAGGAGTCGCAGTGGATGTGGCTTTAATGGTCGACGGAGCGCCTGTCTCACTCTCCACTGCCGTCTTTTTAGGAGCACGGGTGTCTACATCCGCATCACCGGGTCTCTTAGAAGAAGCCTGAGAAGGCGTCGCCTTGGCCGTAATTTTCCTAGCCGACCCGAGGCCCGAATAATCCGTTGGGCGCATCTTCTTGACCCCGGTAGCTACCTGTTTCAGCTGAGACTGAGCCTTTGATGGCGATGCCTTAGATATTGATGGACTGTCTCTGCTGCTTGTCGTAGGTATTTTCTTGGGGACGGTAGAGGTAGACTTCTTGACATCGTCGGCTTTCTTGGAATCCTCGACAGCTTCTTGAGCATTAAAGACCGAGCGTTTTTCAGCGTTCTCGATGATCAGACTAATGTAACCAGCAGCTTCATCGTCGAGATTGCCCTTAACCTTCTGCTGAGTTCGACCCATCTTAACCTTTTCTAATAAGTCTGTGTCTACCGTGGCAAACAAAGATAGAAGCTTCAGGATGGCCTTTGGGTACGGGCCGTTGTAGTCGCCAGCTGAAAAGCGAGTAAACAAGACGGAATGCATACCAGCGACGAGCTTCTTGTGTGTGCCGAGCTGTGTAATAAGAAATTTATCGCCAAACTTGAGGGCAGCCTCAATAGCAGCACGGATTTCAAGATGCTTCGTTTCTAAAGCAGCTCGCTTGTCTTTACCATCTAGCTCCTTCCCTTCCTTCAGAAGCTTGATCTTGGTCCGGACGCCCGTAACATAGTCGCCAAACTTGTCAATGCTGTTCCTGAGCTCATCAGGTGAAAGTTCAGAATGCTTAGGGTCGTGCCAAAGGATCTTAATGATATCATATTCTACAGCCTTGAGAGGATCTTCGGGGCGCGGCTTCGACATAATCTATTTGTGCAATGCGTTAGTATTGTTTGGGCACCCTCGTTAAATCAATTGCACAAAAAAAAAAAAAAAAGCAGCGGCCGCGCAACGTTATTGAGAATAGAACGAGGCGGGGGAAGTAGATCAGTGGTATATGGCGACATTTCACCCTCGAAGGGAACCCAGGGGGTGTTGTGATTGAATGATTAGCAAGAAAAGAACATACCTCGCGTGCTTGAATATCCTTAGGATCATCTTGATCATCATTGCCCGTATCCGGGTGTTCTGTTTTTTTAATTGAATCCATTGGAGCTGTTTTCCGTTTTGCGGGTGCCTTGACTTTGCCGCGGAGAACGGGTTTTGAACCTGTACAATCAGTTTAGCATTGTAATAAAAAAAGTCCTAGTGGAAAGAGGGTGGAGTGGCTGCAGATGATGGCAATGGATGAGGGAAAGAATTTCCTATTTACCTTCGTTGTCGGCTACAAGAACAGGTTCGTTGTACAACTCTTGGATTCGGTTCTCGATAGTACTTCTTTCGTTCGCAGATAGCGATTTAGACTGAAGTTTAGAATTCAAGTCTTGGAGGTCTTTCTGAATTTCGCACGGAAGCCGTACGTTGCGTTGAGGTAGCAAGCGTGAGGTACGCGTATCGTGTTTTGCAGCATAAGATTTAGCTGGTTCGGTGCAGACAGTACGGAATTTGCCAGCTTTCGTCTTGGGCGGATTTTTTACCATAAGGTACGGAAAACCCTCCGGAATCTCCCAATGCTCGTCCTCTTCTACTTTTAGTTCCTCGTCAGGTACCCCGTGAGGTGCCTGATGCCCCACAATTTCGGTTGCCTGTGAACTTTGACCAGCTGGAGGGGTAGGCGCCGACACGACACCCCGCACCTGCTGATAACTCTGCGGCTGCACCGGTCTTTGAGTATCAACAAAATTCTGAGCTGCCGCCACCGCAATAGGTTGTAACTGTATTCCTGCTCCATTCGTAGGTTGCCGGCCTTGGTAATGGAGCATGGGCTGCGCGGGTTGGGCAGTGAAGTGACCTTGTCTGTTCTGGGGATCAACACCTTCAGCACCAAAGAATGCCCTCGTATACGGGATCTGATGCTGCGGGTGCTGCGGGTGCTGCGGCTGCTGTTGCGGCTGCTGTTGCTGTTGCTGTTGCTGTTGAGTCTGCTGAGGTTGTAGTTGATGGGGCTGCTGAGGCTGCTGCAGATGTTGTTGCGGGTGTTGTTGCGGGTGCTGTTGTGGGTGTTGCTGTTGGTACATCAATTGCGGACTATGGTGGCCATAGCCTATTGTTCTTTGATTGAATTGAGGGGGTAGTTGCTGAACTGGTTGGGCTTGCCATTGTTGAGCATCGAATGTATTCGGCGTGTGGCTATGGCTCTGACTGGCCTGCTCGGTGGCATATTGAGGGAGCTGGTTTTGAAGAGGTGTCTCATATCCGGCGTGGTTGTTGAAAGCTCCCCCATACTGCTGCAAGTCATGTCCACCATGACCGTGGAGGCCGCTTCCGTTAGGGTCATTGTTGAACTGATGGGTATTAGAGTAGTAGGATGTCTGCTCTGGCATGTTTCCTCCAGCAAATGCGCCACTTCCGAACTGGCCTCCCGATTGTAGAGAGGGATACCCGGGAAAAGAGGCTCCATTGGAGTATTGGCCGAGGTCTGGTTGGCCATACTGGTGGCCAGGGTATTGTTGATAACCACTGAAGTTATTCAAATGATCCTCGTCCTGAGGGACCGGCATTCCACCAATGCCATTTGGATAGGAATGGCCTTGCCAGCCATTACTACCTTGAGCCATGACAGAATGTCTTTAGGGGTATCACGTGATGGTGTTTGGGGACTAGCACGTGATGAGAAAGAGAGGAATGCACGTGATGGATAAGGTCACGTGTGTGATTAAGAAAGGTGTCCACGTGATTGAGAGGGAAATGTTATGTATGTGGGAGAGTAAACACGTGATTCAGTCGCACTAATTTTTAAGGACAAAGGTCAGCGTCAGCATCAGCAAATCAAGCTAAACCCTAATGAGGGAGGGGGTATTTTTATTAATTTGGCCTGACTTATTCACAAGAAAAAAAACTTGGTGTTATTGAACTCACCAATATCAAGTGACGGTTAATACCTCGGCAGAGTTACGACATTACAAGCAATGCCATACATTAAGTGACGGGTCCCTTACAGAATATGGGCAAAAACCGTGGGGTGGTGGTATCGATTTCGAGACCAGTCTTCAATACAAGGAGAAAAGGATCTGGTGGCGTATGTCTAGTAAAATTAACGAATGAAGGGGCGTGTCATTAGACTGATCCTGTTAAAAAGCGGCTGGGGCTTGCAGGTTGCGTTTATGCCGGAATAGGTATAGGTAGACCGCAGATCTAAAGCCACCTGCAGATAGAGAAATCAGTTTTGGCTTCAAGGACAAAATAAAGAATAGATATGGCACGTGTAAGGAGCAGCTGAGCTGTGTGGAAAACATCCGGACGGCTAAGGCACTCCAGAGACAAGGTTATTTTGCAGAGTGATGGTGATAGAGGTGTTTCCGAGGCTTATAGTCGTCGACTACCGGGAGAGTAATATCGTCATAACCATCGGATGGACTTTGGACTTTGGCGTCTGGACTAGATGTTGGCCTGCAGACTTGGAACTTCCGAGCAGCCATTATTGAAGGGTTTGTCTTCGACATTATTTCTCTATGATGAAATATAGCCATTGCATGGCCTGGCTTGCCAACAGATCTAAGAGGACCGTTAAGACTTGTGGTTATAAGTCGGAACTGCATAGGGTGTGATCATGTTGCTCGATGTCTAGGAACTAGAGTCGATTCGATGATAATTCGCTGTAGTTGGTTTCGCTAATTGTCTCTTGTCCAAACCTTTGGTAGACGTGCTGGAATAAGGCAGTCTTCACTCCCCGGGAACGCCCAAGAACTCTTGGCTGTGAATAATCGATAGACCATTAAATTGACTGATGAAGAGCCCAACAGCAATTAAAACCACTATGGTTCGAATTGTTGCCAGGCTTTCATATTCAAAGTTAGAGTATTTTAGAAAGATTAAATCTCTCTTGCTCTTTAAGCCTCTTTCACTCTCCGTCCCAATGCAAGGGAATTTAGGAGTTACTTGTTAGATGTTGACTGGTCACTAGAACGTTCATTGTTCAAGTTGCACCCTTGAATGCTCAGCTGTAATCCATAGGTGAGGGTACGGCCACTGTCATCTTATCCTGCTGTTGGCTGCCAACCCAATTGTCCCATGCCGAAATGCAAATACACAGCTGCAAGAATCGGAATTCGGGGGTGGGTGGAGAAAATCCACAACAGAGTGATCAACCAGGGCGCACACACGCATATACACGACACATGCTCTTAAAAATTGTGCAGGTAATTGTGTTGGAGAAGGCTTTGCAAAAAGGACAAAGGAAAGAGGAAGAAAAAAAAAATTTAAAAAAAAAGGGGGAGGAGGTTGATGTTATTTTCATACCCTTTATAGCTTTAATTATCTCCAAACCCAACAATCGCTACCATCTGCTGCTGGCCCCGCTGATTTTGACGCGCCTGCTTCTTGCTTCTGTCTCTTCTTATGAAGAAAACAGTTGCTCGTCATGCTCCCATCATTGAGAGATATAATTTACGACATGGAATCTCCCTGAGGAATTTAGACGGGAGGAAAGAAAGAAGTCTATCTCAAGAATTATGAATGAGTGAGTGGATTTGTATAGAGCCTGGAAAGTAGAGCAAGAGTTGGCTGATTGATTGTTTAGTTTGACAGATCGAGGAATGAAGCGAGCGCGAGCGACCGGTACAAGTTTCTGAATGTAGAATAGAACAACCCGACCATGAAAGAGTCTTTCTATGGGATTATTTACTAAGAATTAGAAGGGCCAACTAATTTAGATGGGATCAAGTCTTCGATGATGTGCAACAGAGACAGAATGCGGTTGATGTTTGATGATGGAAGAGTCAGTAATTGGGGAGGAAGAGGGACGTGTAGAAGTACGGGGAAGGATAAAGAGGAAAGTTTGGCGTCGCAAGCTTTTTGGGGAGAGGCGAGTCAGAACTTAGAAGGGAAAGGACATGGAAAAACTGCCTACAGCCCAAAGTGGAGCTAAAAGAGATACCTTCCTGGTTCCGTGGCTGGGAACTACTAGGTAGGTACTAATGCAAGGTAGCGCCGGTATGTCGGCTTCCTTGTTTCACTGCAAGCTGTTCCTATGCAGTTAAAGCTCATTATCAGCTAATCGAACTATTGGATGTGACAGTCAGATGAAACAGGATAGCACCTACTAGTAAGCCACAGTTATCATTGATTATCCCGTAGTTGTTTCTGCCTCTGTTGCGCCCCTTGCCCAAGTGTCCCGAGGTCATATATCCTATATCATTCATACTTTCAAGAGTTGTATTTCTTGAGAAGTGATCCTTTTATGTAGATTCTGAGGTGTGCCGACATAGATACTATGTGCGGATACGTAGTAATGCATGAAACAGGAGTATATTGATTAAAAGAGTTGTTGCTTTTATAGTGAGTTGCGAAACGTTCAATCAGAATTAATGATTTTATTAGAAATGGTCAAGGCGTCAGCCAAAGAAGGTGCCAAGACTAAGCTGTATGTAAGTTACCACCTGAGATTGCTGGGATGTGCAGGATGTGCTGCTTACAACCTTGAAGTATACCTAGGTACATATACACACGTGCAAGGCTACGTAAATTCACCTATGTACATAGCAAGTACCTGCGTACCTACCTACATCATTTTGCTAGTCGTGTCATTTGCCAAAGTTGTAAGTTGATAGCTACATAAAAGTCCAATAGCTTGTTGTTTATATGAATGCTCAAGATATCGACTCCTCCGCATATAATAATATCGACAGTCCAGATAGGATAGGATAGCGATTGATGAATGACAAGCTGGTGACCCATTCGCTCTATGATACCGCCGCAAATTCGACATTCGACAATTCCTCCGCCACTTGCCTAGGCACATATATGTATGACTTCGACGACAATATTACGTTCACCAAGACGGCGCAAACGCAGACTGTGTTAGCTCGGGGAAGAGATAGCTGTGAATAAGATCATCCGCACAATTTGAAAGCACCGACCTCATGGCTGGGGTTAAAGGAAATTCGCTGCGCGATCGCCAAATCGGTTCGACTTCCTCTTCAGTTCTCCGAGCTTTGTTCGGCTAACTTACGGTAGCATCTCTCAAGAAAATACTCAACTTGAACGAGGTCCTCGACCAGAAGGATGAGGAAGAATCTCACGCCAACGGGCTGGCTCCGGCCGGTCCTATATTAACTGCCAATGGGGAGCCCATATGGAAAGTCCTCGTATTTGACGATCTCGGCCGCGACGTAATCAGCAGTGTCATGAGAGTAAATGACTTGCGATCCATGGGCGTCACTATGCATATGTACGAACGCTTACCCCGGCCTCTTCGTTAGACATCACCGGTCATTTGCTAATTTGCGATGCTTACTTCAGGCATCTTGCCGCATCCCGGCATCCTATTCCAGATGTTCCCGCCATCTATCTCGTCGAGCCGAATGCAAAGAATTTAGAAGGCATAACGAATGACCTACAAAAAGGCTTATATTCTCCCGCCTATATAAATTTCCTCTCCTCAATACCACGTCCCCTTCTCGAAGAATTCGCGTCGCAAACCGCTGCGGCCGGTACCGCGGAACACATAGCTCAGCTATTCGATCAGTACCTCAATTTCATAGTCGCCGAACCAGATCTCTTTAGCTTAGGAATGCAAAAGGAGCATACGTATTGGGCTTTGAATAGCGCAAAGACCAAGGACGAAGAATTAGATCACGTTGTTGACCGGATAGTTAGTGGCCTGTTCAGTGTTGCCGTGACCATGGGTATGATAATTCCAGTCTTTCGTGGTGAGACACTAGATTAATTATTTATTCTAGGCGTTATCCCTATTATACGATGTCCTAAGGGCGCCGCCGCCGAAATGATTGCTGGCAAGCTTGATCGAAAGCTCCGTGATCACATCCTCAACTCCAAAGATAACCTTTTCAGTAATACCCGCCCTTCCTCATCTACGAGCACACCCGCCTCGCGCCCAGTCCTCGTCATCTTAGACCGAAATGTCGACCTAAACCCTATGCTATCGCATTCTTGGACTTACCAGTCTCTTGTACACGATGTTCTTAATATGAAGCTCAACAGAATCACTATCGAGACACCTGTGGATGAGGAAAATCCTGCAAAGGGGGTCACGAAGAAGGCTTATGACCTAACTTCCACGGATTTCTTCTGGGAGAAGAATTCCGGCGTTCCCTTCCCCCAAGTTGCGGAAGACATCGATGCTGAGTTGATGCGCTATAAGGAGGACGCCCAAGAAATTACCAAGAAAACGGGGGCGTCGTCGTTAGAGGACCTACAGAACGACACAAGCGCCAGCGCGCAGCATCTCAAAGCCGCCATAACGTTGCTGCCAGAACTGAGGGAACGAAAAGCCGTGCTCGATATGCACATGAATATCCTTGCCTCGGTGTTGAAGGGCATAAAAGACCGCCAATTAGACAACTATTTCCAAATGGAGGAAGACGTTATGAAGCAGACGAAAGCTCAGATTCTCGAAGTCATCAAAGACGAGGCTAAGGGTAAGGACCCGCTGGATAAGCTTCGATTGTTCATAATCTGGTTCTTGAGTACGGAGCAAGAAGTTAGTCGCGCGGATTGGACTCAGTTTGAGGAAGCGCTCACAGCGGCGCAAGTGGACACTACCTGTCTTGCGTATATTCGACAGTAAGTAACATCCACGTGTTTACTTCTCCGCCTCAATCGCATGTGCTAACACCTACCCGCAGAGTCCGCGCCACCACAAAAATGACCCAGCTAACCACGATCGGGCCCTCGCAACCCAACGCCTCGCAGTCCGGCGGCACCACCGACATATTCGGCCGCTTCTCCTCGCTCTCGAGCCGGCTCACGGACCGGCTCAAGGAGACGGGCGTCGGCGTGCCCACGAACCTCGCCTCCAACTTCGACAACCTCATCGGCGGCATCAAGAACTTCCTCCCCGCCAACCGCGACTTCACCATCACCAAGATCGTCGAGTCCATCATGGACCCCCAGGCCGCGTCCACGTCCGCCATCGCCAAGACGGAGAATTACCTCTACTTCGACCCCCGCAGCGCCAACGCGCGCGGCAGCATGCCGCCTCCCAGCGCGATACGCGGCGCTGGTGGCGCCGGAACGCCCGGCGGCTTGCCGGCTGGGCCTGGTGGGGCCCAGGGCCCAGGGACGGGAGCTAGTTTCGGCCAGAGAAGGCAGGGGTTCACCGAGGCCGTCGTGTTTACCGTCGGCGGAGGTAGCATGGACGAGTACGGCAACTTGCAGGAGTGGGTCCAGCGCACGTGCGAGGCGGGCGGTCGCGCGAAGAAGAGGGTCGTGTACGGAAGTACGGAGCTGCTAAACGCGCGCGAGTTTATCAAGGAGGAGTTGGAGAGGTTGGGGAAGGAGGTGCCTTGATAGGTGACTTGCGATTGCAGTCGTGGGGTAGGGGTGGGATGGGGAGAAAGGGGGTGATGGATAAGAATACTAGTATTCTAGAAATTTCAGAGAGGACGTATGAAGTTCAAAAGAAATGGGAAACCCCCCCTATGAGCCGGGGGTATCAGACCTTGACTACCTACCTACGGAGCATTAAGTCTTATCAGGATTGGATGTATGAAAGTAAAGTTTCGTAATGAATTATGTGAGTCTGATGTGTGGTCTCCGTATCTACCCAAGCTTTTAATGAACCTAGATCGACGGAAGTGAATATGGAGGCTAGTAAATTCGGATTACCGACCTCGTTTCGTGTAGCAAGTCTAAGTGACCACTATAGAACGGAAATGTTTACGAAATAAGATCATCAGAAATCGCTGGTGACTATCAATGGCAAGTTGCTAGCTCCATATGTCAACAACAATCATAAAATCGGCAAATCACATTTCATAAGAGAATACACGTACAATTGTACATAAACTCGGAAGAAAATGCGAGATCTAGTATATGTACGAATGCGTCTCAATTCAGGCAGCAATCCCATAGCCATAACTCCGCTACGCCAAGCAATGCTACTGTTTAAGCTCCTGATACAATGTCCCATCAGCACTCACTTCATACATGTAGGCAACCTTTTATCCACACAAGCCGCACGATTTCCTCTCTTATCCCAAGCCAGCGGACCACTTATCCATCAAGGACACTATGTTCATAGCTAGCAAAGGAGAGATATGTAGGAAAATTCTCGCGTAAGAACATCATCACCGGCCCCAAACATCCCCGAGAGCTTTTGCAAACCTTTCGTTTCACAAAGGCGTGTAGAAAAGAGTTTCGAATTCGTGATCCAACATCAACGTCTCATTATACATTCGTCTTCGGTCTCCGATATACATTTCCACTCCTTTCATCGTATAACACAATCGCCCTATCGACCTATACAACGATGCCCTGCCTGTCGTTTCACCTCCGAGTCTCCGTACGTCGTAAACTCGCTAAATGGGGTATAATTGGGGGTGGGGACTCGTCAAACGTGAAGAAATGAAGAGAATAGGTGTGGAAGAGAAGAACTGGATCAAGTCGAACTGGTAGGACGGCAAACTTGGACACAGTCATAAGCGCCTTTGCAATATCGGAAATAAACGTTCGGGGCGGCCTATCATACGCCCAACCCCATTGGCTGGAAAATGATCCATGCCATCGATAATCCGTATAACGGACTCACCCATAGCAAGAGCTGAGTATATGGCAACTAGCCAGAGCGATGTGAGTTTGACGGGCAGACCAATATAATGTTCGTACAGGAAGTCTTCAACAACCGAGAGGAAATGAGTACTCGAAAGAACATAACGCCAATCTCCCAGCATATAGAGATCACTCAGGTACTACTCAAAAAGGATATCGGCGTAGAAGATCCTTCTGAGTTCTCCTCTGCTGTCGTATAAGCCACAATAGCGGAAGACTGCCATTTGGAAAATACTCTCCATAAGACATTGGTAGTTCTCTGAATGCCGGGCAAGAGAATAGGAAGAATGATTGTATTGCATGTGTTTGGGTTAGAATTTCTCTAGACGCCCCTGAACATGCGGACGATGAGGAACCAGAGTACGCCAATAAACTTGAAGGCACTCAGTCCTGCAACGCTCCATAGAATGATAGTCATGTATAGAGTAGATCGTTCGTCCTGACTGTCCTCCTGTTGTTGAGGATCGAGCTTCTCGAGGCCGGCCGTACTAAGAACCAAGGCGACGAGGCCGAAATTCGTAATCATCCAGATGATGACTACCAAAGAGCGAATCCAACGATAATAATCCATCTGAGCTTCCGCCTTCTGCGCTTCCGTCGGTGGCTTTTTAACGACTACTTCCTTCGTGCGAAGTAAATCCTTCTCTTTTTCGTACCGGGCGTCAAGGTCACCCTCATCGGGCAATACGGTCTCGCCCTTGCCGTCCTTGGTATCAACCGTAGGTAGCTCTTCAGCCTTATCATCACCCTTCGTGCCCCATGATATGTCGTGTGTGTTGCAGAACGCGTACACGTTAAGGACGTTGACGTAAGTGGGCGTGAGAAGTAGGTACTGTATGAATGAAGTAACCATGTGCCACGGGTCGAACATCAAAAGCGATGCGATGAGCCAAAGACCCCAGGTTGACAGCATAGAAATGATGAGTGAGTAGAAGATCTTATTCTTGAATATGTCGCTGATGTTAAAGCCTTTGGCCACTTGAGCCTCGACAGCGATAACGGTGATATACACAGCAGCGAATGTCAGATATCTGTAAATGTGGTTAGTATTTTGCCGAGGAAAATTAAAGGGCGAGGGGATTAAACCTACATCATTATCACACACCAGAAAATTACCATAGCGGTGTATAGCTTGCCAGAACCTGCCGGACGATTGCCCATTGACAGAACGAAGCAAGCCATCAAGGATATACCATAGAACCATTCAAACACTACCCCGAGAATCTCACCCACTGTACCCAATAAATTGTCGTCTCCGAGACTTGTCGTCAATATTTTGAAGACCAGGAAAAAGTTGCCAATAGCAAACCAGGCGAAGATCATATTGAAGGTCTGGAAGCCAAATTCTAGGAAGAACATCAACTTGCGAAGGATAGAATGATCCGAACGGAAGAACTGGTAAAAGTGCGCAATGGCGTAGATGGCAGCAAAGAACGAGCCATTAAGCCAACGACGACGCTGTAAGATGAGTTCGGTCACAGAATCGGGCACATCAGTTTCTCCTGTTGCCGATTTGACATACTGCAAGATCCAGTGACAGTTACGCTTGGTAACAAGTTCGAAGCAGAGGATACGATCTTCGGCCAGGTACATATTAGCCGTGAATACACCGGCACCAGCACCATGTAGCGTTTCACCCTTGAAGTATTTCTCAAGGGGACCCAAGCCGTTCTTGTCATTCTGCAGAGCAACATATCGATACGCCGAGAAGGCGCCGGGCAAGACGGAAATGAAGCCGAACGCAGATTCTAGAGGCTTGTCAAGAATATTACTCATTTTATACTCGAAGTTTTGAGTCGCGACTAGAGGATTGATCAACTCCTTGCCGTTTTTTCCTAACATGGCCTTGATCTCGCCACAGGCGCCAGCGCACATTGGCTCGAGGTCGAATGCTTTCCATAGATGATAGATAGAATGATCACCTGGTTGAGTACCGGCATCGATAAGTACGCAGATATTCGGGTCAAGGACACGGCCAAACGCCGAGAAAAACCATCGATGGGAGTTGATCTTCTTTTGGTTCTTTTCTTTCAGGCAGAATAGCATCTGCACAGGTTGCTTCTTGTGAATGATCTCAACCACGTCGTTCTTGATTTGCAGGCCCACTTGCGTCGTGTATTCGTAGATATGTGCGGTAACATTTTTGCCGTTGACTTGTTGCTTGGCAATACCCTCTTGGTAAACACCCATACAGGAAAGAAGTGCTCTTGTTCGCGGGTTGATTTTGGCACGTCCGTCACTAACTACGCACACGACGATTTTCTTCCAGGCATCCGGACCCCATGTCTTGCTTTGTGTTCGGCTACACATGTATTCAATGTTCTTCAACACACCAATCATGGTTCGCGCAAAGAGGATATCATCCTCATTGTACATGGTGATGACAATGAATAATTCAGTGTGTCGTGGTTTACTAAAAAGCTTTTGGCGCAGAGTAAAGTTTTCGTTGTAAAAGTCATTGGGGTCGCAAGTGGCAGCAGAATATCGCATATGAGTAAATTCGTCGCGTTCACCGTGAGGGAGAAGGTTCAACAGCGTTGGAGGTACTGGACAATCGAGAACCAAGTTTCCTCGGTATAGGAGCACCTTCTTCATCGTCATTGCTCTTTTGAGCCCCCCACCTCCTTGGGGCTGACGGTTTGGGTCATCGACGTATGGTTCTGGCGGCTGAGCGTGCGCGTGGGGGTCGTTTGGAGTAAGCATTGGCTGCTGATCATTATAGTCGTAACCATTGTGATCAGAAAATGGTGTCGAAGTAGGGTGCGGTGGCTCATAAGGTTGATTGAAATAAGCATCATGATGTTGTTGGGGGTCAACTGAGTATTCGGAAGGATAACCACCCTGACCGTGGCCATAGGGGCTTTGCGACAAGTTGTCTATAGAGTGCGCAGCATTCAGCGGAAGAATATCGCTTGGAGTGTATCTTCCTGGGCCAGCAGGTACGTCGAAATTGGAGGCAGATGCTGGGTGGTGACCGTAGGGGACATCATCGAGTTGGTATCCATGTTGAAGGGGATGGCCTGGCGAGGGCGTTCGACCTATCCTGTGGTTGTCCATAGTAGGATCGTAATAGTCATCTAAAAAGAGAGGAGTTAGAAAAGTCGCAATATAGTATGATTTAAGTATATATCAAATAGCGATGGCAGGTCTTCAAGCGATGTAGGTGCCGCCTGCGCCACGAAGCGTGCGTCGTCTTTGACTAGCAAGACAAGGCAGTAAGGGTGTCTGTTCTAACGAACACACAATAAGGTATTGTTGATGTTCAAGTGAATGTATGGGGAAGCGTGGCGATGACTGTGGCTACTCAAAGACCATGACGAAGCGGAAAGGCAGTGAAGGAGAGGCGAAAGGAAGGGGAGCTCCCACAGAATGATAATGGGGACACCCAGGTAGATGTTCAAGGATCATGTCATGATACATACCTCCACCTCCTAGGCGATTATAAGACATGGTTTATGGATTATGCCCACGCGGAGGGTGGGCGCTTCAAGCGGGCAAGCTGTTTGAGGAGTCGGTAGAAGTGAACGAAGCTTGGCTTTTGCGCAATCGCGATCGCAACGAGATTCCCAGCGCAGTGATTGGAATGCAGACAGGTGTAATAGATCTGTGGAATGAGGACAGATAGAAGGCTGGTTCACTAAAGATTCAACTCCCGAAACCACAGATCCTGGATTGGGCTTATCGGGTGAAAAGCACCTGTTGTGGTGATATGCCTTCGGGCTAATCTCCTGGACAACGAATGGGGGAGGTGGTCCAGTAAGATGTCGCGAATTTAGCTGAAGAAATGCATGCAGAAGATGGAGACACAAAATGGTGTTTGAGAAATCTCCTTGGAGGCTAGACCGAAAAGAAAGGGGGTTGAGAATTCTGGATTCTAGGGCGTCGATGCGAATAGACGGAAAAGAAGAATGATTGTGATCTAGGACCTTGACGAAGAGTGTCAAGTTTCACTAAGAAGATTGAACGAAAAAAAAAAATCAAGGGACTGAAGTGACTAGGTAGGTAGTGAAGAATATTTGCGACGGCTGGGGCTATCAACTAATTGTCAAGGACGGAAGTTACTCAAGGGCAGGTGATATGCTGTTTCAGGTCAACAAAGCGGGCGCAGCAACCAAATTAAAGGCCACTAACGGCACCTTGCGCCTGTACAGTAGTACAAGGGTACGAAATGAGCAAGGGTGTCAAACGAACGCTAACCGGTTTGATTCTCCACCCCTGGTAACCACAGCACCCTGAGCAGTCTCTGACGTCTCCCCCACCTGTAATAAGGTCTCCAGTGACGTCGCCTGCTTAAATCGTCAAAATAAGAATTGATTAAGTAATTAAGTAATTAAACTATTAGCAAGGTTCTCCATTCAAGACGGACATCTTCAACTTTCTCTTTACATACAGTGCGTGCATCAAATGCACATTCAAAGAAAATCTACATCATATACTATAACTAAAAGTTGCGGTCGCAGTCGCAGTCGCAAGAACACGCAAGGCGATGTGCGTAACAAGAAAGCCAAGCACAAGGTTCTCCAGAATCAATCTGCTCAACCAAAAATAGAAGCCCGATCAAACCCGAGTTCACCTAAGAAAGCTTTGTCGCCACATTTCTCAGCCACAGCCAAGCTGACGATAATGATGACGACAGAGTAGGCCTCTTTTTCTCGAGGGTTGGCTGGATAGGTAGTTATAAATGTCGAGTACATTGTATGCTAATAGGCCAGGCAGCAGAATAACCGTAAGTAGGCAATGGACGCGAACTCCCGAGGTTGGATCGTTCTTATTGAGAACTTGGAACCCTTGCAAGTGTCATGTCTCAGCCACCAGTAGTTGCTATTCAGCTACTCGAATCATGGCTGAAGACATCGACACCACGCCCCCGGTCTCTACATAGTAGGTATTTAGATCGAGAGAAACTGCTCTAGCCGGCGCTATGCACACGCCACTATAATATATACATATTTTGGTATATAAGCATGTGCGTAGTAGTGCATTGCAAGCGGGTACCTGAACAGCCTCTGTGGTCAAAAAACATATGCCAACTGTTCTGAGCGGGCTGTTTGGATAATCATCAAGCCAATCAGAAACCAGCACCGTTAGGTAGCGCTCTAACAATATGCATGCCATCTCGCGCCTTAAGATGTCCTTGGTTGGTTATGTCATACGTCTTTCGCGACTGCTACCTCACACTTTGGATATCGGCAACCATCTAATCCAATGCTATTTTACCAATATCGGACATGAACATCTGCTTCTCAAGAAAGGTTCGAGAGCCTGAGCTTTGTTGCTTTCAAGCAAATCAAAATTTGCTCTCTGTTTATCTACCTACCTGAATATGTATCTTCGAGTATTTTGAAGCGATTCGGGCAGGCCCAAATGCATCAGCATTCATTGTATATACCTAATACCGCAGAAGACCGTTGTTCTCCGACAGATCCAACAAGTTAACATTGCGGTTATCAGGTCTTAAAAAAGTGATTGCGGCACGGAAGCGCAAAACACGCCGATTGGATGAAGAGTGAGACCCTCATAAGCAGCGATGTCACGTCATGTGACAGGAAGATCAGCCTTCCTCGCGCTTAGGGGTTTTGAGGATTGCTTTTATGTCTTTTCCCATATACCAAGCATACCTACGTGCCTACTAATCACGATCCCAAACTCGCGACGATGACTAAAAAGGTATGGACCGCATAGTCTTTAGATTGCGGCAGCTGCCTTCTCATATTGATAAGTTGGCCACTGTTATGCTTTTAAGCAAGGCTCTAGGGATCAAGGCTTCGGCAATTTGGATTTTTTCTCTAGCCTCCTCTGTTGATCCATGGCTACAGCATAAAGTGGCCACTTTGATGTTCGATGGTGATAGTGGAATACAGCAAGTTCTCGAAGGAAGGCGACCGGGAGTCACGAAACAGGGTGATGAATGGGTTATTGAGGCCGATAACCTGGGTGATAATTGGATATTGGATTCGCACTTTCGAGGATTGACTGCTTTATATGATCCGCCATCACATGCGGCTGAGTAGGTGTCCTTCAGTACAAACCTTCGGATATCAACTAACAGTTAAAAGCTGCATTGCAATATCAGGGCTTGCGAGTCATCCATTTGGGTCGTGGCAGCCGAAGGGGCAGTCTAAATCCTTTATGTGGATTCGTGATGCATTACCTAAGTCATTACCGAACGTTCGGCCTATACTTTACGGCTACGATTCAACCCTTGTGAAAAGCCATTCATTTCAGTCAACATTTGATCTTGCGTTGGCATTGATTAATCAACTTAAGGCTAATGGCTGGGTGTCGCCAACCTGCAAGCCTCTCGCTTTTCTTGCACACAGTCTCGGGGGGATTATTTTAAAACAAGCGCTCGTCTCACTCGCGGGTATGAATGAGCGTGACAGTCCCATACTTCGTGTTATGAAAGGAGCGGTATTTTTCGGTGTGCCTAATCTGGGCATGGAGCAGTCACATCTCGAGGCTGTTGTCGTGGGCCAAGCCAATACAGAACTCATTCAAACCCTCTCGCCCAAGTCCCCATATCTCTTTCAACTCGACAAACAGTTCACTGGAATCTCAGAGATCCAAAATTGTCTGCTTTATTGGTGTTATGAAACGACAAAATCGTCGACTGTCACTGTATGGAAACGATCCCATCACGTTTTCTAACCATTATGATTATTAACTATCTACAGTTAGATTCAGATGGAAAATGGTCGAGAATGGGTCCTGAAGAGATCCTAGTCACCCCGGAATCCGCAACTCGTGGATTATACGGAGATCCTACGAAGCAGGACTCGATATTCCCAATCGACAAAGATCATTCAAGCATAGTGAAATTTTCAGAGAACGATCCGAACTACTCTGTAGTTGTGCGGCAGCTAAACCAAGTACTGTTTTCAAGAGATTCGACTAGGGGAAGAGAAGAATTAGAACCAGCCAACCTAGCAATCAATATAACCCAGAGGCCCCTGGATCCCGCGGCAGTTGCACAAGGAACCTCAAGTAAGGATGGTAAGCGGAAATATCTCCCATCTTTTGAGTAATCGACTTATTTGAGACTAGACATTTTGATGTCACTTCATGACCCCGAGGTAGACCGCCGACTGCTAGAAATTGAAGACAAGTTTCAAGACACGTTGAACTGGGTTTACGACTTGCCAGAGCCAGGTTTCAACAGGTGGCTCCAAAATTATACCGGTCTTTTTTGGATTAGAGGAATACCTGGCTCTGGTAAGTCAACTTTAATGAAATTTATTTTTCAAGACCAGCGTACCTCAGACCTGCTCTCCGACTGGACAGGAGAGAAATCTTATATACGGGCAGCATTCTTTTTTCATCATCGTGGTACTTTGCTCCAGAAGTCTTTTGAAGGCCTGCTTAGAAGCATTATATCACAGATTATCTTGCAGAAGCCCGCTCTTTGCAGGTTCATCCATGACAAAAAGGACCTTTCTTCGGGACATTGGACTTTGAAGATGCTTCAAAAAAGCTTCAACGACATCTTAAGACAAGAAGAAGTACCATTTCACCTATGCTTGTTTTTTGATGCACTGGATGAGTATGACGGGCCATTGGAGTTTTTATGTCGGTTTCTCAAGGATTTAGGTGCTATCACCCCGACACCAAACAGACAAATCAAAGTGTGTTTCTCTAGCCGCCCTTGGGACATTTTTTTGAGTACTTTTCGGGGCTGCGCAGGCTTCAATATCCATGACTTTACTCAAGACGACATTACGAATTATTGTTTGGGCTCGATCAAAGCGGAGAACCTTTCATCGGTCGCGCTCGAGAGCTTCATCCCAGATATCGTAACACGGTCAAAGGGCGTTTTCTTGTGGGTGAAGCTCTTCATCAACGAACTTGCCCAAACTAACGGGGCCATCACAAACGATATTGAGATGAAGAGTTTGTTAGAGTCTTATCCTACAGAACTTGACTCGTTCTACACCGAAGTCATTCAACGAATCCCACGTGCATATAGGCGGATGACTTATACGATGCTTGAGACTACAGTTCGATGCATGGATAAGTTGACGCCCTTGCGCCTTTTAGGCATCATTGACTGCTCAGGTTGTAAAACCTACTCAGACGCCTTGGAGATGCTCTGGAAACCATATAAACTCAAAAAGGAGTACCTTACGGCTCTCATACAACGTAATTCAAAGAAGTACTGTGGTGGATTAATCGAAGTCTACGATGACGGTTTCGGTCCCTACATCCAAGTTCTCCATCAAACCGTCGAGGACTTCGTGAAAGATCCTAAATTTAAGCAAATCGTCTTACAAGAGCAATCTAGGATTACGGTAGAGAATGGATACACATTTTGCGCCAAATATTCTATGTTAAGAGCTACTGTGGATGACTTCGACGACGGACGCCGTCAAAGACTAGACCCGCACGATTATGCATATCTCTCTGAACGGACTACGGGCCACAGCCTTAAAGCATTTGTCGACAGCATACCGCGTGAGAAAATTAATCTCGTAACTCGATCTCCTGAAAAAGACACTCCTCTTGCCCTTGCTGCAAACTTTGACTGTCGTCTTCATATTATTGACTTACTTTCCGATTCGCCTACCCTCTTGCAAGAATCCAGAGAGCCACTGTTGAGCTATTGCCTTCCAATAAGTATGTTTTTGAGTCGTAAAGAATCTCCCTCTACGGTCAAGCTTCTTCTAGAAAGAGGATTCACTCCTGATAAGGACCCAGAAGCCTTTGACAAGCTGATCTGGCGTCTAGCACACGGTGCTTCGCCAAATTATTACACAGATTTGGTTGAAATCCTACTTAAATATGGCCAAAGCCCGGACATGAAATTCCATGATGACTCAGGGTTGGAGCCCGCGGCCCTACATTTCAGCCGACTTCCGCCAATGGCAATCAAGGTACTTCTCGACAATGGTGCTACAGTGAACATTTTGGATATTAGGGGAAGAACGCCGTTAGACTGCCTGTGCGAAGAAGCATATGACGACGGTGATTTGAAGTTTGGTATGCCAGTACCGGAGGCGTACGAGACAGCGTGCCTACTCGTGTCTCGTGGCGGGATTGTAACAAAGGGGGCCCTTAAATATTCGAAATGGCTTTTGCGCAAGATCGAGGATGCGGGCTTACCTACCGAGGACTTGAAAGATTGCTTGTCCCGACCGGGAAAAGGGCCAAAGCTTCCGCTCAAATCTAAATTCAAGAAGATGGGATTCTATATCTCCAAAGCCATGACATCAAGCAATGATTAGGTAGGAAAAAAGGAATGAGTAATGAGAAGATGAAGGTAGATTGCCTAGGGATTGCCACATAGCAGATTGTTTCTCTGGTGGTTGACAGATGGTGTTGTTTCATAGCGTTTGGGCTCAGGGGTGACGGCAGCGGTGGCGTAAAGGTGTTAGGATCTTTCCAATTTGGATGTCTTCATATCAACGTTAGGTCACTAAGTACTTTCAACTAGTTCAACAATGATCCTATTGTAGCATCTTAAGATATTCATGATACTTTTTCCTGACTTGGCAGCAGCTTCATGTTAATATGGCATTGGAGGCATTACGACAACATGTTTAGCACCATCGCTCACCCTATAACACATCTTCCTAAACCTTATGGTGTAGTAAATATTTCACTTCTTTCTTATTATCACTTAAAACTTAAATCCTTTATTTGAGGTCATGCTAAGTCCAGTTGCGCATGAATTTCCTTTCATCGAGCCACTCATTCTTGTGGTCATGACTTGAAAAGAAAGATATCTAGGTACTTTGGTTAACAATCTCATTGTAGCATGAAAGGGGTGAATGATTTATATGCATTCTTCTTGAATGTCCGAATTGTTCCGTAACCTCAGATATATTCATGAACAGTGTGTACTTTTGCCATGGAACATAGGTAAATATCACTAAGCATTTGCCGATATTGAATTTGGTCGCTACAAGCCCACACATCATAAAGACACCAGTTCTGAATAATCTCATCATACACAAGCATCCATCCAACCACTTATTTTCCAAAACAAAAACACCTTGCCACCCAAGATGGCGAACGTTCATAAGGAAAAAAAGTGTGCCGCGTGCCGCGAGTCCATTCCCAAAAACCGCCCGTCCACTCTATGTCCTTCTTGCTTGGCCAAGAAAAACAAGGCGACGAACCGCAAGGCGGAGGAAATAGTCAAATTGGCAGAAGGGTTGGCCAAGGTTAAATTGACTATCTTTTAAAGCCCCCCACCCCCTTACCCTATATCCATACCTAACAAGTAGGCAGATTTCTGGCTCCCCAGGAGTATCTACCTAGGTAGTTGACCTGTTTTCTCATGTATTCATAAGAATTCGCATTGCACATATGTTGTTTTACTAAGTGAGAATACGTCCTAATTGACATGTTGATGAAATAAACCGGTCGGCTATTGCTGAAGATTAGAGACGAGATCTGTTGGTGCAGCAGTTTGAGATAGCAGACCACATGTGAGTGCTCGAAATTTACCCATAATTATACGTCTGAGACTTTTCGACTCATAGGCCTAGGCACCTAATCCAGCAAAGACATCACATCGCACTTCTCTTACTAACCGTCCCGTTAGGTACTAGCAATGGGCCTGCACCAGCTTTCAACCGTTTAGGTAGTTGATTGACATTAAGTATTATATCATTCGCAGTTACAGCTCTTGAATCCGACTACGATCCGTGTCCCTATCTTGCGCGCATATGTTTCTAATCTCAAAGCCCAAGTCAATATCGTTGATCTCGTAATATCTCTTCAGCGTCCGTAGAGCTTTTTGACACTCCCTTGCCGTGCGCTTCTTGCCGCTTAGCTTCTGTGTAGTGCCTGCCCCGTGGATCCGGACCCCATCGCCATCGACATAAGTCAACGCCACCTGATCACTGTCTCCATTCTTGAAAACCGCCGGCCGTATGACGTACTCTAACGACCTCCCCGAAAGCCCCAAGAGCTTCACGTCGTCCGATTGTCGGATAGGTACGTTTTGCACATGGTATAAACAGTCTCCAGTCTCTTCGTCGCACGATTTCGTCTCGGCGAGCTCTAACCAATGGAACGAATCTGAGTCTGACTGGCAATGCGAGGTGTTGCCATTACTATCTGCCGGTATCCACCTGTGGATGTCATGTTAGAGTTTGAGGCGCGGACTTAGGTTCGTATCCATAGGAGAAACATACCATCCGAAACTAAAGTAACCCTTGTCGGTCATATAGCTGAAGGAGTCGGTTGCCCGCTTCGTATCGCTGGCCGGCGAGGATACATCTTCGCTGGGAAGGGTGAAGACGAAAGTGCCGTGGAAGATCACCGGGTAGGTAGACGTCGCTGCCCAGACCGCACCGACAAAAGTGAATAGAGCAAACAGTAACATTTGATATTCCATCGCTTTTTACCCCTCTGAGGGGAAGAGAAGGGAAATATCGTAGATGCTTAGTCGCCGGACTAAGAGCCTCTAATTAGTAGGACGACTGTGCGCATCCAACAAGCGCTGTCGATCCACATCGGCGTAGGGCCAAGGAGGCACGGATACTCCACTACCAAATCGACCAAGGAAATCCTGGCGATTTTTCCAGGTATCTCCTCTTGAATGGTATGGTCCGATTTTCAAAGTACTAGAACTTCGACTATTTAGACTTTAAGCTGTGGCGTAGGCGGCGGGCATCGAGTTCTCGGCATGTATGGTTCTCTAGGGTACGCATCCTCTGTATCAGCTTCCAGGAATAACCGGCAGTCGGCAGTCGCATTCAAGGGTCAATGTGATATTGCCATCCCATTGAGTGTGTAACGGGTTCTATTGATGCCCCTGATCTCGTTTTGAACGCTTTCGGCCATGCATTCGCATTCAATATAAGGGTTGGCAGCCGCGTAATCAATCGTGCTATGACATGTAAACCCACCCTATTAGAGTTGTAATAAGACACTGCAGATAATTACTGAAGAACATTCTCGGTAACCGTATATAATAACCATAAGACATTTATGTCACAGCACGTCCGATTCGCAAGGATGGTAGACGTTAGTCAACTCATACCTACCTAGGTAGGTAGTTTGGAATCTACTTGAGTAGATGTGGTGTTGTAGCGATTGCCGTCTTAAGAACCTATCGTTAGGGGTTAGGTCCTATGGAGTAAGCCATGCCAGTGTAGAATTAATTGCCCCTGGTTCACATGCTAGTGTAGAGCAGCGTAGATGGTAGGAATATGAGACAGCAATATTCTTGGCAATGTCGCAGTAGCAATGCTCAAGTCGAGAATGTGGCTGTACAAGCTGAAAAGGGCACACTGACTGTGTCTGCTAAATTAATAAGCCATGGTGTCCTTGACTTCAGCTCATAGTCATCAAGATACCTTCTTTCGGCTTCACCCCGATCCACTGGACCTAAATGTATGTTCCCGGAGTCCATGACTAGGTAGGTGCAGACACGACCACTTTCACAAGGCGAGTGGCTAAATCGACTTTCACAGGGTCTTCTATATCACGTCGCTCACCTTAATGTATGTCACGTGCGTCGCATCACACGCGTTTATGTCTGTGTCAACGTAGCTTCGTAGAAACACCGATAGCGCGCGCTGCGGTGTGGAACAAGCGTTCCGACCAAGAACCGTTGACGGGGTGTTCAGTTTAGACTTGAACTGCGGCTTTTCTCTCTTGATGCATTTGAAGTTAGCAGGTAAGTCCGTTGATCGCGTACGTGATTGTATCTCTTACGAACGCAGCACAGTCTCTAGTGTGGCATCGCGCGTAGATAGGGAGACGGTAACCCGGTTCTCGTCGGCTTGCTTTGAATCCACGGACTTTTTTGTGGGCGTAGTCTTGGCTTCAGCAGTCATGCTTGCGGCTGCGTACAGAACCGGCTTCTGGGGAAGGCCGGCGGACAAATATTAAAACTAGAACTCGAAGCGTCGATATATGAAAACCCCGTTGAAGACATACAAGGCTAGAATACATTCACATCTTAGATTGCAACCGATTCTCCTGTTCCAAGCGCCTATGATATGCCCTTCCATAGGAATCAAAATCCTATCCACAACCTGCTTCAGCAAACCCTCCCGTATCCGCTGCAGTAAGTCATGCGACGATGCAGCCAGTGCAGATTGTACATTACAAACCCCCGTTCCCCTGTCGCCATCCGGCCCATTGCTGTGGCCCGCATATGCCTGGACCGCCATCGCCATACACCGCGGAGCCGGGTACAAGATCGATGTCCGCCGCAACCTCACCTAAGTGGTAGGACACCACATCAATATCGACAGTCTCACCAGGCACAGCTCCCTATCTACGGGGACCCGTGGCATCGGCGATGAGGGGCTTCGCATGCGGACTGATGAGAAGGAGGACCGTGTACACTGCGAGCAAGGCGGGCCCGAATGTACTGAGGAAGGACGTTATTGGTAGACCCACTACCGAAGGGTCTGCGTAGGTAAGTACCTAACTAAGGGAAAAGGTTGGTAGGCACTTAGGGAGGTACGCCCTTAATGTAAAGAGGTATTTTGGCTCAAGACATGAGAGACACCGTATCAAAAGTAAGATATAAATAGCTAGATATATTTTTAAAGATGTACAAAAAAGAATGTAATGTTCATTCATAGCGATCGTGAGAAATAAATCTAGTCATTACAAGTCATAACACATCACATCTCATACTTTTCATACCTCACCCCCTTTTTCGTAAAACTCATCATCATACACATCACCACCACCACCACCACCACCACCACCACCATCCTCATCACCCCCGACTAAACAAAATCGGCACATCCATACTCCCATGATCCCTCCCCGGCTGCAGCGCCCCGCTCACAACCGGAGGAGTATGGACACTCCTGCCAAAAAGACCCTCGCGAAACCTCGCGCCGCTAAGGAAGCTTCCAGAGCCGAAGCTCTCCTTCCGCGAACCGGCGCCGGAGCTCTTCTTACTGTAGTAACTACTCGCGCCGCTCGAGAACTGGCTGCCCAGACGACTGAGCACGAGCTCCTTAGCCCTCTTTAGGGCGCTAGTCTGCATCTCGGTATCTTGAGCGACCAGCCTTTGAGCTTCTTCCGCCTCGATGTCGCGCTGCACGGCCGTGATCTCGGAGCAGAGCTCCGCGGTCGGGTCGTAGACGGTGGGTGAAAGGAGGATGGGCATGCTAGGCGCGGTGTTGAGGATGGGGGCTGAGATGTCCATGGTAGGAGTCGTGGTGGTGGGGGTGCTGGGGCGGAAGTATTCGTCGACGACGGAGTCCGACTCGTCGATGGGCGAGTTGGTGAGCTCGGGCTCCGAACCCGGGTTGGAGAGTTGCGAGACTTCGCCGAAGAGCCGCCGCGACGAGGTGGAGCACACGCTGTTCACCTCGCCGAATAATCGCGGGCGAGAGGACTGAGACGAGACGGATAACCGTGGAGGCTCCTGGGGCCGAGTGAACGATTCGACGGAGGGCCGGTAGCTATGATTACGAGGATGGATTTCCAGCTGCTCCTCCGGATGTTCCTTGGTCTTCGGATGCCGGCGGCGGTGACGGCGATGCTCATAGCTGGGCTGGTCTATAGAATCATCGGAAAGTTGCCGACGATGATGCCGCTCACGATGTTCCTGCTCATCGTCTGTATGATCATGTTTAGGCTTCTTTCTGCGGCGCCTCTTCGTGACGCGACGCTTCTTAAGCTTGTTCGGAAACGAGATACTAGCTTGTCGGGCAGCCTCCAGATCCGAAGGCAGGTCAAGAAGATCTTCTTCCTGGTTTAGTGGTTCATCTTCCTCGTGTTCCTCGTGTTCCTCGCGTTCGCCTCCGTTTAGGTCGAGATCCAGAAGCTCCTGAGATACCGCGGAAACAGCAGGCGAGTCCTCTGACAACTCGTCATCTACGTCCTCGGAATGAATACTTGCGACTTCCTCAGAAATAGTTGCCATTGAATGCCTAGTCCAACGGCCGCTACGAGAAGTATTGTCCATTAAAGGTGCTAATGCATCGTCCCAGCTACCATCATTGATTAAAACGGTATTTTCGAAGTCGAACTCACGGACGCTATGTTGATGCGTCGCGACTAAGGAAGCTACTTGTGGCGAGTTCATTGTGGAGTTCCGGATTGCCATGTAACGCAATTTTCGGAAGACGATGGGCTTCCTCAGAGGCGGTGGTGGTAAGGGTGACATGGGCGAGGTGACTTCATGGAACAGCTTTTGCGAACTCCGAGGCGGCGCAAACAATGGGTCGGCCGCCAATGACAGTGGGCATGGTCCCCTTTGGCCCAGCCAAGTAAATGTTAACTTCTCTAGGCTGTTTGAAAAATCCCGGATATAGTCGTCGATCATCTTTAAATGATCAAGCCCAGGCGAAGGACCGTAGAAATCCCACGACTCAGCGGTAATATATAGCTTTCGGATTTGTCTCCACCGTCGAGCTGCTGATGGTAGACAACCAAAGCCTATGACATGTCGCAAATAAATGAAGGCAGATGGGTGGACCGATGATAACGAAAGCTTTGTAAGCTTCCTCATCGGTGCCCTCTCCAGTGAGATCCGCAGGCTGATAAGTGCGTAGTCGACAATATCCCTTCGATATCTCTCCCTTGGGTCTTGGCCTGGTGTTTTTATAGTAAGGTGCCTCATATTTGGCAGGTACTTCATAGCATTGATGAAGGACGGCACATTAGATGCGGCGTGGAACAATGGCGGGTATTGTTCCGTGAGGATCTCACCGAGCGCCGAATTGGCGAATTTGGGCCTCTCTAGAACTGATGCCATTGAAGTGTGAGGCTTGTAAAGGAAGCTAATTTCACGCCCACTTTCGGGGTGAATCAGCGGGGGTAAGAAGGTTGCATCGGAATGTGGAAAATAAAAGGTGAGATGTTCTATATGCTGCCCTACTCTCGACAACGCCTCAATCCTACTCTGCCGAGTGAAAGTTTGCGCCGTGAAAGTCAGGTGGGTTCGTAAGAAAAGCCGTTTAGTAACGAGGTTGCAACATGCCGAAGATGCGAGGCGGATATTGCAGATGTCTTGGTTTGATAGTAATTCGAAGAGCCTCTCGCGGATCTGCTCTTTCTGCCACAGGCAATAGAATGCTTGCGGTCCTGTTGCCATAGCTCTCGCATGTCGCTAGGGCAAATCTTGTCGAGATTGTGGTGTTTGTTTGAGAGAAGTCCAAATGGTGGACTGCCTATGGTCACGAAGGCGATGTGGACAGTTAAACTGGCGTCAACAAAGTCTGGTCAAGGTTAGGGATATCTCTGTATATCTTCGATAACTGTGGGATAAATATTGATAAGGTTGGAATAACTAGTTGATAATAGAGCCGCGCTGCAGGTACAAGACGCTAAAGTGAGGTTATTCGCAGTTCATGCGATACCGTTAATCTGCAGTCTTGCTTGCAGTAGTAACAACAATATGATTCAGTCAGAAACAAGACGATCAATGAAACAATGACATCTGGTTTTGAGGAAAGAAAACCCGTTCGCATGTCAGCCGGGTCCGCGAAGGCCGGAGACACATGTTATACCTGCTGGGCGCCCTCTCCCCGGCTCTATACAGACATCGAGACCCGCCTCCCACGTTCTACAGTATAGTCCCCTCCCATGTCTCCCGTGTCTACCAGATCTTTGCTCGACATCAGAATATTCTGACAGATCGAGAATGGTTGGTAGGTGAGTCATTGTCACGATTTTAGTGCGTCCGCTCATCTGCAAGTCGGGCAAGTCGCCATGCAAGCGAGAAGCGCAGGAAAGTCGAAGGAAAGACCAAATAGCAGACGCGACAGTTAAAATAGACCGCGATGCGAGCGATGAGTGGCCGATTTCAGAGGGACCTGCATGGTGTTCGATGCAAGACTACTGCAACTGTCTCACCGTCCCGCTCCTATCAGCCAGTGAGGGAAGTTGAAACATTGTGGGGGAGCAAAGAAAGGCAAAGAGAGGGAGGAGAAAAGCGCCGTGCGACAGGGGGTAAAGGAAGGAAACGGACGACAGGTGGGGCGCGAGGGGGCGCAAAAAGCCTCTACGAGGCTTGGCATTTTGTGGCAGCCAATGAGGCTTGCAGCCGATTAAATTCAGTGGCTGGTGACTCTTGTGTCTATCGCGCTTGAACTTCCACAAGCTGCACGAGCTGTTGCTGCAGGCGCGAATTTAACACGAAATAGAAGCGAAGCTTCCTCGTCCATATGTACTCAGTGTTCTCCCATTCATATAAAGCACATAGGCGCCCCAGACAGGAAGCCATCTCCATTTGCGGAGAGACGCGAGCAACGAGGAGCAATGACTTTTCGATCTTCATGGAGACGATGGGCATATCATCCAGTCAACTTTCAAAATTTATATTATACTTTCGATCCCTATAAAACCTAGTGATATCGGTTAGGTATGGCTGGAATGATATTATACTACTGCACAAAAGCGACTTAAGACGCGGTCTTAATGCGACGGGTGGAGGGCGGATGATCAGAAGCACAAAGTTCGCGTCAACAGATACCCCAACCCAGGACCGGCACCCACCCACCAAGATCCTGGTATGATCGCGTTGAACGTCTTGTCCCGGTCGATCTGTTTCGAAACATTTTGATCGGGACTTGAGTCCAGGTAGGCTAGAATGACGGAAATCCCGGCCGCCCCCGACCTATCCTCTTTGATCCAGAAACATCTATGTGATGCAGGAGGCCGTTAGACCTCTTCCGACGAATCACTATCGCCATAAATGTCGCCACTTTCGATATCTGTTCATGGAGTCCATTGAATCGTTATAGAATATCCATAGAACAGATGAAACCAGACTGGCTTTCGACTTTAGTGGCTATTTGGTGTCACAGCCTCAGTCACAAACTCTCGGCACAGCGCTATCGCACAAGGGGTAGATAGGTATACTAAGTAACTAGTACGTAAATCGGCAAATATAGATGAAGCATCCTTATCCGAACTGCGAGATATTGAGGTAGGAGATGCAGGGTCATCTAACCTAGTTCATAGTTGATTGGCGTTTGTCTCCCTTGCTCGGGGCTCTTCACATTCTCATAGCCGTCTTGTGTGGCAACTAATATACACGAAGGTCTAGTTCATCGCATACACCTTCAACGCCGGTAAACTTGGCTAGATCCTCGTGGCTGAATGCCTGAATATGTAGGCTGGTAATGTTGCAAAGAGCAATGCTAAATCTTGGCATCGGCTGTGGCGCCCAGCATTGGAACTTCGGATTGGATCGTTCTCTTAGAGGGTTGTGGGAAATGCCTGTCAGTCCTTATTATATCGTCCTTTGCGAAGTCGCTCAAAAACCACAGCTCAGACACATGAATGGTACTTAATGAAGTGATCCGATTTATGAATACTGTTTTTGACATCCCATTAACCCATGATCTCATTTCTCTTTGGGAGGGCAGCCTTGAACGATAGTTTGCTATCCGTCCAAACACTACGAGGTGATCGGTATTTCCATCCTCTAGGCTATGATGCGACGGCATCGGATGATCTTATCTCAGTTGTCTGGTTGGGAATATCGAAGTGTAGACTCTAGCTGAGTAGGTCCTTTCTCCTCTAAAGCACGCCATACTAATTAGCATATCGCTTCTTAATCATAAAGTGATTATCGACGGTTCTGCTCAACTACCCCTTATTTCTCTGGGAACAATCTCTTGTAAACACAGGGTGTACTACTAACAGAAATTGCGAAAGGCATAGTCGTAGCCATAACATCATATTGCGTAGCTATAGGTGTTAGACATTGGCTTGTTGATGAAACTTTAGGCTTGTGAAAAGAGCTGGTCGGGGACTTTCTATGGCTCTTGGTCGCCAACAGAGAGCGCGAGGCGATAGCTAGCTCCTTAAGTCTTGTTGCCACATTTCGTAGGAACCTAATAAAATGTCGATGTCCCTCTATGTCATACTCGCCTGTCTCGTGCTCTGCGTAAGCTGCCACGGTCAGCTTGATGCCGCCTCTCGAAAGGGACAGCATCCATGGATTTCTTCTGGGGCTCCAATGCTCGTATGGATATTTGTCGTCGACCACCGGTCTGTTTTCATTCCCGAAGGGAAGCTTGTAGCTATTGTCGTAGGTATGTACCTAGATATAATGAAGACGATGATGATTCAAAATCAAGCAGAAGTGGATCTACTCTACGGATGTCGAATTAAGGAAAGCTGGACGCGAACCCACATATCGATATATCTATTCTCAACATCTTAGAGCAAGACGATGAGGTTGTTTTATATCGGACGTCTGCCGAGCGAGTTAGCGTGATATAGGGCATGGTCTGATAAGGGAGCGAAAGGTTGTGAAGGGAAGAAATTTTTGGTTTATGTTGTTGAAACCATTTTCTCTTTTCGAACAGATGAAAAACAGACGAAGGTTTCTGTGCCTTCATTAGGACGATGATATTATTTAGAGGAGTGTTTGTTGTCTAAGCGATAGTGTTTGTCTGGTGAGGGCCACCAATTCCTTATCGTTGGCTTATCAATTTATCATCACTTCCCTTGGAGTGACTTCGTTAGATTTCAACTCTCAATATAACAGTCAGAACCCGGCTCATTGCTCAAAGTTGAGGCTCTAATACCAAGGCAAGATGCGCAAGCTACTTACAAGTTGCTTTAGCGAATTATTCATTGAAATATCTTAGTTAGGCCGATAAGTGGGACTGTCCGCGTATACATATCGGATGAAGTCCGGCGCATTGGACGGTCGCACAGCACTTTCGTAGTGCTTCTGAAACGTTGTGAAAGTGGAACTCCGAACCACTAGAATTCAAAATCACTCGCCCACACCATCTCGAATCAGAGATCGACACATGCGATAGCGATAATTCCTTCTGCCCACAAAGAATATGCATTTACATACATAAGCGCATCCTACGAGAATAGAACATGATATCAGCGGTCAAGTGCAGATTATCACCTAGGTACGACTCCGTACTAGACGGAAAACATGCTGACCATGTTCACCATTCTCGCAACGCTGCATCGTTGAAGAAACATCAAAAAGACAAGACTCCACGGTCTGCGGGAGATGAAAGGGATATTTGAACTATTTTCTCACTTATCCCCCTTTTCGTTTATTGTACGACAAGGTGAGCCTTGTCAAGAAGCTGTGAGTGCAGCAAGGTCGGACGATATAGTGGGCTCCCAGCTGGCCCTCATTCTATTTCGCTCAAGGGCTGTCAAGGGCTGAAACGCCCGCATAGCCCTGCTGTCTAGCATCCCTACCTAGGTACCTAGGTACCCATGGCATCAACATTTCTTCTTTCCACGCACACCAATCCCACGTCAGCACGAGGCAGTTCGTCACAAGTCGAGCGAGTGATGTGTTGGAAGGAATAGATAGGTCACTGTCCTGACCTAACAAACCTGTATGTGATATCATCACATCTCGAACCTATCACTTTTTCTGCTTCTGCACTATATACCAAGGGCAATCTAAAGTAGATGCCCTTTGCATATTCTTGTTCTTGCATAATATTCGTCTTTCCGAGTCGGCCCCTTTGCGAACTCGGGCATGGTGCGGCTCTGCCAAGAAAAGAGTCAGTACTGTGTATTGAAGAAGCTTCTTAGAAACATGGGCAAGCTACGCGTTCTTAGCGATGTAGCAAGACGCAAAATGTCCTCAGAGAATGCCATTCGGGGAATTCGACCCATGGAAACATATCGAGATCGTTTAAAGCTGTACGAAGTAGCACCCATTGATTTTCTCTGGGATCTATCGATCGACTCTTCGTAACTAGGCCAGCACCTAAGCATTTTACGCCAAGTGTATACCGCTATGATCTCTTAAGGACTTCAAAGCGAAGTAGAGGCGCAGCTCTCCTACACATTCGGAGAATTGAATATCACACTATCACGCCTATGAGAGTTGCCTTCGTATTTCTGCCATGTTTAGAACTCTAGACGACGACTACCTGAATATCCATGTAGCAAGTGCTTTAGCAAGGCATAACGCTCATTCAATGGTGTCTCAATGCAAAAACCCAGTCTAGATCTAGCTGCTTGAAACACCCCTTGCTGATTGGCTCCGGTACAAAATAAATTGAGGGACTATGCAGACCCCAGTCACACTCGATGCACCCTGGGCTAGCTATCCCGGAGCGGCTCGTGTACAACCACTTGCCCTGTCCATCCCGTCCCTCTCCGTTGAGCCATGCTCCCATGCCCATGCCCAATCATGGACAGGGCCGGGATGATCACGGAGGAAGAGGGGTCTGGGTGTCAGCTCTACCTCCATACAAAAGAGCTGAGAGGCCCTGCACTTCTATGATTCTCGATCTTAGCTGATCTTCTTCCATCCCGGCTTCCCGCTGTTGCGGTCGTTTACATTCGTTTCTTCTTCCCGGTTTCCGTTCTTTTCTTGTTTCCCATTCATATGCCTTGCGAGTCTGGAAACTGGTAATATTCTTCTTGAGGGATGGGATTGTTGTAAAATTACACAGCAACCATGGGTCGTAAAAGGTCGGATACGCATACGTCGATGATGGAGTCGTCCAGAAGGCCAAGCATCTGGGCAGGTAGTTTGCGGCGTGATCATATTCGCCTCGGTGATCTACCAGACGAAGAAGGGGCCGAACGGAGTCAGATGTACACCTCGTCAAAGTCAGGACCATCCTCGAGACAAAATTCGTTTGCGTGGCCTTTCCATCGACATACCACCTCGGAAGCTCTTTCAACGACGAGGTCGAGCCACTTCACATTACGGACTTGGCAACCCCGTACTTTCTTTCGTCCTCACGACGACACAGCGAGTATCGATAGGAGTATTGTTCCAGATTATGTTGTCAACTTTATAAGAGGAGAAACGCCCGAGACTTTGGCGATGAAAAAGGAGCGAAAAAAATGGGGTCAGCACGGCGTCGAAGTTACTCCGCATCGAGAAACGTTCGCATCATTTCCTATCGAATATGGTCACCATTATTCGCAAAGCGCAGATGCCACTCGTGATCTAAATACGTTTAGTAGCTGGAGTCGGAAAAGTGGCCTACGGAGACACATAACCGGATGGAGAGGTGGTGTTATATTCAACTGCTTAATATCATTCATAATCCTACTTGCTGGAATCATCTGCTTAATATTGGTCATCGCCGAGGCCAAACTGCTTTCAGGGGAATCGGCTATCTATACGGGCGACTGCACAACGGCCGATCATATTAACTATGGGATCCATATCGTTGTTAGCGTCTGCGGTATCGCCATTCTCTCTGGAGCCAACTATGTCTTCCAGATCCTCTCGAGCCCGACCAGACGAGAGGTAACCGTTGCGCATGAAAATAAGCGTTGGCTTGACGTCGGTATACCATCAATACGCAATTTCAAGCATATCTCGAGTTTTCGAGTAGTAGTTGCTGTGATCGTCTTGCTATCTGCAGTGGCTAGTCAAGTAATGTAGGTGGACTTATTCGAAGCGAATCTACTCATGCTGACGGTATACAGATATAATGCAGTAATTTTCACGACTCGAAATATAGTTAACTACGATGTATTATTCGTAACACAATCGTTTCTCGACCACGCTCCTTTCACCATTGACACTAAGATCAATGAGGGCGATCTCTCAGACCTCGATATAATTAGCCTCCAGGACTCCGCCAGCCAAGCTGGTGAGATGACTAACATTACTTCAACAACTTGCCTGCAACAATTTAGCGGCATTTTCCAACCTTCGTTTAACGCAGTTTTGCTTATCACAGACTCGACTTCTACCGACAATTCTCTCATTTGGACCAGCGAGTCCGGCACTCAACTAACTACTTTCGCTTCAAACAACGACATCACAGCCCCGGACGGCTCAAAAGTTCAATATTGTCTCGCGCGCACAAGTGTGCCGCAGACTTGCAGTGTCAACCTTAACGGCCCCCTCCTGGGCATCGCCGCATTACTTAACCTCGCAACCCTCATTTCGATGGCGGTAATTCTCGCGAGATCCTCTTTCGCACCCCTCGTAACACTGGGCGATGCGATTCGCTCGTTCCTCCGCCATCCGGACCCGACGACAGCAAATGCCGCCTTACTGACTAAAAAGGATGTCCGACAAGGACATTGGGCTTTTAGCGAGGCGCAATATTTCTTCCCGGCTACCCACTACTGGTTCCAGACCCCGTCGCTCCCTCGCTGGGCCTTAACGTTCTTCTCGTGGACCGCTATTGGCGCTCCAACCGCCGTCGCGCTTGGTCTCATGATCAGCGGACACCTCGACGATCCTCTCACCCTCTTCGGCGTCGCGACGTCTCAGTTCAGCTTTTCACTGCCCTCGACCATCAGCACAGCGCAGATGGCGCTCCTCACCGCATTACCACAGCTCCTCCTCTCCGTCCTATACCTAGTGATAAACGCGCACCTAACGACATACTTCCTCTCTTACGAACTCTCCCTCTTCGCGCTCTCCCCGCGCTCCCTACGCGTCTCCTCCCAACCCGCCGGCGAACAGACAACGAGCCTGTTCCTCACGCTCCCGCGCCCCGTCTCCTGGGCCCTCCTCGCCTGGTTCGCAGCGATGGGCTTCTCCCTCAGCCAGGCCGTGTTCCCTGGCACCGTGAAATTCCTCCCTCCATCCTCAACCTCAACCACGCCTTCCGTCCCGCCCCAGCACCCGCCGAACACCGCGGACGTCGTAGCCGTATCCTTCAGCACGCAAGCCCTGCTCTCCCTCCTCGCGCTCCTAACCGCGCTCATCCTCGCCGTGCTAGCCCTAGGCTGCCGCCGCACGCAAGCGGCTTCCCTCGCGTCCGGCGAAGTCACGGGAAACCCGCTGGTCCTGCGCGGCGGCGCCTGCAGCGCAGTTATCAGCGCCAAGTGCCACCATCACGATATCGTGCCCCCGGGTCAACTGGCTCCCGAAGAGACCGCCGCCGCCGTCCCTACCGGCGAGCCCTGGCTGAGATCTATAGCCTGGGGCGTCGTGGAGGAGGGGACCAGCGGTCGGCCTGGACGTTGCGGGTTCTCTGCTGATGGCGTCGGGTGTGTTGATGCGGGGAAAACGTATGTCTGAGCGTGTGTATGGATGGCATGGGTTTGACGGGTTCTGTTTGAGTAACTTGTATTTTTTTTCGGGTTTGGGATTCGGCGATAATTGGATAATACCTATCTACCTACCTACCTAGGTAGTGAGAGAATGGGAGTGGTCGTATTGGTTATATATACCCCCACCGCCTTTCTGCGCGGCGCGTTCTCGACGTTTTTGGATAGGTGTGGTTCTATCTCTCTAGGTTAACAGTTTTGGGTTTGGCTTTTTCGGTTCTGGCTCGGCGCGTTTGTTTACCATTGCTCGGCGTTTCTTCCGCTGTTATATCGCATTATATCATATTATATAACGCCATATATCTTATTTACTGTTGGACAGCGAGTGCGGGTGCGGGTACGGGTGCGAGGACACGATGAAAAAGGTGGGTGGGATGATTTAGTGGACGCGATGGTAGTGAAGGGATCTGAATTGCGAACTACTTCCCTACCTATCTGGTAAAACCGGGATTGATTCTCGCACATATCTAGCGGGAGTAGTAGATAAGTACCTACCTACCTAAGTATGCGTCACGTTGCGGATTTGCGATGAGCCTAAACTACGAGGATCATGAGCGATAGGTATATAGGTATATAAGCCAAAGCTAATGCTGATGTTTTGGCACTGCATATTTACCTCTCCTTTCTGTTCTCCGTCTACTTGTCTGCCTGTCTGTCTGTTTCCTTTGCTCCAACGAAGGGTGGATTTGAGATGTGTAGATAAAGCGCCTATTTTATCCCGTATGGAACGCTAAGAATATATGCTGTATCGTATTGTACATATCAATACAAGGTTACCTCCGCGATAGCCAAGCCCTCGTCATTGCGACTCTGAATTGTTCCTAATCCTCAATAGCTTCTTCGTCAACCACCAGGCTCTGCTGCTGAGGTTCGTTCTTGGCCTCGATCTGGACGTTAGCCCTCGCCTTCTCCTGTGCCTCAACGAAACTTTCCCAGTACTGTGGGTCTTCTTCGCGTAATCTCCTAACGATTTCTTCTCGATTTTTCTGGAAGGCGCGTAGGGGTCCCTCCTCTTGAACGTCTTTCATGACCTTCTCATCCCCGTCCATTAACTCGTTTATGATAGATGATACGATAGTGACGTGGTTAGGATCTTCCCCAATCTCCTCGGAACCTGTCAATAAGTCAAAGTGCTCTTGCTTGATGAGACCCCGGCGGAATCTATGGCCAACACGAAGAGCCAGGCCTTCTTCCTCGACGAGAGCTTTAGAGGTGTGCGAAATGATGGAATTCGACCGGGACGTTGATTGAGGTGAACGAACCTCGGTCTCGAGATCTTCTGTATCTGACATTAGGGCAGCATCTGCTTCGAGCGACGAGACCGAAGTGCTGAGTTCTGGCGCAGTAGCGATCGTGCGATCTGGTATAGCAGCATCTAATGAATCTTGACGTGTTTCTGGAAACTCGTCCTCAAACCGTTTGATGATTCCTTCGATGGTCTGGTCGAGGAAGATAAGGCGATCTGTAGCAAAGTTAACAACCATGAATGTAAAAGAGTTTAGCTGCATGGAACGGCTTACGGTAATTGTGGATATCGTCCCTGGAAGAAGCTTTAGCCATAGCCAAGGCTGGCTGCAGGCGAGCGCGAATCTTCCGTGCGCTAATAAGCAGATATTTGGACGTGTCCTTGACCTTTTCTGGAAGAACTTGGGTTTTGGGTGTTGTGGTTCCAGACTCAAGATCTTTAGTCAAGTCACCAGAATCGTCTCCCCGGTTCTTCAAAACACAAGCCAAAGCTTTCACCACACCCGTACCACCAATGACATAATCCTCATCGGGTGCCGGTTCACTATCATCATCTAATTCCACGAGTGGTGTATCATCTTCGTGACCTACGAGATGTCGAAGGACGTCCGGTAACTTGTCTTTCTGGCCGTCTTCGCTGGTCGAGTCACGGATGTCCGGCACGCCCTGCAGGTTTCTCATGCAGTACACAACGACGCGGTCTGCTAGTGCCTTAACAACTTCGCCGGATTCGGGACTAGGGTTATCGATGTCGATCTTAACCAACACTCTTGACACGCGGGCGGCGGCCAGAAGAGAAGCATATAAAGCACATGCTTCTTCTTGACTCTCCTCAGTCCTCGCATCGGCTAGACCAACAAGGTCCGGATTTTCGAGAAGATTAATATGCGCTAAGTTCTTAACTTCAGGTAATATCTCAGCAAGAGAAATCGCTTGTTCCGAAGACAGCGAAACATCTGCGAGATGTAATCTCCTCAGATTGTTTAATTCAGGTAAGTACCTGTTAAAGCAATGTCAGCATGATTAGCGTAATGGAACCGCAACTAACTCACTTGCGAAGTAATCCGATGGCGCTGGGCTCGGATTCAAAGAGTGCCTGATTATGTGACAAGTCCAAGAACTTGAATTCGGGAAGCTTTACCAACTTCGGGAATAGTTTGCATAAGGAGGCTGGTTTGAGGTTGCAGTTAGCCAAGCTGAGAGCCCATAGCCCCTCTTTCTCGTCAAAAGAAGCAGCGATTTCCGGGAGATGATCCCTGAGATCGTTACCGCCAAGATCCAGTCCTTCACATTTCGCGTTGCGCAGATATCTCGCGATGTGTTGAACACCTTGTGCGTCGAGGTTGTTATTTGCGAGCCCGAGCCTTGATACTCCTGATTTGATCACTCCGTCGACGATAGCACCAAGTTGGTTAGAGGTCAGTCCAGTTGAACTGATGTTGAGAAGTTCTAGCTCAGGGCCAGCGAGGCGTTCCCCAATCGCCTTAGAGAGAAGCAAGGACAGATCGATTGGAGCTAGAGGCTTAGGCTCATTGCCGATATGGAAGTGGTGATTTAGAGCTGTCTTTGGACAGTCGACCGGAGCAGGGAAAGGCAAATGAGAAAGGTCGAGATATTTGATGGAACGACACATATGGATGAACAAGCAAATGTGTTTCCATCCTTCGCTGGTAATTTTGCTGTTGCTCTTCAGGACTAGCCTTTCGACCACGCCACCTTGTTGGATCAAATCGGAAGCCTTGGATATGGATTTTCGTCTTCCGGTATTCGTCGTCTTCCGGGCAGCCAATAATCCGGCGAGAATAACACGGACGCCCTCATCCGTTAATCCGCAATTTTCTAGTATAACTTCCCTAACCGGAACAACCGCGAGGAAATCACCCAATGTAATCAAGTCGGGTGTTGACATGAAATAACCGGCAAGGTCCAACTTTTCCACAACGCCGTTCGCGCACAACTCCGTGGTCTTTGGAAGCTGTAGAGTGATCTTGGTGAGAATATCGGTTTCTCGCAACTGACAACACCGTCGATATATCCTACCAGGGTTCGTCGTGGGTGCCAATTGCGTTTTTGTTGTTGGTGGTCTTACTGATAGGTCCTCTGTTGAGCTGTCGCTGTCGAAGTGAAGTTCCATAGGGATAGCTCCTTTTTCAAGAGCCTCCCTTCGTTTCTGTTCCTTTTTAGCTTTCCGCTCCGCTTCGCTCTTCTTTTTCTTTTCCTTCTTCCGCGTGGTCTCCTTCTCCTTTACTACAGGTTCTTCTTCCGCGGTGCCATTAACCTTCGGATGTCCATTTGTCGCTCCGGTGCCTTCCTTGGTACCCTCTTTCTCCGGCTCTTTGGGCAGGACTTCACCAGTTGCCTTAACTACCCCAGCAGTTTCCTTCTGTTCTTCCAATGCCTTCGGGTTCTTTAATGCTTCACCTTCGCTCTTTTCAGTCACTTTCCGCTTCTGGGCTTTGTCAACAGGCTTTTTATTCGCAGCTTCTTCATCAGCATATTTAGGCATTGGTGCGATCTCGACGTCGACACAGAATGCAACCCGGCGGAGCTTTGCCTGGCTGAGTTCGTTCACTCGACACCTCTCTCGATGTTTGTCAACATTCAGGACCTTCCGTTCCACAAGGCCATGGTTAGTTCTAGAGCCTGGTAGAGCATTCCCATTTGAAGATGATAGGCGGCGAAAGACTCCTAGGAACCCTGGTTGGTTGGTTTTCGGGGGCGCGGGAACGTACGGAGCGTCACCGGTCTGGCGCGACGCATGAGGAAGAACAGCATTTCTGTTCGGCGATATCTTGGGTAATGGGGTCACATCATCGGTATCGGATTGTGACGTCGCGGCCGGAGGGGGCGATTGTGTAGCCGGTGGAGACGCGGTAAATCTGGACGAAATGGTAGAGAACCATGATCCTCTCCTTTGTGGAGGTGAAATATGTTGCGACGGCGAACCCTCGACGGATTGACTCCTTCCCCTACCTGTTCGTTGGGCTAGGGACTTTGTTGGTGCGGGAGAATCTGTGGGAGGATGAGGCGAGCTTGAAGAGGAAGGCGGTGGAGACACCGTTTTGCCATTGCCATTGGCATTACTGGCGGTGGTAGGTTTCAGCGGGCGGTTCGGAGTAGAGTCTTGGGCTTGGTTAGCTGAATTCCAGGCGACACGGTTATTCCAGTTATCTGCGCCCCAAAGAGACGTCCACTGTTAGCCCTCGAGTACTCGTACTTGAGATGAACAATCTGGGCTGGTGACTTGGGAACAGCAAGATAACATGTGAGCTAGTGAAGGATATAGACGTCGGTGCAGATCTTCCGATGGTTAAACATATGGGGTTTTACCTTTTCCATGGGTCATCCAGCTCACATCCATAACCTGCTCCATACTGGATCTCGCTTCTTTGTGCTCTACTTTGCTAGTCGATATCACCACCGACCAGCCTACTTCGAATTTGTTTTTGCAAGATACCGAAAAAACGTATATATATACCCCCTACGACCTACAGCCTTGCTACACACGAACCCGTACGGACGTATCGCAATCCTTCCTGTTTCGCCTTGCGTCGTGTGGCGGCGATGGCGGAGCGGGCTTTGGGGTAAATGCGCTGACGAAGGCGTTGGAATGGCTATTAATAAATCCGGACAATTCGCATTCGTGAGGTTGTAGGATAAAAGAAAAGAAGGGCAATAAAGTGGTGAGTTGGTACCATAAAACAAATACCAAGCACCTGGCTTTGCCTAGCTTCAGTACGTATGTATTCGTTGGTCAAGTAAGGGCTGATTCCCAGCCATTCGCCATCTTGGATGATTGAAGAGATTATGCTGTACTTTCTTTGCTGGATAAGTGCGTGTCCTTGGATCTAGATCTAGAGGATACAACAGGACACAGCAGGACAAGATGTGGTAGAAAGGGCTAAAGCTCGAAAAAGAAGTGTGGGGTCCACGGTTTTTCTTAAAGGAGGTGACCAATTCTGGACGAGGCCCAAGGATGTGAAATGATGCAATATATTTAATCAGGATGCCACCTACTTTTTAGTCTAGCAGGGTGAGGGCGGGAATAGTGGTAGCTGAGGAGCTGACTAAGTGATAGCTTTTCAGCAGACTGGCAGATTGATTCGGTGGCGTCGAATTGAAGAAAGGGGGAAGGAGGATAAAATTTCTAACGGTGAAGGCTCATGTAGATATGTCAGCATCGTTGCAGTAGTACTGGAAGTCGTAACTTTAATGTTGTATCGCAGTTTCGTAGATCCGTATCAAGATTTATTCATCTCTTTTTAGGTTTGCAACTCAATTCCGATATTTGTTTAGTGGGAGCAACTGGAATTGGTTGGAACGTAAGGAGCATCGCGTCACGGTACAGCTAAGTTCGCTAGGCTCGCCTAGCTCGCTAAGTCGCCGAGTTCAGATGGCAAGCGGAAGGTACGGTAATTGGGACATTGAAGAAGTGGGCGGTCAAGCCTATTTCGTTAAGTTCATTCCATGCCCAGGCGAGCACCCGCGCAGCACGATGAACCTTGGAAGCCGTAACGGGGACTTCAGCGATGTTCAGGGGGGTCTTAGGGCACTTTTCAGTGGATTAGCAGCCGCTGTCAGCCTCCTAAGGTTGGAAGCACAGATTGACAGGAGCACAGCCAACGGCGGAAGCATGTACACATGTATCTCCACACAAGTATCACGCGGTAGGTACCCTCATAATTGTACCAACAGTACCCGTCGTACCCCAGGTATGACCGCATACATGCGTTGTTTTCCGTTGCACCGTGCACGATCAGCATGTACCTCCACACCAAACACGCTAAGAAATACTTACATTGGACACTGGAGTACGTCACATGCCTCATTTCAGCTGTAAATGTGTGGAAGTGTAAGTAATGGGAGGGGCATGAGGGGCAAAAGAAGAACACCCAAGAAAATGAGACAATGGCCGAATGCGTTCAATCATCCAATCGCCCAAAAAAATACCAGTCGAACTACTCGATATCATTGGATCATTGGATGATATGGGATGTCATTGAATCAAGCAGATCAAGGTAGCTTCGAAGGGTGGAAGTAGGCCGATGCCACCACAGTACTACCTACCATACACTATAACGAACATACCAGCATGAACCCATCAGCCGACCGGCTTCTGCCGATCCTATCAAAATGTCTTTTCTTTACGCCCTCTTACTGGATACAAGCAGATGCATATGTATTTGAATAAAAGACCGCCATCACTTAGCATTATATCTCTCTCGTCGGCAGAGGTCTCGGAATATATCTCATCGAGTCGCACAATTGCAATCTGGCAAAAGATGAGCCTTTGTAAGATACGCAGATACGGTGGTAGAACTTAGCTAGTCAGATTTAGTGGGCGAATAGGCTATGACTTGGCGATAAAGCCAAGATGACGGCATCTTTATACTCGGGTCTCGTGTGAGGCGACTCGTTCGTTACCGGGCTAGAGAATGAAAAGTCCAAGGGCCAATGCAAGTTTACCCTGCTTCGGAAAGCGTCTTGAGCATCCAGCAACAGATAAGCCAAGCACTAAACTGGGCTGCATTGCGCTAACGGGCCAGCCTCCAAGCCATTGTGAACCCCAAGTGTCAAGTGTGACATAGCTTTCGGTTATTGTAGTCGGGCAGGTCGGGACAGTCTAGACGGTCAAGTCTTTGTTGCTAAGAAGTTTGCTTAAGATATCTAGTATCCGGATATCAGTATACTAGATAATAATATAAGGTATCATTGGCTCTTTGCAAATGTAATCATAACCAAACTTCGTCTAATAAGCAATGGATCAGTTTCGCGCATCGGTACTAGTGGGTAGCAGATGTTACCATCCATGATCCATGAGAATACACTTAGAAACTCCGCAAGTTGCCTGAATGGGAGTCTAGAACCAGCCAACACGTGTCTTCTGCATGAGCTCAGACGTGCAATTATATAACGAAAGCCCTCACTTAAGAACACATATCTGGTAAGGCTGATAACATTACAGAGCTAAACAAAGTCCAGTCGATACATGGATCAATGTATCTTAAAATTTAAGCAGCACATGCACAGTTCATTGCTAGCAAATAACTAAGCGCCAGGCAGATGGAAGTTACGCCCCCGGGAATGCCGATGAGTCGTGTGCCGAGACGAAACTTCCCAAACCAGAGTGTCTGTCCTCCCTCTCCGGCCCCTCTCCGGCGTTTCCGACTACTTCTCCGTGGTTGAACGTAATTGCCGCAGAAATTCAACGTGACCGATTAGAATATCGATTCGACGAGCACGAGCCATATACTTGAACTTGTATAATATTGTAATCGAAGCTTATTCATAACATTCTTCCGTTCACGATACTCAGGACACTGACTTATTCTCATGCATGCGAAGCCCTCCTTTACTCACTAGGTACCTATATAACAGTTAGCTCAGAACATATTGGTAACCTCGTATACCGCATGAGATTTACATGCCTATTTTACATTTCGTTACTTCTTGCTATGACCATTCTGTATCCGAGCAGGGTCTAGGATCATCTCCTCGACTACTCGGCATTATGTACCGGCAATTCACCTTACCTAAATCAAATACTTTTTACGCTAGTCGCTATTGATTGAAATTATAGGGAATAGGCAATTGAAAATACAATCTTTACTATGTACCCTGTCCCATATACGTAGCCATATTACTGTATGGGATATGAATAATATGGAATGTCGTCGAAATAGAGTCATGCCGCAGGCCGTTGACTGGTGTCGATTCGCAATATGTATTTATTAATCTACTATAGCCGCTTGAGAAGTACGGAAGAAGACGGAGAGGAGGGGGAAGGGGGAAAAAGTTGATCTGGCCATCTAAGGAATCGAACCCTAGGACCTAGCGATATTCATAACATTATTCAGTAAAGATACTTGATAATGATGCATATACCGCTAAGCCGAACCAACACGGCCCTAATTCAAAGGATAAGCGCCCGTTTGGTTAATTTCATGATTAATTCAATTCATATTGCCTTCAAAGCATGCTGGTACATTCTAACTGGTTGGATCGATGGCACAGTCGTGGTAAAGCATTGAAGTCTACGCTGTACCTACCAAGGCACACAGTAGTGGTATGACTGAAGCGTGGACCACAATGGATAATTTTAGAAGCTTTTCCATTCTATAATCATTGCTTGTAGAGTTTGTTCAATGTATTCCATCGCCCCTTTAATTATCGCAAACTACAAACCCCTACGTAAATTGTCCGTAGAAAAATATATCTATTTCCTCTTCATGAGCATCATATTCGCCCTTTGTGTATTGAGAGATGAACAGAATGGTCAAAAGAGGTGTATCGAGGTTTACAAAAAGACAATTAAAGGAGTGGTCGCCGATGGGGTTGAACGCTCAACCTTCACATAGATACCTGATGGCGCTTTAGTTGACTAGGTAAGCTACGTGTGCCAAAAAGGCAGCGGCGGACCAGCCATGATGGCTGTACCATACCAGCTTTTGATGTTTCTCATGTTTATTGAATGTCTATAAGCGTAGGTAGGTAGGTAACAGCTTGCCATTATCAACCGGCCAGATTTCGGTAATACGGCGTCTTAGAAGTTCGCACCTTCTCTAGGTATGCTATACGCATGGGGTCTGTTCTGACCAATGACATCTATAGCATGCCATCCTCTAGTAATGTTGGGTGACGACTACAGTACCTGTACATGGACCTCTGCCGCTTCCGTGTAAATCCATAGGTAGTATGGCTTCCAAAGTTTTTTGTAAATTTCACATGAGGTATGTAGACGTACTAATTCATCAACATCAACATCACCTTACACTTGGTAACTATATCCTATATAAACTTGTAGATATAAATGGATGCTAGGTGGTCTCTACAGATGATATTATCTCGAATGCCGAACTTCTTAGACTCGCAAAGGAACAAGGAGGTCGAGGACGAATAGGTACCTGTCTAGATAATACAAACTCTTCTCATAGTCCTTAAACTTGACTTATAATCAAAGATGGTATCTTATGAATGAATCACTCTTCTAAGTCCCTTCGTATCTGGGTACCTATGGCATTAAGGAGTTTACCTCGGCACTGACTATCAACAACCCTCGCCAGATGAAGGAAGTCGCCGACGATACTCAACCTCAAACACCTAAAAGTGCTCAGGCTACAGCAAAGAAAGCTTCCAAGCCCTCAAACTCACCACCTACTCCTCGAGATAAGTATCTACCCATCTACCCAACCCCTTCCTTAACCCAAACCCTTCCTTAACCCAACCTCCTACCTCACTTCCCCGCCTCCACCGGCCCCCTCGCCGTACTAAGATCCATTAACTCCTTCCAAGGCGGATACATCGACTTCCCGTCCTCACCAATATTAACCACCTTCCCGGCATCGACGTACTTCTCCACCCAGCCCAGCGAGACGACGGTATGCACCAGGTTAACGTAGGGCCCCTCGGCGGCCTGCAGCGCCTGGAAGTCCGGGTCCGCGCGCACCTTCTCGAGCTCCGCGAAGTTGCGGAAGTAGAACTCGGCGGTGAGGTCGTGGTCCTGGGGTCGCGGGCGTTGGGGTTAGTTAGTCGGTACGGTGGAGCGATGGAGGACGGGGTGGCGTAGGGTGGGATGGAGGAAAACGGAAGGAAAAGGGGACGTACGTCGACAACCCAGCCACGGTTCCTGGCACGGTTCATCTCGTCCAGAGCGGCGCGGTACGGCGGGGGCGTGAAGACCTGCGGACGTTAAAAGATAACCTGTGAGATACTTAGTTTGCCTCGCCAAAAACTCCCAATGCCCGGATTTCTTACTTGCTGGTATGCCTCGATACCATTCCGGGCATGGATGCTAGCTACTTTGGCATGGTATTCACGGGCGAAGGCTTCGTTGTCCTCGGGCTTGTTCTTCGTGTTTGCGTAGACTTGGAGAGTCATTCGTAGCAAGCGGCCTGGGAAGGCGCTCGCGTTGTCGCCGGCTGTTGACATGATTAAATTACGTTGTATGGCTTGGGTAGCTGATTTAGGGGCGTTCGCTGAGCCAAAATGGTTGGTCCTGCGAAATCGTAGCAGAACCAAGTTCAGACTGCGGCCGTAAATGGTTGACGTTGAGCATAGTTAAAAAGCCACATATTTTATCCTCTATATACGCGATCACTCCTTCGTTCGGATGAACTGAATCACCCTACGGCTTGACTCATTGCACGACTTCCGCGACTATAGGAGACTTTTCTATACATAAATGAAGATATTGGAGATGCTAGGAGCTCAAACAACATGAAGTAGCCAGGACCGTATAAAAGTTAATTCCCATTGCGCCGACGGCTTGTTGTCACACCGTCGGGTCATAGCATCGTCTCCGCTGCAACTCCAGCAGCAACCTGAGCTAGACCAACAAGATCGTATCTAGCGAGTAATAGAGGTTCCATCATTTTATGCGCGAGGGGAGAATTCAAATGTACAACTCGAGGTTGATTAGAACCGTTGACTCTGAATATTCGGAGATAATCGGCGTTAAACAGGGGTCCCAAACGAAGTGAAGTCGTTGGATACGACAAGCCGGAGATATTTGAACTCCTATAAACTCCTATTCTCCGGAGGATATCAGATACACTTGACATGAAGGGGAAAGACTCTAGAAGTAACATGAAAACAGTTAGCCAGTTGATACTGAGCAACATTAAGTGACACTCACATGGTTGACTGAATAAATCAAAGCACGCATATAACGACGGCGGTGCTTAAACTACTATGTAGCCGTAGTACAACAAATACTAGCATCGTTTTTACTTTACTTAGGATTTCTGCCATGGAGCAAATTTGTGCCACCTGAAGTCATTATACCGTTGTAGGAGACTGGAGAAGCATCCAAGCACCAGACCAAGACTAGACAATCATGAGCACATCTCAACATTCGAAACGATGACGGTGCATAAACTTCATTAATTCGTTTAGTGACCTGTCAATGAGCCATCCCTATGAACTCCGATGCCTGAAGACAACCGTAAACGCGGAGCGACCTTTTTTCCCTTCCTAACACCGGCAGCTTATTCCTGCTGGCGCTCAGCAATCTTGGCCTTAACTCTCTCGACCTTCTCTTCCTTCGTAGACTTGGGAGTCCTGTACTTCTTGGACTCCGCCTTCCATTCCTCCTTGGTCTTCTGAGGAGCGTCACTCTCGGCCTTCTTGAAGGGGTCCTCACGGATGGCGGCGTGGGCCTCAGTGTAGAGGTCCTCAAGACCGTCAGCCTCGATGTCGTCGTCGAGGTACTTCTGGAACTGGCTCTTGTATCGCTCCTCATCATCGTCGGCGAGGGTCTCCATGTACTCGGCAACGTGTCCAGCGTAGATGTACTTCTTCAGGGTCTCAGCGTCGAGTTCCTCGCTCTCCATGTCGTAACCGGGGAATCGGTTTTCGGAGTGGGGGACGAGGATACCACCGTCGGAAGCACCCTTCATGACACCGAAGACACGGGCACCAGTGGAGGTTCGGGCAAGACCAACGTCGAGGAAGGCCTTGAAAGGTCGGCGCTCTTCGCCATCCTCCTCAGCAGCCTCGGTCAGGGTGTACTCTCCATCGGGCTCCTCGACGCCAGTGAAGGTCTCGTCCAGACCAAGCTTCTTGAGGACACGGCGGGCAAGAAGCAGACCAGTGGCATAGGCGGCAGCCCAGTTGGTCAGACCATGCTCGATACCGTAGGCCTTGAGCTCGTGGGAGTAGGCGGCGGCGAAGATCTTGTCACCTGCAATCTCGGAGGTGACGATCTGGGTGATGATGTCGCGGTTGGTGAAGCGAACGACCAGGCGGTACTTGGGTGCGTTGTACTTGTTCTTGGCCTGGGTGATCAGACGCTTGCGGGCGTAGTAGTCGGTCTTTCCCTGGCGGCGGCGCTTGTACTTGGTTTGGAAGCGGCTGTGACGCATCATTAATTTGGCTGTCGTCAATACTCTCGATGAATTGAATTACTTACCTGTAGTAGGCGCTGCTCTTGACCGCCTTGTGGAATGGCTATTGAAATCCCATCGAGTCAGCAATTTGCGCTTCAGAAATATTTTCCTCCATTCCGAAGCATCTTGCATTGACTCTTGCGATCGCGATCAAATGTCATATTTGCAATATTTGCCATTTCTAGCATTGCAATGACTTGTATTCATATTAGACTTACCATCTTGACTGATGTTGCTGGTAGGTAAATGCTATCAGCTTGTTGGTCGAAGGTGTCGAAGGTGTTGAAGTTGGTGGTGGGTGACGAGAATGAGAAAAAGTAGCGAATTGAAAAAGTTAGTGGGTTTAATCTTCAATTTTGCGCGTGTGCGCTCGCTTGCCCTGGTTTGGTGGGGTACGAATCAGCAACGCTGCGTTCCAATGCTGGGGTAGGTGACGAGGTGGACCTTTCCTTCGAATTAGCGCACGGGCCACAGATAGTATTCCTCGATGCTTACATAATTAATAAGCCGAGGTACGTCTCGGAATAGTTTTGGAGGAGGTCGGACATATACCGATCTTCCACTTTCAAGAGACTCGATAAAGAAACATCATTGACTCATAAATCTAGATACATGTTGGCACGATCTTGCAATCTTATGTTTGTATAATGTTCAGTTGCATATAAAATCGCATAGGAACCCTAGACGGTACAATGGCTAACCATAAGAAGCCGAAAGTGCTTCTCTTCGATATCGGAGGCGTTTGTGTAAGCTTGTCTCTATTACTCCCCTAGCTCGTTGAGTTACCAATGCGGTCGGCGCTATATGATAAGCTTTAGATTTCCTTGCGGTCGTTCAACTTCCGGATGCTAACTCAGAAAATAGGTCATCTCACCTTTCCAGTCCATATTAGACTATGAACTAAGTCTAGGGATACCACCAGGCTGGATTAACTATTCCATCTCTAGAACAGCACCTAGTGGTTTTTGGCATAGGTTGGAAAGGGGCGAGGTTATCTTGGATGATACGTTCTACGCCGGTTTCGATAAAGACTTACATGATCCCGTACGGTGGGACGCTTTCTACAAGATCCAGCAGTCGAAGAACCCGAGTCTTTCCAAGGAGGTTCCTCCGCTTCCGAATCTAGACGCACATTGGCTCTTCAACGATATGATGACGGCTTCAACCGCTCCAGACCCGTGGATGCATCCGGCACTGAGGAATTTGAAGAATAGCGGGGAGTTCATCCTGGCTGCACTTAGCAATACCATCATCTTCCCTCCAGGTCACGCACTTCATCGGGAGGATTTCTTCGCCGACCCAATCAGGGAACTATTCGATGTTTTCGTGTCATCGGCGCACGTAGGACTACGGAAGCCGGACCCTAAGATATATGAATACGCGCTGAACGAAGTAGACAAGTTTGCCAAGTCTCATGCTGATGAGGCGCGAGGGCGATCGCTGGGTTGGAAAGACGGGGTAAAGCCGGAGGATGTTGTCTTCCTCGATGATATTGGCGAGAACCTGAAAGCTGCCAAGAAGATAGGGTTTCGCACCATCAAAGTGCCATTGGGAAGAGCATTCGAGGCAGTTGACGAACTCGAAGTTATCACCGGACTCAAATTAGCCGGTAACCATCCTAGGATACCTATTAAACCCAAGTTAGGAGGCACGAATGCCAAATTATAGTTACCTACATAGTAGACAATAGGGATAATTATAGGCCAGTTCATTACGTAGAGCGGAGAGCTGGGAGCGGACAATGGGACCAGGTTTATTTTACGTCATGCAAATCTGTTGACGAGTAGATGTGTCGATATTCGGTTGCCCAGGTGGGTAATGAATTTAATGATTATATCCATTCATATGCCGGGGTAGGGAAGCTTGATATATCTTGCCTGATGTCAGGTACCGGTATAATACCCGCGATATGTACCATGGTATGCGATATTCAGTCCCCGGCAAACGCCGTAGTGGGCCCTTATCTCCGGACATCGCCATCAACCCAGGGTTCTTAATTCGATCAATCTCCCCGCTAACTTACCATAGATACCTAGTCTCTGTTACCACATTTTCCACAAATTACTTATAGTAGCAACTGTTAAGACATTGGGTGCCTACAACCGGCTACCGGAAGTAATAAGTCCCTGTCGCCTCGTTGCACAATAGGCCGACGAAACATCTTGGCAATCATTTAGTGATGGAGGCGAAACCCGGCGCGGCGGCCGGATCAACGCCGAATCTATTTCCGGAGCGCAAACCAATGACACCGGCGCAGGTCGCTGCAGGTATCAAAGCAGCACTAACAGTGCAGCGCCGAGCTGTCACATTTGGGAAGAGACCTTTTGCCGCAGTGTTGATAGGACCAGATAACGACGAAGTGCTACTGTCGCATCAGTCAGTCGACCAGGTCAACCACGCAGAGAGTTCCCTTGCAAGGCTCGCGTACAAGCATTACCCGAAGGAATTCTTATGGCAATGTACTCTCTTTAGTACATGGGAACCGTGTGGCATGTGCACTGCCACTATCTATGTGCGTCTGCGGCATTCTCTAAGCAGCTTCTATTTAGGACGATAATAAGGCTGACAGAGTGCATACCCGCAGTGGGCACATATCGGTCGCATTGTTTTCGCAGGTAGCAACGACCAATTGTATGAATTGACCGGTCCAGGTAATAAGGAGAACTTTACCATGAACTGGCACACTAGGGACGTCTTGAAGGGTTGCCCACAGAAGGATATTGAGGTCATTGGGCCATTGGAAGACGAGGGCAAAATCGTTGTCGAAGATAGTGACCGGTATTGGAGTCAGACTAGATAGTTGGTGATTAAACTTATAATGAATGCTTTTATGTAGGCTGGTAGATCTGAGATTGAAGATTTCTACTGTGAGATATATTTAGTTAGAAACGGGTTTCAAGAGATCGCCCATGTGTGCATGACTGCATGTCATCTCAGTTTCGTTTCTGACGGATGTAACTGGGTAGCTGCTGGATCGATGAAACTGGTTTGCTGCGCAGGTACCCGCCTTTTGATCAGGAATACTGTTGGTAAAGATAACAATTTTCCTGATCACTAGAACCACGACCAAGTAATACCGGGCGTACTAAGAACGCCTAGCTGACGCCCAGCTGACGTATATTGGATCAGACGTTTCGGGGGGGTTTTGCAAGGGATTGAATACGCAGCTGTAGCGAGATTTACTGGGAAATTAAAAAATGAATTAGAAAGACAGCGTTTTCAGAGAATTGACTAGTTGCGAAGTTATGGAGATATATCGTGAACAGTGTTATCTAGACTTTGAACCTTACGTAAAGGGCTGACGACAATATGAAGGGAATAATTATCGGACGTAAGTGCGTCGCGTGTCCAATTAATTTCCCCTGAAGAATTTGAACTTTTTTTACTTTTAACGTCGGAAAATAGTAGCGGGTGTAGGTGGGGTCCGACCCGCCGTCTCCCGAAGCGACTCCCGCTTGTTTTAAAATGGGCCAATTAACGTGAAGCAGAGAAAAGAGCCTCGCAGCTGCCTCGTAATGCCCGTGCGCGGCACACCGAGCTTCGACCAATGTACCACTTTTTATCAAATTGATTGTGGGCTTTCTTACTACTATGGTACGTAGTACCCTTGAATTCTGACATCCCCTGTTCAGCTTCCGTCTGGGGGTTATTCTCAAACCTCGAGCTTCTATTGTTCCACATTCAACCGTTTCGTCTCACTGTACCAACTCGGTAATAAGAAGGGACATCTCAATGACAGATAATGATATATCAGTGGGCTACGTAGATAGTCCTGCTAGTGTGGCTCCCCTGATATGAACTCGACACACAATCTGCCTCGCCTAGAATTCCCCGTTTATCTAGCCACTCATTACACAAAGTCGGTGTTCGATATACGTCTGATCTTGCCTAATAAAACTTAGATTTAGGTATACAAAATGCTACTATATGGATTCGTGAATAATAGGGGCAAAGGGGCTTGCCCAAGGCCAAGAATAAGCTTGGATGAGAAGAGGCGGTTTATCTATCATAGCTTCTAGTGTATAAGTCGAAGACTAGTCGCAATTTGTTCTTGAAAGGTAGGCAGTAGCGGGTCTACTAATCGGAGGCATCACGTCATCGGAGTAAACTTTCGAAGAGTAGATTCATGTTGTACTCAGTACGCGAACGTCTGCCAGTTGCCAGTTTGTGACGCGTATCGAATCAGGAAGGGAATAGTTTTGGGGCAGTGCAATTAGAGAAGATATGGGTGTGCGATAACCACCTACCTAGGTATTGACGTCGTTACTTCCTTCACTTTGTAAGTTCAAGGGTCTTAAAGTTCGTCAGAACTGTTCTAACATATCACCTCGCTTTCTTCCATTAACCTTCCACCGCCCTCACCCTCCCACCTTCCTTACCTACGTCCATACTATTAGTCATTCTGGTTCGTCGTACTTTCCACCTATAGTGTGATAGATCACCAAGGTTACGCCTACACACGCCCGTGGCTGCATTTAGGATTCTAGATTATTAAAACTTCTCGACCACTTTTTTTCAGTCACTACCACCATTACTGTCGCTACCACCTACTTCACTCCTTTCGTCGATTGTTTACCCTCTCTTTTTTTTCGCGTCCTTTTCTCCTCGTCACAAATTCATGTGATCATGTTCATTGATACCTCCTCCCCTGCCCTAAGTTAATCTTAATCTTAGATCAAAGGATCGGGTTGACACGGGATGACGCGCCATTGTTCTTCCTATGAATTTCCCCAAGGGCCTCGGCAGCCTCACGCTGCCCCATTGCTGGAGATTCGTGATTCCGGCCTTCATACTTACAGCTTCATTCTATTTCCTCCTTGGAAGCTCCTGGCGGGACCAGCAACCCCAGGTTCCTCACCAAGTTGATCACGATAAAGTCGGTATCGGCAAAGACCATACTACATCACCACCCAGCTATGACGGAAGCAACATCACCGTCAACTTGGTTATCGCCACTCTCTCTAAGGAAGACATATCATGGACGCAAAATATCGAGATACCTAATCTGAAGATAATTCGCTATGTTAGCGACAACTTGAAAGCCGAATTTCATCCGCCGGTACCAAAGAAGGGACGCGAGGCTCTAATATATCACACTTACATGCACGACTTTTATGACGACCTACCGGATATCTCCATCTTCACCCATGCCGACGAAAGCCCGTGGCACGTGGAGGATACATTGAACTCATCCTTAACATTTGCCTTGTCACATCTAGATCTTAACGAGGTCCTAAAACGACAATATTTTAACTTGCGCGTATCATGGGAAAACGCATGCCCCAGCTGGATCAATACCTCCAAGACCGATAACGATTTGTCCAAGCAGGAAGAGCCGTACATGCACGAGGCATTTAGCGAGAATTTCGCCACTAACAATGTCCCTGAAATCCTTGGCGGACCATGCTGTTCCCAGTTCGCAGCGACAAGAGATGCTGTGAGAAGACACCCGAAGTCTCAGTATCAAATCAACATGGATTGGTTGGTACAAACCCATTGGGACGACTATATCTCCGGGAGGGTCTGGGAGCACATGTGGCCCTATCTCTTCATAGGCAAGGCGGTGGATTGTGACGTCGAATGGCAGGCATACTGCAGGATGTACCACGTCTGCTTTGACCCTCAAAGTAGGAGCCGATTGATTAACCTTAAGGATGAGAAGAAGGAGCTAGAGAGGAAGACGGGACTTCTCGAAGGGTTGCTTGACCTGCTAAGGGGATTCGAGGTCAGAAGGCGCCTACGGGAGATTAATGCCATATTGGCGGAGGAACTCGAAAAGGCAGTCGAAAGAGGGAAGGACGAAGCAGAACGCTTGAAACTGCTATCGGATTTTAGTAATTCGTGAGGAAACGCGGCCTTGGACAGGCAAGTTGCCCAGTGTTTGTACACCATATGATACCCTAGTCCTAATACAAAATAGTATTGAGAAGCTTACTCGCTCGTACGATGCGCGACGGCTTACTAGCCAGTCTTACGCTGGGAATTAGGTGCTCGAGCGGCAATTCATGAAGTTATTCGTGAAGTTAAAGACACATCAAGGTAAAATAAGTTATATTCGGCAAGGTTTACAGTTATAGTAGCTGACCACTTTTCTAGGCTGGAAAATGCCTTTGGCTTCCCGTCCCCTGCAGCTAACCGACCGACTTCGGATTGTCATACCATAGGTGCCAATTTGACATCGCCAATTCCACCAACGACTTTAGCGCTCGCGCGGAAACGATGCCTTTAAGGATAACAGGCAGGAGGTTTATTTAAGGTTCGTTTTCCCTGGGCCCAGTTTCGCTATGAAATTTTGGAGAGCGAAGTTATATTGGTAATTACTAATTCGTTATATCGGTTAGTAGATCCCGAGCTTCATCGGTTCAACTGTCCCGAACTGCTTGAAGAATTACGACAGCGCTATGATTTCTGCAATGTTATGGCTCAGCTGAGACCGCCTGGGCTGCTGCCAGCTACGTAATTTTTCACGCTTCGGGTGTACTCTCGGCAATGAACTTAAGCTAGGCCTCAGGAACGCAACCAGGTCTATCCACATTCTGGAAGCTTTGCCTTTAGCTGTTGTTGGCATAGTAAAGTAAGAACTTTACTTGAAAGAGTTATCTCCGTACTTTCAGGCTAGTGTAGCTGGCAATTGATGGGACGGCCGCTAACCCCGCGCTCTTTGGGGTACAGCAACCCGTTAACCCGCTCCATCAAGGGAAGCTAGTAGGGCTAGCAGGGGAGTTTCTCTTCAACCGCAACCAATGGCAGCTAATGACCTTCATCATATTACCCTATTCGCTTAGTGCGCGGAACCCCATGTTTTACTTCATCGAACGCCATTATCGGCTGCTCAACTCCTACCTTTATACGATTCAGACAGCTCATTCGTCTGGAAGGATTGTTCCATGTCAAGGTGTGGTACTCGAGACTGAGGGAGCAAGCTGGTGGGCCAAACATCGGCTCGGCTACCAACATATCAAAGCAAACCCTGCTTGAAGCTGGGCAAGATGGGCAATCCTGTAAGTGACGGTTGATATGCAGCGTCGTATCGAGCCGTACCTCGCTGCAGGTTTATCTTCCCAAGCTGGCTTGTGGCTTCTGGATTGGCGGATTGGTGGTCTTACCTTGGATGTTCTTTGTCGGAGTGTTAAAAATAATAAAATGTTGATCTTCTGCCCAATTTTGTGAAATCTTTAACATCGAAATATTTGACGTCCTGAAACCTCCAAATTACTAGATTTCGCCGAGGATGTCGAACTCACTGAGCGACAAGGCCGACGATGCCAAGAGGCAGATATCAAATGAGGACACGACTATTAGCAAAGAAGAAGTCGTTTCTGCCCATGGCGTCCCCGACATCGCGAATCTGGCACAGGCTAATTTGAGGGGGTTGAGAGCGCCTGAGATCATCGCGAGATTGACACCGGAACAGCGAGTTGAGCTGGAGAATAGGTTGAGGAGAAAGATTGACTGGCGATTGCTTCCAATGATCATTATTATGTGTTAGTAAACCATTGCGTCTTTGTTTGATCATTGGGTTCGCGAACTAATGCAAACTTGCGTCCCAGACATTTTGAACTATATCGATCGGTTAGAGCTGCCTCACGATGACAATCCACTCGAAAATACTATGCTAATAGGTCATAGGAACAATATCGCTGCCGCGAAACTTGCTGGTCTCCCCGAAGACTTGAATTTAGATCCCAACTCAAGCGAATTCCAAGTGCGCATTTCCTAATTCACCCTCAGAGCTAGAAATTCTGACATTGTGACCTAGACCGCTGTGAGCATTCTATTTGTCGGGTAAGATTTGCGCACTGTTGCGGCACAGCAGGGTATGGGCTAACAAACAGAACTGTAGCTATCTTCTCATGCAAATACCATCGAATCTGTTCCTGAACAAGATTGGCAAACCGGCTATCTACCTCCCAGCATGTGTATGTCTTATAAATCATATACGCAACAAGTGATTGCTTAAGCGCCAGTGTACTAACAGGTCATGCCAGATGATGGTATGGGGCGTTATCTCGACGGCTACTGCTTCTGTCAAGAACTTTGGTGGTCTCATTGCCATTCGGTTCTTTCTAGGTTTCGTTGAGGCAGCTTACTTTGTCAGTCCTGTGAAAATATGATTCAGTTCAATTAGAATCTCTTGCTAACTATATTCTAGCCAGGTTGCCTCTATTACCTGAGTTGTTGGTGGTATGTTAAAGTGCCTTCTTTTATGTACACTGTTGCTAACTCCTTCATAGTACGTGATAATAAGTCTAATTCCACAGCTATTCACTCTTGCCATGCAGAAATCTCTCGAGAACACCAAGCGTCATTATAAACTAACACTTCTTAGACACACGCAAGGAACTAGGTCTACGGACGGCAATGCTGTATTCCGGATCGCTGATATCAGGTGCCTTCTCCGGGCTCATCTCCGCAGGAATCACGCAGAATATGAATGGTGCAAGGGGTCTAAGTGCCTGGAAGTGGCTGTTCATCATAGAAGGTGTCATCACCATCGGAGTCTCGTTTTGTGCTTTCTTCGTGGTCCCAAACTTCCCTCGAACGACATCATGGCTGACCGAGGAAGAGAAAGCGCTTGCTATCTGGAGGCTAGAAGAAGATATTGGAGAGGATGATTGGATCGACAGCGAGCACCAGTCTCTGTGGATAGGGGCTAAGCAAGCGTTTGCTGATTTGAAGACATGGGTCTTGGTCCGTAAACAATCCAGCTAAAAGCTATTGAGGGCCAAATATGCTAACTGGTTTGCTACAGCTTCTCCTAGTTTTAGGCATCATCTCAAGCGCCTCCGTCACGAACTTCTTCCCGGCTGTAGTCAAGACCCTGGGCTACAATAATATTGACACGCTACTTCTGACGTGCCCTCCGTACGTATTGACCGTCATCACGACATTCGTAAACGCATGGCATGCGGACCGAACGGGTGAGCGGTATTGGCATATCATGGGATCTCTGGTAGTCGCTATGGCGGCATTCATCCTCGCGGCTGCAACTACGGGTCTAGCTCCTCGATATGTGGCTATGATGCTTATGGTAAATTCCATACCTACTTCATTTTTGTCGGCAAATCTCTGACACAAGGCAGGTTCCTGGAGTGTACAGTGGTTTTGTCGTAGCTCTCGCCTGGATCAGCAACACTCTTCCCCGACCACCGGCTAAACGTGCAGCGGCTCTCGCCTTCATCAACGCGGTATCTAACGCATCGAGTATCTACGCGTCCTACATGTACGAGGACAGCATGGCGCCCCGCTATGTGATTGCCATGTCTGTCAACTGCGGTACCATATTCCTCTCAATGGTGGCGGCTACAATCTTACGCTTCATGCTCGTCCGGCTGAACAAGAAGTTGGATCAGGGCATATACGTTGAAGGTGCTATTAACGCTCTGCCGGGGACTGCTGCTCAGCATGGCTTCAGATTCAAGGTTTGATGCGATGATCGTATGAATGGAAGTGGATGAGAACATAGATATGGCTAGGGGCTTTCGAACCTGTATATTTGTTGAGTGAAAACTTGCATTAAAAAGCAGGAACTGCCAAAGAGGACACTTGCTACTACGTATATATCTAAAGAGAGCAACCACCTCCCTATGCATCTATGCCATGCTTCCTGGTGAAAAGGGGCTAGCAGTGTCCTGATAGAATCAACTGTACTTGCTTCTTTGCTTTTTGTCATGTTTCTTAGAGTGCCAGGCAGGAACGCAGATGAACTTATTGGGCTCTTTCCCATTCGTTCCCGGTCTTTTTTCCGAATTCGAGATCGGAGTCGCGTACTTGCCGTTGTCGCCGTTGTCTTCTTATCCACCACACCCATTTCTTAACGACGAAGCCTTAGCGATATTGCCTTTTTCGGCGTTGTCTTCTTAACGGCGTAGCCCTTTACTTACTGCCGCCGTTTCCTTATTTGCCTCTGTCGTCGTCTTATGAATGTTGTCTTAACAAAGCCATGTTCATAACGACGTTACCTTCTTAACGCCGTTGTCTTTTAGTAGCTGTCGCCGTTATTTTGATCTACTATAATCGCCGTCGTTTTCTCGCTTACTACTACATCTCCAATAACACTATCTCTCTAACATCACTACACCTTGGCATAATGGTTAAAGACATATAACGCCCTTCATCCTCCAAATCAGAGCAAGGCTAGATAATTCAAGTCAACAGTAAATAACACTTCGTCTTCCAGAATTAGCTATACTCGGCAACATTTAGTCGAAAATGGGTTCTCAAATAAAGGTCTTACGGATTAAGTGTGTCGAATGTGCGTAACACGTCGAAACGCAGCAGCTATTAGTATTAATTACTACTTAACGGCATTGACTTCTCATCGTCGCTAGCTAAAGACAAGATTATCATATGCGCCTACCTAGATAATAATAAAGACGATATCGTACCCCAAAGATATACCTCATAGTACCTTCTGTACTTGTCTTATTCGCCGTTGTCGTCATTTTTTCTCTATATTTTGCCCTACTTCCTACCTAGTTAGCTATACTCGCCGAAAATAGACTATACTCGCTGACTATATTCAATTTTACTGATCGTATGCGCCTTCTATGCTCTTATAGATGTACTAAAATATTGCAACTAGGCTATTTCCTATGTATTTCCTGGGTCATCACTCTATCTAAAAATTCCATTCCTTTCTTCATCCAACCTCAATCTTATCCAACTCCAACTTCAAATCTTCACATACATCCATGATCATGGATGAAGATTCACCACCCAAGCGACCGCTCCGGCCGGGCGTTCGTAAGACCAAATATTGGTCGCAGTTGATTAAAGACACCCTCATGGAGACTGAAGTTAGCCATATTATCCATGGTCGTTTAGACCCTCACCAGATTTTCGAAAGTCAGGACGGTAAGTACCTATTTAATCACGCTCGAAATCCTCGAAATCCTCGAATAGAGACAGTCTGCTGACATCCTGACTATAGAGATCAAGGAATTCTATTCCGGCCACGATATTCACCCGTCTCGTATTATTGACAACGAGAACTTTGCCCGCTGGGTAATCGGCGAGGCGCTGGAGGGGTACCAGCCTGACAGTAGTTTTCAGGTAACTGGTAATATTATGCAGGGAAAATCCGTGACTATGAGCAAAGAGTCAATTCTAAAGGAAATCTCGGACGCCATTCAAGCTGATGGCCAGCAGGATATTGATGCCGAGGTACGTGAAATCAGATACTACTTATTTTATTTCTACCTGACTGACTGGCAATTAATTAGGGCTTGAACGGGTTTAAAGAGGCGGACTCTGACATAGTTCAGGATGTGAGTGCCGCAACTGAATCAATTATCGCAGCATCGCCAAACAGCCTCGGGCCGCCTATCGAGCCCTGTGCTTCATATCTTCGAATGGAGAAGTGTGGCACATTTGGTCGTAATAATCTGACAGTATGGAAGTCGCCTTTTTTCCCCCACCTCGACGGTCAAGAAGGCCGAAAGGGTTTTCTCGATAATCAGATTACCGCCATCGTCTGGATCATGGCGAATTTTCTTGGCGAGCTCCCCTGGCTGAAGCCTAAATTTCCCGAGTTTTGGAATAAGGAGACTAGAACGTACGAGTTTCCAGGTGAAACTAAAGAGGCGAGGAAGGACCGAAAGAGATTACACAGACCTCGATACTTTGGTGCGATTCTCGCGGACTCTATGGGTATGGGGAAGACCTTTACAACTATCGCATGCCTAGACATCATGGCAAGCCACCATCTGAACGTCGTGAAGGTCGATGAGCGTAATTTCAAGCACTGCCCTATGCTTGTTCTCGCGCCGAACCTCATCGTTGCTTCGCAATGGGTTGAGGAAATCGAACAAGTGACAAACGTTCGAAGTATAAAGAAGATCATCTTATCTGGAGACGGAGCGAGAGCAACCGAGACACAGCGAAGAACACGTGTTCTTACGGCAAAAGAGTTCAGGGAGTGGCCGCCCGACTTGAACTATGTCTGGGATGAAGATGATCCCGCTGCTTCGAGGGTAATTATCGTGATGTCAATAGACACCTGGGGAAGTCGGACTTGTACGAACCAAGTACTCGATGAGAATGGACAAATAAAGGAAGGAGATTGGCGATCTTCTTTCACCGAATTGGGACGGCGTTTCTCAATCGTCGTTGTTGATGAGGCGTACAAGATCCGACATACAACCACCCGGTGCTGGAAGTCAGTGGCGTTGTTAGAACGCCAATTTACCCTACTGATCACGGCAACGCCGTGCATGAACCTCCTTACAGACCTCTTGGGGCCCGTGAGATTGCTCTGGCCAAAAGCAGAGAAATATCTTCAAGAGAACGCGAGCAGGTGGGACAGGATGGATAAAAGATTTGAAGAACCAGAGGATTTGGAAGCTCTTGACGACATGGAACCTCACGACGATCATCAGCTCATTGCCGGTAGACCAGGTATAATGGCTAAGCTGGTTAACAAGTACAAAGCACAGAATGTCGTCGACATACAGGAGACCCGGATGCATTTGAAGTATTTTGAAAGACTGGCGATCTTGCGAAGAGCACCGAGCTCAAACCTACATTGGGATTGGAAAGGTTCTAAGCTAGTATGCTGTGAGTAACACCTTCAGATGGTCAACTCCCTTGCTTGTAGTACGCCGTTGCTAACCGAATCGTGTAGTGGACGGCTTACTCCCTAATGTCTACAATTTCACCGTCAATATTCAGCTTGATCGTGCTCTAGAAGAAGCTTACCAGGGCGCTCATATCGACTTGCTCATCAATTACATGGGAGTCCTGAAGAAGATTGGGAAACAGCGCGTAAAGTCGCAGAAGAAGAAATCGAAAGAGGTGGATCAAAAGCTTCATTTTATTACCACTCTCTATCATAAGTTTCAGTTGGCGGCTGCTTCTATGGACATCTTTCGACTCGAAAAGCTCTTCTCCCTCAATGGATTTGGTATCAACGCTGAACACGTGCAGTGTATGCGCAATACCAACGTAAACTTCCTTCGTCTGGCACCATTCCTACTAGAGCCCCATGATACAAAGCCTAAAACCGCTCTCGACCATGTTCGGCTAGCGATTAGGAAGTCACCGGTCCTAAGATACATCCTACAGCATGTCAAGGAGTATGTGCTGGACAGGAAACCAGGAGAGACAATCAGAAAGCTTCTGATCATAGAGTCGAGGCCAGTGCTAGCATACTATTACGAACTAGTACTACAGTTCCTCCTGATAAACTGTCGTACCCTCCACGCCGGCTTATCAGGGGAGCGGCGTAGGGAATTAATCGCGAGCTTTAACGACAGCGATGATCATTCGTGTCAAATTTTGATACAAATGTACGCGGTGGGGTTTGCGGGATCAAACCTACACAAGAACTGCGCTCGAGTTTTGGTAGCTACTCAAGCTCACAGCTTCCCTGTCCAAATGCAAGCTGTGCATAGAGTTATCCGGGTATGTTATTCAATTTTCCCTAGATAGATTAACTTACTAACTCAGTATAGGTTGGTCAGACTAAAGATGTCGAAGTTTACCGTTTGAAGGTGAATAACTCTTACCACCAATTTCGGGAGAGTCAACAAGTCGAGAAGATCCTTCCGGAGTTGGGGACCCGAGCGCAAGGGTCCATGGTGGACGTCCTTGTCCAGTTGTTAAATCTATTCCAGTTTGAAATAGATGAGGCGGCGAATTCACCAGAGGCAAAAGAGCTCATGGACACCATGAATTTGCTCGTAAACCAAGGCGAAGTAGTGGGTAACGATGACGGCAATAGCAACCAGCAAGAGGAAGAAGCGGAAGAGGACGGGTGGAGTGAAGAAGACGACGACGACGATGAAGAAGAAGAGCCGCCCGAAAAACGAGTTAGGCGAGAAAACGACCCCCTTTCCGAAACGGGAAAGCACGACGAAGGTTCTCTTGAGCCTGAAGCGGATGAAAGCGACTCACACGACGATGACCTTACCACCCTAAGAAATGAAGGAACGGCGTACTTATTTGGAGGCGATTATGATCAGTTCCTTCGTCTTAAGCCACGTACAGCTTATTACAAAGAGTTCAGGGGCTTCCCTAGTGAGGTGAGAAGCCACTTTTCTCACCAGAAGAACAATCTCCGAAGACTCTTATCCTACAGCAGCCCAGACGGCAGCGCTACTACGCGTGTATGGACGGCCAAAGACCTAAACAAATCCGCCGTCCTCGAAAGGGCGATGGAACTGACGTTACGAGTCCGCCTAGGAGCCAACAACATCGAGATGCTGCCTTCTCCGCAAATCCACTTCACATTCGTCCCCGAACGAAAGCTGCAGATTCTCACGAAGCTTCTAGGACAGGCCAAGTACACAGCGCAGGATATCGATGAGCTCATCCAGAAAAATAAGGAAGCCAGGGCCAGGAAAGGTGATTCTAAGGGCGAGTTACGAGCAATTCACGAGCACATGACGCTGGAGGAGATCGATGAATCTTTCCAAAACGACATTACGAAGGGAGATACGAAGCAGAGCCGAAAACGCAAACGCCAGGAAGCCGAAGAACCCGCAACTGCTGCGAACGACGAGGCTCCTGATGGTGGTCAAGATAATGAAGTGGAAGACGATGGACGCTTTTGGGATGATTCGGATAACGAGGTTTGGAATCCAAATGAGGACGAAGATGAGGAAGAGGACGAAGATGGAGGCATCGAGGGTGATGGTGAGGAGGTACCGGAAGAATAGTTGCGTTAGTGGATATGTGGATCCACTGCTAACTATTTAACGACAGGATCATATTTATGATCCATGGATGCCTATCTAGGTAAATAGCTACGCCAGGTCTGCCATGTTCTTCTCTGCTTCGTCATCGCAGGATGGGATCATATTTAACGGCCGGTCACTTGTTAGCTTTTACTACAATTTAGCCTCAGCTTGAATGGCAAAGATGGAATTGCTTGCTTCCCACCATATATACTTCGTGTTCCATATTGCAAGTTTATGCTACAATTATCCAGGTGCTCAAATAATTAATAGGGGTCATAATCTCAGGGCCACATTGAAGCGCCAAACATGTAGCTCATTTCCAACCACCTTGCTCTGAATACGGCTTCAAGCCGTAGCCCAGGCATGTCCTTTTGAGCTGCTATCGGAGTGATACCCATCAGGCGTCAGAAAAAGCATACAGACGAGTATGGAAGATTCAGCCGCCCGTCCCGAGCAAATGTTCGAGATCTCTTTGGACGATAGACGCATGAAGCTAATATAGCTAAGAGATCTATCTAGCAAACATCTCTCCCTTGCATCGACACATCAGCTGCCAATAGTGATGATATCGATGAGATATAATAAGCAAAGACGAAACAAGACGTAAGTCTAGGGTGTTCATTCCCAATGAGTAGCCGACCAAAATAGGCCGTCGCTTGTTACATCCGTATCTGGCGCCGTTTGCTCTGTGCCACGTCCGGGGATGCATGTATGTCGACCTCGAGCTCTTTTGGTACAGATAGGTGCAAGTATCGGTACACACGAGGATGGACGAGTTGTCTTCTCGCCTATCCGGGTACGAGCATGCAAGGGACGACGTGTTAGTCGGCTATTGCAAGTTTCCAATGCAGCAATGGAGACAGACAACTTCTATCATATATGACGGGAGGCGCCTCATCCTTTCTGTATCGATACATTGGCAAAATAGTAATACCGAGATGAGCCCTAATCCTAGATCTGGGAATTCAGGGCTTCACCTCAGGGCTCCGGATTACCAAAGAAAGAAAACACAGAAACATTAGAGTCTAGGATCTTGACCCGAACGCATGGGACCCTGAGCCGAAGATTACAATGATAGGACGGAGAAGTACTCGTATGTATTTTGTCAGCCTCGCCTATAGTCAACAGGGAAGTTTCTTCGAAAGTACAAGATGAAGATTGTCATTCATTTTCATTCGACGCATGAATCTGAGACAAGATAAAATTGAGACATCCATCACATGGGATCCTGTGCATGCATCTATAAGACATACTTACCTACTTAACTACATATGCACATATAAGACACAAGATTATGTATGTATTTTGCTTATTCCAATAAGTATCCAAGTATATGAATGTACTTACATAAAAGTATATATACGGGCAATCATCACGTGGTGGCTTACAAAGTTCCGCCTCTCGGTAAATGATGAATAATAAATGATAAATGATAGAAATCCCAAGCCACCTCCGTTCGATTTCTTCGACAACTTGGAACACCTTGATATTACCAATTACTAATACTAACTTGAACTCAATTCGTTCGATAATGGGGCCACGAACCAAGTTTGGGAAACTCAAACTCCGAACCACGAGAAAGTAAAAATCGGTAATGACAAGCCCGAACCAGGTTGTTGAACCCTGAAACTTGGTACCTGCCGACTTTCTATGTAGTATGTACGTATGTAAAGGTGGAAGGTGCCCCAAAGCTCCTACTCCATGATAGGCTAATTAGATTCGGTTCTAGGTCGCTAGGGTACCAAAGCTGCGGAGAGCTTGGGGGGTGCGTTGAGGGATTGGGGGGATTGGAGCGCAGCGCGTTCAAGGCGCATTCGAATGACTCGTGTATAACGCTAGACCTCTTTCGGATAGCTATAAGCCAAAGCTACCCTTAAGCTACCCCGCTTTACAGCCTTATTGCAGTACCCACTCTATATGCAACGCCGATCGGCCGTTCTTGGCCGGTCATCCGTCATTCGCGTCGCAAAGCATGGGAACTCCAACTCCTCCAACGAAAACCACCTCCTATCATCACTATCGCTGCTTATCACCAACCTCAACACTTTTCCACCTAGGCACCAGGGCTCTCTATACACGCTACTACCGGGGTGATCGCGAAGATGATACGCGACGTCTTTTGCACTAGCGAAGACCGGTAACCAATTAGTCAGCTTACCAGTAGCCAGCCAGCTCCAGGTCCCCTTCCACCTTACTCGTCTCCTCCACACCTAACCCTGCCCTGCGCCCTACCCCCTGGCCCGCCCTAGATGAGTTCCGCACCGCCCTCGTCGTCGACGATCCCGCAGACGCTCTGGGACCTGCAGGTGCCAGTGCTGGTGACCCATGCCGGGGCGCCCAACACACCGTTCGTCGCCTCGGTGCCGCGCCTGAGCTACCTGGCCCTGCTCCTGCCGCGCCTGACCGCGTACTTCGGCCTGCCGTGCTCCAGCTTCCACCACGAGAACGTGCTGCTGCGCAACCTCGCCGTCGGCCTGCTCGTCGACCTGTACCAGCCGACCCTGCCCTGGCGCCTAACCGTCAGCGACGGCCTGGCCTGGGATATCGGGGACACCTTCCTTAATAGCGCTAAAGAGGCAAGTTCCACTCCCTAACCCCCTTTCCTTGCTATCGAGATCACGTCCGGCCACTAGCAACGCCAGGGAGAGGGCGTGGCTGAATAGGCTAGTATTAACCCTGCGAAATGTGGAAATAGGCCGACTTTGTGCGTAACGGCAATGCGCACCAGATCATGTCACTGTCCAAAGATCATACCACCGCCCTTTGGAACGCGGTTCAAGATAGTAAGGGCGACTTACAACCCTATTTTGCTTTCATGTGTGATATGTTACTTGGGCGACTAACTCTAGAGACTAGACGATTACGCCTCCTTCGCCAAGGTGAACTCCCGACTCCTCAACACCTCGCGCGAGCTAAGGAACGTGCCTATACGGGTGTACATCCCGCAGTCGTCCGACGACCCCGCCGGCGGCGAACAGGCGGGCTCGTTCAAGGTCGTCCAGTCTCTGGTGCAGCCGCGCGTTAGCGAGCGTACGTCGTCTCTTTCTCCTATCCCCCTTCTTCCTCTATCCTTGCCTCTAGAACCCCCTTTTCCCCTAGCGCCAACCTATATCTCCATATCTCCGTGTCCCTGCATCACTCCTTAGTTGAGCAAGCAAACCACTACCTTGCGTTAACGCCGGCGCAGGAACGCCCCAAACCCTCGGCGCCGCCCTGCGAACGCTCCTGCCGCGGCTGTTCCCCAGCAGCCGGGATCCCGTGCTCGCGGACGTGATCCTGCACGGCGCCAGCGTGCCCTTCCGCGCCCCGCTCGAGGACCTCATGCGCGAGGCCGCTTATCCGGACGGTTGGCTGTGCCTGGTCGTGAAGCCTTTAGATGTTTAAACTTACGATTTTCTTTTTTTGTCCTTTTGCCCTTATAAAGAAACGGTAAATGGTTCAGAGGGTTTGTCCGAATAGAGCAGGCGCGATGGATCTGGACGGGTGGGTCGCGACCCGTCTGTCGGCAGTAACTTTGCGGCAGGAAGTAGCGAAGTATAGCATAGGTAGCGTGTCGAATTTATTTTCCGAAGGGGAAAGAGCCCGTAATAGAGTAAAGAGAAGTTTCTCGACGTAAAACTTGTTTTTATGTTCGGGCTTACTACACCTATCCACCGGCGCGGTTACTTGATAGCCTATGGTCTTGGAAATGCATGCGGATAGCGTTCAGTCGAACGACAAACCATCCCATATCCGCGCTGTACGTGCCATTCGCTAAGTTAGCCGGCCGGTCGGGAAGCGACAATTACTACTCCTCTCTCACCGGCACCGGAGACTCACGTGTATGCAGAAAGGTGGAATCCATAAGAGTGCGGATCAATACGCGCACCCTATCCATCCATATCTCACCGGACAGCGAAGGGGGAGGGGGGAATGATAATAATGGGCAAAAATTATCAAGTTTGCTAGGGCAACTTATGTTCGATAGGCTTTGCGTTACTCTACCTACCTATCTAACCTCTCGAGCCGATTGTGCCACCACCCCCTTTTTTTCTACCTAATTAACCCCTGGCTCCCCGTGAATTGGCTGAGCGTTTAGTTAAACCGCTCACGCACGCCTCACCCACCCCCTAATAACGAAAGCTCGATAACACATACATCCATGTCACGAGTATATATGCCTTTAAGTTAGTAGATAGGGAAGTGATAATATAGATATCGGCAGTCGCGTTTCAAATTCAGGCGAGACGGTGGGCGACCCCCACCCCTTTCTTTGCTTCCCTTCCCTTTTCTCGCCTTCTAGAGGCGCTATATTGCACTGGGTTAGGTCGGGCCAGTTGGGTCTGGATGTGCGACGACCTCGGTACCTTAGGTAGGGTACTTATCTTACCCCGTGACACCCGAACGACATCGATTGTACGACGTCCGGCGTATTTTCAGAAGTGCCGTTTTTCCCGCTCCCCCCAACGAGCCTAGACAGTGGAAACGTTGAAGTTGTGAAAGAGGTAAATCAGCACGTTGCGTACCTATATATGTCCAAAACGTATGTATGCCTGAATAGTATCTAGGTACCTAGGCACATATATACGCGCGCACGACGACCATGATAGCCATGCTATGCTATGCTATGCTATATGCCTTAAACCATATATCCCTACCCTTATCTTGATCCTGATCCTTATCCATATCCTCCCGATGCCTTGCTTGCCCATCAATCCGACCAACCCAAGTCCCAAGTCCCAAGCCCCAAAGCCTAGGTAGGTAAGCCACTCGGTCGAAACCCGCTCCCCCCCCCCCCTTTCCGAATAAAAGCCCGAAACCGAAAAGACGAAAAAAAAGTAAAATAAGTTTGGTATCTCCTCCGCTCCCACCAGAAGCAGAACAATGTTCTTCCCACCGCCATGCTCTCGCAGACGCACGCGTATATCATGCAGAACAAGAGGAAGAAAGCGAGACAAAACGATGCAAGCCGCCCAAGATACCGACCGAACAATATGTACATTGGCCCATGCGGCGAATGGATGGGGGAGAGAATGATGGAAGGAGGAAAAAAGGGGCATTTAGATCGTAACAATACATATGCAACCGGTCCAAACGGGATAGACGCATTGAGCACCATTGTCGAAAGGAGTCCACGTCATGACAAATATTCGGTGTCGTTTCCTCATGCCGAACGATAGAAATCACGATTTTCAAGAACACGATAGGGCGAACGTAGTCATCAGGGGATCTTTGGTAGAGCAATGTCGAAGGACGAACCATGAGGAACCGCGAAGATTAGGAGAGAAATAGACGTAAGTATCAAATTTGTAAATAGTAAGTATAATAAGTATATACTCGTCGATGTTGATATATATATATAGTGTGTATGTAGCAGTAGTAGTGGTGGTAGTAGTAGCAGTAATATAAAAGCACAACAAAAGATGCGCGCTCTCGCAAAGGGGGGTATCCTAAGCTGTCGAGTTTCCGTAAAATCTTGTCCACAGAGGATATTCCAATGCTGCCTCGATGAAAAAACGCCGGTAGTGTATGCTCCAGTGGGCTGGCGCCACAAACGATGATAGGGTAGAAAAATAAGAGTATAAAAACACCAACGAGAAATACTTTTGCCGGAAACCAAGCACGTTCGAATGTACCTGTAGTATGCAAACTGGCACCGTAGAACCAAACATTGTCGCGCCGGACAGTCTCCCGAAAACGCCGTTGCTAGGTGCGAAACCTCCAAATACAGATTACCTCCCCCGACCAGACATTGTCACCATGTACATGGCATGAAATGACAGTTTGTCCTCGATACATCTAGTATCGAACATTATAACCGCACCAATCCAAACATGGGGCAGTTGGTCCCACCTCTAAGAGCGGGGGACCAAAAAGCCCCATTAAAACACCACAGCATCGCTCGTCCGTATCGTTTGACGCAGTCGTAGTCGTACAATTTAACAACCCAGAATCTCTCAAGGAATTTGCGGTGGAGGTAGAGGAGGTCGTCCAAGCGCGGATGGCGGAGGGGGGTGAAAGTTGTCACTAATGGGCGGTAACCCAGGCCCACCGCTCGCTATGCTTGAAAAGCTCGAGGTTGTGATGTCGTATTCGTTCGGGATGAACCCAAGATCCTTTGCCAAGCCGATCAAAATGTTCATGTCCGCTCTTAGTGCGCTCGTGGGTGTAGCAATCGTTTGGAAGAAAGAAATCGTTTTAGAAAACAAAGTGTTTAGGGTCTCCGCATCGATGAACCTGCGTAGATACCTATCCTTGAAACACGCTGCAAGAGTTAAGAGATTTCCCCATTGACTGTAAATACGTTAGCTACTGGTCGTCGTTTTCCGTGCGAGTGGATGAATTGCACTTACGCATGAGCAGTTCCGAATACGTTGGTAATGATAATTCGTTGGGTGCTAGGTATCCCATGGAACGCTCGGGTACTCTCGACGAGGGCATTGATTGCCAAGCCGGCATAGTGAAGAATCCTAGCATCCACGTTGCGAGGCATCTCTTCCATCTCGAGCGACGGCTGGGCATCGGGAGAACCTGCTTGGTTGTGATATGGTGGCCACGGTTCTCGTTCGAGGATGGCCCTCAAAAAGGGTCGATAAAGGATAACTTGCGAGCCCCAATATTTGGCACGGAGGCGAGCTCCAAGTATGTCATTGGCCGGAGGGTCTTTGTCATCCCACTGGTAGCTACCGGGCACCCAGCGGTTCCTCGAATTCGCTAGCATCTCCTCAATTCGCTTGACGCCTTCTTCGACGGCTGGGTCGCTCAACGAGATTCCGTTCCTATTCTTGCTTTGCTTCTCCGAGTCGTAGAGAAGGGTATGCACCTGGTTCAGCTGCTTTCGAAGATACAGCTGTGCAATATAACCAGTTACTATGTGCTCTGAGAAGCCCTGATTGACGGCATACTCGGAATTTGGATATGGCATCCTATCTTCATACTGCAAGATACCGGACTGAGGGAGAGGCAGCTCGGCAAGAATATCACTGTGCATCTTGCGTGTTAGTATCTTGTCAGACAAGAATAATCTTAAAGAGAATTACCTTTCCAATTGCAGGCAGGTCCAGAAGGCAAATGCCAGCTGATTATCCCTACGGGACTGTCCAATGCTCCTACCCTGGTCGTGCCACTTCGAAAGGCGATCAAGACTCCTAATTTCGATTAGTTAATGTCAACGCCTATAACTTATTTCCGTCCAGGTTTTCACTTACGGACGGAGTATGACCTGTAAATTCCGGCTTGCAAGAGATATATAAGACCAACTCTCAAGTACACGACCCAGTTGTCCGTAATACAGTCCGGCTAAGATGTGAACGTAGATGTGCTTTAGATTGAAACCGCCCATGTGGCTACCCATGATATCCATTGCAAGGGCGAAGTATTCGAGGCCGGGGATGACGTCCAGATTCCGCTTATGTGAATGAGGGCCCCTTGAGCCTGAAGGATTCCCCTGAAGGGAAGGTCTCCGACTCATGGGGATCCTCTCGCTTTCCTTAGGAGACGGCATGTTAGAGGATTGGGACTGAGAAAACATTCCCGGGGGCGATCCTTGCAAAGGCGAAGCTAAAATGCCGTTGCGAACTGAGGGCGAGTGATGCATTGGTGAGTCTGACTCGTGAACTGCGTCGGGGATCTTGTCTTTATGTAAACAAATCTTGCCCAGGGCAAAAACCATCAGGACGAGGGCGCTGTGAACGCTTCGATAAGGTCGACCAGGCTTTACAAATGTTGTCGAGGGGGTTTGCTCGTCTGCGGCAGGTGATCTCTTCCTCTTTTGTCCCGTTTCAAACGGCATAATCCCACTCGGCTGATTGACGAATCTTGCATTCCCGCCCATTTTGTTGCCTTGGCTTTTCTCAGACTTCGGTAGAGTATCGAGGAATATTTTGACCATGGCCGTAAGCTCCCTCGGAATGATTATAGGGTGCATGTTAAGGATGTTGTCCCTGAAACTCTGCACGTATCTCCAGATCTTCGTCGAGTCCCAATCTGGATTTCCATCAACATTCACAACACCTCCTCTGTACTCGACACCGGGAGGGGGCGTCAAACTGCCCACTTGACCCCAGGCTTCTCCTACGGGGGAGGGCGATGCAACATCCGAACAGTCGTCCAAAACGTCGGTCATGGTATGGTCCGGCGGTGTCTCTTTATCTGAGGCACGAATGTCCTGATCAAATCCCTCGCCTCTCCCAAAAACGCGGATTATACCGCGCTGCTGTTCTTGCCGGATTGGATATTCGTCAGGGTGATAGATCTTCTCTGCTTCCATCAGATGGTGGACCATTCTCTCAATTGATGGCCACTTCAAAAGTAAACCTGCTAATGTCGTGTGGTTCGGAGGCATGGCAGGCCTGCCAGGCGTCACAATCGGACCCGGGTGTTCCTCCATATCGTCGTCGTTCGCTTCTTGTAACGTAGCGTGAGCTTCATCCATAGTCAGACTCGGCTCCACCACAGTGCCCCCCGGAGATGATAACGATTCTTCGCCCTGGGTCTTGCTAGCAGGCGCAGGAGAGCCAGGCGGGAAATCGTCCGGATGCTCCTCTTCTTCAATTGACTCGACCTTCATGTCGGTCCCCGGATTAATCTGCTTGACTTTGGTTTCTAGGTTAAGCATCCGCTGATTCTGATTCATACTAGCCTGTGCTAATCCAGTAAGCTCCGCGTTAATATTTGACAGCTTATGATTCAACTCGTCCCTCATAGTGGAGAGCATCTCCAACAAATCCGCCGTAACTTTATCAGGCCTATATTCATCTTATGGTGAGCACTATGTTCCATATTTTTACTTTAAGCTCCACTTACTGTTTTGCCGGGGGATCTCGATATTTGCAGTCGATGTTTTTCTCCCTGCAATTTTTGCAAGGTTTAGTCTCGTCGCATTTAGCTTTGAGCTGCCTACAACTATCGCAAGCCTTATAACACACTCTAAGTCAGCTAGAACTACAACAGCTCGTTTAGGGAGCACTACCTGAGAGGCGCGCTGGGCTTTCCGCTTGGCACTGGTGGCAATCTCTACGGGATACATGGAGGCCGGAGGGCCGTATACGTGAGGAGCGTCATATGGTGGGTGCTGAGCGACCGGCGTCGGAGGAGGGTGGTAACCCTGGGGTTGCCTATACATGGCCGGCGAATGCGGCATCGATGGCCCGCCGTCGTAACTCATATGTCGTCGCGGATCGTCTTGAGGCGGAGGAGGATTCGGATGTGGAGGACCATGAGGACCGGGCTGAAGACCCTCTGCAACGCCACCGGTCGAGTTTGGTCGGCGCAGCTGGGGAAGGGAGTTCTCTTCGGCAGGATCTCGTTTCACAACCGGCTCTCGAGGGGCATAGGACGGGTAAGGTGGATGCGCTGACGAGGGAGGGAGAGGCGGCTGTCGAAGAGAATCATGCATTGGCGGGTACTGGTCGTGTTCATGATGGCGACGGTCGTCGAGGTGATGGTGAGCCGACGACAAGGGCAGCTCGGGAGGCCGCGAGAATGGAGGCGGATGCTGGGACGGATGTTGGTAGGGCGGCGGCGCAGGATGATGAGGACCTGATGCTGGCGGCAGATGTGCGGCGGTAGGATGAGGCAGTGATACGGCCTGATGCGCTGACCATGACGGACCGGTATGTAGAAGCCGGGGACGTTTATGTTCAGGCGGCCCAGGTTCCATGCTTGGGGTGTTATATGCTTAGAGTCATAGGCGGAAGCAAGCACAGGTCAGGCAAGGCGAAAAAAAAAGAAACAACGGGGAAGGTGGTCATGAGAAAGGCGATCAGGAAGGAGACCAAAATGGCCCCGGAGCAGGATGGAACAACCGGCTCGTCGACCTTGCCAAGACAAGCTCAGACTACACGCTGGTCAGTTAGGGTAGGGTGTGGAGGAAGGGACACTGATGATGTCGCAGCTCTTATTGGTGAAGCTTATGATGACATTGAAGGGTCGGTGTAATTGTCTTGTACTCCGTATATGGTGTAGGGGACAGGCTGCGAGAGCTCGTCAGTTCTCGAACGAGGCGCGTGGAGGCGGTCCCGGGTCCCTGGGTGAAGCTCTGCGGTCCGGAGGAGCCCAAATTCAGAAGATCAGCAGTTGGGCAGAGACGAAGCTACTATGCTACTACTACTTAACGTCTGTTGTAACTGTACAGACGCCGGGCGAGGGGGATCTAGGTATGTATCCAAGGATTTCCCGGGGGGCTAGGTAGTAGGGCGAAAAGAAAAAAAAAAAGAAACGACGTCGTCGAAAGCTTCAGGAGACGGAGGAGGTTTTTGGTGGATGTCAAACAGGGAAAACCGCGAGACCCAGGGTTGAGTAGCAAAGTAACAGAGTGGGTAAAGAGGGTCATCAACGAAAGCTCAGGTTATTTCGGCGTCCCAGAGACGATTTGCCCTGGACGGTTGGAAGCCCTGGAAGCTGGGTGAGGGTACGTACATTTTACCATAGTACAAGAATGTGGGTATCTGTTGTATTTGGTATATTTGGTACCCCTACGGCATGGGTACGTACCGGCGCACTATCGTGGTCGTAGTTTTTCAATCCTTGCTCGTGGTGATGGACACACATATCACCAGGATGGTCGAAGCTAAAGCCTAGTTCCTGTACATAGTAGATGGGAACAAGGGTCTTGGGGTTGGACATGGGGACGGACGAAGAACGAAGCAGGCGATCGATAAAGTACTGGTACGAAATAATTGCACGTCTTGGCGGAGTGGATGGCCGAATATAGTAGACCGCAGCCAGAATGTACAATATGTACAATACATGCCTACATCCCATACAACTGATACGCACACAACGAGTCGTTATGTATATATCTTGTGTATGGATGTATGTATGCATGTATGCGTCCAGCCTGTGGTGTATGGTCTGGTACATAGCAAGCCGTTGGGTATGGTAACGACTTTTGCCCAAGTTGATTGGATGTCGAGATGATGGTATTTCTCCACCATGTTCCTTAGGGCCTAGGACCGAGGATATTATGACATCCATATCCATACATACATATTGTATGTACGCTGCTGGGGAATGACAGCGGACTATTATGTACGTAACGTACGTGAATTGCGCATACCTACCCGAAGTTGGAAGCTATTTAGTCACAAGTCAGTTAGTTTAGTCAGTCTCTTACTAGTAAATGGTAGAGGGCGGTGAAGAAGATTCGAAGAGACCGAAGGAAGAGAGGCAAGAAGCGTCAGAGCGACAGCGAACTTGCGATGACTTCTTTTCGGGGGGAGCCCGCCAAGTACCTAAGCAAATTTCAGTGGAGGGGTTTTCCAAGCAATTTTTTTTTCTTTCCTGAGTCGGCTCTAATTGACGAATGGCGATCGGTTTACAGGCTAGACAAAAGGAGGCCTAGTAATTGTAAGTGTCGTAAAATTCGGGATTTAGCGACTGCTTGATTAGCCACAGTCAAAGCCGGACGAGGGTTTAAGATCCATAGATACAGAATAGGAATAGCATTATTCCCGACTCCAATAACAGCCGCGAGTCAGCTTGGATGGGCTGGATGGGCTGGATGGGCTACCAGTTTGCGGCGTGAGGGAGATCATTGTCGAGGAAGAAGAGAGAAATGATATGCGAAAATGATCGGAAGCAGGACCTGCAAGACCTGCAAGACCTGCAAGAGCAAGACCTGGAGCACGCAGGTGGAAGTCCCGTTGTGTTACAATAAGTGTTACTACAGGTGCTACCTATGGCTACGAGTGTTACTACGAAGGAAGCCGCCATACACTACGTGAGCGCAGGTACCTAGGCAGTAGGTACAGCACGAGATATACTTGCGCGATACATCATTTTGAATTGCGCTTGATACTTAGCTTTATGTTCAACCAAAGTTGCCGAATTATTAAGTTCTGTCTCTCTGCTCCTTCTTGTCTGTAGTGTCCATTCTCTGAGAGAGGTCTGTCTTGCCTTACTTCGTAGCGTGGTCTAGATAAGTTAAGCGCCTGTGGGGCATGCTAAATGGGACCCGACCGACAACGGTCTCCGTCACCTTCGAGAGGTACCCGTCCCTCCAACAATTATTAGTGGAAGCTATACATTCGTCGAGGCGGATGCAGAAAAGAATCAGATACCAAACTTATCTAGGTAGGCCTCTCTGCGTTACACATAATAGTAACACTTTATCAAATAACTGCAGTACGTGCGTGTATGGACTTGTTTGCGTTTATCTACATAGATAACCATTCATTGGATCTCACATTATTGGACGTTAGGCATGCGTTGAACTTGCTCTTAATAGAGATTCTTATATTAAACCGCATGTCTCATATGGACCGTATGGCCCGTATGGGCCATATGCCAGCTACCTAGGTATCTATCTACGATATGAATGGATGTATGTAAGTTTGTACTATTAAAGAACTTTTTATTATAGATATAAAACTAATGCGTGTCTGATAGCTATAGCTTCTAATAGGCTAGTTTGCTTTTCTTCGTCTGATCGGGTCAGTCAGGTGTGCGTTCAACAGGGATATCCTACGCTTCTATTCCTCACCAAAAGTCTAAGCACATCTCAAGTGCTCTCTTGAGGCGGGGCAAACTCCAAATGTTCACCACCTCCATCTGCTCCATCTCCGCCATCCTCTGTTGACAGCGAGGCGGATGGTGTCATGTTTTCTAACTATGACCCTCCTTGGACAAGGAACAGCTAAAAACGAGGCGCGGCGATCCTTGACGGGGAATAATGGCTACAGAGACTCGGGAATGAGCTTATCTTCAGACGGTGGTCTCGCGGCATCGATTCGACCAGAGAGGTTAACGTCGAAAGGGCTAACCTTTTAGTTTCATACGCGACCAGTTTTAACCGGGGCCTTAAACCCTTACTATTTTGAGAATTGCCTACTTTTATAAACTTCCTTACCTTTGACAGCGACCGCATGTCCACATGCGAACAATATTTCTCCGTTCTCGAATCATAGCCAAGGCACCGAGACCCCAAGGTCCAGTCTCGGACATTGCATTGCCCAATGGCCTGGAAAAGCGGCTGATCAGTAGCTGCAAGTACAGACATGCGTATCCTTGGTTTCCTTGGGTCTGGTACATACAGTACCATGCTTGGGATGCGGGTATGCAATGTGTAAGCGGCACGTCTTTGCTCTGGCCTATGGAGACAGTGAGGATGATGGGTACATGTTCTCCTCAACCTTATTCCTTATTCGAGACATCGAGTTGCATCAGTCATTCTCCTGCTTTGCTGTTGGTTGTAAAATGACAGTCACCAAGAAGACCAACGGCACCGGCCGGCAAGGGTTATAACCAGCCACGGAGTCTAAAGGCGGTTCAACGCAATACCTTGATTGGATATCTTGGGACTTCTCGGCACGGGGCGTTTCTTAGTGAGGCGAGGGAGATAGTTAACACGCACAAGATCACGCAAAAACCATTCCCTAAATACATAGACTACTACATGTGGCTACCCGGCGATCTCGGGCTAATGTATGTAGGTGCTGTTAGGGGTAGGTAGTTAACGTCACACGTAGGACTAGGGTGAGGGATAGATATATTCTGCTATTTTAGATACCTATGTAGTCTGTCGAATTGCTGCAATTCTTGACATCATCCTCTTTACTAGGTGGTTTCTGGTTGAAGCCAAGCTTAGTGTCTTGATACCTACCTATCCACCCACCTGATGTATGTGCGTTCACCGCCAAAATTTCAGAATTGGCATCTCGTGGGTCTAACGCAATCGCTTACTCAAGCCTGCGTTAATGCGCTTGTGTAGTAAATTTGCGGTCTACGACACCAACATCGCACATTTTCATTACAATTCCTATAGCAGCGACAACAATTGCCGAATGGGTGAGGAGTAGGTATGAGATCCCTAAATAATTGTGAACTTCCTCGCGCAATGAGGATGGGGGCTTAGTGAGATGATAGGTAGTTAAATTCGGTCATCAAAGCTGAAGCTATTGATAGGAGCGAGTACCCCTCCCACCCCATCCCGCTCTAGCCAATCCCGAGAAGTGACGATTTTAATACTACGCCGCAGTCGTACGCATGGGCATCGCTCGCATACATGAATTCCAGACCCCAACCTAACCCATTTCTAAAAGTCGGGTGAGAAACGGTGTAGCGAGCTAGATGGCTAGATAGTTAGATGGCTGGCTGGCTGACAGGTGGTTAGGAGGAGCTATACACAGATCGCTGTCATGGAGCACGGCCGTCATGCGGGTAGAGCTGATGTGACATGCATGCATCCATGGTCATGCCGTGAGTACACATGTGCTGGAACGGCATTAAAAGAGCCGTATTAGTTGACATGAGCATGGATATAATCATTTCAAGACATGCCCATAGACATATTCGGTTACCTGCCTGGTTGCAGGTAGCAGATGTGCTGTGACGGATATTATATGGTGTCATTGGCGTGCAGTTCGGTTTTGGTTTGATATTGTTATATGTGGCTCTCTTCTTAGTGGTGATCGGGGTTTTAAGGGATTGAGATTAGCAAGGGTGTCAACAACTTTACGCGGCCTTCTCTATCTGGGAATCCCCCATTTCCGTCATCAAAATGTCCTCAGGGTTTTCGGCATGTACATATACATAGCAAAAACATATACATGGTGGTCATCGGTCCGCCGTGCATCAGCGATCTCCATGATTGTCCCGTTCTAGCAAGTCCGCTGAACGATTTGCTCTTAACGCTTTGTGCTACACCGGTTCGTGGTCAGATAATACCATGATACTTAATATTGCGGCATAATATTTCGAATATATGCTGTGGAGCGCAGGGTCTTACTACATGTAAAGGATCTCATATGTCAAGGTATTATGTTAAGCAATTCACCGCATTCAGTTGGTCGGAGTTAAGACGGCTTCTCGCGCCAAGAGGTATGAATTTATATCCTCAAGTTAGAATTGAGAAACAACAAAAGATAAAACATGTGCTTCCATATATTTTAATGTATGTATGTACATAAAGTGTTGATGTTGAGTTTCACAGTTCCAGAGTACCGCATACTGGTAGGTAGTGTTAACTTGAGATGTGACACGTCTATCCGAATCTTGGGCGAACTGGGCGAAACAACCCCAAAAAAGAAAAAGACTTACCGAGCCAAAAGATGCAAATCGGAGGTTTCGGCCCATGGGCCCGCAAAAATGATTTCGATTGGCAATTCTAGTCACCGTCTATTCGTTTATTCCGTACATATTATTTCTTCGGTAGGAGACATGATACATACGTTCATCCATATCAACAACCTGTAACGACTCGCGACTCTGGCTCCATATGTCCTGTGTACCGCAAATTCGTATCTGGCGACGGCACTACGGCATTCCACTAATCGCAAAACTTGTAGATATCAGGTCTTGTTTACGAGATAGAGAGCAAGGCAAGGATATTGCTGTCGTAGTAGTGTTACGAACAAATACCGGCTTTGATAAAGCCGTGTTTGATATTAGGTTGATATTGTTTCTGCCGGATCACTAAACAGTGGCTTAGAGGTTTCCTACTAAATCCTGAATTAGTGACACTTGTTACGTGATATTGCCTGTCGTCAGCCTTGTGTTGCTACAGAGTAAATAATAGTCCCGAGATGTCGGAAACCCATGACCACCAGCATTGCTAGGTAGCCTCGTCCTAACGTTCTAGTTTTATTATTAAGACAAGGTTGCCATGCCATCTTTCGCCTCTTAACCCAAACTCGGCATCTCGATCGAGCAACCTGGTTAGTTGATACTTGGTCTTGGCTGTTTCGAGGCTGGTGTAGTACAATGTACTGTGTTGCGGTGTTCGGGATCATGGCAAAACAAGATATCGAGGACTCTTTAGCGTCGCTATCGGGTGATTTCGAACGCTGGCGAACAACACCTATAAAACGATATATAATAGGCATTGGGCTATTCACATCTCCATATAGGCAAGGAAGATGTCTAGCATATCGATGGTGTATCACGTATCCATACCGTGTTTGTGGGACAGCAGCCGTTATGCCCCGCAATTCACCTATACCCCTGGCCTGTTTTCGTTCGAGATTTATGGACAAATGATGTTCTGAAGTCCATACATAGTATCCCATACTTGCTAGCGATTAGCCGCAAAGCCCATGACCTCTCTGAAGCTGCCGGATTTGGCGACATGCAGAGATTTCAATGTCCCCGCCATTACAGACATGACAGTAGCTCCCGAGCCCTGCCGTGCCGAAACTACATATGTATGGAGCGCCGCAAACCGAGAACCGAGAACGAAGGTATGTATCTAAGTTTTTGTCATGTATTATAGGGGATGTGTATTAATACTTACGGCTACCATATAAGAAGATGTGTTTTGCTAAGTATCTTCTTGTTAACGAATACTACTCTATATATATGAATACAAACAGATAGTTACATACATATCATCATATGTACTATGTACGTAGCTGAAGCTCTTAGTGTGAAGGTCTAGAATGTTTCTGGCTTAGGCGCGGGTATACAAACCAGTGCTAAGCGTGGCAGCGTGGGAACGTTGCGGGCTCAGTCAATTTACTACAAAGCCACGTGCGCCAGTGTCAGGCCACTTCAATAGCTTCCTGTCGTAAGCAATATTTCTCCCGCTTCGGATTTCATGCTTCGAGATTAAAGGGACCATATTGAATTATGGAATAGCTGAACGTCATGAAAGCCTCCGTCGCTACACTAGTTAAATTCTCCTACATAGTACAGAATATAGTCCTTCTCGGTTAAGCACGGTCGAGCCGCACTGACGTATTTGTCCTTGCAGGCGGGTTCATACGGAGTCTTGAGCTGCCTGGTCAGGTCCAAAATATGGAACCCTGTGACACTCTTAAATGCTTAACGCAAATCCTTCTAAATATAATCAACCTTTATCTTCAGTCCTAAGACATGGTAAATGCTCTACTATGCACGAACTTGTTGCTCACGTCAACCGGGCAAGACCGATATCTGCGCGAATTAAGGGTTAAACGAGAGCTACGTCGTTCTGGTTGTTCTCGTTCCCGGATTTAGTCGCCTCCTGGAATATGGAGTTTTGAAAATCTGAAAATCCTTAGGGATGCGATTTCGCTGAGCGGCCTTACGCATTACCCAGTGTGGCAGTGAGTCCGCGGTAAGCGAGCAGGCGGGACATTCGATATTCAGCTCTCCCTTTCCAGTGGTGCCCAATGAGGTTTGCGATTGAATCCCAGAGTCACGGACATGGAGAGATCAAGCTTCCCAGCGGTTTCAAAATTCTAGCTGCGTCGCCGCTTACAACCTGGTTTTGTGGGCGGACTATCTCGACGATCTCGCTTTTATAGTCGCAAAGGAAGAACATAGCCGATTCGCTTCGATCCCTTCGGTGGCTCAGACGTATGGCCACCGGTATGGAGTATTTCAGACGAGACATTGAACCCTTTCGAACGGGCATTGAGAACTAACCTCGCAAATCTTCGGACTTGTTACGACTGCACTGACTATGCTAGTTACCTATTCAGCTAGTATGTGTACCTCGGGTACCTTGGATACCTAGGGAGCTACTAGGTAGCTAGCCAGCTAGGTAACCACGTTGCTACATACCCATCTAGTCCTACCGGATTCCCAATCATTGCGGCTCAAAAGACTACTTCGCAAGACTGGTTTCCTCGTACATATCTCATCCTTGCGAAGCCAATCACTCGTGATGTGCAACCCCGTGGGGTTCTGTGACTATGAGTTAAGTTTACGGGTTCGTACAACCCATTTACGGTGCAATGCATGAAGGTGCATCGGCAGTTCAACGACGCCAATTAGGTAGGTGTATGTAAAGACGAATCCTTCCAATGGAAGACGAATGGAAAAACGAGCCAGGTAGCATAATTGCGAATCTCGCATTCGATCCCGTGAGAGTGCGAAAATATGCAACCCTTTACGGGCAGATATTCGCATAAAGTCAGGTCATTATTATGCAATCTCGCAGGGTCAAATCTCCGTTGAAAGGGGGGTCCCCAATCAAGGAATCTCAACACATGGTAGAGAACCGAAACGACGGCGTCGATACTCTCGAGCTTCACTAGCCTTATTTCGCCCGATCTACCTTAGCTTCACAAAAACATGTGATTCTAGCCGCCTTCTTCAAGCTTCTAGTTGGGATATCTTGGACCTCTTGTGTCAAAATGCACTAGAGCTGTGGGGGGTGACATGATCTGCCCCCACAAGGTGATTGTTGAAGGATGGTAATTAACTAAGTAAAGGAAAAGACTTTCAATATTGGGCATCTATTTGCGCAGCGTAATATCATCTTTCATACGAGCCCAGATATAGCTGTGTTTAGGGTTCAACAAGCAAATTTTTCTTGGTTTGAAGACGTCGTATAGCTTACGGCTATGTTTCTCGGTATTTCGGACGAAAGGAACGACAGGAAGCTGCAAGGCTACTGGTCCATTAACCAGCTACGAGCGTTCAGGACAAGGCTGATATATGGATACATCTTGAATCATTGTGACGTGTGTGTAAATCTACCCTCTAGGAGCGCCCGGAGCCCTTACTATGTAGATAGATAAGGCCCTCATGGGGCAGTTATCGCTATTGTACATGTACACACATCTAACGGAAAGGCTAAACCTACTACGTAGATTCCTCACGACCCTTAGCATGAATCGGGAAAAGATATGCCGATGCTTCAATGTAGCTCGGTGGATCAATATGCCTACGATGTCTTAGATAGTTATTGCGAGGGTGTATATAAGTATTGTACATGCCTCACAGGGACACCCATCACGATGACATCGTTGACCTTAATTTGACCTAGCAGGAACCATACCTGGATGGGATGTAAGCCCGAGACAAAAAGGTCCCTTGAAATGCTTTGATTACCGTACGGCACATGATTTTGTGTCGATCAAGTCTAGACCTCTGGGATCCTTGCTAGAATGTTACGTACTCTCACCTGTCAAAAGATTACCCCATTTTTATATTCGTGTATTATGTGTCAAGGGTTTCTCTCTAGGTACCTACTGTCCAGTATACTACCTATATCAAGGCAGAACAGAGCTAGTGCAAGGCACGTAACTGCAGAAGTCATGTAGTTAAAACAAACTCATTTAACATATCAAGTCTAAAAAACTCACCATTACGAACCGAGTAATTATATACGACGTACATAAGGGCTTCTTTTCCAGTTTGTGATATCTCTATGCCATTGGGCATCAATATTATCAGCTTGGCAAATGATCTGCGACGCTACCGAGGTAGCGGCCCATCGTGGGCTATAATGGCTATAATAGGATCGTTGCGGTTATTAACTGCCAGGGCCCATTTTTAAGAGAGAAAAATCTATCCCCTGCCATCCTCGACCGAAGCAGCCAAGGTACGGCACAGTTCACCTCCATGCTTTGATCACGTGATCGCTGGCGATACCAAGTCAAGAGCTTCACCGTAGTCCATGTGCGTCAAGGATCCCCGCCTTTTTCCTAATCCACCAAGGTGAGAAATCTGTTACCTCAAGGACGGGCTCGTGGCTCCATTGCTGATTGGCTATTTAGCACGGCGAAAAGTCCGCCACTCTTGGTATGTCAAGGGTATGTTTTGTTCGAGCCCCTCCAAGACCAAGACCTTGGGACGACGGCGTAAGGCATCAATGTTGAAACTTCGCGCAACCGATCATGAATCTCCAACGAACTCGCTATCGTCTCAACTATCTGCCGTACTTATCTTGGAACCGGCATGATCTACTAAAGGAAGAAAATTCTTACCACGCTATTAAAATATTTCAAATCTCGAAATCTAGCCCCAACACATCTCCTTTTTTCTACGAAGAGATTGTTATGCAAGGGCGTATACGGATGACAGCAACGGGGCAGATCTTAGAATCGGTACCTAAGCTAACGAAGTGAGAGATAATTTCATGTCCGTCCTGATAGTCGCAAGAGAATTGCCGGCCTTCTACATTAGAGAACGCACTAGAAGGCGCTGTCTCAGACATGCTTCGTACGCATTTCGTCTGCCACGCTGAGATGAGACAATTGGCAAATAAGCCTCTAGTTTAATAACCACGAGGCGCAACCGATATATGCTCAGTCAGCCCAGCCTCGTGCGGATTTCCGACCCTGCCAAGGATCGAGTTCTTCTAGCATGCCCATCATAACCGTTCGTAGTTAACTCGTAACATTTAGTTCGCAACTCCAACGACGTATCCAGAAATGGCATTCTCTTCGTTCCGTTACCCGCGCGTATGTACAAGTCAGGCTTCATCGCTATGACAATTCCCCTGGAAATCCTATTTGATACGGCATTACGTATACTCTCATGGAGCTACGGCTGAGTAGGATCTCACCGGTCGAAAATAATCCAACCTTTTCCTACTAAATAGTCGCATTTTAAGCGATTCGACTTGGTAGCGAAATCTGTCAAAAGTCTTGGCTCTCTAGTTCAACGTTACAGTCCTGCCTACAACGCATTGCAGAGTACCCAGACTTCCAGACTGCCCAGATATGGTCCCTCTAAAACAGTAAACGCGGCTAGCACAAACCAACGTTTCACTCTTGCATTTTAACTTCCGTATCGAGTTATTCTGGCAAAGCAACGCCATGTAAAGTGGCCCATAAACTCGCACTTTCTACAACCTCGAATTATGACATATCATTCCCAATAACCAGGTACTTTTCACCGTGATACCCTCAAACTCCCGTTCGCCCAGCGTCTCGGCCAGTTGATAAGATTACGAATAGTAATTCCATTGCCGTCCATCTTTGCCGGCTGTTGCTATGACCGTCAGCAGCGTAGTGTATGACACTGTATATATGCATCTATCATACGAGAGAAATTGTTACCCGTTTCTTCCCGTATGAGAGACCTTCACCGGACGGCCCATATCGGTTATTAACATTGGGCAAGTAATACTACCTAGGTATGTTATGTGGTAAGGTCATTTATTTCTATTATTCGATGGTACCCAATTCTCCTTCGCGATCTGAACAATCCCATTTTACCCCACGATACGCTCATACGCTCACTCATCTTGTCATCCCAAGTCTTACATTCAAGCTTATCTCACTGATACCTCTTCATCCATGGAAAAATAAGAATGTGACCGACCCCCAACACCTATCATATTGCGAGCTTTTTGCTTACCAAGCTGTGAAATAGGTCAGAACAGGCAAACGCTTACGCCTACCTCGCGCCTGATTGCCTCGATTCGAATATATCACGCTCACACATCTTCCTCATATGGCAACCCGTTGCCTGGCTGGCTGACCTCCCCTTTTCTCCTTTTTTCTCTTCCGCCACCTAAAATCTCGAGTATCTACACCTCTGCGGATGTATCCGCCTCCTGTACGATGTATGAGGTACGCGTGCGCAAGACCCGCGAAAGGGGTCGCGCATTAGGGCTGAGGTCATCCGTGTTCCGATTATGAAACGCCTCCACGATTTGAATCGGCCATCCAATATCGATCTTGCAGATAATTATCACCTTCTCCCTTTCGCGCGGGTGTTGTGCAGTGCCGTACATAACCATTTCGCTAATTTACCTGCCTAGTGGTTTGCGCAAAGAAAATTGCCGCCCTTACATGCCGGCTTCGGATCTGACATACCGGTCCCTTGCTTCTCCGTGTTCTGCTAAGCATCGGCAGCATGGGCGCTGAAAAAAAAAAAAAAAAAGAAATCACAGAATCCTTTCGCGCGTAGCCACCACCATCCATATGTATTTTGCCCTCCCCACGACACCCTTCGGAAGATACGGAACCAGCTCGCTGGGTAGCGGCGCGAGCGCTGATTGCGTCGGTACCAACCGACTTCAGCTAGATTGTCGGTCCCGGATATCTCCTCGGAGATGTTAAGCAACCCGACGCGGTGTTTGCTATGCCAGATTTGGGTTGAAGATAAGTATATATCAGGTTTCACCCTTTACCCAAATCCATATCGTCGGATCCCTTCCCTGGACTTTCTGAAGGAGTAAAATACCCCAATCCCACACGACGCAACAGATTTGAGGCGCTTGTAGGCACATAGCTAGCCCGTAATCAGTAAAGCCGCACCCCCATATTCGTCTACCATGCACGCATGTAGTTAGGTAACCCTCATCCCATCCCTTGCTAGGGTTAGATAGGACGTAAATACGACATGACTAGAAAAGGCAAAATTAAGCTGGTGGGATGCTGAATCGCTGATTAACTAGTATAATGTGATTACATACCTACCTACATACTAGTAATGTGCCGCCAGACTGCAAATAGAGAACGGGGGCCTGCAAGTTACATGATACTTAATAGTCTATTGGATGCCGGCTGCATTTCAGAAGCCTCAAAAAGCACCGCGTTCGTTTTTCCTCGTTTCCTTCAACCTGGTCCTCGGCTCCATCATTGTACATGTCGAGCGCATGCAAAGCCTAGAAGCGAGGGGTCGTGATGGGTCACTCCTGTCCAGGTCGCAGGCTCGCAGGGCCAAAAAGGCGAAGACGAAGAAAACCAAGGGACCTCACATTTTGCGGTGTGTTCTCTCTACCTACACTACCTACCTACACAATCTAAACCTACCAGGTTAACCAAGTTTTCCCACTCCGCTCCTTTCATCATCTGCCATAACTTCGTAATAGGATTATGGCATGGCTTGGGCAGATCTCCCAATCCCAGGTTTTTCTCGAGATTTGAGACCCGCCGAGACGCTTTCGGAGATAATAGGGTGCGTGTGCTTAAGAGGGCAACGGCCACTCCTTGCGCGCAGCCGTTCTTCGTCCGAGCGCCCACCCGACCCGCTTGCATGAGGGAGCCTGGGAGCTTGCTTGCTTGGGGGGGAAAGGGAAAACGCAACTCAAGAGAGATCTGCAAATTGCCTTACAAGCTAATTCGGAGAGCGCGGGTCTTTGAACTCTACAAATATGACCTATCGCTTTTTTTCCTTTTTCGCTCTTCTCTTTTTCCGTGCGCGTCCCTATGCGGGCCACTCACAGTACGAGGACGCACCAATTGTGTTCAGTTGGACCCAACGCATGGCTTTGGACGGGTGAAAGGCGACAGCGAGCGGTATGGCCTACGAACTTTGCATCGTGGCCGCAGGAAGGGTCTCTCTTGCCCGGGTGCCTCTTTTCTTTCCTTGGTTTACGCGAAAGAGAGACAGACGCGAAATACCTATGCAGAATGCAGAATGCAAATGCAAATGCAAGCGCATAGGGCACCGGTAACATGGAAGCGCGTGACTGAAATGACTAAACGAAATAATATGGATGCTATAAGCCCGTCCGGCAGGCAAAAAAAGTTTGCAGAGCAGCTGCAGAGTTTGCTACCATGCGTTACGTACAGAACTGCCGGTAGTCCTGAAATCGTCGATGCAATAGCCTTGCCAATCTCGCGTCAGTTTCGAAAACGGCAATGAAGATCGTCCCAAAGATCTAGCTTTCGGTCGTTGCAGCAACCTACCCCCTGAACCTTTCTTCTTCCAGCGGTACTTTGGGCGGTGGCTTATTAGCTGAATCGTGAATGCATCCTACAATAGTACAATACTGCTAGTAACGCATACTAATCCTTTCGGGATTTGAGATACGCGAAAAGCAGACTCCGCTAGGACGTCGTCGCATTAGCCTCATGTTATCAAAATTATGGAGGCTATCATTATCAGATTCTATTGGCGCCTAAACCTTCCTTCACGGGCGAGGCGATCGAAACTGATCCTATCACATATGCTCTGTTTCAATTCCAGGTTCTGGCTTGTCTGCGCCTCGGGCCGGCGGTTGTAACTCTCCAGGGCTGTTCGCTCAGCTTATTACGCTGTGTTAAGATTACGACTCTGCGACTTTCTTTGCGACCAGCATCAAGCATCAAGCATCAAGCATCAACAAACAAAGCATCCCCAGTTCGTCATCGCCGCCTCGCGAATCCACAAACTTACAGCGGTCATTCCCCTGGCTCCCCGTCCGCTTCCAATTCCACACCCTCGGTAAACACCAGATCGCCCATTTTCCCGAGCGCCTCGCGACCCGCCTCCTCGACCAGGATGCCGAGGGCCAGGAGGGCGGTCTCGTCCATGCTGCGCTCGTCGATGTTTCGGGCGGCAGGCTCGCTTCGAGATCCCTGGGGCGTCGTGGTGGCGAGGGCGGCGTAGAAGTGACTCGCGTAGCTGTGAATCGCCTTGAGCATGTCGCTGTCGGGTAGTACGCCTCTGCCACCATCCTGCAAGGCCTCGTGGGCCTGGTAGATGTCCTTCTCGGCGTAGCGGACGGGCGCGCGGATCCGGCGGAAGAGTACCTCCTCTGGTGCGAGCGTAGAGTCCCGAAAGTGGTCCCGCGGTGTCCGGACGTGGTGAGTTTGTACCTCGGATCCGGACCCATCGTCCAGAGGTAGATTGCTGGTGACCCGTGCTGTTATATTAATCAGCATTTCACCAGGTCATCAACGTGGTCAAATTAGAATAGCGAACCTGCTACAGCATCGTAGACATTGGCATCTCTCTTCCTACGCTTCCGTCTCCCGCCGTCTAGAAGATCTCCCTCCGTCCCGGTCTCGGTAGCTTGATCCGTCTCTTCTGGGGGATACAAGAAGCGTTTTTCTTTTATGCTTTTAGATGTCATGGTTGGGTAGTAGGTAAGTAACTACCTAGATATTTGTGGAATTTGACTATGTTGCTTTGTTTGACGAGGTTGGAATCTTCAGCCTTTAGACAATGCAGTTCCAAACATCGCATTCTCATTAATTTTCATGTTTGGTCTTATTCGAATGCCGACTTCACTGAGATACTGTATTGCTGGTGTTTATGGACTCATGAAAGAAGTCGTGCACCTAGGCGTAGCTATTCCGTTTGGTGGGTTGAAATTGATAAAGGAAGTTGAATGTCTCCAGCTAAATTCAAAAATGCGCCGATATTGAATGAATCTACGAATGTATTTTGTACATCGGGATTTAAGTTTTGGTGGGGTCTCCATAGTACGACGTGCCTGGAGAACTACGTAATACTTCCGTCAAATCTCCCCACCAGATTCCGGACTTGGAACTTGGAACTTGGAACTTGCAACCTGAAGCATTAGAATGCGGCTCTTGAACTCAATACAACGACGCTCTCTCTTTCTTCACATATTATAATATTCTGTTCTCTCATTCCATTTTAACTGAACTTCTATTCGGTGCAGTAGGCCACAAGCGGCCTTTCATCCTGATGAATGAATCAATTGCTGTTTGAGCAGTCCTGTGGCAATCTTGGTCCCAACGTCTTTGCCAGGCTGCAGACTATGAAGCTGTTGAACTCATTCCGGCCTGCGCCTGAATTTCGTTTTAATGGCGGCGAGAAAGGTATTGCTGTGCGAGATGATGATAGAGGCGCCATAGCCCCGGACCCTGCCTCTACTCTATGGGCCCATCAGGCTGGTGTAAATGCTCTGGCCCTCGAGCGCTTCGACGGTAGAATGTAAGCAACTATCATATTAGATATCCATATTGCAGAATATCCCACAGGATATCCTCAACCTTCCACTAGATGCAATGTTGTTCATCTAAACTAACCGCTTCAGCCTCGTATCGGGTGGATTGGATGCCTCAATAAAGTTGTGGGACCTAGAGCAGTGTGGCAATCCATCCAAGGCGCATACCTACACTCCCGACGCCAAAATTCCGCGTTCTGACCAAGCCCACAAGTTTGGAATTACGCACCTTTCCTTCTACCCCTTCGATTCGGCTGCCTTTCTGTCAACATCGTACGATCAGACCTTAAAAGTCTGGTCCACGGAGACAGCTAGCTTGTCAGCCTCATTTAATCTTGGGTACAAGGCCTATACCCACGCGATATCCCCTATCGCCTCGCACTTACTAGTCGCCTGTGGGACGCAACATCCTGCCGTACGCTTAGTGGATCTACGTACTGGCTCTAATGTGCAGTCGCTAGCTGGAAACTCGGGCGCTATACTAGCCACGTCATGGTCTCCGCGACACGAACATGTTCTTGCTACGGGTAGTGTAAACGGGGCTGTCAAGATCTGGGATGTCCGACAGGCCGGTGGGGTTATTGGCATGTTAGATCAAGAAGACAGTCTAGGCTTGTATTATAACGGCCTTCTAGACCCCAGTGGCAAAGTCAGAGTTCGAGCCTCCGCAAAGGCCCATGCGGCCCCGGTAAATGGCCTGACCTGGACAGACGACGGAGAATACATTATTTCAGCAGGACATGACCGACGCATTCGGGTTTGGGATGCTGCCACAGGTAGAAATACACTCGCGAGTTTCGGCCCCAGTATTAGGAATAGCCAACTGGCAAGTGTTACTATGTTCACGTCGCCAGTCGGCCTGACTCATCCCGGTAAAGAACTACTCTTCTGGCCCAACGAGACGGAGATACTCGTTTTGGACTTGCACGATGGCCACGTCGTCTCCAAGCTGAGAGGAACCGGTCCAGCGATGGCCGGTGTCCAATCCACCAGCGGTGCTCAGCGGACTGTCAAGAATCGGATTTCTAGCATAGTGTGGAGGGGAGCGGGCGGTGGAGTTGGCTCAAGCGGCGTTGTAATGGGAGGGGGGAACATGGCAGGCGCCATCTACACAGCGCACCTCGATGGCCAGATTAGGGCGTGGACGCCCCGCCTAGAAGGGGATGATGAAGAAGACGAAGACGATTCCTTAGATGCTGCTAGTGAGGATAAGGCTAAAAAGCGGAAAGCACTTGATGACATCTTCAAAGGCTTGGTGGGGAAGAAGATCACTTTTACCTAGGGCCAATGCTGAATAAGAGAAAGAGAGAAGACCGTGGCATACACATATATTCCTGGTACTCGGCGATTTTCTGCGGTAATACCCAAGGAGCGCATGAAGTTAGGCCATGTACAAGAGGGCTGATTCGCCTAGAACTCAAAGCAAGTTTCCTGTGGCCTCCTAGATGGCAACCTGGCTTGCAGATGGGATGGAACTTTGGCCCCCCTTAAGGACTTATATCGGCTTTTCTCGAGATTTGATATCGAAGGCGCAATACGGACTCACCGCTGCTCCTGCAGATCTCCAGTCCTCTAACCCCTCCTACGGCTGTCAGCATGTCTCACAAGTTTCAATCCCCACATACATAGCGGGACCAATACCAGTTCACTCAGCGTCCTGTGTGTAGGCGTAGGCCACGAGATGGCCTGGGATAAGGGTTGGGTAGCTAGGGTTCGGGATCGCCCTGGTAGAGAGTATCGTGTCGCTAATCTACCTGTGGAATGTGGAATATCCTATCAGCAAGTTGGCCCGCGTGATAGGAGACGATGCAAGTGTGAGAGCGGCGTACATACGTATAGTCTAAGGAGTAATGACTGTTTTTTCTTTGCTGCCGCTTGTTGTTGAGAACGGGTTACCTTTCTTGTAACCCTTAACAACAATCTAACTTATTTGAGGCTAGGCTCGTAACTATCCCCTTTTGCGATTAGTACTAGTGGTAAGTCGTCGTAATATACTATAAATCCTATAGATGGGTCTGTATGTAAACTTATATGGAGAACCTGAATATGTTAGAAGTATTCGGGTGTAACTTGTAAGTAACCTATGGATGATTTCATTATAACTTGACGTCTCTGCATGGAATACTAACAATATCATCAGTATAACTCTTTAGGGGTGTACATTATCTTGTGTTATATCATATGTGACTGCTTGTATTAATACAGCCTATCCAATATAATCTTTCATAGCAAACGATCATAATAATTAGCGTAGAAAATTTCATAATATAAGATTCATATCGGCATTTTATAGTAACTATGTTTCAAGCTTTTTAAGAGACATGATTGTACGAAACATGTTTTATTTGGTATTCTGTTCCTTGGTGGCTTATGTTTGAATTGAAGGAGAAAGGCGTCGAATACGTGATCTATAGCTACCTGCCTTCTTGATTCCAAAATATCAACACTAGGTACTCAACACCTGGAGTCTCATCGTATACATACATCAAATGGACATACGTCTAACAAGCTGTTGAAGCGTTGGGCCTTGTAAACGATTAATAGCATTAAGCTGGGCCTTTTTACTTCAGATTGTTAGCCATTTGGGTATGCAAGTTTCGTATAATTATACCTAGTGAGGCAATCATCTCTTACATCGACATGAGAGCGACTTGAATTATGTGTAGACTGTGAATGTGACACAACCTCGGCATCCTCTGTTAATATTTTGAATGCTATACTATTCTCTGTCACAAATTAAGATCTATCTTCATCTCTCTTCTATTCTGACGCCTTTTATAAGAGGGGAATCCCTTCGCGCTTTCTGTAGGTCTTACCTTTTGTTCAGCTACCCTCTAGCTTCCAAATCTTTCGACGCGTAAGCCAGCGGGAGCCCGCATCGCATCGCAACCAGCAATGGCAAGTATAGCTAAACCCACCATCCTGCTCGTCAACGGCAGATGGCACATACCCGAGAGCTACGCCAAACTCGCCGGCGGCCTGCGCCAGGCCGGCTTCGAGGTCCACGTTCCTCGCAACCCTTCCATGAACCAAAGCCGGCCTCCTAACGCCGACCTGACCACCGACTCAAATCTCATCCGCGGCTACGCGACAAGCCTAATAGAGGCGAGCCGGACCGTCGTAGTGCTGATGCACCACTAGGGCGGACAGGTCGGCACCAACGGCTTATACGGGCTGAGCCGGAACGCGCGCGCCGCCAAGGGGCTGCCCGGCGGAATCTCCAAGTTGATATACCTGACGACCTTTGCGTTGCCCAAGGGCAAGGCGATGACGGACAAGGTGGCGGGATTCGGCCAGTTGGGTCTCATGCCCATCTCGTTTGACTTCGACGAAGATCAGACCTGCGTGCCGAACTACCGGAAGAGGGGGTTGATTGGCGAGAACTTTGCCAACGAGCTCGATCCGGAGGAGCTCGAAGCTTACTTGGCTACTATACTTCGATGGAATGGAAAGTGCATGTATTTGCCCGTTCAGAACACGCCCGCTTGGCGCGATGACGTGGAGGTTTGTTATATCTACACACTCAGCGACCTTGCGGTTCCTATCGGCTACCAAAGGAGTATGGTAGAGTACATTGAGAAGGAAGGAAAGACGGTTCGGACGGTAGAAATTGATGCTGGTCACTGTCCGAACCTGACGGCAGCCAAGGAAGTAGCAGAAGCTATCATCAAGTTTTCTTCTGACTAGCTCTCGCATGAAAGGCTCTAGCCGTTGTACATAGCCAGTTACAAAGGTTGATCCAAGCTTGCCGCCGTTGAGGTGCATGCGTGTAATGCAGAAAACCCTATTTTCTTGTTATATCAGTGAAACAGGGGTGCAGGGGTAATAAGGGGGTAGATTTTCAGCCTCTTTCCCCCCAACCATATGATACGCGACTTCCAGTTGACGAGAAGTTGGATAGCGTCGAATATGCATATCCTTTAGCACCACTCACATTAGCTAACTTGCTTAGACTGTGATACTTAGCGTATTCCTTGTTTGCCGCGGTAATCGCGGCCAGTTGTATGTAGCACTCAACATTGAAGAGATAAGTACATACTAGTAAAAGTACTTGAAATACCATGGTCTAGCTTTGCACCTAGCTACCATCCTAGTTTACTAAGAAATAGGTAGACTGGGCAATGTGGGATGAACGGTGTATGTACCGGTACATGACAAAAAGTTAAACTATACTAAGCCTTGTCGACATACAAGGCACCCGGAGAAGACACGGGATGACGTACATATCTTTCGACTTTCTCAAACCTCTATTGCGATCCCCCCGAGTAAACGTACTTCGAAAAAAGTAAGGCTGTAGTTTGAAAGGCCTTGCATATCTGTACAGGTATTGGATCCACAGCCGGAGGTTGAAGACCGGCACAGGAGCTGTTCTTGGCGTCTGAAGTCTGCAGAAGGAGCTGAGGTTAAAATTAGGCTAGCTCCGGACATATATCCACATGACATCTTTTATATAGGTAGTATTGGAAAGAGAATCTCATTCCAGCTAAAGGGGCTGATACGAAGTGTATCCATCAAATAGGCACGTAGCTTTAAGCGAAACCTGCTTATGGCTTCAATATTGGTATGTAGGTACTTGCTTGCCTAGATGAGTAACTGGTATCTTCGTGACAGCCCTACCGCTAACTCGGGGAAGTTGTAGCCGCAAAATGTACCGAGAGAAATGGCCTGTCAAGATCCACAACTAATGGAATAACCCGGCCCTGGCTTAACTACATACGTGTAGTGAGGTTACATAGCTAATGTAGGTGTGTGAATACCGTATACTTCCTATACAGGTTGTATCAAATAGTAAACTTTCTTAGTTCATGTGATGGGCATACCCCTGTCTGTATAAGTCCAGCTCGAAGAAATGAGGGCAGGAAACCATTTAATCATATGAAGGAGTTTATTATAACGTCAAAGAGATATGATTGGAGCAATATTCACCTAATTAAGTCATAGAAAGCCAGATAACTGGTGAACATGAGTAGCTTTTCCCCATCATCATCGATATATTCACTATCCCCTGACCGTACCTGATTATGTGGCGAGTTAAGACAGGATTCATTGTGATAATATGAATCTCGATTTCGGTCACACGTGTCCCCCATCCCTATTCGGGATTTGGATGATAGGCGCTATAGTTACTAGTCTCGCGTCAACTGCTTGGCGAACGGTACACTAATGAGAATCCATGTTAGTTCATGTTACTCGTCAACAATATCACTACCGATTGGCCAAACCTTTTTAGTGTCAACGCGTCTGCACCATGTGAATCATAGTGCATTCGCATATTTGCGGCCTGCTCGTCAAAACGTCCGGCGCCTACTAACCCTTAGGGCGTTCGGGGAATTCAGGGGGTCAGGGGTGCAGCGGCCGTTTCCGGAAATATGCATATACAGTACCATCATTTGCTCGCTCTCTATACGACGTATATCTCGCAATTTGTTGCACTAGTAAATGACTCCTTACTAGCGACGGGTGATAAAGCGAGGCGATAAAAGAACCATCATATAATAGGCTCCACGAGCATCTTCTTAATCTATCTCCTTTTATGTGAACGTAAAGTCGTACGATTATAGCCTCATCTGCGTAGTCGGCGATTTAGCTACGCGAATGTAAAGAAAAGGATATGAGACTAAAGGTAGATTTGATGCTACTTGCAATTGTCACAGGCGTGGTTCTTGATGGTCTAGTTTAAAGGGACTTTTGCTTGCAGTCCCTAAATGGTTTGATTAATCTCGTGATACCTAACACATATCGATAGCTGAATAGGGGTAAGAATTAACACGAGTACGCTCCTTCGATAGGGACGTCAACGCATACATCCGTTTACCAACATCGGAAGCACGTCGGATTTCTAAGTAGTCGGTTCAAGTGCTTAATTCATGAGAAGCGTTTCGCGGACTTGTAACTGAACCCTAAGTATGAAGACAGATATGCAAATATATACAGGTATTGGTATCGTAAGTGGTGAGAGTATGAACATGACATTCCTAAAGTAAATCCAAGTAATAAAACCATTGATATCCCGTGCATCGAAAAGAAACCTCGTTTTGTGTACATGCCTCCTCGGAATCCGTGTGCCTTGACAATATTAAAACAGAAAAGTTCGTCGTCCCATACACATGATGTCGTACATATCGTAACAATTAAAAAAACAAGATATGTCATGTTGCGACATGACAAGATCTCACCATAGCTTCATTAAAACATATGAATAAACAACATAATTTCGTTAGTCATCAGATGATATTACTTCTTCCTAGCCCTCATTACTTGAACAATTTCTTGAAGGCGGCGCGGATTTTTCCTGGGGAGGTCTGCTTGGTGGCCGCAGCTTCGGCTTCGGCTTCTCGGGCCTTTCGTCTCTCCTCTCTTCTCGAGCTTCCGTGTTCGTCTTTCGGAACAGAAACCCTGGAACTCGATGGTGGAGCCTCGGCTCCATTCTTCGTCTCTGTTCTGCGTCTCTTGGAGTCGTCGTGAGACCTATGGCTTCTAGGTCGGGGGGCATCCTCAGACTCTTGGTAGGATTTGGTAGTGCTGGAACGCTTCAGCGTCGTTGATTTTGGCATGTCTTTAGAGGATGACGAAGTGCCATTTGTACTGGTGGTCCCGGAGCGAGGTGCATGGCTCGGTGCTACGATGCTCTCGACATTCTTCAAGTCGAAGAACTTCTTGTTCGGAGAGGAACCTTCCTCCTTCATAGAGTGCCTCTCAGAACGAGATCTTTCAGAATGCCTCTCTGAGTGCCTTTCGGAATGAGACCTTTCGGAGTAGGCCTTCTCCGAATGAGCTTTATCTGAATGAGCTTTCTCCGAGTGAGTTTTCTCCGAGCGAGGCTTTTCTGAGTGTCTTTCGGAATGGGACTTCTCCGATTGTCTTTCGGGATAGGATCTCTCGGAGTGCTTCAAGGAGTGAGCCTTGTCGGAGTAAGAGACACTATGTCTCCTTGAGCTGCGATGAGAGGAATGTCGATCACTAGGTGGAGCCTCAGGCTCCTTTCCTTTAGCTTCCCTTGCCTTTTCGCGGATTTCGCGGGAGGCGCGTCTCTCTTCTTTACGTCTTTCGTGGGCGGCTTGTTCCTCAGGGGTACGATGCTTTCGGCTTGAAAAACTGCGCGAGCTGTCAAGCGAATAACCGCTATCCTGCACCTTAGGCGCCTGGGCGAATGAACGATCGGAAGTAGACTTCACCGAGAGATTACTTTCTCTGCGGTGACGAAGATGTTCGCCGCTACCCTTCTCGTCTCTTGGCCGCGAGGAATGATGATGGTCACGGTGGCTACGCCGGTGCCTGTGACGTCGCTCGTCTGCGGATTTCTTCTCTTCGTCATCTGTAGACAGGTCAGCAACGGGCACTGAAATATTATTCTGGCCATCGCTCTGATTCCCTGCCACAAACTCTGACGAAGAAGCGAAATCCCACTTCTGAGCATCTTCCTGAGACGAATCTAGAGCTTTAGCTCCATCATTCTGAACTTGGGCACTACCCAGCTGATCATCAGGGGGAGCACTAAGCCCCCGAGTTGCGGCATATATTATGACAGCAGCTGCAACCGTCTCTTCTGTATTCTTAAGTGTTTGTCTGCGTTGCTTCCTCACACTCCTCGCACGACCCAAAGCCCTTGCTTTGGAGTCACCAGGGTCTGGAAGAACAATACCGGGGGTTGCCGATCGAGGTACTAAATCATCGAAGTTGATGATGCCAAATGGGTTCTCACCTGGTCGGGTAGGAAGTTTAAAGTCACCTTCCTCGGTCTGGGTACCTGAATTGACTAGAGATGGTCGAAGTGTCCTGCTGCTACTCTTTTGCGTAATGTTTTCTTTCTCGACCGCAATAGATTCCGAAGGAGGTGTGACTGGCGATTTCATTTCGGGTGATTCGGGCGTGGCGACACGAGCTAGTTCTGGTGGATGCTCTGCGTCTTGAATCGAGGAGTCACCTGGAACACTTTCCTTGTTACTAGACTCTGATACGTCCTTAGTCGTTGCTTGAATAGAGGCATCGATGGGATCCACCGGCTTAGCTGGTTCCTGAGGTGGGGATGATTCTTCGTTAACGGCCTCCTTTTGGGACATAGATGCGTCATTATGGCCGTCCGGCTGAGGATCAATAGCTTTCTCTGATGGCTTGGTATCAGAAATAGTAGGAGTGGTCTTTGGCTCAGGTTCTTCTGGCTTCTCAAGGTGAACTTCTATGGCTTCAGGTTGTGTAGCTTCAGTCTCAGATGGATGCTCTTCACTAAGCGCGGCACCAGCAGCCGCAATCGCTGCCGCTGCAACAATTCCTGATTCGACAATGCCTACACCTTCGCCATCTTCAGCCTTCGAGCCTTCCTTTTTCTCTTCCTCTGCTATAGAATTTGGTAAAACTCCAGTCGATTCCTTTGCATTTTCCGAAGTCTCAAGATCTTGGGACTTAGTGAGTTCTGGCTCTTGACTGGAGGCAACTTCTTTGCTCGTAGAATCTTCAACTGGTTCTGATGGTTTAATTTCGACCGCATTCTCGGCTTGAGAAGACAACTCTTTCGCGATTATCGGAGCGTCATTTTCCTTGGCTTCTTCTACTTCTTGCGGGACGGCCTCGGTGTCCTTATTTATGGCTAGTACACTGGAATCGTCTGGTTTTTCCGCAGGCTCATCATGGTTAGACTCCATAGGTGCTGCTTTTTCTGAAGTAGGTCCCGTTTGTTCCGAAGAGGCTTGATTCTCGTCTTCGTTGTCTTGTACCTGAGGAGCT